ATGTAACGGGGACTTCGGGGTGGGGGTTCAATGGATTACAATACAGTATATTCCGTACTGAACGCATGGCCCGATGTTATTGCGCAGGTGGCTCAGGCTTTGGGTATCTATCTGGGTAGTTGGATGTGCTCTCTACTTCTACTTCTACTACCTTATTGAAGGACTGGCTCAGTTCACGATCCAATGCAGATACCATGCTTCCTCTACCGGATTCTTCTCAAGATCCAGGGTGAACCACTCCCGGACATTCCACCCACCACTCACCTGAGTGAGCTGAGGGAAGGAAAGAACCTAATTGATCTATACTACCTACTCTACCAGAGGTACTCTACTCGACCCAAAGGACAGCCAATCCATGTCCATCCCAAACACCACTATCGAAGAAGAAGAAAAAACATCTCGGGAATTGAGTTTGAGCAGCGCAAGATGACGGCCTCTTGACCACACCGTAGCTAACTCCTACTAAGAACCAACTATACACTTCGAACTAGTTCACTAACCGACTAACTCTGATCCGCAGCCTGAACTTTACATCCTCAACTCCACCCAATCAGTACTCTTTCGGGGATAGGTAACTACCTACTACCTAATGACTACAACCTTTTTCTCTCCCACCTCTCAATTATTTCATCTCTCTTGACCGTTATCGGATCCGACAGACACCCACGAGTGGCCGGCTCAAATCGGGGGAGTCCCACGCTTTTCCAAAAACGTCAAAAACACGATCTATCGGTGTGGACCGTGGATGATCCTGAAACTCTATCTCTCTAACATGACATGACATGATATGACACATGCATCCAATTTGCGCGAGTGGATTGCTGCATAGGCTGAATGACTGGTCCGGGGCCGTGTGCCCCAGGACGAGAGGTCCCTGCGCTCCGAACATTACATTTGCTTTCTTCGGAGGTGAGGTGGAGATGATGGGTCGGGAGCTTCGGAGGGTCGGTCGGTGGTGGATGTGACAACCGACCTGTCAGGGCGCTTCGATCGAGATCCGCTCCGATCTGTTACCCACTTGAATCAAACTCCCCACTTTTTTTAACCGATGGGATATGACAACAGTATGGGTCTGGGTTTTTGACACCGCGGAGATAGAAGGACATGGGAAGAGTGGGAGGGAAGTTAAAAAATAAAAAAACGGAAAAAAAAAAAGGATGGAAAAAAGAAAAGAAACCAATTGACCGAAGCAGAAAAGCGAAAAGAAAGGAGACAGACGATCGATGATCTCCACCGAGCTACGCTGCAAATACAGACGCAGACAATACAACCACGGCACTCCCGTCTACAGCCGGCGCCGTTAGCATCGATCTATCCCATCTCGAGACGACCACCATCCCAAGTGGGCCCTTTCGGTCATCCCCTTAACCTTTACCTCTCAAGTCCCAATCTAAGCGCCGGTTCGCTGAGCGCACAAGCCGCTAGGAATCTCGATCTATCGGACACCTTCCTGCAAATTAACGTCGCTTCCGCCCTTGGTGTGGAAACCTGACGGGCTAGTAGCTCTATCGACAATAGTACTTGTCTGGCTTCATTGAGGAAGCCTCTTTTCTCTCCTATCTCGGTACCCGGGACTCGAGGCTGAAATTGCTAATCTGATCGAGTATGTCATATAAGTGGGAGATAGGTCTAGACTGCGGGGGTTATTATCACGATCCACTCATCATATTGTCATCTGCTCCGTCTTCTCGTCTTTCGCCGTGTTGGACCCTACCAGGGAAAAGGAGGGAACGATGACTTTAGGTGCCAAGTTAGCTGCTGATGGAATGATGATCTTCCTTGCAGCTACCTAGCTATCCCAAGGCCCACCTGCTCGGTTCAATCGATCCTTAATGTCTCTGTGCATCGACCATGGCTACTCTCCATTGGTCATGTTCCCTGCGTAAGAAGCCAATCTTTACCCAAGTCGACAAGATATTACACGGGCTACCCGGCTACCAGCCGTCTCCTGACAGCCTCCCTAACGTTTTGGACGCGTAGAAAAAAACATAGTATCTCCATTACCAACGCCGCCGCCACCACCACCAACAAGCGGCCAACGTTTTCTCCACAGACAGAACTCCCACTCAACTACACTAATGAAAATCCACAACTATCCAAATCATATTCTTGATTGATAATCAAGTTCAAAAGCCTCCGACCATGTCTCTCCCGCCAAGCCTGACACTACGTGGGCCATCACAATCCCAATTGTGATGTGACACCAATCCCGCACGAACCACTTTTTAGTCCCATGCCACTCGCTCCCTCCCTCCCTGCTGCGCCCCTTTCGGCCGGAACGCATGCCGTTTTGTCCTGTTAATCTCGCGTCTCGGGATGGATTGGGATCGGAGCCAGGCTCGTGTCTGTTGACGCGTGACGGTAGTCTGCTGCTTATTATTATTACCTACGGAATACCTACCTACCAACCTACCAGTCTACCCCCGCTCCGGTCCGGTTCGTGAATGACTCGCTAGTCGCGATGTGAAGCCACATTGATCGAGCGCGGAGCGGATTTATTCCGTCGCTTACTTCTTACCTCTTACTTCTTACTTCTTCTCTGGATAGAATTACCCTAAAGAGAAGTGAGGGAGTTGTTAGTTGCCCCCGGTACTTTTGACGCCCCTGATCGTCTACTGGGTATTCTGTACTTCCGTATTTCGCGATGTGGTTGCAGTGCTAAAACACGGGATATATCAGGCGGCTCGGGGAGATGCTATAAGTACGTGTTCATTAGTACTACTCAGTAACTAGGTGGGTATTCATAGATTCAGGTCTGAAGGTGGACGGGCTATGAACATATACTACCTATCTGGCTAGCTACGGCGTACTCCATACTAACCTCGCTTTCTATCGTAGTGTCTCCCTATCTCTACCTACAGCTAAACAGGCAAGAAGACCGACCGGACGAGAGATAGTATCTACTAGGATCAGCTAACTAGGTAGTTAGTATTACCCCTGTGCTTATCCACCTAGGTACGTACTTTACTACATACCTAGTAGTTAGTACCTACAGCTTACCCGCCATCAAAGCTCCCTCCCTCCCTCCCTAGCAGACTCAGCAACCGACTAACTAATAAGTAGTAGGCACCTAGTGCAAGCAGATCGCTTACGCTAGACAAGACCGAACTGCAATCCAATCCAATCCAGTCCAATCCTTGCCGTGCCATCCCCTGATCAATGTGTTTGTCTGGAGGCATTTGTTTGTTCAAAGGAGGGGGGTCTGTAGGTTGTTTGTTTGCTGCTGGCTATTGTCTTGGGCGGGTTTGATTGGGTGGGGAGGTTGGCATTATGCTTGTGTGGCATTGGGGACTGGACTGTTCCATCCTGCTTATCCTTGCCTTGGTTTCCCTTTGAGGGACTGGCTTGTTTACTGGGTAGGGAGGGAGGGAGGGAGGTATGGATGATGCATGCTGGCTGGTATACAGGCAGACACGTATGTTTGTCTGTCTGTCGGTGTCAGCCGGTCTGGGGTCGGCATATTGTTGATTGATTAATAGGTATCCGTGGGCATGTCAGATTGGGCTGCATTGGATTTGGGATTGGGTTGGATATCTCATGTTGTGAATTGGACGGGGTTTCTTGACCTTCTGCTATCCTGGGTGTGTATCTTTGATTTTATAGTAGTCAAGTAGACACTGATGTATTTATACTCAGAGATCCTCATTTTCTACACTATCTCAACATAGCATCCATATATATACAATATACAATATACCTAGTATTATCTAACAGTAATAATCCACATCCACAGCCACATCAACATCAACATCAATATCTCTACCCAATTCCATGCAGTTTGCTTACCCACCCACCTCTTACATACATCCCCCCCAAGACAAATATTCCAATCCAGCCCACCGACTAAACCATGTGCGTCATCTTCACGGGTCCTAGATTGAATCCATCTCTCCGCAACGTGTCTATAGGAAGATTATCAAACGGACTACTACTATCCCAAGTGTGCTTGCTTTCTTGCATCCATGCGTGTGTGTATGTGTGTGTATATGTACATGCATGCAATGCTGTACGCGCATGTGTTTTACGCATGTTTGTGTTTCCATGTCCACGCAGTGGATGGGATATGATATGATATGATATGACAGTGAGGGATTGGTAATACATTCTTGGGTTGATAAGGTAGGGTCTATCTGGTTGGTCTTTTCTCTACTGGGCTTTGGGAGATAGGTGAGTGGTTCTGGTGATTATGTTTGATGTATATTGGGCATTGCTGCTGCTGCTGCTGCTGCTGCTGCTTGGGGTGTGAATAGGCTGTTGGGTTTAAGTATCTATATCTACGGATTTAACATCAGTATCACTAGACTAAACAGAAAATTCTATGCAATTGTATTTATTTATTTTATTTTATTATCCCATCCATATCAACCAGAATACAAACCAAACCAAGCCAAACCAATCTATAACCTCGCCCTGCAACGCCTCTACCAACCAACCAACCAACCGCCAGTTTGTACCAGAGCAAACATCACAGTGAAATGAGAACACAGAAAATAGAAGAAAGAGAAGAAAAGTATAGATCCGCCCATCCATGCTTATTGGTTAAACCACACCGTAGAGATAGGTTGTAGATTGTAGAGAACAGCTTGTTTGCGAGCCCAGTCGCGAGGTAGATATGGAACGAACTCGGGGTTGAGTAGATTGCATCGCATCGGCTGGAACAGAGGACGTTAAGATCTATCCGTTTCCAAGCACGTAACAAGATGTCGCGCGCCCGATTTGAGTTAATTGATTGATATGATATGTCGTTTTTCTGGTGGGTACCGGGGCGGGACACAATCCGTGGTGATGATGTTATTTGCCGGGGGTGTTATTTCCGGCTTCGTTGTATTCGTCCTTGTTGCTCTCGTTTTTGATGTTTATTGTGCCCCACTATCGGAATTTAAATTGGACGTCGTTTGTTTTGATTATGGCGGTATTAGGTTGGGACATCTGGGTGTTCGAGTTTGAGAACCCCCGAACTAGAACGTCATCCATACTCCATGTCCAGAGCAACAACGTAACTACTGCCCGTTACTCCCGTTACTGCCGTTCCCTGAATCAAACCGTGGAGCAGACGGTGTATTCTGAGCGTTCGAACCCAAGGGCGGAATGCGATTGAAAGACGGCGACGACATCATGCCCTGGGGCGCATTAGCCCCGTGAGAAATCATGGCGTTCTCTCTCTGCCGGCGGCCCTCCTGTTCCGGAGTCATGGATTTGACCGGTGGGGGAATGGGCGCGTCGGGCGAGCTGCGTCCCATGAGTTTCGGGCTCGGCTCTAGTTTTTGGATCGGAGGTAATACGGGTGCGCCCGCCATGCCGCCGGATGTCAGAGGACGAGGAGACTGTTTTGTTGGGCTGATTCCGGAGAGATGGACGCCGTGGCCGTGGGAGCTTTGCGGGGGTGAGGATTGGCTGGCTGTGGGGGTTGCTGCGAAGGATATCTGGCCGCCTTGCATGGAGGAGAATGAGGCGTGGTTGCTGGTGCTTGGGCGTCGGGCTTGGTGTTGTCCGTATGGGGTCGTCCATGGTGCTGGGCTGTCTGATGGGGGTGCGGAGGGGAATCCGGCGAGAGGGCCGACGTCACGGTTGCCTTGTGTGGGGGACATGGAGGGTCGGTTCTGGATGGGCGAAGGGAGATGCGGACTTTGTGCAGAGTGGGATGATGATGGCCGCTGCGTTTGGAACGAACCGAATGACCCACGCCCAGGAGGTGGTTGTGTTGTCTGGTGGTGAGAGGGCGGTTTCGGATGATGGGCTCTGGATAGACTGAACCCGTTCACACCCTTGGATGGAGAGAATGGGGCGCGAGAAGGGCTGAAGGGGAGGTGGTGGGCGGAATGAGGGCGGCGTTCGGGTGACGACGGAGAGAAAGGCATAGACTGAGACCCGATCTGTGGGGGGAAGGAAGGCTGCGCAGGCATTTTGGAAGGCGATCCGTTCGGGGACATATGGTGATGGGCTTCCATCTTCGGCACCAGAAAGCTGTGTGGAGCGTCCAGCCCCTTCGCATGGTGGTCTTCAAAAGCAGCCGACGAGGGCGAGGAACCCAGCTTGAACTTCAACGGCGGTAGCTTCGGCATCTTCGCCTCCTCCTCGCGCCGGTGACAGTCCTTGCAGACGAAGTGGAAGTCCTCACGCTCGGCTTCGTCCTGCGCGATCCCCAGGCATTTGCTGTGCTGCCAGACATTGCACTTTTCGCACGCGACACTATGGGACCCGTCGTCCTGTTCCACATAAGTAAGAGAGTAAAGAGCGATGGAATTGTAGGCTTACCCAATTCTCCCCATGCACACCGCAACCCGAGCAGTCAAAGATCCACTCATCCTCCCCAGAGAGATCTTTGAGATTCTTCCTCTGCTTCTCCATTTCGGCCCTGAGGTGCCTTTCAGACATTCGACTCTCGCCACGCTCGAACTTCTCGTGCTCGTCTTGTATCTTCTGCAGCTCCTCTTCGTGTTCTATGCGTTTTCGCTCTCGGTCTTTAATGCGTTGCTCGCGCGTCATCATCCGGGCGCGTCTCTCCTGCTCCATCTTCTTTTTCTTCTCCTCTTCTTTGCGAGCCATCGCCAGCTCTGCTTCGTGCTTGCGCGCTTCTTCCATCGCCTCCCTGTCAGCACGATCCTTCTCCGCCTTTCCGGCGAGACGGCTGGACCGTTTCGCGCCGGCAAGCATTTGCAGATTGATGAGCTCTTTCTCCTTCTTGATCCTGTGCCGTTCTTGGGATTCTTCTTCCTTTTCAATGACCGGCATCACCTGTTCTTCGATTCTATCCCTCAGTATCTTCTCGTCTGCATCCCTGGTCTTCTGGATCGACGCCAGGAATTCGCGATAGTCGTTGAGTGTGATGGCGACGCATTCCCACTGCATCTCCTTGAAAGGATCCTCTTGCGATTCGCCATTGGCGTTATCATTATCCTCTTCGGAAAATCCATCGACGAGAGCCGCCTCGGATCCCCGTCTCCGCTTCGATGCGCGTAAAGCACGTGCGCTCTTCCTCTTGGTCTTCGGTTTGGCGGGTTTCGGAGCGGGAATGGGAGGATCGGTGCGACGATACAGTCGGTTGTCATCCAGAATGTAATAAAGGGCGCCGTCTCGATCGTATCCTACTTCCTCGATACGCTTGAGGGGTAAGTAAACGCTTTACCACCAATGGAGTTGCACTCACCCATTGCGTCTGGTCCTGCTCCCTCTGCTCCGGCATCTTGTCGCGGATACGGTCGGGATTCCAAAACGTCCATACCGTCAACTGGTGGAGAACGCGAAGCTTCAAGAAAATGTCAAACTCGGCGAACTTTTTCGGGACCTCGTCGTACCCGAAGGGGTTTTCGACATGGGGCGCTTTGGCGTTGTACTGGCGTCGCGTGTATTCGTCGAAATTGTCGAACCTATATTAGAAACGATGTGAGCGCCCATAGTATATTAGAATCAGTCTGCGCGACATCACGTACGAGAGACCCCGATGCGACGAAACCCATTTGAGCAGACAAAGTCCAATCTCCATAAGTTTCTCCGAAGGACCGGGTTTAAGGCACTCCGTTTCTAAATCCTGTAGCAGAGAAGGGCGAATTAGAGCACTGTGCGCGAAATGCGAAACGTAGGAGCCAAGAGAAGTAAAACATGGTCATGTAATAACTAAAAAAATAGTTCATACCTCGATCCCGAAATCCTCATCAATTTTCATGGGTTTCCCAAACATGGCAATGTACTGCATGAGATTTGCAAACTCCCAGCTATTGCGCAGTTGGTCGAGCAACCCTGGCTCCTCCGATGGCTGCTCCGGGGCAGCGTCCGCATCGGAGCGGGTGCGCTTTCGCGATACCATGGAGGCGGTTCGAGACCGTGAAACGGCGGCGGCCGCGCTGGAGGAATTCCGATCGATCGCGCGGGTTGGACGAGGGCGTGGGTGGCGTGTATTTAGCTAGATAGGACGAACTAAGGGGATAGGAGGAAAAAGTAAGAGAAAAATAAGAGTAGAATAATAGAGGACTCAGATTCAAAAAGTAATCAACAGTAACGAACGAGGCGATCACGGAAGGGTGTCGGTCGGCTGGATGAAGATGAGCTCACTTGTCTCTCTCTCTCCCAGACGCCCCTGCGCGCGTCGAGACCGGGCTGGGTCAGGTGACCGCACCGCCAATTTGGATCAAATGGGTAAGCGGCTGAACACGCTCTGGCACTATCTACATATTGGAATCTCTCTATACTTGATGGTCAATGATATTTTATGGATTCTCAGTAACATCACTTTTAGTGTCTTGAAAGATGTTGTCTACTTAATTGACAGAAGAACAGCGCAGATCGCCGGGGGCAAACATCATCAATACTCCGTACATAGGGACAAATTCCCACCCGTCAATCCCGAAAGAAGATCCAATAAAATTCAAGTGCAATGCATGACAGAAAAGAAAAATAAAAAGAAAAGAAAAAAACAGGAAAAAGCCTAGATCTTGGTATCTCTCGCTCAAAGCGGCTCTATCTCACCCAAGTGGAGAAAGTGAAAGGGATTGTAGAGGACAAGCAAATGCACAGGAAATCTGAAAGCGCCAGCCACCTCCACGCCACATGCACATCCTCTACCATTATGTCCGAAATGGAATGGATGAGAATGGAAAGACAGCAAAACCCTTGAGGAAATGCAACAGACAGCCTGAATATCAAAAGACAAAGAAAGCACTAACACAAATGCACCCTCACATAGTCCCAGTTTCGCCCTCACATCATCATTCTTTGTTTTCTTTTTCTGTCTTTCTTTCTTTTTTTGCCCAGATATCTCTTGATTTTCATTTTTCATGTTGGAAACTCACCCTTTGCGCCTTCCATGTGTCCTTTTTTTCGCCCGACCCAGCCCCATGCATATCGTAAAGTATGGTAATATATGAAGTAGATCGATATAATGAAACAGATGTCTTCCGCCGTTGGTGACTCATTACATGGCGATCCCCTGCGTGCCGTCGGAGATATTATCCGAAAGGTTGATCAGGAGCTGCGCGAGACAGCGCTTGGTGGCCGCATCGTCCCGGAGGACGGAAGAAAAGGTAGCATCCCGCAGGGGTTCGGGGAGGCATTGTCGTAGGGCCTCGCGTGCGCGGCTATTGTCACTCAGGCTGGAGGAAATCAGTAAAGCCATCATACCACGTAGTAGACTTATTTTCACGTACCGTAAAAAGCAACGCACAACGTGCTTGAGCAGCCGGACAGTCTGCTGCTCCACCAACTGGGTGACCATATTGCTCAAGACGGTCCCCACCGCATAGAACCTCTCATACGTCGCGCAGATATACGCCAGACCGATGTCATCAAGTAAGATCTTCTGTACGATAAAGATGGCCACGGTCTTGCTCAGCTCAGACCCCGTCTCCATGATTCGAAGGCAAAGAGGGATGATTTCGGTGGTGAGGAGGAAGTTGATGACATCGGACGAGTCGTTCTTGACCAGCGCCCCGATGACGCCCAGCGAGGTGAGGCGGAGGTATTCGAAGGGGCGCGATTTGGATGTCGTGTTAAGGAACGGATACAGGAAAAGAGGAATGTGGGCTAAAGAACCCCGTTAGTTTGAACAACATAGAGGGATTCATCGCACGTACCGTTCAAAAACAGGGTGCGAGTCTCATTGTGAGACGCAACACACTGCAGCAGGGCCAATGCGTTGCAGACCCGATTCGAGGCCGCGGCCGTAAGTTGTGAGGGGTTCAATAAAGGATAAACGGAGATAATTTCTTGCAGAAGCGCGGTCATCACGCCTGTAGTTTAACACCGATTAGTATCAAGAACCCAACAGCGCAAATTCCGAAGAACAGGGGGGTCGTACCAAACGAGTGCCAAATAACCAGCGCCAACTCCGGAACCTGCTCTCTCTTCTTGCTCAGTTCCATAAGAGCCGCCTCCCTGCGATTAGGATCCAGCAACTCAGCCACCCAGATAAAAACCTTGCGGTTCTCCTCGCTAATCCCACCATCTACCATCGACACCGAACCGGGCAGAGAGCCTTCCGCACCGATCCCTCCAGCGCCTGCGCCTTGACCGGGGTTCCCAGCGTTTCCGACCATCGCGATGCGGTTGTAATGTTGTTGTTGAGCGGCGGCCGCAGCGGCCGCAGCCGCTTGAACCTGGGCATGCTGCTGGGCGACTAGCGAAGAATGCTGCTGTTGAGCCTGGTGCGGGTGGTGTTGGGCTTGGTGGTGCTGCTGCTGTTGGTGTTGCTGCTGCTGCTGTTGCTGCTGCTGATGCTGCAGCCACGAGGGATCAGCCTGCGGGTATTGGTGTTGATGGGAGAAAACGTGCTGCGCCTGCGTTTGAAGCATGGCGGGCCGACAAAGAAGAGCTCGGTTTGGGGGGGGGGGACTCGTGATCCTCAGGAGAATGGGGTCGGGATAGCGGCTGTGCGACCGTCGCAAGGGTGAAGGCGCAAGGTTGCGTGGTTGAGATTTGGGGTGTTGTCAAGAATAACCTCGCGGTAGTAGTCTCATGGATGATGGATGTGGATGAGCAGAGGGAGTAGGATAGGTGAATGGGGGGTTGTGGTGTGGATGAGGTGGACGGCGGAAGGTTGATGAGCCAAGTTGCAGAACGGATTGAAGTCTCGGGCTACGGGAGGCGGGGAGAGCGCAGGCTCCGTCTTGTGTGCCGGGCGCCACTTCGTCCTACTGGCAAGTTTGGGTAGCACCACCGATTTGGGTCGCCGCGTCATTTTTATACTTGTTCTTTCCATCCACCATTTGGCGTGGTCAATTATTCTAGGTTATTATGATCCAGAATATGATAGTCATAATATATATTTCTCGAAGCAACTGGCGCATCGCAGGGTACATCTAAGCGCACGAGCGAGTCAGCAATGCGTCACAATGAACACCCGGCTCGAGGCTGAAGCGATTGCATTGTCTCACTTGTATACGCTGGCTTGGGTTGGTGCGAGGAGTTCATGCAATTGAGTTGATCGCTTACATGTTTTAATTCATCTGTTTATCTATTCGAATACATGGCTCACCAGCAGATGTAGCGACATTTATAATGTTTCACCAAGTTAAGATACTATGAAACCTGCACTGCCGTGAAGGTCGAGGTCAATTTCCACGCAACTCTTCTATCAAAAACAGATTGTGGGACATGATATGTCATTGGATTCATAACTCATATTTACATACATCGTCTCTTCAGTCTTTCGTCCAACCTTCTGGGAACATATATCAAGAACACAAAGTGATAAAAAGGTGAACGAGAAGACAGATCATTGGGAACGGAGAATCATTAGCGCGTCAGTGCATAACTGTCATCATACAACAGGCAAGTCAAAAGGGAATCAGCAAAGCGGACAGGTTGTAATACATCATCAATATAAACGGCGCCAGAATAGCGCTAACCCATGTGAATTCGGGTTCAGTGAAAATAAGAAGGGGGGGAAAGGACGCAAAATCAAGGTACTTCGTCGTGGAGGTTACATCTCGTGGCTTCATGTGGTAAACTCCTTCAATCATCATGTCATGAACGGCGTGAGCGCGTGCGGGATCGTCGTGACCGTCTCGTGTCTCTCGTTCGTCGGTCCGAACTTTCGCTACTACCTATTAACACAATTGATTAGCATGGGATGAAGACGATTCATGATGAGCCAGAGGAGGGGCAACACATACTTGTGCTGGTATAGTCAGAGTAGGTGTAATAAGTGCTGGGGTAAGTGTAATCGGTGCTCTTCTCGTCGTGGTTCTGGCGCCTCTTGAGACCCAGACAGAGCGCAAGCGCCCCCAAAATAATCCCGAAAGTCGCCCAGCCGCCCCATTTCGATTTCTTCTCGCCCTCATGCGCGTGCGGTCGAGCGCCGAACCAGGTTCGCCCTTCGGGCCGGCTCCCATGCGCATAGTGGGCATGGTGATGTCCGTGTTCGTCCACGTACGAATCCTTTCTCTTCCGCTTGCCCAGGCCGAGACAGGCGGCTAGGGCTTCGATCGCGCCGCGACAGCACAGGCAAGCGCAAACGAGGAACAGGAGGAAGACGCCGGCGATGACTCCAATCACGATTCCCGCGATGGCTCCGCCGCTGAGGCCATGATGGGGCGCATTCGCCTCCAGCAACGGGGCGCCGTCGGTGCCGACGGGAGCGTCGAATCCCCGTGTGGTCGTCGCGGTCTGGGTGACGGTGGAATCACTCGTTCCTCGGACTGGAGGAGTGGCTGTTGCGGTGGCCCATATCGAGGAACTTCCCACGACGCATTGGTCGTTGTGGCAGACATATGCCGCGCCGCAGCAGGTGTTCCCGCATACTGACTCGCCCAGTTCCGAGTCGCATTTCCCGGATCCTCCTGCGCCGCCAGTCTCGTCTGGGATGAAGCTGCTCCAGGTAGACGTGATCGTCGACGTGTCTGTCTCTGTTGCCACGATGGTTGTCGTGTAGACCTTCCAGGTTCCTCCTCCACCGCCGCCGCCGCCGCCGCCGCCGCCGCTACCTCCCGAACACACTGCTTGGCCGTTGCCGTTCGTGGTGCATTTCTCGTCCGCTTCACAGCAGACCTGGTGGTAAAAGCCACAAGGATTTTCGCAGCGCTTTTCAACTCCGGTATCGTTGCTGGCGAGTTCGGACTCTGCGAGGGTAGCCTCCGAGAGAGCGACCTGCGTTAAGAAGGCGAGGATTGGTATGGCCGGTCGTAACACATGGCGGATATGCATAGCGATGGAACGAGGCGATCAGACCAGCCTTTAGACTCTTATAACCGGGCAACCAACCCCGATCGCGAGGAACGACGTGTTGGTCAAGATGGCAACGAGGACGCCTTTGCTCGTTATCTAATCGGATAGTACTGTAACTATTGTCGCCCGATAAGCTGATAAGGCCGCGGCAGCCAAAAAGAGCGAATATCAAAACGAAAGAATGCGATGTCTGATGTTTGACACACAATAGCGGATGGAGCGAAAAGAATGCGACAAACGACTCGGATGAAGAAAATTAGAGAGACGAGGAATGGAGGGGAAGGGAAGCTCGCATGATGTGGTGAGGTGCATGAGTCGGTCTCTGTCTTGTCTTGAATCCCAGCCTCCTCGCATGCGGCCGAGATCCCAACCACCGCTTTTTCTACACCCAATCGCTAAGACATCCAGGTTTTACTGACCTAGTCATTATTTGATCATACGGGGGGTTGAGTAGTACGGGGCAAATAGATGATCTTTGAGTGCATCTTTTTTCTTTCTTCTTTTCCTTTTGTTGCCTCGCCAAACCCTTCTCATGCCCGTATCAACGGGGACTGAAGTGGCACGGGCACAGTACCACTGGCACTGACTGAGGCTACCTACCCCTCCTCAAATAGATGGAATCAATCAATCAATCAGTCCAATCAATATTATATTACCAACCCCACTCTCTAAAGACCGAGACCGTCCCTGGCAGTGACAGACAAGAGAAGAGCCGTCACTCGGTCAGACGCACGGCCGAACCAGTGTGAGTGTGAGGTGTGATTTGTCTTATTTTCCCTTTCCCACCGCCAGAACACACATCCCGCGCTCAGTCAGTCAAGACCTGGGCTAAGGCTAAGAGCCGAGGATGACATGAGGCTACACGAGCTCATTTGTCCAATTCTCCTCACTCTATGCACGTCTGCAGCGTTTTACCTCTCAGTTCCCCACCTAGACAATCCAAAGACCCTAGAATACCACCCAGTAGGAGATGATTTACTAGCGGCCCCATCCAACCTCTACGTGTAGACCTCTCATGGCGAATCTGACACAGCCAGCAAATATGACTGGGTGGAGACGGCCATGTCGGCATCTGCAGACCCTGTTGGGGAAAAAAAAAGACTTTTGTGCCTGAGTTGGACGTAGGAACAGCGCATCTGCTGCCTGTCTAGGAGGGTTTGAGATGTTGGTTGTGGGCGTTATTGGTGCCTTACCTTGTAGATTGTGCACCTGACATGGTAGAGATAGGTATGATGGGTTAGTTTGCGTGGACTTGACCGTTATGGAGCGGTGTGCATTTTTATCGATATTATTATTTGATTCTTATCGTCTGTTCTTTCTATTTTTATTTCATTTTATCTTATTTTATTATTACCGTGATTTTCCCCTCACACTAGGTTGCGTCTTGGCCTGTTCGTCGGCTGGAATTTCCATTCTCTATATACAGAATGGACGAGCTGAAGAAACAAGGAAGAAAAGAAAGAAAAGAAAAAAAAAAAAAAAAAACAATCACAATCACAATCATCAAGATAAACGTAGATACATTGACCATCATCATCAATCGTTCCATATGAAATCCATCCAGGGACCAAGGCGTAAACATACATATCAGAAGATGAAAAGCGAGTAAATATGCAATAAGTAAAGGGCCCGAAAACCAACCATGCCTCTTCCTCCATGCAGGAGATGAACATGGCTACCTATATCAGATTAACATCCCAGCCACGCTAACGAGCATGCCGAAGAAGAGGTCCTGCAAACTAGACGTCCGCCCGGCAGGGGCCCTGTTCCCGTCATCGTGCGCTGTCTGATGGGTGTCGCAGTACCCCAGATGCAGACCATGGCACGCTTCCATGCTCAGACTCGAGCAGGTAGCCACGGCAGATGGTGCTCCGTCCCGTGTCACCCCGCCGCCTTCTCCGCCCACGGTAACAGCGTAGCCGCCTCCCAGCTTCGACAAGCAACCGGTGTATTCGCTTTGGCAGAGGGAGTAATAAGACGAGCAGATCCCGCCGTTTGCGAAAGACGTGGGGATGTTGACGAACGGGTATGCGCCGTGTATAGTCGACCCGGTGATGGTCGCATCGTTCGCGCCGGTCGTGTGTGTTGCAGACGCCGTCGAGGGGAACTTGAAGCTATTGTCGTCGGATTTGGAGCTTGTGGGGAGGCTGCCGGTGCAGCTGGCCCCCGTGGGACAGCAGGCGATGTGGTCGTTGGCATCGAGAGAACATCGGGACCCCCGCTTGCAGCAAACATCCGGGCTGTCCATGTTGGTGCACGGGTTATGCCCGGCTGGACAATTATCGTCCGAACGTTTTAGGAATCGTAATACATCGAGCGCCCGCGCATGGTTTCCTGTTGGTTGAGGCGGGGAGAACGGTAGTGTCTCTGTCTCTGTGGATAGTACCGTCGAGGCGAAGAATGTGGCCGAGATCCACCCTGCGATCCTCATTCTGACAGCTTAGGGCTCGGTCCGCCTGTCGGATCGGATGCTTATCGAAACCGATCGATGGGAGTGTTTTCGAAGAGCGATTGCGACGCTTTACTATCGTGTCAAGTGTGGTAATGAAAGGGTAGATGCGACGGCGATTTTGCGGTGATCAACAAACTACTAAAGCGGGAAACGGCATTGAGGTTAATTGTTGGCCGATCGGCGGTAAGTCAGATGCATCAGCGATGGACTCACGATGATATTGGACACCTCTTTTTCTTACTTTCAACACCGCAGGATTGGGACAGGATCAGGTCACTGACAAGTTGGTCAGAAAGTTCGGTGTACGGTTGTTGTGTGAAGAAACAATTGGTGCCATCACCGATTGAACAAGGAGGCTACTAATGGTTTAGCCCCGAGTAACGATCGAGTCAGTCCATCAGCCCGTCCAATCTCCACCCCGATCCCTGCCACAGCAACGCGGTGTCCATGCGATCGACATCCAACCACCGCATATCTATAATTATCTGAACAATGTCTTGAAAACTTTAGTTGCTTTATGTGATTATTTGAATGGCTTGTTGGCAACTTTGATTCCTCACTTTTTCTAGAATACTGTCGGCTTATCTGTTTGTCTCACTAATGGAGGACTATCAAAGCTTTTTTTGCATCGAAGGGCGAATATGCTAGGGCCAACCGTGTAATTGCAGATCAACATATCCTGAAGATTTCTATACTTATTCGAAAGGCTTCTCAGGTCCGCCACTGGTCAGATGTGTAGTGGATCACTATATCATCCGGTTCCAGGGAGTTCCTCGTAACTTGTTATGACGGAGATTTGCAGCTGGCGGGGTGCAAACCATATGACATAACCAATGCTGACGTGACCAGTGTCATTCCTGGATTGATGAGGTGGTTATGTCTTTTTTGGGCATTCTTGGTAGAATTCCTTGTAACTTGGGATACATGTTGTGTTTAGATTGTCTACTCTGTCAGCCACCTAATAAAGCCGATAATCGCGCACGATATATCGAAGCTAGTATTCAGAAACTAAAGCCGATCCCATCTCAACAATGATCCCTATCGTGGACTTTTCTTCATGGAACAAACCGCAGGATGAGTCAGACAAGTTACATGTGGCGAATCAACTTGTGGAGGCTTGCCAGGCAGTCGGATTTGTCTATATCACCAACCACTCTCTGCAAGAGTCGGTAATCGATGGGGCGTTTGACTGGTCCAAGCGTCTCTTCCAGCTTCCGAGAGAAGACAAAATGAAGGCTCCACATCCAGAAGGCTGGGCTGTCCATCGAGGATACTCATGGCCGGGGTTGGAGAAGGTTTCCCAAGTGATGAGCACTGTGGATGATGAGCAAGCGCGAAGGAAGTTGAGGGAGGTACCTGATGTCAAGGTATGCGTGAATCAAGCCGACATACCTAACAAAGACATCGATATAACCCTTTGAACAAACTCAGTGTCTCACGGACTCTCTAGGAAATTTATGATATCGGGAGCGAGCATAATACCGCCCAACCTAATCAATGGATCCCTGATGAATGCCTCCCGGGATTCCGCGATTCTATGACCAAGTTCTATTGGGAATGCCAGCGGGTTGGGGATGAGATCCTACGTGCTCTCGCCGTTGGATTGAATTTAGAAAATGAATCATATCTGGTAGAGAAACACTCAGGACATAACAACCAGCTGCGACTGCTACATTATCTGCCAGTACCAGCCGCAGACTTGGAGCAAGAACGAACAGCCCGCTGTCCGGCACATACGGACTGGAGCTCCATGACAATGCTTTTCCAAGATGATTGCGGCGGCCTCGAAGTCGAAGACGTTTCCCAGCCAGGCACGTTTATCCCCGTGGCCCCTATCAAAAACGCCATCGTAATGAACATTGGGGATTTACTTCAGAGGTGGAGCAACGGTCTGTACTATAGAACCAAATCGGTGCTGTTTATGACAAGTGGAATAGGCTGATCCATATCTACAGACCGGCTGAGATCAACTAACCATCGAGTCCAAGCGCCTCCTCTCGCTGATCGATTCTCGGGCCCGTTTCGGATGACTCGAGAGCGATTCTCGATTCCGTATTTCATGTCTCCCGACCCTGAATCTGTCATCGAATGCATACCTTCCTGCATGGATGATAAAGAGGGGGCCAAGTACGAACCAATTACGCAGGCTGAGTACAACGAAATGCGGGCGTCCATGATGTACTAGACCGATCGCGACAAATGAAGCCTGGTTGCAACTATAGTGCGCATCGTTGTGGTTTCTTCGCCGCCGGTGATCGCCGGTCGTCACCGGGGGTCGCAGGCCCCAGAGGAGTGAAAACCCCAAGTTAAGATGCTAGCAGTGAATCCGCCAAAAGAATTAACTTGTTTTTAGAGACTTGTGAGTTCTACAAGGGGTGTGATGTGGATATTGTATTGATGGTTCGATTGAAACACAATGGCCCATAGAAACCCTCGCAGGAGGAACTGGTACAGTTCTGTCCCGAGAGTCATCGTAGTAGTGTATTATCTAACTAGCTATGTATAGACAATATATTACCCCAATCCGCGACAAATAGTGGGGCGGGAATTTAACTGCTAGGTATACAAGTGGATTCCAGTCGAAAAGAACAGTGATGGCGGGAGTTAAACGTCCGCTATAATTTGCTTAACAATCTAGTCTGATTTAGTACCTCGTTAAAAGGCATAGTATATGACGACAACTTCATATAGACAATTGGCCCTAATTCTGGAGTGGTCTCGCTACGAGAATAGCAGCTTCGTCACCAATAGCATGCGGGCGATCACGAAAGTGCAGCCGTAAATGAGGTAGCAACGCCTCCTTCATAAGCTCATAGTTAGCGTCTTCCAAGAACCAGAACCCGACAAGCACCTCCGCCGCTCTTCGACAGCGTTCCTCAACATCCTCTTCTGGAAAGGCACAGAAAGCGTCCACGCGCGAGATAGTGATATCCGCAAAGCCACGCGAAGTAAATACCTCGGCCGCACGCTGCAGGAGATAACCCTGATGATCGATTCGGGTATTCTCTGCGCTCAAGGGCGCACAGATACTATTGAGCAGACTCACCAGCTCATTGTCTGGGGCTCCTTGGACGACCACAATGCGCGCATTGGGATTAGAACGGTCCACAACTCGCGCCATCTCGTGCAGGGACTTTTCCAGGTCGTCCACGTAATGGAGTACCCACATCGCGACAGCGGCATCCACGAACCCGGAGACAAAGGGCAGGTTCTCAGCTGAGCCGTTGCGGATCTCGATGGTCCCATTTGCGCTGCGCTGGAGTTGCATGGCGTTTCGATCGGGATTCGGCTCGATGGAGAACGCTTTCGCGCCCCGCTGGGCGATTTCCATTGGCAGTTCTTGATAAGTGTCAGTTCAGGGTCTGAAGTACATTATAGAGCCGGAGGGCTGGATTACTTCCGTGACCACTCCCTATGTCAAGTACCCTGTGGTTGTCCTGCAAAATCTCCATCACTGCTTCAAACTCATCGCGCACAAGGCGCTGGGCAAAGGGGGCCCAGGCTGCCTCACAAAGAGGATGAGGACCCCTATACGAGTCTGGTAGGGGGAAGGGGCCAGTGAGGGCATGCGTAACTCGCTTCTCGGCAATGACCAGGTATTGGTCGTACTTCTCGTTCGGAGAGTCAACTTGGAGTGTGCAGGATTTCTCCAATCGAATCTCAAAACCCGCACTTCGGATCAACTCCAACCATTTTTCTTTCGTGTAGAGTGTGTAGATAACTCCCTGCTGCATGAATTCCGTCTCGTAGTGGCGCGCCACCTTGCCGCTTGCATCGTAATCCCTGGGGTCTTTGACGAGGCTAGTACTCGGGACTATCCCAAAAACAAGAAGACCGCCTGCTTGCAGCCACTCGGAGAATTGAAACATCATCTTACGGATCTCGTTGTTGGTGAGCTGGAACAGAGAGTAGACGGTATAGATGGCATCAAACTTGGTTTCCGGCTCGAAGGTTGTCATATCCGCTTTCATAAACCGCCCTTTTACTTGATTCTGGGCAACGTCGATCATCTTCTGGGAGACATCAATGCCGTACACCTCGTGTCCAGCCTGAGCCAGCTGATCCGCCACTGGTTTTCCCGTGCCACAGCCGACATCCAAGACCGTACTGCCCGGCTGCAACATAGCCAGGGAAGTGTTGATAAACTCCTCGAGCCCAGGGTTGTTGCAGTAAACATCTTCATACTGTTTACCAACCAGATTGAAGGTTTGTTCCGCGGTCAGAGTCATCCTGTAGAGACCAGATAGTGGCAGTGAGGTTGAGATCCCGAAAATTGGTTACTACGTAGTAGGTGGGTGTTTTGTTATTTAAAACCCGTTTCCAGCTTCGGATTGTCGCCATCTTCGCTGACAGTAATGAGTCTATTACTATTTAGCTGCAAATTCTCCCTTGAAATAAGAACCTATTGCTTGTGTTTTCATTCAAGTAAGGATCATTGGTTGGCTGGCCCAAAATGAATTCTCAGCCTGTGCACAGCTTGAGCTGAGCGCAATCTTGGTGTGTGCTAAATGCACTCCCACCTCCTAGATTTACATCAAGCGGCTTATCAGATTAGAGGGCAGATGATAGAATGGAGAAAAGATGAACACGCCGAGGTCTATATAGACAGTTGGGCAGTTTTTATCAAACGTTGGCCAGTATCCATACAAAATACAAATCCTGTTTTTTTTTGGCACCCCGCTTTATCTCAAGCACATTCTTAGCACAGACATTCCCCTTACTTGCCCTGGGTCACGTCACCTGGAGATTTCTCAAATGCCGGGAGGTAGTTATCTCCTAGCATTCTACCATGATACGCAGAGGACTTCGTACGCGTTGGGGATCAGTGGGACAACTCTTTGCACTGTGTTGTGCCACGTTACTTCAACGTCTCATACCCAAACCGGTACAGAAAATGGAAAAGTGACATCACTGTCTATTTGTGATTTATTGTGCGAGCAACAATTTGACCTATATACTCTACTTATACATTTACATGATTCATTCCTGTGTCTACACTACTTCCGCAGAGATGCCTTGGATTACCCGTCCTAACCCTAATATGGTCCCGTTGCAGATGAATGCGGTTGGTTGCTGCTATGGATACAACCAGGCCGGTGAGCAATGTTATGCAGCAACAGTGTGTCCAATCTGCAATGAAGCCGAATATAGCTGGTATTACGGGCGATGAGCAGTTGATTCTCTGGTGCGGGCATTGGTGCAGGCGAAGAGGAAGACTTACGTGGCGCTATTTTAATCCTGCAGCGTAGATTACGATAGGGCCGATGTTCATTGCTTACCTGGTAACAATCAATGCGTTAAAGTCAGAAAGATGCAGAGAGAATCGACGTTGATGGATGACTACCTGGAGTGAGACCGACTCTAATCACAGGGACGATCTAGGCCAGAAGTAATACCCTTAGATGAGTTCATTGGTCACCACACAAGGTTATCTGCAAATTTATCACTCACGATACCATGAAGGAATAAATTCTGCAGATCGAGCTATCATCAGCAAGACATGGAAAAGCGATTTGAATCCATGCCAACGTACTGAGCACCGACTACAGCAACCGTCATGATAACCAGAGCCGTGGAGGAACAAAAGCGCAGATGTCGTGGCTCCGGCACCATCAGGAGATGGTGAGCACAAAGAGTAAGGGCAGGTTCGTGCGCCTCAAACGGTAGTGGTGTGCTCCGAAGCGACAGTTGCCGTTGATGAATGAAGGGGCGGTTTTGTATGATATCATGATATATGATATAGATCTGTAGTTCAAACTTGGATTCGTATAGCCTGGCTTCGTATCCCGTCAGCACGCAGGAAGGACTACGTCGGTTCCAACAGTTGGGGCCTTGATCGACACACACACACGCCCACTCAAGAATTTGTAAAAGCTTGCTGATCTGCCGGTGAAACGGAATTGTGCTACAGTGAGGGTAGACACCTCCCTTTTTCAACTGCGGACGGGAGAATCATTGCATCAACATTAAAGCAAGGCTTCGAAAGTATCTCCTTTGGAAACACCTCAGAATGTACTTAGGCACTTCAAGCTCTCGCTCACTGCATTTGAAGACCACTGTACTTTCAATCTTGACAGAGGCGAAATAATCCTCTATCTCTTCCCATTTTTAAGCACTACCTCCTGTGGCAAAATGACCAAGTCAACAGTAGAAGAGCACGAGGCGAGAGGTGCAACTTCCAAGGTCTTCCAAGACCTAACAAACGCACCGACCCCTCCGCTTCCAGATGCTGCTCAAGAAGAATGGTGGCTAGATGCAGGGTCCCTGCTATCGCGCCTGCTTCAAGTCGGCCAATACACCCTCAAGCAGCAAGAAGAACATCTTCTTTTCTTTCGTCAACACTTCCTCCCTTACTTCGGTCCATATCCGCCAAGATGGAACAGTGTCCTCACTCGAAGCGGTCTTCCTCTTGAATACAGTCTGAACTTCCAGCAAAGCAGGGACCCTGTCGTCCGCATCAGCTTCGAGCCTGTCAGCCACTTTGCTGGGACGTCTGCGGATCCATTCAACAAGCGGCCGAGTGAGGAGATGGTAGATCGGGTTGCCAAAATGAGACTCAGGAATTTCGACAGAACCCTATTTGACCACTTCGCAACGGAAACGTTCATCACAGACAATGAGGTTGAGCGGATTCCCAACCTTGACAGTTACCCTGTCAAGACCCATACGGCACTGGCGTTTGATCTCAACGGCGATGATATCTGCGTGAAAGGATACGTTCACGTCCGATGGAAGAGCATGTCCAGCAAAACCCCAATTCGTGACCTAATCCAGACCACTTTTGCGAAAGTCAAAGTAAAGATGAACTGCGCCGCCGCAGTCGATCTAGTAGATGCCTACATGGCGGAAACCTCTTCCTACAACCAGTACAACTTTCTAGCATGGGATCTCACCCCCCTGCATCAGTCCCGGTTGAAGCTCTACGGCGCCCACAATGAAGTCTCCCTGTGCAAGATCGAAGAAGTATGGACTCTGGGCGGTCGTTTAACGGATCAGATTGCAACAGAGGGCCTCGGGTTGATATACCGGCTTTGGGAGCTTTTGGGGCTCGATTCAACAACCCGCCAGTACGGCAACGGGTACGACGACTACATGAACCAAGGGGTAGATGACAGGCTTTCGCCGCTCATTTGGAACTACGAAATGCGTGCGGGCTCTACTCGGCCGTCCCCAAAGATCTACTTTCCCGTCCACGGCGAGAATGATCTCAAGGTGGCAACTGCGGTTTCGCACTTTTTGGCGTCGCTTGGGCCGAAGTCCGAGGGAGCGAATTATGTGAAGTGTTTGGCTTCGCTGTAGTAAGTGCATTTGTTTCCCTGCCATTGTCGTCAAATGCTGATACTCGTCTTTCCTGCCAGCCCCCATTTGGATATCAGTATGACCTCGCGTCTCCAGGCTTGGATATCCTACTCATACACGGAAAAGGGCGTTTACATGAGTGTTTATTACCACTCGACGAGCTCATATCCATTGCCTAGTTGCGCCCATTGACAGCTCAGGGTTGCCTTCTAATCAGAAGTAGTCTAGTGGCTCAGCCTCTTTCTGGTTAGGACCGGTTATCTAGCTGATAGATCAAAAACAACTTCATGTTCTCTAGTCTAGACTCTAGTGATGGTTTCTTCTGGCAAAAGCGCGTCATTACTCAGCCAAAAGTCCTCTAGTAGAACTCAAGGTAGAGCGAGCACTGACAAAGAATATATCAAGACATCGAAGAAAGCCATATACATTTGAACCCTGTTGGTGAGAAATATGAGAAATAGTATGGGGAAGTCCGCCCAAGCCCTAAGCCCTATCTACATGTCCGTATACGGCAACCCGCAGGTCAGCGCCCGTGCCACCCCCCGCCGGTCGGAGTCAAGCTTGGCAGCGGATGTGTTCATTGTCCGACTTCATTCTCCGCTGCACGGTAGCTGTCACATTATCACCACAGCTGCAGACCTTTAATCTTTGTCCAGTTCATTTTATATACTCTTTTATCTATCAAGGATTTTTCCTCCTTTCCAATCTTAGCAGATAATTTCTCACCGATCTATTGTCCCCCTCCTACCCCTCAACTACTATCCCCCGCCGCCAAAATGTCCATCCCCAACGAAGCTATTCAGAAGGTGAGTCCCTTCCCATTGGACTACATATTTTCTTTGATATCGGAACTGATGATCGCGCGCCTACAGCTTTACCAAGAGATCGAGGCCCAGTTGATCAACTCGCAACAGCAGATCGGCATCTGCAAGGCCCAAATCTCGACCAAGCAACGCGACATCCGCCTGATGGAGCTCACGTCGAAGGAGATGGGATCGTTGCCAAAGGACACCTCCGTGTATGAAGGAGTAGGGAAGATGTGAGTCGTCAACATCCCCGGGACATGTGGCATGCGCCTCCACTTTGCGCGAAGATGGCCTCGAGAAGACAAGTATCTAACCTAGGCGCGTGGCAGGTTCGTGAACGTCCCTATGGACACAGTCGACAAGCGCATGTCTTCCGAGACCTCCCAGCTCAAGTCGGATATCTCAGGCCTGGAGAAGAAACTGTACAGTTTGGAGATGACGCACAAGAACAGCAAGGACAACATCGGCAAGATCTTGAACCCCGCGAACAAGTCGTGATTGGCTGGTTTACAGCGGTTTCCCCCTGAATTATTCGTATCCGACATATCAACAGCGGCAGGATGGATATGATAAAACACGTTGCTGCCCGATCGGGCGGCTCTGGCGCGGCCTGTGCTTGAAGGTGTGGGTGGATTTGAGGATTCCGAACAGGGGAGCGTAACGCTTGCGTTTGCGGCGGTGTCGGGTACCTACAGTACTTACCTGACTTCTGCTACTACGCGCTGAACTGTCTGGCGATCGTCCGGCTGGACCAGACGCTCGGTAGATGTGGGCGTCTAGCATCAGCTAGTATAGCCTATGGGTGTCAATTGACTTTATTGACAGGCGTGGTTCCAATGAGTTATAGTTTCATCATCCCTTCACCATTTTTTTTTCTTTTGGTGTTTCAGCTATTTTAGAATTGAAAGATACCATTCCCGATTAATTAGACAGAATCTATGTCTATATCAAAGTATATCCAACGTAAGCAGCGACTCTATACAGACCACACGGCTCTCTCTATAGGGCGAGGGCACATATGTATTGTAAACCCACTCGGTCATACAGTCTATGTCTCGTGGGACCTCAAGTCGATGGATATAGATCTATATTTTTCTATCTGAGTAGAAGAAGAGATTGTGCTACGGTACTACCCACTGGTATAGAACGTTCGTGTTAATGTGGCTGGGGCGGACTGGATTGAAATTGTGCCCCGCCGGGCCTGGAGGCGCTCCAGCTGGAACCTGTTTACTGCAGCTAAACTAAGCTTCGTTCCTTTGCTCAGCTTTTAGTGCTACTATTCGGTATACAAAACACGTTTTCGGCCTCTTCTCAACGCCATCAAAGATGGAGCCAGCGCGATGTTGATTGCTCCGGCATCTCCGATAGTACTCTCCAATCAAGGCACCATCAGCCTGTCTTTTCACGGTGAAGCTGTATCATCGTATTTTCCCCATGATGGGCTACTTTCATTTCCAGAATTGAACAGGCCCTGGGTACTCTGGGTCTGAGAGGGCAGGTAAGCCTCAAAGTGTCAGCTGAAGGCGAAAAGACCGGATTTTCGGGTTGAACTAGTCGATCTCTGGTCGCTTTCTTCACCAAGGATCGAGCTGTCGCTCTGACTATAGGGTTACTAACAAAAAGCTCCAAAGAATGTTTCTCCCTCCTTGCTTTTGGAGAGGTAATCGCGTCATCAATCATACCGTCAAGATATATTCTCATGTTCTTGGAAGACCTGGCGAGAATATCTCCTATATTTCACCAAATCTGAACCATCTGGAGTGGGATGTCACTCGCGACCAGACTTCATCGCTTCTCATCGCTTGAAAAACAATCTGCCGGACTATTGTCCACACAATGTTCTCTTTTCGAGATCCACTGGCCAAGTCACCATGGTTGACTTCGAGTATGATGCGGTCCACAGAGGTATACCAGGGGGGTATGAGACACGGAACTGCGCTCCATCCTTGTAAATGAGGAAATATTGGGTTTCCCTGCCAGCAAATTTTTCTGTTCGGCTTTCCTGGCCGTATCTCGGGGTATAGGACTTCTTTTGGTGGAGTGGGCTAATAAATGGGACTGGGGCTGCTATGCGAGAGCTGTCCTCTCTTACTTCTTGTTTAGTATTCTTGATTGTACTTTTTTTTCTATCTATTCTTCAGAGAGATAGGTTGAAGAAAAGGAAATGTCACTTATCATGACCAAGGAAACATGCCAATATCATCAGGCAACACCCAAAAGAAGACCTTCACCAACAATACACTATAACCGCGATGGCAAGAGCGAATATGTACGAAAGCTCGACCATATCCAACAATGTATGGACAATATGGACAGCCTAAAGATCAACTGGGATAGATTGACTATAAGATCTTAATATCAACCACACATCATCGATCCACTTTATTTGGAGGTAAGAAGTACTATATATTCCACCATCGGTGGATCTAGATTAATTAACCAGACAAATGACGTATTTCCACAACAGGGATTTGACCACACATTTTCGTCATCAGCATTCTTACATGACCGACAACCGCGGGGCAGGGAATTATATAAGAGGGTATGATGATCGATGGGGAATCATCATCCACCATCATTCTCATTCTTGGGAGTCAGCAGTGGCGCTTGATCACACTTCTTTGTCAGGCGATAAGGCTCGACCCAGCCTTGTCCGGTTTCTCCGTATCCATAAACTTCTTGGTTCCCCGCGGGATTAACCGCTCTGTTCCGTGGTCCTTCTCCAACAAAGACTGATAATACATCCAAGCGACACGCTGCATGCGCCTTGGTGTTTCAAAGGAGCCTCCAGACGATCAAGAAGCCCGCAGTGCGAATCAAGAGCCGCCTGCAGGGCGTACCTACTGGCACTTGTCTAGTTCTTTTCGATATCGTTGGTGAGTGTACCTATCTTCTACTATTTAGTATCTAGTATATATCATCCCCATGGTCTTTTCCTTTCGCGCTGCCTGATGATCGGCATAGGCCCAATCATGCTTCCTGCTTTCTATCCTCCAACCAGCTCACTGCCTATTCCTCCACCCCACTTCAGCTGAACCGTTTACGAGACACGGGAGGCTGGGGGCTTTTTTTAGTCGATTGATTTCCTGTTCTTTCAAGCTTTTCTTTTGTTCTCTGTGGAGGTTCCCTGTCCTTCTTTATCTCCTGTCTTCCCACTTCTCTCTCTGATTTCGTGGATTTCCTTCTTACTTAGTTGTGTCAGGCCTCCCTTACTGCTGATCACAACCTTCTAACCCCTCATCGCTTCGCTCTATCTAGATCGATCGATCGACTTATCAGCGCCACGGCTCCAGAATAACCCCGCTTTTACATCCCCATCTCGCCTTTTATCCTCTGCGTTTCTGATCAAACCAGACCAAAATAGCTCTCTGTGGAGATCTATATCCAGTACTTTTCCACTTTCTTTCTTCCTCTTCCTGAAAAAAAAAAAAAAAAAAAAAAAAGAAAAGAAAAAAAAGAAAAGAAGAATACAAAAAAAACAGAAATAAAGCCGAAGAAAATGAGACGTCATACTCGCCGCGCCGCCTACTCTGACTCTGACTCTGAGTACTCCGAGTCAGATCTCTCCATGGAGTTACCCTCCCCCAACCGGCACGCCCATTATCGCAGACGATCTGTCTCCCGCCATCGCTTCCACAGCCCGGAGCACAAAACCACCAGCTTTCTGGCCCCCATCCAGCAAGATGTCCACCTCCACCGGTCGGCCTCGACGGGCACCCGTCGGCGACATGATCGGGCCTCGCCGGTAAATGTCACCGTCGACATCAAGAACGATTCCCGCAACCGGAGCAACCTCAAGGGCACGAACAAAGCCCGCAAGGAAACCCAGGAGTACGTGAATCCCTACGAGTCTGACGAAGACGAGGCCGTGCTTCGCAACCACCATCGGCGGCGGCACCACGGCGCCAACATCTCCCGCGAAGCCTCCCCGCGGCAGCCGGCGCGCGACTTTGACCTCGTCATCGAGCAGCGTATGCTGGAGCACAACGATGCCCGGCAGGACCTCGAGCTGCTCCGGCAACAGCAGGAAATTCAGCGTCTGGAGCGCGAGCTCGCTCGGCACCGTGAACAGCGCGACCCGCACCAGGAGACCCGTCTCCTGAAGGAGGAAGAGGACTGGTACGAGGACGAGATCAGCGATCGGCTGCGGCGGCTCGAGAAGTTCGAGAAGAAGCAGCGTATGGAGGAGGAGCAGCGACACGTGGAGCACCGGTACAAACTACGCAAGTACGAGGAAGAGCAGCGACGGGCTGCGGAGGAAGAAGAGGTCCGTGTCAAAATGCGGGAGGAAAAGCTCCGGGATCTCCAGCGCAAGATGGAAGAAGAGGAGGAGCGCGAGCGGATTAAGAAAGAGATCCGCGACGAGGAGGCGAGACAGCTGCTGGAGGAGCAAGAGAAGCAGCGCAAAGAGGCGGCCATGAAGCAGGCTGTCATCGAAGAGTACCAGCTGACTGAGGAGCGCCGTAAGAACGCCATGCGCGATATGCAGAAGCAGCAGGACGAGGCCTTCAAGCAACGACTGCGGGTGGAGTATGGCTTGTCGGAAGAGAAGATCGAGGAGCTCCTCAAGCAGAAGAACAAGGACGAGAAGAAGAGCAAAGAGAAGGGCAAAGACAAGGACAAGGACAAGGATGACAAGGATGACGACAAGGAGAAGAAAGGCAAGGGGAAGCAGATTGAACACCAGCGTCCTACTTGGATCAAGGTATGCCATTACAGTACCCCTCCGGTCATGGTTCGAAGCTAACATGTCAGGTCCACCGCGATCATCTCCTTCCAGAAACCTTAATATCCTACAATTTGCCCTGGGACTTTGACGATGTAAACATCCCTCTTCTCGTTCTCCTCCTGTTTCTTTCTCCCCCGTCCTCTTTCTCTTTTGAACCTGCATAACTAACCAACCCCTACCAGCTCGACGGCAACTACCTCATCATCAAAGAATACATCCCCGAAGACCTCCAGGACGAACTATTCGCACACACCAAGCGTATCCGCCAGGGTCGCCTCGTCTCCCAGACCTCGAGCTCCCAGACCGAGCTCAGGGTGAACGACAGAAGAAAGGACAAGATGTACCTCGTGCGGAAGAAGAGCCCTAACCGGCGGGCGTGGATTTTCACTTGATTTGATCCTGATTGATATACGTGATACGTGATATGTGATATGTGCTTGGATATGACTTTTCTTTTTTTTTTTTCTGGTTAATTTCTTCTTCTTCTTTTTTCTTTTTCTCATTCTTTTTGTCCATCCTCTTTCTTCACTCTCCAATTTCGATTTTTTTTTTTCTAAATGATCGCACTTTGCCTGTCCCCTCCCTTAACGAAATCTGCTTGCTTGATTGATTGACTTTCTATCCACGACCATGTCCATTCGATATTATGAGTTTACGAGATTATATATACGTCATTTGAAATCGTCTCGTATTGTATTGCGTTAGGAGCTGAGAGTTGAGTGATTGATGATAGGAGTACCTAAGTATCTAGCTAGGTAGTTGCTGTAGCGTATATATAACACCAAGAATGATCTAGACCTTTACCATATCGTGGTCCGTTTTGTAGTATACATTTTTCTTTCTTCTTTCTTTCTTTTGGTGTGGCGTGCAATTGAGGCAGGGGTCCCTGACTGGAAAGTGCACATTAGAAAGGGAGTCACCCCCCATTCACAGCCCAGTGCTTCTCCGCCTGCAGGATAAGTTCCTCGTAGACCGTCCACGCCAGCGCCGAACTCAGCGCCTTACGACCGATGCGCAGCCCAAGTCCGCCGAAGAGGCTCCGGGCCCCGTCCTCGTGGATCATCAGCCGCACCGCCCGCATCATATTGCCGTACCGGCCCGGCATAAGCTGCAGCCGCGTCTTGACCGCGTCGAACGGGTTCGTGATCGCCGTGGCTAGACCCGCCGCCAGGGCGCCCGATACGAAATTCACCGACGACGAGGATGTCGTTCGTACTGGCTGGTCGCTGCCTGCTTGGCCCGGCTCGGGGCTGGTCAGGGTCCCGATGTGTCGTTTGAGTTGCTCGTAGAAGAGCACGTAGAGGCCTGCGTAGGGCGCGTCTCGCGCGGCGGTTGCGCCGAAGCCTGCGAAGAGCCCCCGCATGCCTTCTGTGCGGACGATGTCGCGCCCTGCGCCGTAGAGGCTGCGGTAGGCGTAGTAGTCGGATTCGTAGCGGACTTTGAGGACTGTCACGGGCATCATGACGAAGCCGGCGGCGACGCGGGCGGCTGCGCCGGTGGAGAGGTTGGCCCAGTTGGAGAGTTTGGGGAGAGCGGATGTGGAGGTGCTGGTGATGGTGCTAGTGCTGGAGTTGGCGAGTGGGGCGGTCTGCGCGATGCCTTGTCGGAGGGCGTTGAGGCTGGTGAAGTAGAGGGCGGAGCCAAAGCCCGTGCGGAGGGCGGAGGGGAGTGTCCCGCGCCATAGGCTGCGGATTGGGTGTGGGGAGGCGAGGATGGTTTTGAGGGTTGGGAGGAGAGCGGAGGTTTGGGATTGCTGGACGCGGGTCTTGAGGAGGTCGGCGGGTTGGAGGAGGATGGCGGATGTGAGGCCGGAGAAGAGCCCTGCGGTGAAGTGGAAGGTTGTTTTGGATGCTGTGGGGGGGGGGGTTAGTTATGTTGTTATGGATGGTTTATGGATGCCTCGGTTGGTTGTTTTTGTCGCCGGTTGGCGATTATTGAGGCAAACAGAGTAGACATACAGATTGACGGGGCTTTCACCGGTGGCACGGCATATGCAGCATTGTTCGACATGTCGGAGGTGAGGACCGCAGGTTGACTGGGCACCTCACCGGATGGAGTGATTTGGTTGATGAGGTCGAGTAGTCCGCTCACATTGGTAGTCACGGGTACATTTCAGGATATAGACACTTATTGAACACAGTTGTAATGCCTGGGAAGAGCTCACACAAGTCTCCTCGGAATATATTGTTGGTTGGAGATGGACAGATTGAAGATATCAAGAAAAGAAGAAAAACACAAGATTCGGAGCGTTGGTGAGGTCATCCCGGTTCGGGTCCGGAGATCCTGTGATTGGCGGGGATATGGCACTAGTCCCGATGCGGTAAGACAGACTGCCTGCATAACCGGTATTATTACTCATCCAGATGTGCTGCATATGACAAGTACTGTTTATTATTAGGAATTCTATAGTAGTATTTTAGGTGTTATTCTTAGGATTATTAGGGATTAGGTGCATGGTGGCCTAGGGTTTCAAAGCTCTTTTGAGGCTGTTTAATATATTTACTTCCTTACTGATCTCCGAGCTCAAACATCCGTTCATTTCCTAACAAAGAATGCTATTGCTTGCGTACCTGTTTAGAATGCAAACGGCCGTCTTCACAGCCCCCAATGACCAAAATAACTGGACCCAATACCCTTTACCATACCATGGATCATCTGTCCAGGACTTCAGGTACTCTCAATCCTCTCGTCCGACATATTATACGATTACCATAGTTTGGAAGCGTACGGACCTGGGGCCTCTCTCGGGCAAACCAATCGGTGGGGAAACCAGACCAAGTACGTCACGGGTTCTGCCAATCATCGGGATAACCTGATTTCTAAGGAATCCATTTGCCTTGCGGCGAAACAGACAACCTTAGGCATTCGTCGCCTCTTTACTCTTCTTCTTCTTCTTCTTCTTCATCCCTTCTCCTCACTGTCCTAATTTTCTATTCTTATTCTCATTCTTATTTCTCCTTCAAATTCTGCCATGCTCTGTTGTCTCTTGTGAGCACACACTTTCTCCTCCCTACAAATCTCTCTTCCTACCTCTATACGACTGTTTGTTTGTCCATCGGCCCACCCCCGCGCAAAGCCGATAACTCCGCACCTCGTTCGTCATGCTTGAATGGCCTTTTTCCTTTCCCTACCCGGCCGCCAAAGTTGGGTATTGGGGTCCTGTAACATCCACCTTGAACTGGTGTGAGGAGGTACGTTCATATGCGCGTGCTGACGCTCTTGTCTGAAGTCCCTCCCTAGCTTCTATAGTACTAACCCGGATCTCCGCGCAGGACTACTATGCCACGATCTACTCGGCGGAAATCGTCAACACCGTGACAAACCTTCTGTTTATGTGGCTGGGCGTCAAGGGAATTCGCAGCTGTCTCCGTCATGAACACGACCAGATCTTCCTCGTGGCCTACTGCGGCTATCTTGTGGTTGGGACAGGCAGCTTCCTGTTCCACTCGACCCTCAAATGCAAGTTTCCCCATCTCCTCTCCCCGGCCCAGCAAGGGGCGTCTGCAATGCAAAGAGCGGTTCCTGACAGATTCGCGTATTCACAGATCCCATGCAGCTCGTGGACGAACTCTCCATGATCTACACCACCTGTCTTATGTGCTATGCCTCCTTCTCGTACTCGCGCTCGGTCCGCACCCGCGTCATCCTCGCGATATCCCTAACCAGTCTCGCCGTCTTCATCACCCTCTACTACCACTACCTGCAAGACCCCGTGTTCCATCAGAACGCGTACGCGCTCCTGACCACCGTCGTGGTCATCCGCAGCATGTGGACTATGGAGAAGACCCTCCGCCCGTCCCTGCGACACACCACCGAGGAAGACCGCCTGGCGCGCCAGAAGCAGGGCCTCCCCGTGCCGTCCAAGGAGTACCAGCACTACGAGAACGTGCGCGACATGAAGACGCTCAAGACCATGTGGTTCATGGTCGGGTACGGCCTGGCTATGTTCCTTGGCGGCTTCGCCATCTGGAATCTCGACAACTTCTTCTGCTCCACCGCTCGCCGCTGGCGTCGCACTGTCGGTCTGCCGTGGGGTATCATCCTGGAAGGACATGGCTGGTGGTATGTCTCCCTTTTTGTTTTCTTTGAAAGAATCGCATCGTCGCTAACATGCAACAGGCACATCATGACCGGCCTCGGCGCCTACCTCTACATCATCTGGGGCATCTGGCTCCGCCACTGCCTGAACGGCCGCCAGGAGGAGTACCACCTGCGCTGGCCCCATTTCTGGAACGTCCCCGAAGTGGTCCGCACCACCCCGGAGCAGGCGCGCGCGAACGGCGCGCCCAAGAAATCGAACTGAGCCGTTATAGACTGGGGGATATGATATAGACTCAATCAAATTGATATTTTTGTCTGTTGAAAGCGCGCAGGCCAGGAGCCTCGGCGTTTTGCTTTGTTTTTTTGGGGTGTTAGATATGCTTTGCAGTTGTTTTCTATCATTCTTATTCTTTTTTGTTTCCTCTTAGATTGATGAACTTGAGCTTGGGTACCTATAGACGAGGTCTCGCGTTGTTTGGGACCTCTGGCTGATAGAATACTTATATTCTATGGATTTCGTCTGCGTAGTGTAGTATATACTATTCTAGTAGTCTAACAGATGGATGGGAATCAACCCAACCCCTTAATAAAAGAGAGAGATCACAGCTTCGAAGGCGAAGCCTTCTTCTTCCCCCTCACAGGCGCAGGCACATGCTCCTTCCACCTCCCATCAATAGTCATCTTCTCAACCCTCGACTTCCTCCCCCACGCCTCCCGAAACGCCCTCTCATCTTCCCGCCACCGCCTCATCTCCCCACCCAGCCACGCCCCCGCCGCCTCGCCACACTCCACAGGCGCCTCCTGCGCGAGCAAATGGCCGACCTGCGCCATATACACGTCCCGCACGCGGCCCTCCGCCGCGCCCCCGCTGCCGCCTAGCCCTGTCCCCGTGCTCTGCATCTTGTCGGCCATCATCTCGGGGAGACACATGTCGGATTTGCCGGCGAAGAGGTAGAGCACGCTTGGGCGGAGGTGGGGGAGTTGCGCGAAGATGCGCGAGGGTTCGGGGCGGTAGAAGGGGGAGGAGCCCTCGTGGAGGGGGTTTAGGTCGGGGTGGGTGACGCGGTTGATGGGGACGGGTTTGCCCGGGGGACCGTCGTAGTTGGGGCGGGAGAAGGTGAAGACTTCTTGGTGGATGGGGGTTGTTAGGGTTACGGGGGTGTCCTCGTTGGGGGGAAGAGGGGATGGGAGGGGATGGATGGCGGTGGGGAGATCGCGCAGGCCGTGTTCGATCCAGCGGTCGAGGACGCGCGGGTCCCAGGTTTGGTAGAACGGGTTGCGTCTGAAGCCTTCGGCGGCGGCTTTGCGCGAGGGCCACTTGTCGCGGCGGTAGGTGGAGAGTTGGGTCGTTTTGGCGATGACCATTTTCTCTTTGGCGGATTCGAGGGGGTCGAGTTGGGTGGTTTGCTTTTGGATGACGGGGTCGAGGAGGACGAGGGTGGTGATGAGGCGCGGGTGCATCAGGCATAGTTGGACTAGGTGTGCGCCGCCCATGCTGTGGCCGATGCCGACTATTGGGCGCGGCATCTCTTTGCGCTTGACGTTGACGAGGTGGAGGAGGTCGCGGGGGTGGTCGAACCAGCTGGCTGTTTTGTTTCTGTTAGTGACGGTGGTTGGTGTTGGGTGGGTATGTAACGCAGGTACATACGGTCATTTCCTAGAATATTCTCGTTGAGGACGCTGCTCTGGCCCTGATGCGCGACATCGGCCATCCAAATGCTGCGTATCCGGAACCCGTTCGCCTTGGACCGGGCATGGATCTCCTCCCAGAGGGGTTCGTAGAGTTCCTAGTCGGGCGATGAGCGACGCTTTTCTCATTCATGAGAGGGCCACCCCCAGGTTCGGACATACCTTGGGAAAGCCATTGGCGTGCGCTGCTAGAATAGTCACATCCCCCGGCTGGGGATTCGGATTGTCTATGGGGATGTACTGTTTTACTGCCATGTGCAGTTCCTCTTCCTGCTCGTGCGCCGTGGCGCCAGGATACTCTCGGATATGCTGGCATTCGACGACATGGTCGACGACTCGGAAGGGTCCGCTGGATGACATTGTGTTATTCCCACTGTCAAGGCAGAAGGAGGATAAAAGGGTGACGAGAGTCGAAAATAAATGTATTTCAGGATCATTGATTTGGAGCGAGACATGGGGTTTAAGAGAGCCCCACCGATTCCCCAGAATGATTACGGGGGTTGCGGCGCCTAGTTGGAGTAGTGTTGCCGGGCCTGGACCGAGGTTCTTGTGGCTGTCATGGCCGATTCTTGTTGCCGATGGATTACTAGTACGCAGGGATTATAACAATCCAAGGATTGTCATTATTACTTGGGATTTATCTCTTCTTTTTAATACTACTACTATACAATAGACTGTCAGGTTCGAACTATAATCTCTGTCTGTAAATGGCTGCATAATCTGTTGCACAACCTCCGCGGACAAATCGTAGGCGCATAAACCGACTGTGTTTACTCTATAATCGGCACAATTCTATTGATTTATATTATAATCATTGAAAGGGAAAGTTTATACGAATTCATTAGTGGCTAAATATTTACTCAATCAATATTGCCAAAAGAAAGATAGATAATCAAATGTATGCCAATGTCTGTCATCAAACACGTGACCTGGTGTCGCGACGGGCGCGTGGGCGCGTTGCGACAATTTGACAATTTGATACATCCAGTCAATCCGACTCCTCTTCAACACATACATGGCACATTTGCCCTCCCTTGCCTACTTAAACTTCCCTAAGATTGGAACATCCACAACCCTCACTCTAGACCCGTGTATATCAATACCCCAAAGAAAGCGCCCCCAAACGAAACACCCACCATGGTGGGCCAAAACGAGCAGTTCCTCCTCTTCGAACAATGCAAGGTCTGCATTATTTGTTCTAAAGATCTCTCGCCCGATACAGCGCATCAAGTACGCATCGCATACTGCTTTCTGGTCTACAGTATAAGTACTAACTTTCCGCTAGATTGCGTCCACCCTCGAAGAACATGGCGCCGAGTCGGTCATCTACGAGCCCCCAGCGACCTTCCCCGCGCTGTCGGATTTCACCCATCTCCTGTCCTGCACAGTCGACTTCCCGGCCTTTGACGATGCGAACGACACCCTGATCCCCGTCGTCAAACCGCAATGGCTCCAGGCCTCCCTGTCGAAGCGCAAGCTCGCCAACCCGCGACAGTACAGCCCCGACCCGAGGCTGTTCCTCAACGATGTGGTCGTGACGTGCGGGGACATCCCCGAGGGAGATAAGGATGCCATTATCGGTGGGGTGCTGGCGAAGGGTGGACTGTACAGTCCCAAGGTGTCCCAGATGGTGACGCATTTGGTCGATTTAACGGCGGATTCGGACAAGGCGCGAGTGATCTTGGCGAAGAAGTTGAATGCTCGCATAGTGCTGCCGCATTGGTGGGTTATACATTAGATGGCGGATGCAAGTCGTTAATGACTGCGACATTCAGGCTAACTGCATATACTAGGTTCGACGACTGTTTGAAACTCGGACGCCGCATCGACGAGCGCCCTTATACCCTCCCCGATCCTGAAATCCTCCGTGCGGGCCACGATGCGCCCATCCGGAACTCCGAAAACCGCGACATCGTCGGCGCTTCGACTCCCGAGCCCACAAACCTACCTACCCCCATGATGTCTCCGCAAAAGCGTCCCAGGCTAGACGTGTTCGAGGGCCGACAGGTCGCGCTGTCCAACGACCTAGGCATCGGCCCGCATCTCCTGGGCTCGATCACGGATATCATCAAGCAAGGCGGGGGCTCCGTGACGTCGGACGTCGCCAAAGCGAATATCGTGATCTGCCGCTATAGAGAAGGCGTCTCGTACCGCCTGGCCTCAAGACTAAACAAAGAAGTGGGCAACCTCTCATGGTTATATCACCTAATGACATACAACACGTGGACCTCGCCCCTCCGACGCCTCCTCCACTACCCCGTCTCGCGCGCAGGAATCCCCGGGTTCAAAGGCTTGAAAATCAGCCTGTCCAACTACGTCGGCGAAGCCAGAGCCTACCTAGAGAACCTAATCGCAGCCACCGGCGCAGAATGCACCAAAACCTTAAGACAGGAAAACACCCACCTCGTAACCGCCCACGGCAACAGCGAGAAATGCAACGCCGCCAAGGAATGGGGCCTGCAAGTTGTCAACCACTTGTGGTTGGAAGAAAGCTACGCGAAGTGGAAATTACAACCTGTCTCAGACCCCCGCTACACGCATTTCCCTCGCCGGACTAACCTCGGCGAGGTCGTTGGCCAGACTCGTCTTGATAAGGCTATCCTTGAGCATCTCTTCTTTCCGTCTGAGCCGCAGTCGCCCGATGAGGTCCCCCGCCGTGCTATGCAGAATAAGGATCAAAACGCGGCGGCTGCGAAAGCGTCGGGGTCTATGGACCCGCCGCCGCCGGCTAGAGAGGACGATGATGCGCTCGTGTCAGGGAGCGCCACGCCAGTTGCGAAATCGCGCAGCAAAGCGCCCGACAATAAGAAGCTACACACGCCAGCCCGATCTCGACTGACGTCTGAAGGAAAAGAAAACGACACGCCGTCTTCGACGAGTAGTCGGAAGTCAAAGGACGCTGCAACGGCCCGTCTCCATGAAATCGCTCCGGATATTGCGCTGTACGAGAAAGAGAAGAAGCGCGTGGGTGGGGTTATCTACGGCGGTCGGAGGAAATCCGACGAGGATCGAGTGGCGATGGGCAAGAAGCGCAGGTCGGCTGAGCCGGAGGTGGAAAGTGATGCTGAGGAAGCTGGTGATGCTAAGAGGCTGAAGAAGTCTAAGCCGTCGGTGACGATGCATCTTTTGATTACGGGGTACCAGCCCTGGGTGGGGCATGTGAAGAGGGAAGATGCTGATAAGGTGGGTTTGATCTTTCTATTCTTCGTGAAGAGTTGTATGGAACGACATCATGCTGACTTTAAAAGCGACAACTTCGAGAACTCGGAATCCTGGTGGTCCAAGACGCCCGGAGGTGTTCCCATGTCGCCGCTCCCAGTATCCTGCGGACCCCCAAGTTTGTCAACGCGCTCGCGTACGGACCAGACTTTGTCACTGTCGATTTTATTGCGCAATGCCTGAAGGAGGACGAACTCCTAGACCCAGCCAGCTTCCCACTCCAAGACAAGGCCGCCGAAAAACGATACGGCTTCACGCTCGACAAGGCCCAGACGCGGGCTAAGAAGAACAAGAACAAGCTGCTCAAGGGGTATCAAGTGCAATGCGTGGAATCAATCCGCGGCGGGTTCGACGCCTTCAAATCTATCGTTGACGCCAACGGAGGCGAATGCTCCCTCTTCCGCGGACGCGTCACGCATCAAACGCAGCGGGAAGAAAGCGCGGAAAGCGAGGACGAGGACAGCGACGATCCGAGTCAAAAGGAGGTGTACCTTCTCAGCAGTGCGACGCCCGACCATCAGCGGTTATGGCCCCGGTTCCGGCAGATGGCGCAGGGGATGGGCAAACGGCCGCGGATTGTGCGGGTGGACTGGCTTCTGGATATTGCCATGTCGCAGGAGCTGCATACCGCGGATGCGTACGAGTTGAATGAGGGGATGGTCGAGGAGTTGGAGAATTGAATAGATAGCTTGAGTCGATGCTGGGCTGGTGTTGTATATCTCCGTTGTTACTTGGGAGTAACTGGATCTCGGGATTCTGTTTGTTCTTTTTTGAGGAAACTCATTTGTATATTGCATGCATGTATGCATACCGTCCATACGTTTTGAGTTATTGCGTCGCCGCCACGGCTAAGCCAACGAATGAATGTCCACAGCATTAGAAGAACTTGACGCCTTCTTGGCCCTCGCTGCCAAAGACTTGAGCCTTGCCTCGCTTGGCTATGACATTAAGGGACCGCAGCATGACGTCGGGGTCCATGCCGTGCCATTCTGGACCCGTTAGCATCTAAGAGCCAAGGAGCAAGCATACACCTACCTTGCGACATAGTTGCCTCCCCTTCCAGCAGCTCATAAACCGTCAACACCATATTCTTCTGCCCGGTATTCTCAACCTACACAACGGTCAGCACAGGAACTCCCTCACACCACCAAGAACAGCAGAACAGGGAAGAAAAACACGGGGAAATAAGAGAAAGGCAAAAAAGAAAGAGATAGAGAAAGAAGAAAGAATAACATACCCAATCCTCAACAATCCCCGCCCACTCCTCCGGCCTCCTCCACCAAATCCACACCAACGTCTTACTCGCCCCATCCGCCCACTCCGCCCTCCTCCCCCCACCACCGTCCTCCTCCCCGCGCGCCATCCAGTCCACGACGTTCCGCACCTCGCTGAGCGAGAGCCGTTTGTGCAGCGCCGCGTTGTGGAATAGCGGCGAGTCGACGGCTTCGACGAGCGAGAGCCGGTAGATGCGGTGATGGCGGCACCAGGACTGGATCAGGGAGGACCATTTTTGGAGCTGCGCGAGGCGTGTTGCGCTGTTTGGTTGGGGGGTGAAGAAGGGGGGAAGGAGTAGGTTGGGGGAAGGGGAAGGTTGGTGTTGGTGTTGTCATGGTGGGGGGAGATGTGTTGGTGGGTGAGGGCGGAGTGTGTGTCAGTCGATATCGAGATTTCAGGTCGGTAGGAGTAATAAGATTGGGTATTAGTGTTGATTGTGTAAGTGTTGATTGTGTAAGTGTTGATTGTGTAAGTGTTGATTGTGTAAGTACTGAGTGTGTCAATGAAGTTGAGATGCGATATAGATAGACGTTAGCTAGAAGGTGACCTCGGAGATAAGATGAGGAGAAGCACCCCGCCGCTTTCTCCGCCTTGATAGTACAATAATTTCGCCCGCCGAAATTTCCGCAACCTCCGCAACACCGGTAATCCACCACCTCACCCACAAGCTTCCACGCTCTCCACCACCAATTGACTCACTCCTTGTATTCGCCCACAAACCCAACAAAGAAAGTCAATAGAGGAAGAAGCAGAAAAAATGTCAACCCACCCCCAAAGGCGCTCCAAGCGCAACGACTACCGCGAAAAAGCGGCCGCCGCAGCCGCCGCATCGCAACAATCCGCCGACTCCAGCGCAGGCGACATCAAGCTGCCCAGGAAGAAGTTTTACCGACAGCGGGCACACGCGAATCCTTTCTCGGATCATCAGTTGGATTAGTGCGTTCTTTCCCCACCACCAATTCCCCCGAGCCGAGGAGTGCAATGGCACAGGTAACATTGCTGACTTTTTCTCTCCTGGTACAGCCCCCTCAGCCCCGCGCACATGGACTGGGCATCCCGCTATCCTGCGTATGCGGACCCCAACCCGGAGAATGTGAACCTAGGTGGGTTCAGGCAGATGCTTAAGGATGTGGAGGTTGTTGATATTGGGTGTGGGTTTGGGGGGTTGCTGGTTGCGTTGGCGCCGTTGTTGCCGGAGACGCTTATGGTTGGTATGTTCTCTCGCCCACACTTATAGAATCTACGTGTGGCACTCGAAGGATAGAACGGACAAGACTAACGGCATGGAAAAGGAATGGAAATCCGCGTCCAAGTCCTCGACTACGTGAACACGCGCATCAACGCCCTCCGCGCGCAGCAGCTCAGACTCCGCTCTGCTACTCCTAATAATCAGGGCACGCCTGCTCCTCCCTCCTCCACCGCTGCCCCTACACCAGTCCCCACCTCCGCTCCCACAGAAAGCAATAACGACGAAGACGACGACGACGAAACCGCCCTCCCAACAACCACCCTTCCCGGCGGGTACCAAAACATCAGCGCGATCCGCAGCAACACGATGAAATTCCTGCCCAACTTCTTCGGCAAGCACCAGCTCTCGAAGATCTTCATCTGCTTCCCGGACCCGCACTTTAAGGCGCGCAAGCACAAGCAGCGCATTGTTTCGGAGAGTCTCAATGCCGAGTATGCTTATGTGTTGCGGCCCGGCGGTCTGCTTTACACTATTACTGATGTGGAGGAGTATCATCATTGGGTGTTGAGGCATTTTAGGGAGGGGGATGTCCCCGAGGGGCAGGAAGGAGAGGGAGAGGAGGAGGGTGTTGTTGGGGACGTGAGGGATTTGTTTGAGAGGGTTAGTGAGGAGGAACTTGCGAAGGATGACTGTGTGCGTGTTATGAGTATGGAGACCGAGGAGAGTAAGAAGGTGACGAGGAATAAGGGGAATAAGTATGTGGCTGTGTTTAGGAGGAAGGCGGATCCGGAGTGGGTTGTTTAGTTGTATGTATATATATTTTTGTATTTAGATTTGGTTATTTTTTGTGAGGTTTTTGTGAGTTTGTTCTGTTAGGTTCTTCTAGCGGGGGTGGGTGTATGGAAAAGTTGTGTTATAGAGGTATTGTGTTGAGCTTCATGGGTTACTACAGACAGACGTATGGATCGAACGGCCTAATACTAGCTGTAGAATAGTGCAAACTGGTTCATTCAACTATGGCCAGTCAATATCTAAGTGTATCCCCGAAATAAAACAATGCAATATCACTTGCTAACAGACGAAACTCCCGCTCGAGCTATGCAAGAATGGCCGGTCACCGGCCGTAACTCATACCAACAAATATGCCAAAGAGAAGAAGATCATAGAGATACCAATCCCCATACAGACATGTACATCTATCTGTTCAACTACGAGGCGACGCCTTCAATCGGATACCTTCGCATCTCTCGCAGATCGCCAGCTGGACAGGCCCCCCGATGATGCGCCCCTTGGCTGTTCGTCGGGGTTCGCCTTCGCGCACAAAATACCGTCCCTCGGGCCCGAAGCCGTCCCCGCATTCGTGGCAGTTGAAGCAGCTGTCGTGCCATTGGCCGCCAACGGCGGAGATCACGACGTCCTCGAGCACGGGCTTCTTGCATGCTAGGCAGCGAGGGGCGGTCCGTCGGGAATGGCACTGCAGGCACCAGGCAAAGCCGTCTTTCTCTACGAAGGGGGTGTCTTGGTCGAATGGCTGTACGTTAGGGTTTGTTAGCGGTTGTTCCACTGCAGGTATAGGTAGGGTGAATCGTACGTCACCACATTCTGCGCAGAAGAAGTGGCCTACATGCCATTCGGCTCCGCATGCCACGACCACTTCGCCTTCGATGGGGGTCTTGCAGCTCTTGCACCGGGGGCTGAACAGTTCGTGGAAGTCCAGGTGGCAGTAGAATCGCAATTGGTGATGTTCACTGTCGGCTGGTTCTGCGGCAAGCCGCTCTTGTCGCTTCGCCTCGGGCTCCTGGTAGAAAGCGACGCATTCGAGAGGGGTTTGGCAGTGATCGCACGAGAAACACTCGGGATGGAAGCGAGAGCCTGCGGCAGTGACAATCTTTCCGGCGATCGGTAGCGTACAGCTCTCGCACGAGGCGGTGGGAACGCCCGATCGGCTGTACGTGGATAGCCAGCGACCTTGCGATGTGGGGATTGCTTTCCTCGGGGGAGCGTCTTTGTTCGGGACACCTCTAGCGGCGGGCCTGTTCGGTGCGTTATTCCGTTTGTTCTGAGAGCTGTCGATCTCCGAGATCGTGGGCTCCTTGTCATCCGGCAGGTTGATGACGGGGATGGAGGGCGCTTCGGAAACCTGAATGGCCGGGGCGGAGGGCGCCGGTGGCGGGGTCGGAGAGGCCGCGTCTCGTCTCTCTCCGCTGTCTCGTTTGCGGGGAGTCTCCGCCTCAGTGGGTTTCCACGATCGGTCGAAGCTGACGATGGGACGGCCCGTCCGATCGCTCACCGCGGTGGGCATCGGCAGCTTGGCGCTGCGGTCTTTCAGCTTCTTGCTCGTCGCCGCCCGGATGTCATCACTGCGGATTTCCCGCTCATCTTCGGTGGGGACGGGCTGCGTTCGCTCCTCTTCCGCTGGAGACTTCTGCGCCGGCTGGTCATTCGTCTTGTACCCTGCATTCCGCGACTGGCTTGGGGGATTCTTATGGATCTCGAAGCGGGACAGCTTGTCCGCGAACGGGAGGCTGCCGAGACGGCCGGGGAATGGCCGAGCCCCGCGCGGCAGAGCATTGCGCGGTTTGTTTCGGAGCGCCGACGAGTCAGACTTGGAGAAGTCGGGACGCTCGTCCTCGTCTCGCTGACGAGACAGGGCTGGCTCCTCGTAGATCTGGTCTGTGGGGTTCCGAAAGACGCCTTTGGGCGAATCGTGGCTGACGCCTGAGAGCCCCAGACCTTGACGGCGATCGGACATGGTGGACGGGTCTTCTTCTCCAGGCAGCGCAAAGTTGACCCTCAAGCTTCTCCGGAAGGTCGAGTTTCTCTTGGCGCCGTGGACATCGTCCGAGGCGGTCTGGTGCTCACCGCTAGTGCCAGTGCTGCGGGAGAAGATCTCCGAGACGGGACGGCGGCTGTTGCGGCGCGCAAACGGGGACCTCAGACTTTGGGTGTGCGCCACTCGACTCTTCTCAGCCTCGTCGTGGCCCGGACTCTGCAGGTCGGGATTCCGGTACGGTGCATTTGGATTCTTGTAGGCCACGCCGGGGTTTTGGTGCATCCACACCAGCTCCGTGGCCTCGTCCTGGGCGGCATCGTGGATTCGGACGTCATCACTGTTGAGATCCACCCCCTGCAGGGCATCCCGCAGCGATCGGGCTTCTTCCTTCTCCAGCCGGCGCTGATTACTCTCCCGATAACCCGTGTTCGGCGAAGGGGGGCTCTGGTGGGGGACGACGGGGGACGGGGAGACGGTCTTCCGGATGGGAACCGTTCGTGGTTCCTGTACCAGCGGCCGTCCCGCCGAACTCCCGATGGAGTCGCCGGGCGATAAGGGACGGTGGTTCGACAGGGCGCTGGTGGCTCGGGAGCGATCCCGCTCAGCCACCGGGGTGATTGACGGCGGTCTCCGGTGGCCGTAGGTGGACATGGCCGACGCCGCACGCGGGGGAAGACTATCCCGTGGGTCGGAGGGGGTATTTGAATGTAAGGGTCGAGATCCGCCCGGACGAGATGGACGATTTGTCCGCAGGTCTTTCAGGTAGGTTGCTGCATGGGACCCAATCTCCGGTTAGCCTAGATTCTCACTCCCCCGATACCCTTCCTCCCAACCGGAGCGTTGGAGAATGTTCCTAGCCCCGCTGGCATTCACCACTCACCGATCTGATTGTCATTCATGTAGGAAGGGCCGGTGGGGGAAGCCTTCGGTTGACCTTGCTTGGTCTTGGACGGGGAATAATGGAGGTACGGTCTATGCATTCTGACGGTGGATGCTCGAGACGGGCGAGATTAAATAAGGTATGTCGGAGACAAAGAGGTGGATTCTCGAGCGATTGATCGCCCAGGAAACATGGAGGAGAGGGGGTTGGAGAGTCGATGAGTTGTCTCGGGAACCCAAGCTATCAAGCCAAGTCGGGATTGTTGTCTCATACAGCGGGTGGTGGGCCAATGAGGGGGAGGACGGTGGCTGGGGAGGTGGGACGGGGAATGGAGAAAGGTATTGAACTAGGATGATCAATCGAAGGATCTGAACAAGGATCTGACTCGAAGCTTAACTGATAGAATGGAAGAAAAATGAAGATGAAATGAAGTTGAGATGAAGAAGTGATTTCGTCACTGGATCTTCATCCCCTATCGATAGGGGGGGCAAACAGGGCAAACATGACCCCGACATCGTCTCCATCCTACAGACATACAGATATTCTACAGATATCATACAGATATCATACAGATATCATACAGATTCATACAGATTCATGCAATCACTTATGACAAGACAGGATATACTTTATCCCTTGCAGTTCTGGTCTGACTTGATTCATCAAAATAAACAACCAGGGTAACCATGGTACTCCCCCACACGTGATGGTTCGTGGTCATGATTTAGTCAGTTATACTTCTTGTCCACAGGATCATGCTCCACAGCTCCACGACATCCACCGGTTATATTACACTATATCTACTCATTCCTGAGTTAATGTCGACCTCAGCATAACATTCAGGACATGACATCCATCGGAGAATTCTTAGACCTATGAGGAATGGAGACAACGGCCTGCTGCATCTGTCCTGCGATGCATGCCCCTCACAGATGTCAATTGTCCGGTCCGGAATATTCAAGCCTCAGATGATATAGATCGAGGATGACCGAATATCACTCCAAGAATTCTCGATATCCCCAGATCCTCTTATAGTCTCCAGCGTGGGATCCTCCCCAGTCTCCGCTTTGGCCGCCGTCGGCACGATTCCCGAGCGAAACCCACCTTTCCCCGGCCATCCAGCCCAATGATGGCCGCCCAAGAGTCGGACTCATCGCCGAGTCCTGCGGCCAAGCATTGGCCTCTTCTTCCTCCTCTTCTTTTTTCTTCTAATCTTCCCGGGCAGTCTAACAAGAATGGATTCGATGACACATTCTCTCCGGGGTCGTGGGTCTCCGTCCACCGCTTCCTTCCTCTTCTTTAACTGAAGACCTACTTGATTATCCGTCGAAGGATTGCTCGCGTATCGATTGAGCTCCTCATGTCCAGTCTAAACCAGCCCCTCGTGACTAGCGTCGTGCCAGAAAAATCTATTCCAGTCGTCTCTACAGATGGCGGACAACACCCCAATCGATATTATCCGATCACGAAGTTACGATCATGATCGGATCTCCAACTATTCGTCGCGTCGTGACGATGCAGTCCGTCAACGCTCTCCATCCCAGCAAGAAAACCCGGACAGGACGGAAGCGGAGGAGCTAGAGGCCAAATACCAGCAGGATGTCCCACCAGACGGAGGATATGGCTGGGTCTGCGTCGCCTGCGTCTTCTGGATGAACGCCCATACATGGGGAATCAACAGCGTCAGTCTACTCTTCCGTGTGGTTTACCCCGCCAGAAAGGAAGTACACAACTAACAACCACTCCGTACCATCAGAGCTACGGCGTATTCCTCTCCTATTATCTCTCTCACGACGTATTCCCCAACACCTCCGCCTTGTCGTACGCCTTCACCGGCGGCCTCAGCATATCCTGTGCTCTCCTCGTGGCCCCCTTGGCGACCTACCTCATCCACGTCTGCGGCACTCGCTTCGTCTTGAACCTCGGGGTCTTCTTCGAAACCCTGTCCCTCATCGGGTCCTCCTTCGCCTCGCAGCGATGGCACATCTTCCTCAGCCAGGGCGTCTGCTTCGGCTGGGGCATGGGCTTCATCTTCGTCGGCAGCGTAGGCATCACCCCGCAGTGGTTCCAAAAACGCCGCAGCCTCGCCATGGGCATCAACGCCGCCGGCTCAGGCCTCGGCGGCCTGATCTACTCCCTGGCAGTAGGCGCCATGATCCCGCGCCTCGGCCTCAGCTGGGCCTTCCGCGTCCTAGGCATCGTCGCCTGCGTCGTCAACCTCGTCGGCGCGAACCTCCTCCGCGACCGCAACCACCACGTCGGCAGCCGCTACAAAGCCTTCCACCTGCCCACCCTCCGCCGCCCGGAGTTCCTCCTCTTCCTCGGCTGGGGCGTCTTCAGCATGCTAGGCTACGTCGCCCTCCTCTTCAGCCTCGCCAACTTCGCCCTCTCCGTCGGCCTCTCCCCCCACCAAGGCAGCATCGTCAGCGCCCTCCTCAACCTCGGCCAGGGCATCGGCCGTCCCTTCGTCGGCATGTTCAGCGACCGCCTCGGCCGCATCAACATCGCCGCCTTCCTCACCTTCCTCTGCGGCCTCTTCTGCCTCGTCATCTGGGTCTTCGCCCGCAGCATGGGCCTCGTCTGCTTCTTCGCTGTCCTCGTCGGCACTGTCGCTGGCACCTACTGGGCTACCGTCACCCCCGTCCTAGCCGAGATCATCGGCCTCCGCGACCTCCCCAGCGGCCTAAGCATCACCTGGCTCGTCCTGGTCGCCCCCTGCACCGTCTCCGAAGCTATCGCCCTCCTCCTCCGCGACAACAACAGCCCCACCACCATCACCCACTCGGTTTATCTACGCGTTCAGCTCTTCACGGGCTTTATGTACATCGGCGCCGCCCTGTGTCTGTGGATGGTGCGCGGCTGGCGCGTGGGTTCTCTTGCCCAGGCTGAACGAGAACAGTCATCCGCTGCGACGACGGGACTGGACAAGTCTGGCGTCGTGGCTGCGGAGCCGGCTCCGGCTGGAGGTGACAAGGATGGCCTTCGAGAGGAAGCGTCCGTTCAACTCGCCCCCGAACGGGTAGATATCTGGTCCCCGGCCGTTCTCATACGTAGCATGGTGGCTCCCAAGCGGGTGTAAATACAATTCAAAGTACATCGACGAGCCCTGGACATACTTACCATACTCATATAATCTGTCTGTCATATAATCTACTGTTCTTGATATATATATATATATATATATACAGTACACCATCTAATATGCGTGCGTGGCGAGCGCGCGGTGATTCAGCCACAATGAAAAATGAGAGACGTCTACTACGTGACTACAACTACCAATATCATCAAATCATGCAAATAAATACCCATGAACTCAACAAACCTACTACTAGAACAATCCAATGCCGTATCAACATTAAGGACGACGCCACGGCCGTTTCATTGATGACCTAACCCAACGATACCTGCTATAAAAATAAAACACATGTACAAACACTTTTTTTTTGCTTATTCTATCTTCAATACCCCGTCTCAACTCACTGCCCATCAAGCACCAATATCCGCACGCGCCTCTTGCCCGCTCCCCGTCCGCCCTGCTCCTTCACAGAGCTGACATTGACCTTCACCTTCTGGAAGAGCTCAACCGTCAAGCTGCGCTCCTTCTGCGGGTGGCCCTTATCCGAGACACAGATGGTGTATTCCTCATTGTCGAAGTCACTCTGGCGGTGGACGACCAACTCGCGGCGCTCTTCAACAGAGCGCAGACCCGCGTCCGACGGAAGCACAAAGTCCTCGAGACGGACGACGCCTTCGATTCCGAACCGCGGCACGAACACCACGACGCCGTTCTCGAAGACCCGCATCACGTAGCCCTCCTCGTCGATTCCGCCGTCGACGCCGTTCGCGGACACCTTCTCCCCGCGCGCCTTCAGCGCTTGCCCCACGTAGTACTCGATGCTGGCGCGTCCGGCGAATTGCGCGTTGCGGTGCCGGTAGTTGATGTTGCGGCAGATGTCTTCGAGGCGGTTGCGCGTCATCACGCCGTACACTGTGGCGCGGCCGTCTTCGCCTTCGTAGCCGATTGCGGATGCGAGCTGGCGGTGGACGAGTAGGTCCGCGTAGCGGCGGATTGGGGATGTGAAGTGCGTGTAGATGGGCGAGGCGAGACCGTAGTGGCGGAATTCGGGCTCCGCGTGCGCGCCGGCGCAGAAGTACTCGGCCGATGTCATGCAGCGGGTGGCGAGGATGCGGACGAGGGTGTTGAAGAAGGGGTTCTTTGCGTCAGTGCAGCGGTCGAGGGAGTCGGCTAGGGCTCCTGAGCTGGACACGTCGAGTCTCAGGTCGCGCTTTTTCGATAGCTGGTTGGTGAGCTCTTCGAAGTTCTGGGGCGGGGGAGTTGCGTGACGACGGAGGAGGGCCGTCTGGGAGAACGTGCTGAAGATTTTCGTGGCAACCGTGATGTTGGCGTGAAGCATGAACTCCTCGACGAGGCTGTTGGTCGCGAGCATCGACTTCGTCTTGACGTCTGTGAGGGGGTCACCGACCTCGTCGCTGTCGGCCTCGATTCGGACCTCGGGCGAGGCGAGGTTCAGCGCGCCTGCGTCCATGCGCTTTTGGCGGAGGATCTTGGAAAACCGGAGTAGGGTACGCATGCTCTGGGTCAATTCGTCGGTCTTGGAGGGGTCGTCAATGCGCTTTTGCGCCTGCTCATAGCTGAAGGCTTCGCGGGACTGGATAACGGATTTCGTGAAACTAGAAGACACGACTTCCGCATCGGGAGTCATTTCCCACAGCACCGAAAAAGCGTAACGCTCAACATATGGCTTGAGCGAGCAGAGATCCGTGCCCAGAAGGTGCGGAAGCATGTCGATACGCTTGTCAACCAGGTATACTGTCGTTCCGCGGAGGCTCGCTTCAAGGTCCATTGCGTTGTTCGGTTTGACGAAATGCGATACGTCCGCAATATGCACTCCCACTTCGAAATTCCCGTTAGGCAATTGGCGTGCGTGAAGAGCGTCATCGATATCTTGACAGCCCGGCGGATCAATACTGCAGATGAGAAGATCCCTGAGGTCACGACGACCCCTCCAACCCAAGTCGTCCTTGCTTGCGGGAACTTTCCAGTCGTGCCCTTCTGCAGGAAGACAGTCGAGAACGGATTTCGGGAACGGCTTGTACTGAACGTCATATTCCAGCAACAAGGCTTCCGTTTCGGCACCCTTGGTTTCCAACTCTCCCAACGAGCGAACAAAGTGCCCTGACGGATATCTCGAGTCACGATCCCACGCGTCGATTGTGATCAGAATGCGCTGACCCAGCAGGTCACCAGCTTGTCGCGTGCGCACCCGGATTTTCGGTACACGCTTGTCCATAGGGAGAACAAATACAGTCTGTTGACGTCGGCCAGAGACGGCCTGCGAGCCTGTGGAGCCCGAATCGACAGTTCCAACATACTGTCTCCAGTTTCGCTTGACTACTCCCACGACTCTCGCCGTCGGCTGCGGCTTTCCTTCGGTGCTCTTGCCGTGGGCTTGGCGGACCTCTTCCTGCAAAGCTTTCTTTTCTCTTTCCGTGACCACGGCTTCCGTGTCTTCCCCTTCGGGGTTATCGTTTTTGGTCACCGCCTCTTCGTCGACAATCTTGGTGGACGGGGTTTTCCATTGATCTTTGGGCAGCACCTCAATCACGACGACATCTCCCGAGATGGCTCGGTTGCTATTGTCACGTCCTAGAATGAGCAGAGGCTTATCGAAGGCCGCGACCTTAACAGATCCTTCCAGGTAGTTGTAAGGCGAGACGTTGAAAACACCTTGGTGCAGAGTACCTGCCCTCAGGCTCGTCATGATCTTAGACATAGTGTAGTACTCGGGGTAAAACAGTTCCCCACGCGCACCCTTAGCCTCGCGCGCCTCTCTGGACTCGTTGATCATATCCAACAGTCTATCCGAATCGTCCAGACCGGCGACATAGTCGGATAGCGACAACGCTGTCACTCCCTCGTCCTTCGCTTTGCGCAAGTTTTCTTTGTCGTCCGTAATAACCACAATAGCCGGTAGCGATTTCTCTTTCTTCCCTTTTTTGGCCGCCGCAGCTCGAAGATGCTCCGAATACCACTTCGCGACGGTTCGCACGGCCCGATCGTTCCGGTCATTGATCGACTCATCCTGGCCTCGTCTAACGTGTGTCTCAAGTCGGAACTCGTTGAAAAATAGGTAAAAGCGCTTTTCATCGGTCTTGATCAGAGAGAGTAGGCGGTTATACAGGGGCAACGACTGGTTCTTCAGTTCCTCGAGGACCGTTTGAAGGATAACCACATCATAGAATGCTCCCGTGTGTTCAAAAAGGTCCATGCCATTCAATAGCGCATTCGTATCAGGGACGAGGTAGTGGCCGCGAGGGAAAGCGCTCGTGCCGGCGGGGCTCTCGGAGAGGACAAACGGCGCAACTAGACATTTTGCATCAGTTTCCGGTACCAAATAGCATCGAAGGGGGTTTATCTCACTGTTTCCATTTGCATCCGCAGGCGCGACCGACGGACATATCGAGCAGAGTTTGGATGAACAAGGAATGTCCTGTCTTAGATACAACTCACGAACAATCTTTTGCACCTTTCCACTTTTCGTGGACCGGACGAAGACTTTGCTGGTGACATTGGCGGCGTGCGGATCCGAAGAGAAATCTCTTCGCAGGCTCTTCATCTTGCCTGGTAATGACCTTAGTTTGATTGAGGCCTATTATGGTCCAGGGAAAGTTGAAGTCTTGTTCGGAGGTGAAATAATTCTGGTCAGTGACGTCCGGTCATGATCTGCTCCGTCCGTCGAGATTATTGGAGATTCCGCCCCAAGTGGGGAAAGTCTGCCGACGAGTCCCCTCGTCGCAATCAACGCCGTGTATCAAACCACAACATCTCCCCTCTATTTCTTGTTCTCTTGGTTGATTTTCATGCAAAAGACATAATATTACTTCCTGTTGTAGTTTAAACTATGGTTCTTGCAGTACAGTCCCAAACACCTCTCCCAAGGCTATAACATGTGGTACTGTTTCTCACTGCTACTCTGATAGGCCGTGGGGCAGCTATGCTCGACTGCGAGTGCGTCAGCCAACTTAGCCCAGTGTCAGATACTGGTTCGCAAAGCAGTTGCAGCTGGTGCTAAAGTATAGTCTTATGCACTTGGGTCCAGGCATCCCAGGACTCTGAACAGACGCCGACTAATACTGTGACAGGCGCTGTTTCTTCCAGAGGCATCGGACTACATCGCTTCATCACCAGCAGAATCCGTCTCGCTGGCACGTTCTGCAAAAGATAGTGAATTTGTGTTGGGTCTTCAGCGAGAAGCTCAGCAGGCCCAGTTACACATCAATGTGGGCATCCATGAACCTGCCGCGGATGGCAAAGTGAAGAACACTCTGGTCTGGATCAATGAGAAAGGCGTTATCACACAGCGCTATCAAAAGATTCACCTATTCGACGTAGATATTAAGGATGGGCCAGTACTCAAAGAAAGCGCGTACGTTGGTTCCTCCCATCATCGTATTCTGGAGCTCGCTGATATGTTGATCAAGGAGCGTGGAAAAGGGCATGGAGATACTGCGCCCGTTCGAGACGCCAGTTGGTCGCGTTGGTCTGTCCATTTGCTTCGACGTAAGTTGAGCCGCGCCCGGTATTAAAACGTTAAAGAATCTCCGTGGAAAGCATACTCATGCGGGCTATTTCCAGTTGCGCTTTCCCGAGATCAGCCTTGCGTTGAGGCGAAACGAGGCCCAAATCATCACTTATCCGTCAGCATTTACAATTCCTACCGGCCGTGCGCACTGGGAGACCCTCCTGCGAGCCAGAGCGATTGAGACACAGTCATATGTGATAGCGGCTGCACAAGCGGGTCCCCACAACGAGAAAAGAAGCAGCTATGGTCACTCGATGATTGTGAACCCTTGGGGAGAGGTTGTGGCCAAGCTTGGCGACGAATACCAGGAGCCACAGATCGCAACTGCGGAGATAGATTTCGAACTTTTGGAAAAGATAAGAAGGGAAATACCGCTGCTCAGAAGAACCGACATATACCCGGTAGTATAATATCCAATGAATAACTGCTTATACATGGCACTGAAACGATATATCAACCTGTAATATATGGTAGATTACACATTTTATAGCACAGTAGGTTTTCCCACTCTTCCTCGTCAATAAGATGTAAAGCGAATCGGCGATAAAAAAACATTTCAGGATATACGTTGACAGTGAAGAAAGAACAAAGGAACAAAAGAAACGAGATAGCAGCCCTGTCTAGGAAGCCAACCGGAAGTCATGTCTGCTACCACAGATGTAGCCCTTTAACCGAAAATGCCTTTACTGTCCGAACACTTTATGTACAATGTACAAGGAAGACCCGGACTCAGCGATTTACTTTCCCTGAACCTTATCAGGATCCTCCAGGATACCCTCGGCTTCCAGCCTTCTGCGGGCCTCTTCCAGAGCCCACGTCTGTATCCTATAAGTTGTCAGTCTCTGCCTTTGGAAATCATCCCATGGAACTGGTCCCATGGTACAATCACAGCTAGTTCAAACGAGGCGCAGCCCAAGTTGGACGTCATTGAACAGGGGACTAAACGTACGAAGTGTCCGGCTTGAAGACATATGCCACTCCGGCAGCAAGCAAGCTTCCAATAAAGCCATAGTACCAGATGTTCTCCCAGCCCTCCTTCACGTACTTCTGGCCGGGCTTGATGCCAAAGAGCCAGCCGGACGGGGGGTCGTAGTGATCACCATGATCGGCGGCCCGCAGACTGCTCCGAGTCGAGAAGCTCTGGACATTCTGGGACCTGCGGAAAAGGCAGCGGGCACGGAGGCAATGCGACAGCGGACGAGCGGACATTGTGAAAATATTGAGGACTGTCGGGATTCGAGAATCTTTGGTAGTCGTCGGGTGTGAGGAGACAGCCGGTGGCCGGTGGAGGATAGACCCCTGTCGGAGGTGGAAAGGCGAGAGCTGTCCGGATGAGAAGTCAAAGTATGGCAAATACTTTGACCGGCGGTTAGAACGACCGGTTCAATTGATCGGTTTCTAATTGAATGAACGTGTTATAGTCGCCGTCAGAGCGAGAGATAGAGGGGTGACGGGGAAGTCCAGCGCTTGATGTTCAGAAGCCGCAAAAGGCCGAACGAGTTATGGCGCTAGTCCCAATCGGTCCACCTCCCCCATGCCGCCTTTCTGCCTCATATTCAAGGCATCATTATCGCCCCAGGCAAAGGGCGTTCGAGACGCGCGACGCGTCCAGCATCCCAGGCATCTTGCGTGCAGCGGAGATGCAGCCAATTACTTGCATCAAGACACAGGCCGATCTTTCATCCAAAACACCCATTCCCATTATACCCAAAGTGTGTATCTCAGTGGACTAGACAAATCTCCATCGATAAGAATTGTGTCCAAGCAATTACTACACCTGGTACAGCTCCTTGGATGGACCAGTCTGATTATATGCTTGGTGATCGTACGCTAACGATTCCATTGAAGATTATCCCCGAAATGTGCTGTCTATCGCCAATGGCATAGACTATCCTACACTATGTATCCTGCAAACAAAGGGCCCCCATCCTATCCGATTTCCTCCAAATCCCGCTCCAAATTGAACAACTTCCGATACAACGACCAAGATGAGACGTCTCCAGAGAAACCCTCCTTGAAGCCACAAGCCGGACCAGAACACACGGATAAGGAAAACCAAAGCTCGTGGTTGAATGGCGTAGTAGCGCCAGCTCAGCCCGAATTGGATCAGGGACCATCTTCGAGCGCAGCCGCAGAATCGAAAGTTGTCAAGGAATGCCCCCAAACGCCGGGGAATCGGATTCCTTTAGCGGATCTCATCGGCAATGTTGAAGACGCCATCAACCAAGCGCCGGGACAGGAGTATACCCCAGAGGACTATGTCATTTGGCAACATGTTCCGGCAAGCTCGAACACAGGCACCACGTCTCAAACACCGGCCACGAACAAAAAGAAGCGCCGGCGGAACTCATCGCCTGGCAGCTCTCCCCTAGCTGGAAACTCCAAAAGTGCACGGAAGGGTTCGTTTGACCTGCAGTCTTTTCAGGCTGTGTTGAAGACTCCGCAAAACGACATTGCGGCCGATCTGTGGAACAACTACGTGGGCAAGGCTACAGCCAATGGCAATGGAGAAATACCTCAAATTCGCTTCCAGAACCTCCTTTCATCCTCGCCTCAGACACCAGCAACAGGCAGAACGAGTCGGGATTCTTCTGGGCTGAGACGAGCAACCAGCTGCAATGTGGAGTGGCCAAGTTCTAAAGCCAAGCGGCGAAAATTGGACTTTTCTCGGTCAAAAAGCAATGTCATCGACGCTGGTACTTCGTCGTCGAATATCAATAGGCTTATGGAAAGGATCGAGAAAAGTCTTCGAAAGACTCCCATGCCGCAAGCTGATTCATCGCCAGTACCAAAACGTGAAGAGGTGCGGCGATCTCGATCAACCTCCCCAGTGGAACGCAAACAGTCCCTTGAAGATTTAGGGAGCCCAGGTCAAGAAAATAAGACTGGTGATAGCTGTATTCACCCCGCCGCTACAGAATCAGTGAAAGTATCTTCGTCCGACTTTGAAGATGATGACCTGGACCAAGATTTTCTTGACCTAGCAGAGGCTGCAATGGATCCTTTTGTCGATTCAGATGGTCCTAATGATAGTGTGCAAGTCGCTAAGCCGGATGGATTGCCACGTTTGTCTCCAGTTGAGGCGCCGGCCGTGTCCGGTGGACAAGTAAACTCTCATGTCGATACAACAATGGCCGAAAAGAATGATTACAAGTATGATGCTGATGAATTTGATGACGACTTTGAGGAATTCTCGGATAACATAGAGGATATCCTCGCTGAGTGTGATGGCACTCCAAGCACTAAGTTAGCAAGACCCGTCCCAAACAACATTACAGTTTCTCAACCACTGGCTTCGGGTCATGATGCCAACCCCCTCTTTGCTGTTGCTGCGGATCAGGCCTTGGGAGATGTAAAGAATCCTGAGACAACATCTTCCGGTGATGAATTTGATGACGAGGATTTTGATATGGAGGCTATTGAACAGTCTATGAAGCAAACAGCTGAAGGTGGGCCTGATGATGTTTGTCACACTTGATGGGCACATTCGTTAGATCTTTGATCTTTTGCTAAGTATATTTCTTAAAAATAGAAAGCTAGGAGTCGAGAGGCCATCAAACGGTATTTGATCATTGATATTGCCGATTCCACTTATACCACCCATAACGGACGCATCCAGCCAGAACAGGTCAGCCTTTATGTATCTTCAAATAAGAAGATGAAGAACGAATCGGAAAACGCCGCCATATACTGACTATACCGACAGGTATTGCTGGTACAAGATGAGAGGACCAAGTGCAAAAAGGTAGTCATCTTGCGGGAATCGTGGTTTGACAGCCCTTGCAATAAAGATTTCTATATCCACTTGATTGGGGACTTTGACGCACAGGGCCAATGCATTGTCACGAACTCTCAGAATATGATAATCCTTCATCCGGATCATCTTGTCTCTGCAACGGTTGTAGCAGACTCAGTCAGTTGCCAACGGCGAGCGGTCCTTCAAGACCGCATCAAGAACACCGGTGATATTGGCAAACCCCGCGTTTTTGGGAATATCTTCCATGAGATCTTTCAGGAAGCACTTAAGATCAACAAGTGGGATAATACCTCACTGAGATCCCTGATCGATACTGTTACGCAAAATCACATCGAGGAGTTATACTTGATTGGCATGAGTCTCGCGGAAGCCGTGGAGTATGCAATGGGCAGAATGCCAGAACTGAAGACCTGGGCAGAACTTTTTCTTCGGACCAAGCCAGGCGTAAGTAAAACCCATGGAGTTCTACCAGAAGTCATCTAATTTCTGTGAAACAGGCCAAATCCCTTGTCGAAGATCGCGGGAGCACAAAGTTGAATCTTAGCGTCAGCAAGCTCCTCGAGGTAGAGGAACACGTTTGGTCTCCAATGTATGGGCTTAAAGGGAATATCGATGCAACAGTGCAGGTCGCTTGTCGTGATGAAGGGCGCGACAAGAACCTCATCGTGCCTCTTGAACTCAAGACGGGCAAAAGAGACACCAACCAGGCCCATAGGGCTCAGACAGCCCTGTACACTCTGCTGCTCTCCGATCGTTACGGCAAGTACCTCGGTATCTATTTATAATTGTGAACCTCGCTGACATTAGACTGTAGACTTGGACGTCACATTTGGACTGCTATACTACCTTGAGACGTCGAAAATGTTGCGCATTCGTGGCATCCGACATGAACTTCTCCAGATGATCCAGCAACGAAATCGTCTTGTTGGGTATATGCGTAACAGAACGGCATTGCCGCCGATGATCAAGAAGCAATCATTATGCACTAGGTGCTACGCAAAGACGCCTTGCTTCATCTATCATAAACTGGCAGACAACGGAGATGGAGAAACCAGTGGACTCGGCGACGAGTTCGTCAATGCTATGGACCATCTTACACCCCAGCACCGTGACTTCTTTCAGAAATGGGACGATCTGTTAACGAAAGAAGAGCAAAATATGTTGAAATTCAAGAGAGAACTTTGGACCCTCTTGAGTCACGAACGAGAAGCTCTTGGCCGTTGTTTTGGTAACGTCGTCATAGAACCAGGTTCGGCCGTGGAAGACAAAGAAGGTATCAAGATCAACCGATATCGGTATACCTTCAACAAGAAACATTTCGCCCCTTCTTTCTCATTTACTGAATCGCAACTCACGGTCGGTGAGCCGGTTGTGGTCTCTGACGAAAAAGGCCATTTTGCTCTGGCCAATGGTTATGTTGTGCAAGTCAGCTCCAAGCGCATTACCGTTGCCGTGGATCGAAGATTACACAATGCTCGGACGAAAGCAGAAGGGTTCAATCCTGAAACAAACCAGACGTTCAGAGGCATTATGGAGATACTTGAGGAGGGTGCCATTCCCTCTACCGCCCGTCCTCTGGAGCCCGAGGAAGAAATCCTTTATCGTCTAGACAAGGATGAGTTTAGCAATGGCATGGCGATTGTTCGCTCCAACCTCATCTCAATGATGGAGAAGAACCTGTTTCAGGCCAAGCAGCTGAGAAGGTTGATCGTTGAGCGAGAAGCACCTACATTTAAGCCTGCTCCTTCAATCTACAAAATGTCCAAAGCCGATCGAGCGAGCCTGAACGTCGACCAAGAACGGGCTATCGATAAAGTGATGAGCGCACAAGACTACGCGCTGGTTCTTGGGATGCCAGGAACAGGGAAAACCACGACAATCGCTCATATCATCCGTGCCTTGGTGTCGCAAGGGAAAAGTGTTCTCTTGACTTCATATACCCACACTGCGGTCGATAACATTCTACTGAAAATTCGCAATGACGGCATTCGCACTCTGCGAATTGGTGCCACAGCCAAGGTGCATCCCGAAGTCCAGGACTTTGCCGACCTTGCAGCAACCCCTAAGAAAACCATAGAGGAGCTAAAGGCATCGTACGAAGACTCCCAGGTGGTCGCGACAACTTGTTTAGGCGTCGGCCACGATATCTTTACCCAACGCATCTTCGATTACTGCATCGTTGATGAGGCTTCTCAGATCACTTTGCCGGTTTGTCTGGGGCCGATTCGAATGGCCAAAACGTTCATTCTTGTTGGCGATCACTACCAATTACCACCTCTTGTACAAAACGCCGAAGCCCGAGAAGGTGGTCTCGATGTTAGTCTCTTCAAGCTACTTTCGGACACTCACCCTTCTTCCGTGGTCAATCTCGAGCATCAATATCGAATGTGTGAGGACATCATGCTCCTCTCGAACACTCTCATTTATTCGGGGCAGCTGAAGTGCGGCACTCCGGAGGTGGCAGCAAGCTCCCTGAAACTTCCTAACATAGGCGGTCTCAAGCAACACCATATTGACCACCTACCACGGTCAGCAAGCCAAAAGCAGCTCTGTCTTGGTACAAGCCAGGGCCGTTGTTGGCTACGCGATCTTATCCACCCATCCGCCAAAACCCGTTTCGTCAATACCGACACACTCACCACGCCTGCCCTAGAGGTGACCAACGGATCCCGGATCGTGAATCCTACGGAGGCGACTCTGTGTAGTCAACTCGTGGAAGCCTTCATCTCCTGCGGCATTCCGGCGCGGAGTATCGGCGTGATTACGTTCTACCGCAGTCAGCTCGCGATCCTGAAACAGAATCTCCGTCACCACATGCCTGATCTCGAACTGCACACTGCAGACAAATTTCAGGGTCGAGATAAGGAGATCGTTATCCTGAGCTGCGTGCGCAGCAACGCTGATAACCACCTGGGCGAGCTTCTTCGCGACTGGAGGCGCGTTAACGTCGCGTTCACGCGAGCACGGACAAAGCTTCTAGTCATCGGAAGCAAAAACACCCTTCGCGACGGCAACGAACTGCTAGCCAAATATATCAATCTAGTCCAGAAACGAGGCTGGGTCTACGATTTGCCCAAAGGCGCCGAAGAAAGCCACATCTTCGAGTACGATAACGGGTTTTCCACCCAGTTGTCCGAGTACCAGGGGGGCAAGGCGACCCTTAGCCCGAAAGGGAGCCCATCTTCTCAGAAACGGAAGGCTCGCAATCCTTTGAGTCCGGTGCAGGGTCGGCAATCAAACGGTCTCAGGAAACCGGCGAAGAAGGGAGCCAAGCTCGTGAGTGGGAGCAAGGTTCTAGGTAATAGGCCTGTTCTGCAGGATGTGATTAATGATCTGGTGGGATGATTTTATGTGTTTTATGATATATTGGGATTTCAATTGTGGGGGTGTTCATTTTGAGGATCCTTGGATGCAGGTTGTACTATAGTTTGGCGCAGGCATATCTAGGGATGGAAAGGGATTGGACTATCCGTATTGGATTGATGAATATTTGACAGCGTTCGCGTCACTGTTTTGTTTACTTGTTGGTTTTATAAGAAGTATTTAGAACTTTTATCATGACAATAATTATATCTTACTAAAGCAACATAGATTCCGATCTCATCCAGATAACTCAAACCTAATATCTATAAGAGTTCATTCAACGCCATCCGACAATGTCCATAATCTACCACGTTTGTTCGGCGCGAGACAATCAAATCCCCAAAACCGATGCGCCAACAAACTCCCAACAAATAGACCGTCGGCCATCCTTGGACGTCTCATCTGCCACTTGTTCTCCACCCATTTGAGAGCTAGATACAGACGGCAAGACCAATACACTATACCCATCCTTCGCCTCCACTGCCGTCCTTCCCAGCGCACTCGACGAAAGCGCAAACCAACCCTGTGCCGAGGAGGAGGTCTCCCTTCTGTGAACCAAGACGTCAGTTTAAAGTTAACACGAAAATACAATCCAACGGAGACTTACAACAGAAGCACAAACAGCTGCATAATCCACGCCGGAGGAATAAACCCGTGCCATTTCAGGCTGACGAGGTTCGACGCACTCGCTTCGTCTGCGCGAGGTACGCTGTACCGGCAGAGGTATGGGTCTACTTCGTCGTCTTTCTGCACCCGCGGGGAGCCAAGTGATACCATTGCGAGCCACTCGGAAAGCTCTTCTAAGTGGTCGCGTAGGTCTTCTTCTGGGGCTTGTGCTGCGGGGTTGAGCCCGTCGAAGGGCGGGACGAGGACGTTGCTGTGGGCGGTCTTTGTGGGCTGGCAGTCGATGATGTGTGGGTGGTTTCCTTTCAGGGAAGTATCGTCTGTCCACGTTGATTATTAGGAAAGGTGGGGAACTATTGGTGTAGAATTCAAGGGCAGTGCGGTACCTTGGGAGATGCCGTTTGCTGACGGCGCCAGGTCGTAGAATAGCCAGGCTACGGAATGGTTGAGGACGTTCTTGAACGCCCATACTATTCGCTCAAAACCTTTCTTTCCGTGGAGCATAGATGGCAGACGTAGGTTGAGCTCCACACCTGAAATCACTAGTTAGCGCATGTTATAGATGCAGATAGGACAAAGAGTCATACCATATCTTTCCTTTGCGTGCTTTCTAGCTCCACTGCGAATAGGTTTGCCTGTGAGTCCTGTGCGCTCAAAGACCTCCTTGCCGAGTTCGAGTCTCAAGATCCCTGGATGGTCATTAGCCAGGGTACTTAGAAAGAAGTATCTCTCGCGCACCATCTTTTAGAGTGAATACATTGTCCAAGCCAGATCGCCCCTCGGAGACCATTAGGATATTCCCTGCATATAGAGTTAGAAGTACACCTACAGCAGAACATGCCATTAGAGCCAACGTACCTGACTTGATGTATGCATTAAAGAATTCCCCCTCAAGTAGGGAAGAAAGAGACATGAACACCCGTCCATATCGAAGCTTCTGTAGCTTTAATTCAAGTGCGCTCTGGACGGAGGAGTAGACTTCCTCTGGGAGAATGACCTCTGTCTGTTTATCCTTAGTCAGTCGACATACACATCAGATCTCAGAGGGATTTCATACCGTATGTATAAACGGATGGCCCAGAATAGTGGAGAACGGGGACCTCTTTTTGGGCGGTTGATTGGGGTCAATAGAGGCAGGTAACTGGGTCAAGGTCGTGTAGCATTTCTCATGCCTTGAGGCATCATCGTCGAAGTCAAACATAGTATCCCAAAGCCCTAGAGGCTATCTTGGAAATCTATTTGGGTCAAGATTGTTGGTGTAATGTTGTTGGCCGTCGTGCCTTTCGAGCCCTCAGAAAAAGTTTGCGAAGACAACAGTGTAGTCCACCCCAAAAAAACCAACTGATGGTGTCTTGCTAAAAGTTCAGTGACAAGTCAGGCTATTTGAGCAAGAGTAATACATATAATCAGCTTCGGTCGAGACGGTGGTCGTTGTAGATAACATGCAAATATCAATCCGGCGGAGGTCGATCCAGGCCGGTGGTGACGTTATTTGATTGGCCGGATCATTCAATTTGACGATATCTTGAACGTTGCCATGTACAGAGTATAAGGTGGATTTTTTCTCTAATACAAGGTCTAAATCAAGAATACAGGAGAGGAACTATCAGATACGAACAATGTAAATCCCAGGCTGCTGCAAGAATATCCTGCATGAGTGGCTATTGTATGCCTGAGGCACCAAGGCCTCCGCCCGAGACGGTTCGATCTCGGCGCGTCCGGTGCGTCTTTCTTCTCCAACTCTCCCCGCTCCTCTCCTCCCAACTCTCACATTTCTATATTAAATACCCTACACCGTTAATCGCAATTGTCGCATGATAATCATCCTCTATTTCCGAGAATCGATCCTCTCCTAAGTCCAGTTACAGCCCCTCGGGCGTCTATGTGGGTTGCTGCTACTCCGACAATAGTACCTACATTAGCAACATCCAGCCATGGCCCCTCCTCGGCGAAACCTGCTCCCCAAGGAGCGCTTCGCATTTGCATTCGGAAGTCTGAAAACCCAAAGCTATTACGACCCCATTTCGCGAACGCCGGGGTCTCACACGTGCGTCCCCATTCAGCATCATTGCTCCGCAACCCGCTGCACATGATCCGCGGTCAGAGCTCGCACTGACGAGAGAGATTTGACACCCATTTCAGGATCCGGACGATAGCATGGAATCCTACCGGTCAACTCGTGGCCACGGGCTCCGCGGACAGGACGCTGCGGATCTGGAACCCCGAACGCTCGCAGGTGAAATACTCGACTGAATTGCGCGGCCATACCGCTGGCATCGAGAAGGTCCTGTTCAACCCTACCAAGGATTCCGAGCTGGCTAGCTGCTCGACGGATGGGACGGTGCGCTTATGGGACGTCAGGTCCAAGACGTGCGTTAGCCGTGTCGATGTCGGCGGCGAGGCGTTTACCTTGTCTTGGTCCGCGGACGGGAGCGTCATGATGGTTGGCAGGAAGGTGAGCAGCTGTAGCCTACGTAAGGAAGGGCATAATGTGACTGACGCGCTCAATCCAATTCCCTAGGACGACATCCTCGTCCCCATCTCCGTCGAATCCCCCTCCACCCCCACAATCCTCGCAGACGGAGCATCCCGCGCGCCAGCCACCGCCCAACAACCACCACCCCCCAAGCAACCCACCAATGCAACGACCTACAAAGCCCTCGAATCCCACCCTCAACCCGTCCAAACAAACGCAACCACCTTCTCCTACCACGTCTCCAACCCCTCCTCCCCCTCCGACCTCCACCTCTTCGCCACAACCGGCGAAGGCACCGTCAAGATCCTCTCCTACCCCTCCTTCAACGTCCTCCACACCCTCCACGCCCACACCTCCGCCTGCCTCTCCATCGCCTACGCCCCCACAGGCCGCTACCTCGCCGTCGGCGGCAGCGACGCCCTCATCTCCCTCTGGGACACCACGGACTGGATCTGCCGCCGCACCGTCTCCACCAACAACGGCGGCGCCGTCCGCGGCGTCAGCTGGAGCTTCGACGGGCGCTTCATCTGCGGTGCCTGCGACGAGGTCGGCTGTGGCGGGAATGGTCTGGAGATCTTCCACGCTGAGTCTGGTGAGAGTGTCTACACTATTCCTACAGGCGGGAGTGTCAACTCTGGTATTCCGGCTGTTGCGTGGCATCCTTCGCGCTACTGGCTGGCTTATTCTACTACCGCTGATGGGCCCGGTGTGGCTGGTGCGGGTGGGCTGAAGATTGTTGGGGCTGCTGGGGGGAGCTTGTAGTTTTGCTTGCATATGGTGTTTCCTTTCTTTCTTCGCTTGTTAGGCTCTAGTTTACGTTTGGGTTGCACTCCTGCTGGTTGCCTGATATCGGACATGGTGTCTACGATTTCCTGTTAGATAAAGCTTTCAATTAAGAATCTTGAAAAAAATCAAACGACAGTCAAAAAATTTCTATATGTCTGTGTTATATTCACATGGACCATCCCCATTCCCCTGACCAGCAGAAGGATAGATGATGGCCCTGATTCAATTATGTATCCTCAAAAATGGCCCATCAAGATACCGATCCATCGAAGTGAAGACGCTGTCCCAAGACGGCCATTAGAACTCTTATTCTGGACGTGAGATGTGTATGTAAATCGTCAACATGAGTCATGAAAATAGCGCGAAGTCAATTCATCCTGCCTCTCAAAATCCCTGCAGTACCAGGCCATGCCAACCCAAGCAAAAAGTAAAAACAAAGGTATCCATAACAAACATGAAAGATAGGAGAGAAAAGGGTAGGACAGCGGTAGTCCGAGCCTACCCCTGATTCCGCCACGCGTCCCAGTTCGTCGAACCGAGGAGCTGTGCCCATTGAGCTTCATTCAGAGACTCGATCCCTTCGAGGGCGGCCGCGTTGATATTATCGCCGTTCTGGCTGGCGGACGCGAAGTCCCAGTTCGGAGGAGGCATGGGGATGGAACTTCCGGGCTCGGTCGATTCGAGGGGGGTCATGAGGCCTGAGGATAGTAATCTCTCGGAGGATTGTGCGTCAGGGTATCGTGCTGGAGATGTTAGGTTGAAAGGTAGTTGTTCGGAGTTGCTGTTTGCCATGTTTGAAGACTGGTTGAGGTGGGTTATGGATGGGTGGTGGTGTTGTTGTTTCTTTGAAGGGGCAGATTCGCTTGTGGACCCCGTGGCTGATGAATCCACGGCCAAGGCCGGGACTCCGGATAATGTGTTTGTGTTGCTGGTGAATTCTTGAGGTATATCGAGGTCCAGGATCGTGCCGGATCCTAGGCTGTATGGGGGTGTATCGTTAAAGTCCTGCGTGTCACCGGTCGTTTGCGCAGAGTTGACGTCTGGCTGTTGCATTGTCTGCTGTGATCCGGTAATAAGGGAGGCTGGCATTGAGAAGTCATGACGCGGAACGGTCTGAGTAGATGGTGAAGATAGGTCTTCGTCTTGGTTCTGAACCTGGCTACGAGGAAGTATAACCCCACAAGGGCCTGATGGTTTGAAGTCTCTAGTGCTGACTGCTGTTAACGGTCGAATGCTACTGAACGAGGTCCCCTGGATGTCAACCTCGAGCTGGACGAGGAATGATTCTGTTAACGGGTTTTTGTTTTTCAAGGCATCAAGGGCAGAAAATAGGAACTGGAGTGATGATCGGGCGGCGGTATCGTCGGGACGAGACTTGAGGTACTGCACGAAGACACGCGCGGCGACAAAGATGCAGAATGACATGAACGGGTTCATCTGTAAACGAGTTAGAAGATGCCGATGACTCGGTGCGTTGTTTGAGACTTACAGTGGTCAAGTCCATGTGGCTAATCATCTTCATGATATTTGAGATCTGGTCGGCAGCCACGATGCATCTCCGCTTACTCTCGGTGATGATCTGTTCAGGCATCTTGTTTTTCTCCGCCTTGTAGATGGCAGCCTGATGCAAACAGATGGTGGACGTATGTATAGCCATATTGCAAAAGACCACGTTTGGATCTCTGACCCCAGCTGGTAATCGGAGGTGGTTTGGCATGGCCAGGGTAAAGTGGAGTAGGATATTGTCGTGCGACCTGTGTCGCTGCCAGTACAACCCATTGAGGTCATGGTCATTGTCATGAGGATCAGGTCGGTGAAGGTGCACAACGTTTCGCCCAAACAGGCATGCCATGAACCCAAGGCCTGCACACGATGACAAGGTAGGGAGGCCGTCACCGACCAGGACATCCGCAAGCCGCGCTGTACTCTCTGGCTTGCTTTTTATGAATGCCTCCTCTGTCGCGGGTAGATTCGTCGTAATCTGTCGGGAGAATGTCAGCCAGGTTTGGTCTCAAGATTGACAAAACGGCAACGAGGAGATGACTGACGTCTCGTTCATCCATGACCACAGGCCATCCAGTACCAACACTGGCATACCGATCAACGCAGAACGTCATCCAGAAAACCCGCCGCCGTTCCTCTTTTTCAGTCCAGTCCCTTGCTGGTGGCAGCGTTTTCTTCACTTCAAGATCCGGGCCGTCGAGGCGGTTCAACCCCATCATGAACGTTAGTCTTGCGGCTTTGCCAACACTTAACCACGCTCGCGGGAAGAACATCATCCGGAACTCGTATGTAGCGATAAGCAACCATGTCTGACAGTTGGACACAGAGACAATGCCTTCCCCGAGCCCTTTCATCTCTTCCAACTCCGCGTACTTTCGGGCTCGCTGGTAGAATAGCTCATGCAATCCAGAGTATTTGTCGGTGACGGATGCAGCGTGGCACCAAGTTATATATTGTAAGCATATAGGAGGGCGAACCCTTGGGGCGAGGTTCATCGCCGCGAGGTGTCGTGGGGGGTGCAGTATTGGTATGGAAGGATGTATCTTCTGAAAATATATATGATTTCTGTCCTTGGAATTAGCAGCAGCATCAAAGAACAATCATTCTTCAACCCAACACGTACAGCTCACTAGTGACAGCTTGGTTGGGAGTAGGTTCCTCCAGCCCCAGGCTTATCATATCCCACCCAAAGTATTCCGACTGGGATGCGTCCAAACCACTCGAGGGAAATATCTGACTTGACCGCGGATCGCCGAGGGGTCCAGCAGGAGGCGACATGGGCGCAACCACGCCGTCTCCTACGGACATGATTCCCGGAACAGCCGCCAGCTCATTCGGCAGGGCGGAACCAAAGCTATTATTCTGAGTCGTCTGCGGCGGTGATCGCTCATGGGTTTTCAGCAGCGTTTCAACCTGGGCTTCAAGAAGAGGAACCCGTCAGCGATTCCAGAACAAATAGTGGTGTAGATAACACGATCCCATTTTTCGCACCACCATACCTAGTCGTGCCTCCAGCTGCTTCACGTAACCTCGCTTGGGACCACTTTTCTTCCGGAGCTCCTCGTATGCACACTCATGACCTAGCCTGGCGCACGTTCCGCAGCTGGGCTTCTTTCCATCGCATCTGAGCTTCCTTCGCCGACACAACACGCAGGCGATGCGTTTGGGGCGCGGGACGTAGCTGCTGTCCCCATCGCTGTGGCCTGTTCCAGTCCGGGCTGCATTGTCATTCGATGGGTCTTGACGGTGTTCGGACGGAGAATGGGGTGCGTTCTGCTGGAAGCGTTCGTTCGGAGAATCGGCGGCCATGGCCATGTGAATGACGCGGGGAGGACGGGAAATATGCAGGCAGGAATGCGGGTGACTAGAAACGAGAGAACAACCCCCTCTCGTTATATATGTGAACAGCAGAGAATGTCCGGATCTCGATCACGGAGATCGCAGAGGATTTCGATGACCTCCCGACATTGGAATCGAAAGCGACAGGTTATCGGAGAGTGCGGCGCGACCAGCGAAACCACGAATGCTGGTTGAGAATATGGTCAGGCCTCGCTTTGTGAGGATTGGGAGGGGAACGGGCTAGACACACCGTGCGTTGGCCAAATGATCGGCCAAATATATGTTGAGCACAATATTCACGCTTTGGGTTCTTTCCTTTCTCTTTGATCACACTGACGATGTCAACGCAATGATGGAGGAGCTAGACTAGGTGGACCGCTAACTTAGAGCGGCAAGCGTAGCGATTAGTCAAAATCTATATAGATCCCCGTTTGCCGATCCATGAATCCCATACCCACTGCGCCTATGAAAGTCGGAATGGCAGGGCTCTTGCGGCCCATAAAGTTGCTACCATATACAAAATGATCAAAGAAACCCGTAGGATAGCTTTGACCTGATCAGGATACTGATCCTTCGCCTGTGTTGATTGGTCGGCTCGTTCGTATAACCGCGCGCCAGCAAAGCGCGGGGCTACGAGATAGTATGGTACAGGACGAAACACCGGTCAGATGTCCCCAGAAAATACGAAAGAAAGATCTTGAGAATTGACCCGGTTTAATATACAAGAACAACGCCACGATGTAACAAGGCAAATGCGTGGAAGATCCCACGATCGAGTAACTGGAGCAAAGTCTGAAGCACCCCGAATACAACGGCCCTGGTGCCCTACAACGGGCCAAGTATAGTACAAGACGAATGGTGGGAGGCGTGATCTTGGCGTAAGGGGGAAGAGGAACATGAGATGAAAATGAGAAGAAGGGCCAACGACAGGAGTGTGCAAATACCGTCGCTCTATTAGTTTCCTCTGCGACGCTTGCCTTGGTTGCGGACTCTCGGGGTGACCACGGCCTTGTTGATCTTCCACTTGGGACGAGTCTTGTAGCCCGATTTGGCCTAGATGGCGTTAGCAAACCACGCACGGGGACAGTGGAAGGCAGAGGTTGCATGATACTCACCGGCATGCCCCAAGGACTCTTGGGGTTGACGTTACCCTTCGACTTACCACGACCACCACCGTGGGGATGGTCCATGGCGTTCATGGCAAGACCACGAACGGTGGGTCGGATGTTCAGCCAGCGAGACCGTCCGGCCTTACCCAGTTGTCGGTATTGGTGGTTGGGGTTACTGGCGACTCCAACGGTGGCACAGCAGTCCTTATGGATCAGACGGACTTCACCACTCTGGAGGCGAATGGTAACGTGCTGGGCGATGCGGTCCATCTTTTGCTGCTCGCGCTGCGAAACGCGCTTCTTCTCTCCAGTTTCCTCTTCCGCTTCCGCCTCGGCTTGCTGGGCGGCCGCCAGCTGGTTGGTCCCCTTGGCGATGACGGTGCCAAAGGTACCCGCGCTACGGCACAGTTGCCCTCCCTTGCCCGGACGCAAGCCAATGTTGAAGATCAGCGTACCAACGGGCATCATGTGCAACGGCAAGCAGTTTCCTCTCCATGCCGTTCGGGCCGCGAGGACACCGGGATCAACGGTACTGCCCATGCTCTTCCACAGATGCTCGGGGATGCCGGGCATGTAACTCTCCACCACATCCCCCTCTCGCATACCCTCAGCCGCCACAATATAAGTGAGCCGCTTCGTCTCTTTGTTGCGAAGCAGAGCAATGTGCGCGCTCCGGCCCGGATCGTGTTCGATGCGCTCCACCAGCTGGGGCCCCGGTGCATCTCGCAAGAAATCGACCGTTCGAATACGGCGCTTGTGACCACCACCTTGATGCCGGACGGTCACTCGGCCCGTGTTGTTACGACCACCCTTCCCGTGACCCCGTTTGGGAAACGTCAACTTCTGTACCGGACGTCCTTTCCAGAGGTGGTCATTGACCGGCCGGCGCAAATGTCGGATACCAGGCGTTCGGGGCTTATATGATCGAATGTTAACGCCGGCGTCATCACGAGTGGGCGGGGGGGCGAAAGTAATGGTCGGGTCGAAGGTCGCGGTGGCCGGTTCCGCGGGAGAAGGATCTCCTTGTTCACGGACGGTCGAGTACGGACGAAGCGAACGCGTGGAGAGACATCTGAAGGGCAGGCGGAGGCCCGTCAGAGCCAACCGAGGTTGTAACATAATCGTGCGAGTTGGGTCACTTTTCCCAATCGGCTAATCCGGGGAGAACTATTGGGGAGATGAGAATCGGATTCCACAAGACACTCGATCAGGGACCAAACATACCACCTCAATGGCAATTTGAAAAAGGTGTCACAAAGGGGACGATAATTTCCACGCCACCTATAACAACACCGAGCCCAACTGAAGCGGATATTCGGGGGAGACTGGTGATAGCTGGCGCGGCCGATGCTTCGTCGGAGCGAAAATGTCGTTTGACGATTTGCGGGTGTGGCTTTTCCCATATCACCTGACACGGAACCTGACACCAGCCACAGGGGTGTGGCACTCTGCTGACTCAGAATCACGGGATGACGGGATCAGATGCCAAACAGAACAAACAGCCGAGGGTTGCTGGGCAACCAGTCCGTGTTTTGACCATCGTGCCGCGCAACATCAAATCACGTTTCTGGTCGCGACGGGCGTTTGTCCTGCCTGGGCGATTTCAGGCATCGACCACCCATGACGATCCCTGTTGACGGACCTCTTGTTTCGTCCCAGTACGGTATCATTACAGCCTTGCGTCCTCCTTCGCGCATGCCCGTACAGCGTATTTTGTTGGCGTAGCAGGTGGAAGGACTTCCATCATACATTACCATACGTTCCTGTTACACCGATACGTTCATCCATGTTCTGTATATTTACTTCCATGACAACCCCCCTTTCTTTCATCTCCTGCTCTTTATTCAGGACTTTCCCCTCTGCATTTCTTTGTCTTGATCTCTTTCATATTGATTCTTCCCTCGTACATAAGTTATATCGGACGAGCAATTCATTGATTCCCCCCAATTGCACATACATCGCGTTGTACAGCCCTTAGTAACGGTCATTCCGCGCGCCTCGAATGGGTTGTGCTGTGGGGCATCTTTCCCAGTTTCCACGCTAAGAGTAGGGCCAAACATCGCCTTTGCCCTGTCAAGTTTACCTCTCATCTTCCCTTCATCATTCCCCCATAAACACCTCCCCTTCAGATACCGGTTCCCCATCAGCGTCCTGGGTTACTTCTGTACATCTTTCTCGCGTCATTGTTTATATCCTGTCTATCCTACGTGTTGTATCATCTTCTCAACCACCCTTTTTGTTTATAACGGGCACCTACACGCCGTGAAACTCTCGTGTATCAGGTCCTGAGGCACCTGTCAACAACACCAGCAGAGTCTTATATGCGACACTTTTGATATCTCCACCCCCCAAATTCCTCCCGGATTCCTCGCCCTTCGACTTCAGGAACCTTGCATTACCGCTAGTTACCTGGGTTTGGGCGAAAAACACGCGTGGTACGTGAACTCTGCACCCGTCGTGGTCCTCAGGCATCTGAGCTCCATCGAGGAAGCTATGGGAATGCTGACTAGACAAGCTGTCCAGGGCAACAGTGTTCGACTTTAATCAACCTTGTTCCTTCCTCCCATCCTTCCAAACCATCCCTTTAGGCCTCTCTTTCTCTTCCCATCATCATGCCTCCGGTGAGTCTCGTCCTTGTTTAACGCGTTTCTTGGTGACTCCACTCCCCTTTCATCAATCTCACTTCTACCCCTCTACCCTGCGGTCACTATATCGGCACTCTGTCGTGGAATTCGTGCTCTAATCTGCTTCTCAGCAGGCTCGAAGCCTCCGCTCCCGAGGCACCATGAACGAGAATGATGAGAACGGGCCCTCGACGCGTCTCACCAGGGCCAAATCGGCAGCCCTGTCCACCGGGGATGCTCCCGCCGCCAACGCGGTTGCCAAGAAGCCCCTTCAGACCAAGAAAGCCGCCACCACAACGACCACGGCCGGAACCCAGAGGAGGCGTGCCGCCCTGGGCGATGTGAGCAACGTGACCAAGACTGAGAATGTCGAGACCAAGGAGGCCAAGAAGCCGGCTGCCACCAAGGTTGGGTTGACTTCGAAGGCGACGACGCAATCGGGCGGTGTCCAGAAGCTCAGCCGTAACAACACATCCCGCACGACTCTCGGAGCCAAGTCGGCCAACGCGAAGAACGCGGCCCCCGAGTTGAAGCGTCCCGGTAGCGGCGGCAAGGGCAGCTCCCAGATGAAGCGTACCAACAGCCAGAAGTCGATCCAAGAAAAGACCCTGCAGGCCGAGGAGCCCCCGCGTAAGAAGGTGGAACTCGAGAAGAAGAAGAAGGTCGTCCAAGAAGTCGCGGAGAAGGTGGAACCTACCGTCCAGCCCCAGCAACTGCAGAAACCGACCGAGGATGTCGTCGATGATCTGGATACCGAGGACCTGGATGACCCCTTGATGGCAGCCGAATACGTGGTGGAAATCTTCGATTACTTGAGGGATCTCGAGATGGAGACGCTACCCAACCCTCAATACATTGAGCATCAACCGGACCTGGAATGGAAGATGCGTGGTATCCTTGTCGACTGGCTCATCGAGGTCCACACCCGCTTCCGCCTCCTGCCCGAGACGCTCTTCCTTGCCGTGAACCTCATCGACCGTTTCCTTTCCGCCGAAGTCGTGGCTCTGGATCGCCTGCAGCTGGTCGGCGTTGCCGCCATGTTCATCGCGTCCAAGTACGAGGAAGTCCTCTCCCCCCACGTGGCCAACTTCAGCCACGTGGCGGATGAGACCTTCTCCGACAAGGAGATCCTCGACGCCGAGCGCCACATCCTGGCTACGCTGGAGTACAACATGAGCTTCCCCAACCCCATGAACTTCCTGCGCCGTATCTCCAAGGCCGACAACTACGACATCCACACCCGCACTCTGGGGAAGTACCTCATGGAAATCAGCCTTCTCGATCACCGTTTCATGAACTTCCCTCAGAGCCACGTGGCGGCGTCCGCCATGTACCTGGCACGTCTGATCCTCGACCGGGGCCCTTGGGTAAGCACTTCCCTTCGTATGAGCAATCCGATCAGCTCGCTAACGTGGCCAAATCTAGGATGCGACCTTGGCGCACTACGCTGGGTACACGGAGGAGGAGATCGACCCGGTCTTCCGACTGATGATTGATTATCTCCACCGCCCTGTCTGCCACGAAGCCTTCTTCAAGAAATATGCCAGCAAGAAGTTCCTCAAGGGTGAGTCTAGAATGCCTACCTGTCCTGTCGCCGTCCGTAATCTAACCTGTCCCTAGCATCTATCCTTACCCGACAGTGGGCGAAGAAGTATCACCACGTTTACATCGACAGCTCTCTGTCCGAACCTTACACATACATCAAAGATGCCGAGTAAAGTGAATGCGATATCCGCAGTCACCTAATAATCGGCATCACTGAGCGAATGGTTGTGGAAGGAGTTTGTTGAATCTTTATATGTTGGCATTTCTTCGTTTGTGATGGTAAAGGCACACACCTCTTGCATATGTTTACGACGGCATTTCTCTGTTTCAATTGCGAATGTTGGCATTGTCCACTGCTTCCCGGGGTGTCTGGCGCTCATGCTTTTTTTTTTTCTCTCCCCTTTTTAACTTCCCCATGGAACCTCTCACGTCACTTCAGTTTCCTGGGCAGTGTCTCTAGGGTGCTTCGCTCCTAGCTTGATACCTTTTCTATTCTCTTCTTGTTCGTGTATTTCCAGGCGTCGGATACTTCGGGGTCGGAATGTACTTGCAGTTGTTCTTTTTTTGGTTTTGAATCGTCTTGTCGGCGTTTTCCCGAGCGTCGGTTCTCTTTACATATTGCTATTCAATTCGTTCTATACAGCTTGATGAGATGTTCGCTGCATTATAGCCTGGTTCTGAGGTAGATCTTCGTGGCCTTTGTGATGACCCAAGTACTTGAAGAAGGGGGTGATGATTTGCTGGACTCGTCTTTTATTAGCATGGCGAGATTAGAGGGACATTAGAGGTAATGAGCGTGAGGGAATAATAATGCGCATCGGAATGGTTAATTGGATTCAATCTCAGCAAAACACTAGGCTATTTGACTCTAGAGTCCAGGGCGTAGCTGTTCTCCCCGCGTGGATCATCAGTCTAACGGGTGGAACCGAGGTTCCTTTCCCTGTAGATTCCCGACCATCCATCATCCTCCATCTCTTTCATTCATTCATGCACCTCCCTGACAACACTCAGGCTTGATAATTAATCACTACCAAGAATGATGTACACCTCATCCTGTCCCTTCTGCGACATAGCAAGCACATACCCGCCCGTCGCCCCCTCAACCTTCACCGTTCCGTCAGAGACAACAACACTTAACGATAGTAGTAACAACGCAAGTCCACCACCCCCAACGACAATCTCCGACGGATCTAGAGAAGCCCATCTTATCCTGTCGACGAAACATGTCCTGGCCTTTTTGGATATCATGCCGTTGACGAGGGGCCATGTGTTGGTTGTGCCAAGGCGGCATTATGAGAAGTTGTCGGAGGTGGGGGTGGGGATGAGTAGGGAGGTATGTTTTTTTTCTTTGGTTCTTTCTTGATTTCTTTCTTTTTGTTTTCGAGAAAAGTACTTCCAGATAGAGAAGATGGTGTTGGTTTTGTAGTGGTTATAGTATTGGTATTGTACTATGGGATATATATATGGGGTGTCCCGAGTCCGATATATATATATATATATATCTTGGCGTAATAGTATTTGAACACTATACTTCTACTACGCGCCTACTGACAGCATTCTCAATCCAATCACTAATTGATATATACAGATCGGCCAATGGCTCCCCATCCTTTCCCGAACCGTCCTCAAAACCCTCTTCGGCGAAGACCCAGACAACACCCAATGGCACTGGAATGTTGTGCAGAATAATGGTATGTATACAACATCTCTACATTCCCCTTTATAGAAATCAGAGAACTACTAGGCAACCAAGCAAATGAATCACCCCAACTGACAAGTGCTCAATGATATAGGAGTCCGCGCCGCCCAACAAGTCCCCCACGTGCACTTCCACATCATCCCGCGTCCCCCGTCAGATCCCACGCCCAACGCAGCCAAGGTCAGCTGGGTGATGTTTGGGCGTGGGCAGCGGGATGAGCTGGATGATGAGGAGGGGGAGGGGTTGGCGAGGTTGTTGCGCGAGGAGTTGGCGAGGGAGGTTCGGCGGGTGAGGGATGTTGAGGGGGTGGATTTGGATTTGGATTTGGATTTGGGCTTGTCTGTGGAGGGGAGGGGGAAGGGGAAGCTCTAAATTGGTGTTTATTCATGTATATATTGTTGTTGGGTGGCAATTGGTTGGGTTGGTCTGTTGATGATACCTATATATATCTGTGGGTTTGTTGAATTACTATTACTGCTACTACAGTGTGTGTTGTCGGGTTTAGATTATGTGTAATAATGCGATGTTTCATTCATTTCTCTTCTGAATAGTAGCTTACCGCGAGGCTGGGCTTCCCTTCTCACTGCCAGTCTTGTTCTCCTTTTTCTTTTCAAAGTACTGTGGACACATTAGCGCTGGATTTGGAATTAATATCTTTCAGACAACGCACCTTCTTCCGGAATGCATTCAACTCATTCGCAGTATACCCCGTCTCACCATCCTTCAGCTGTCTAGAAGACGACACATCCGAGACTTCGCCCTCGGGGAGTCTCTGATAAGTGATAAGTCGGCGGGCCCCTGCGCCCTGTCAGTATTGCCAGCCTTCCACAAAGAGAGAGACCACTGGGTGTGACATACATAAGTTGAACTCTTGCACGGACACGCTAATGACCTTTAGATTCGGGTGCATCGGCGTGGCGAGCTCCCCGTCCTCGTCGCTGGCGGTGGGCATCCACATGCACAGTCGACCGTTCGTAACGAGCGTCCGCGAGGCAAATTCTAGAATGTCGTTTTGCAGGGCTTCGAAGCCGTAGGGTCGCTTGGGGGCGATGTAATCCGGTCGACTGGAGGGGGATTAGTATGTAGTTCGACGTAGAGGTGTAGGAGGAAGAAAGACATACTAATGAGCCGGAACACCATCAATGATAATCTCCTCCTTCGCAGCGTTCCTCCCACGGCGCGATTCCCGTGTGCCTAGCACCTGGAGCCCTTCGCGGATGCCATAAGGCGGATCGCAAACGATGCCATCCAGAAACTGATATTCCCGCAGCGGGGTGTTCGTGATATCCGACGTAAAGACATCCCCGAACTTGCTCTCCGTGCCGTACTGCTGAAAGTTCCTGAACACACCAGGCGGATCGCCCTTCTTCTGCTTCCCGCGAAAGCTGCGCCCATCGATATCCGAGCCGAGGGTCACGGCGCCGAAATGCGCCGCGGAGACGATAAAGCCCCCCGTCCCGACAAACGGGTCGTAAAACAGCTTCCCCGGCCCCGCGTGCGCCATGTTCGCCGTGATGAGACTCAGCTCGGCGTCCATGGACGTCGTGCTGATATAGCGGCGCTTCTTGAGATCATACTGGTTAGTCGCCTCGCGGCTGCTGTTGCCGATCCAGCGAGCGAAGTAGATCTTCTTGGGATCGCCCCGTTTCTCGCCCTTCGACTCGGACATGAGCGAATCGGGCGAAAAGTCCGGCGTGTACTGTTCCATGATCCAGAAATCCTGGTCTGGGTTCTTCATCCGGATGGGTCCCTCGAAGCCCATGTAGTTGAACGTGCCGATGATCTCCCGCTTCTCAGTCAAGCTGCGGTGGCCGCCGTAGCCGTCCACCGTGAACCGGAATGAATCATGCTTGAACTGCGCCCAGCGGTGCTGTGTCCGCCCGCGGACGTTGGCGTGCAGTTCCTCGTACGTGCTGCCTTGGGTCCAGAGCTCGAAGATCTCTTTGCCAAGGATGCTGCGGGCGATCACGGCGCGCGCAGCATCTTCATTTGGCAGTTTTATGATACAGTAAGGTGACTAGGGAAGAATTAGACATTTTTTGCAAGACGCGGGGACGAATCGCGGGGAAGATGCGTGTGGTTTAACCATCGGCGCATCCGCCTGAAATTGGAGAATTTGTACATACGCATGGATCGTAATGTACGATTTCCAGATCGGTGCCTACCAACGAGGCCAAAGACTGCAGCTCTGGCAGCCGGAAGGTCTCGTGGAGCTGGGCGAAGCGAATTAGATATTCCATCGCCACGGAGCCGGATGCGCCTGTTCCGATATTTGACTTTTCCCACTGGTTTCTCTATCCCTGAGACAGAGACTGTGAAACTGATCTTGGATATTTTAATAGAATACAAGAAAATTCGTTTCTTTATATCGTGGCTAGGGAGGAAGTCGTTGGAGAAGGCTGTTGGAGGGACCGAATTTCTCTCACTTTTTTTTTTCTTTCCTTATTGGGTCCGGCTAGATTTGATCCCACTCGGAACCCAAAGACGTCAAGGATGAATGATAGGATTTATTAGAGTACAACTCAACTAGGAACGTTCAATGTCATTTAAAACATACGTAGAGGGTAATAAAAGCCAGAACTCAAGTAGAAAAGAAAATAACATCTCTATGCAGAAATATTTCCCCGCAAATGTAAACTCAAGGATATCTACGGCGATAATTCCATTGGACATCCAAGCAAATGCAAGAACCCACGGAAACCATAAAGCCAAGGGAAAAATTAAAAGAAAAGAAAGAAAACAGAAGATCCGTAAAGCGACGCCAATAACCTTGGACCGATAAATGTCAGAGATAAACCATAACTGACAAAACTCCGCCGCTATGCGCCAACAACCTTGAACATATGTCGTGACTCATATCCTTCCACATTACTGACTTCGACCTTCTCCCCGGCCGGAATCATCTCGTGCTGGAAATCCCATCCAGCTCGGCGACACAGCTCGGATACAACGACGTCGCAATCGCCGAGCAGGTCGATATCGAAGCTGGTGTGTGACACGGGCTGGAACGAGGGTCAGAGCTAGAAACCAGGCAAGAAGAGAGTACAGGAAATAAGAGAGAGAAAGAAGATGGTGTACGCGAAAACTTACAGTGCGAGAGATGTAGATCTGCGGCACGTTGCGCGGTAACACGCCCGGCACTTCCGCCACAGGGGCCACCTTCAGGGAAGTCCCAATGACAATGACCAGATCCACCTGGTCTCGGTCCTGGTGGATGAGACGGCGGCCGAACTCATCGGGGAGATCCTCGCCAAAGAACGTGATATCGGGCTGAAAAGGGGTGAGCAAGTGGAAGTCACATCATACGTGGGTGTCTGCACTGACCTTCATCACACCAGGGGTCGGGAGTTCATAGTCTTCGTCGTCGTCAGAACTATCCTCGCCGTCGGCTTTCCGACGCTTCTGCGTTGCGCTGGTACTGCGCTTTCGCTTCATCCCCTGTGGCTTCAAAGAATCATCCTCGAGCTTCTTCCGGCAAGACGAGCATTCCGGAATGAGGCCTTTTCGGATATCGCCGAAGATCTCGTCGCCCATGACCTTATGTTCACACTTGACGCAAGAGGCCGTCGCAAACGATCCGTGGCACTGCACGATGTTTTCAGGTAGAACACCCGCGTTGGCCTCGATGTTGTCGATGTTTTGCGTGTAATTAGTCAAGAGCTTGCCCTTATCCTGCAGAAGGCGAATAAACCCGTGAGTGGGCGAGTACTTCTTCTCCGTAGGCAGAATGTCCTTGGCGATCGAGAAGAAGATGGAAGGATCTTCGCGGAAAACGCTAATGTCAAAGACCTCCTGCGGGTCGCTGAGGCCCAGGTGTTCCAGCTTCGAGTAGAGACCCGTATCTTTCGATCGGAAATCGGGGATCCCCAGGCTGGTAGAAATCTGATCACGAGTCAGTACTATTTACCAGCCATCTACAAAGAGTAGCAGTACGTACGCCGGCACCTGTGATCACGATGATCTTCTTCGACTCCTTCAGCAGCTTGACCGCATCCTCTATCGAGTTGTACTGGGGGAGCTTGGGGCGCCTCGAGAACTCCCGCGAGATCGCGATGGCCAAAAGAGGGTGATAGGCGCTGTCTGGGGCACCATCAAGAAAATCCGGAGGCAAAATGCCAAACGCAGTGCACAGTTTCTTCGCGGTGATAGTATCCGCCCCGATCGTCTCCTGCACAAACACTGCCTTGCCGACTTCGTGGAGACGGTTGCGAAATGCGATAGCCTCATCCAAGGAGCAGGCGTCCGGTACTGCATCACAGAGACAAAGTCAACAAAGTCTGGATCGCGGGAAGACAAGAAAGGACATCTGGCGCATAGATAGATATCCCTATCTATACCCAAAGGGGAAGACTCTCACTTACTCCCGCAGCGAAGTTCTTCGTCGTGCAGCACCTCAAGCTCTGCCTCCAAGTCCGATCCCGAATCGTCGCTATCGGTTTCATACTCGGACTGCATGGCTTCGTTGCCCACAGCGGCTGTGTTCTCCATGGTCGTAATGGTCTCCTTCGTATCGGCCGGGGCCATATCAACGGCTTCCACCTCAACCACCGGGCTCTTCAACGACGAACTTTTCCCCGTGGGCGCTGGTACCAGATCCATCCTGAGGTGGAAGATAGGACGCCGCCAGCAACCGCTAAGACAGCACTTCACTCACATTGGGCAACTTTTGTTTGCCACATCAAAGATCACTGGCCGGGGGGGTCAAATTTGGCTCTGGCTCATCTTCGGGGGAAAGGCGGTCGGTCCGGCGTTTATCCGGCGCCAGATACAAAGGGCCAATGATAAGGATTCGTTGGAAGTATAGTATGTCTTTTCTATTGGTATCATGTATGGAATGTAAAGAGGACTATATGTAACTTTTCAAGAGTCCGCCATCTCATCGTCACTGTCGGACTTGATCTCGTCTTCCCAGTCTTCTTCGCCCTCTTCGCCTTCTTCGTCGTCCTCCATTTCCTCGCCCAGTTCTTTGTTCATCTCCTGGACCAGTTCATTGGCGTGCTCTTTGATCGGCTCGTCCTCGTACTGGACCAAATCGTAGAGGGTCAAGCTTTGTTTGAGCCATTCTCGACTAGCGACAAGGGAAGCGAGTCTCTTTTCCTCGGGGGACACGTCGGATTGCGCCTCCTCTTCAGCGTCCTTGGGGGCCTCTTTCTTCTCGGCCAGAAGGTTAAGACACCATCCTCCGAGGTACCACGCTTCCACACTCTGGTCGTCTTCCAAGATCAGACGCTCCAGCACTCCCAGAGCCTCGAGTTCCATGGAAACCTCCATCAGCAGACGAGCGAGACTGATCCGGGTCGCAAAGTCGGGGATGATCGGATCCTCGGGCGGCATGTCTTTCCATAGTTCGAGACTCCGCGAGAGGGCGGCACGGGCGTCATCGAGCCGTAGCTGTGAAATTCGGATGGAGGCAAGCGTCTGCATCACCTCGGGCACATGGGGTCCCACAAGTAGCGCTTCTGTGATCAGGGCCTCGCAGCGGTTTTCGGCATCTGCCTCCCAGCTGGTAATAGTCAGTAACGTTTGCAATTATGATTCCAATAAGTAAGCGCAACTCACGAAAGGTCAGTCATGTAGATCTCAGCCACTCCGCACAAGGCGTTGGCCATCTTCCGCTTCTTCTCATCCAGCTCGATAGCCTCTGCGGGACCAGGGTTCTCCTCCAGCTGTCGAATGGTGTTCCTCAGAGTTGCCACTCCCTTCTCGAACCACTGAACACTAGCCTGTCCGCCTTGCTCGTTCAGCTGAGCCAGCCATAGGAATTTCTCAGCGCCTCCTCCTTCAGACTCAGGTATGCTGCCATCCGCGTCGAGCTCGACCGCGCGAAGGAAATGCTGCATCGCGGCTTCCACCTCCCCAAGTTCCACATAAATCTCTGCGACCAGGTTCAGGGCCGACAGCTGGAGGGGCGAATTGGCGGGCGCATCGTTGAGAGCCCGCTCTGCCAGCGGCGCTGCCGTATCCGCTTGTCCGGTCTGTAGGAGTAGTGTCGCTTGCTCCAGGAGCTTGGAAGGGTCTTCGTTCATTTTCTGTTTCGAAACCGAGCCGCCGGCGCCGAGGACGGACTTTTTCGACTTGGATTCCTTCTTTTGCTGAGGCTTGGATTTGCCCATGGTAGGATAGTCGTTTCAATTGTACCCAATGTGGTGCCTAATGGCAAGAAAAATATGAAGTGAGGAGAAGACCACTGTAGACAATCCAAGTATATAAGCAATTTGGGATTTTTTCTTTGCTGCTCTCTTCTTTCTTAATTGAAAGCGAGAGCGAAAACGGCGGAGCTGTAGAAACCCCATTTTCGATGAAATAATTTTGGGCCGTTCCTTATCTGTTTGGCTTGTTTGCAGGTGGGACTGCAATCTTGTATTGCGGCGTCCATGACCGTTTGATGTGCGATCGCTGTTTGTATATCCACGTCGAAGGGTGTCTCTCGTCGCCTTTATTTCTGAGTGCAATTATTGTGTTAGCTAACTGGAAGCTGACTCTTCGTGACGCCTTTTATTCATCTATTTTGCGCCCGTCAGCGTTCCAACCCCTCAGCCACAAGTACCCCTCCAATACCCTCGACGGCATAATCGAAGCAAGATGGGTCGTGAAGACCAGATCGAAGAGCGCGAGGTGCTCGATTCCATCTTCCCCGAAGAGATTACAGGTGTGCATTACCTATACTGAAACGCCCGCAAAGCGAAGCAGTTGATGCTAATACTCGAACACCCTCAGACGTATCCGATGTCTCGTACCGCATATCCATCGACCTAGACACCCCAGAAAACGAGATCGAAGAGACCGAGCCAGCCACCCTGATCTTGCAGGTCACCTACCCAGCAGACTATCCGGATGTGGCTCCCGAGCTCGAAATCTCCGCGCCCCCCAACGCGCCCAGACACCCCCGGCTAGATGTTCAGGAAGACCGGGGTCTACTACTGGAGGCTCTGCAGGAGACCGTCGAGGAGAACTTGGGCATGGCGATGGTCTTTACGCTTGTCAGTGCGCTAAAAGAGTTAGCGGAGCAGCTGATGGCCGAGCGTGTCAACGCCGTACACGCCCTGAAGGAGGTGGAAGCCGCCAAGGCTGAGGAGGAAGAAAACCGCAAATTCCAGGGTACCGCTGTTACGCCAGAGAGCTTTTTGGAGTGGCGGGACAAGTTTATGAAAGAGATTGAGGAGAAGGAAAAGAAGGAGCGCGAGGAAGAGGAGGCTAGCGATAAGAAGTTGACTAAGAAGGCACCTGCTAAAGACGAAAAGAAGCTCACCGGGAGGCAATTATGGGAGCGCGGTTTGGCTGGAAAGGCTGACTTTGATGAGGACTATGAGGATGCTATGCCTCCGGTGGAAAAGATGAAAATAGCTGCATAGCGTTTTATTTGCTTAGAATTGTCATGATGTGTCTAGTGCTATTCTTATCCAACGCCTTGGACTCTTCCTGTAAATACACATGATAATGAACATAATGGCGGGGAGTCCATAGATTGCATTATTTTGCAATGCGTATGGTTGTCTGGGTTATCCCAATGGCCAAGGCCGGAATATGAGGTCCTGCGGCAAGGCAAATGTTGATACGAAGCGTCGCCTGATAATTCACGCTCCAAACCGGATGCGCCCACTGCCCCGAACACGCCGGTATCAACATTCAATGACGAATCTTTGGGCGTCCGTAAAATCTCGCGTCCTCGTGTCCAAAGCCACACTATTCGAGGCGCAGCTTGGACTGACGCAACGGATGTTCAAGGCGTGGCGAGGCCTTGAATATCCTGGGGGAGTATCCACTGCGCTTTATATCATGCCAACTTGGATGGCATATTCCTCCAACAATACCCAAACTACTTCGGGTAAGGACCACGCTCGACGGGCGGTTCGTTGATCATCGTGAACGAGAAAAGACGGGAATCATTCCTGTGAGACTTTCACTTTCCGGCCGACTGATGCTTCTGCTCTTCTGCTGCTTTCTCGCGCTCAGCAAGCACAACCTCCCACATGGCTCGTGCGAGCGATTTGGCTTTTGCATCAGTCTCATAAATCTTCTCATTCACGTCCGTCAAAGAAGCCTTGATCTCATGCCCCCATGACGCACGTTCTATGCCCGTGGTCAACGAATCCCAGTGGTCTTCAACCTTGGCCATATCTAGTTCGGCATGCAATCTCTCACGGCGTCTGATCCGTTTCCAGCGGTTCTCCAGTCTCGATCGTATAACGTCGCTTAAGAATTTCGGCTGTGGCTTTTTTATCCGCAGGAATGGGATACCGCGCGCGTTGACTAGGACAGGAATTCGGCGCTTTCCATTTACGATAGGTCGCGGTCGGGACAGGATAGAGGTGGCTTGCGGATGCCGGGTGAGAGTCCGTTTTTCATGCTCCTTGGCAGTCTTTCGCTTCTGTTCCTTTTTGGATGGCGGCTTCACGGGCATTCTTGCCGACCGGGCTCGTTGCACTTCTATCTGCTGTTGTCTCGCGGATTCGGTTTCTGAGAGGAGGTTTGTGATGTGACTGGTCGCCTTATGATCGCCCTGAGAAGCTGAGTATAGTAGGTCGAGAGCCTAATTGCAGAACGCGCGGTTTAGCAGTGAGTTTCACGCTGGTAGCCCAAAGCGAATATACACACCTCGTACCCAGCCTTCAAAGCATTGGCCGTTTTCGAAGGACTTTTTAAGGTTTTGTATTTATGGAACCGTTGTTGAATGAGTGGCTTGCACATATGAAGCTCGGGCGCTGAGCTGGGACTGGGAAGTCGACCGCATTGTCGGAGGAGAGCGCGATAAAGCGCTTGACCTAAAAGCAGGTGTAAACATAGGTTTCCCACGATTGGGCCACAGGGAGCATTTCTCACATGCAAATCGATGAACGGACGAAACTCGGGGGATATATACTTTATGTACCATTGTGGAGGATAGAGCCCCATGGGCAATTGCTGGACTTGACTCCGTCGGTGCCGGAGATCTCCATGATATGCGGCCGGAGAAATTCCTTGGTAATGTCACGTGCTTGACCATGCAGTACCGGTCAATTTCCTGCTGTTCATGTTTGCTAAAAAAGGCATGAATAAGGATGGAAACACTATGGATCTTAGATGAGTATAAAATGATTTAATGAAAACATGACTGTGTTGTGTATGTTGAGACATCCTGTTCTGATACGTTGGTTACTAGGAATGGTATCTTGACCGGAGTATAGAATGTATATATTAGACCGCCCCGCTGATAGAATTTCATCTTTGAATCATGAGAGTGTGTCCTAAAAGGGAACGACTTTCGCCTGTAGGTCATTGTTCGGCATACTTTTGCATAGCGGATTCGTAGATTTGTCTCTGAAAACAGCGAGAGAGAGAGAGAATAGGAAAGTAGTCTAGAAAAACCATAGATTGAGACTAGACTTCAGAGAAGTTGAACCAATACCCGTCGTTATGCATTGACTGTACACGCTCTAATAATAAGCCAGGTGAGGGAGACATAACTGAACCTGACATGAAACGAACCACGACTCCGATTTTAGCTCTCTTAACATCCCAAGCAACTAAATCTCTAGAAATTCGAGCCCTCCGGAGGCTGAGGAAGTTTCTTATGGTTCGGGAGCGCCATGTATCTGGGGAATGCAAGCGTTAGCCAAATAAACTTCACCGAATATACGAAATGCCCACCGTCTAATTTCAAGGAGGATGGTCTCCATGTTATAGTCGCGCTTCCACTGAGCCAAGCAAGGCAGCTTGGTAGGGTCAACCTGGGAGGATGTTAACCACAATCCGCCCCAATCTGAGCACTAGCAAAACATAGCGGGAGTTATACCTTCCCCGTTCGCGGGTCGACACATGGGAGGTTGACGCGGGAGATGAACTGAATCTCCGGGGGGTGGTCAGGATAATCGGGACCGCAGTGAATATTGACACTGTAGATTCTGTTCTCGTGGACACTCTGTATTCTCGCGAGTCAGTATCCGTCGTGCGTATTTGGAGGAATCGGGGGACCAACGTGAGGGGGACCGAGGATGGTGCCATTCCAGTTGCTCATCATCATATCCTCGCCATCGGCAAGACCGTAGGAGCATGCCTCTAACCCGATAGACCATATACATCAGTAATCTGGCATGAATGGGGTGCAGATGAGTGCAATATACTTACCGGGTCCTTGGCCCTTCTCGCCCTTCTCCAGCTCCTCCAGGAGCCGGAAGTTTCTGGGCATTTTAGCCGCCATTGTGAAGGTGACGGAAGTGGTACTCCAGACAGTAAATATCTGAAAAAGTACAATATAAAACTAAGTGGAAGTTGTTGGGCACAGAAACAATGGTGTGAGTGGTTTCTATGGCCGGAGAGAAAGAGGGGCACGAATGTAGAGTCAGTCAGGTATATCCCACCGGATGTGTTATCGCTTTGGCCAAGGTCCAGCGGGCACTCCATTACTAGTCCAGGTTCGGTCTAGGCCGTCAGGCATGAAGAATGCAGCACGTGATGATAACGGGCAAGATAGACATCACGTGGGGCCACTAGTCTGTTGGTGTCTTGGCGGCAGGCGGTCGGTCCCTGGGAATGCCTCTCCCTGGCAGCGAAGTACTACTAACTTGTTTGTTGTATGTTGCTTGAGATATCCATCGTCTTGCGCTTGATTGACTGTGTTTCTAGTTCGGTGAACCGGTCCCTTGACGAATATATATGGTGACGACTTTTCCAGTCTGCTACGATTGTATCATATTGATTTACCGGGAAAACAAAGCAATGAAGCATAGTACCCTATGAAGCCACATCAGCTCTATCGGAGTCGCCCTAACCTTACTACTCGGAGCTTCTAGCGGCATCGGCCATGCTTTGATCCCACGCGCAATTGGAAATGTCCTCCCAATTTCTACAGTCGGAGCTTTTGAACCTCATTCAAGAGTCCAAGAGGAAAAACACCGACTTGCGACATGTATGTTGAAGCTGTCGATCAGGTGCGACGCCGGTATTCAAGCTTACATCATCTAGGCCGCCGAAGAGTCGCTAAATGACCTGAAGGCATTGCCTTCTACGTCTGAAGCCCAGATATCTGCTGGTAGGTTGCGCATGGAACCTATAGATTTGTGATTGTTTGGACTAGCGCCCTCATTAATTATGCAAAAGACCTGGTTCGCAAACCTAAATTTGTCGATCCATTTATTCTAGCCTGCCATGGGCGCCATGCGAAAACCGCTGGAATCGGAGTTGTATGCCTGCAAAGGCTGGTGGCGTCTAGATCATTGCCCTCTGAGCGATTGAAGGATGTCCTTGGCGGTCTTAAAGAGACGACGAGTCTGAGTAGGTGACTTCCATCAGATGCATAGCTCTCATGCTGAGACTTTCCAGGCCTAGAGATCCAACTCAAAATCCTGCAGACGCTGCCTTCTCTATTCCAGCACTATTCCAGCGACTTGAGCGGAGAGCTCCTCGGGAGTACGTTGGAAATCTGCGCCACGCTGCAGGCAAGTAAGACCCTTGCGGTCTCCAGTACGGCGGCGGCCACACTACAGCAACTCGTGGTTTCGACTTTTGAGCGGGTTTCCACCGAAGATAGTCAGTCCAGATAACTCTCTTGCTGTGTTGAAACTGGAAACTAACATGTTTCGCGTAGACGGGTCCAAGTCGACAGTTTCCGTCAAGGTCGATGGGAACTCTGTAGACATTGGGGTTTTGGCATATGATGCTCTGCGTGTAAGCTTGGTCCTTAGCTCCTATGTGTGTTCGCTAACGTAACCTTTTAGGTTTTGGATGATCTCTGTCGTCTTGTAGATGGAGAGCCCTTGCAGTTTTTACGAATTAAATCACTGTCGCCCACGTTCACTCTGGAACTCATTGAAAGTGTCCTGCTCAATAGTGGCCGCCTGTTTGTTGATCATGCGGAACTCACGCAGGTCCTCCGGACACGACTTGTGCCGCTGACCGTCAGGTACTTGTCTGAAAGGCACTCTTTTGCCCAGTCTGTCCGCGTCTCTCGGATTCTTCTCGTGATCCTCAAGCGCCACATGTCCCTTCTGACAGCGGACTGTGAGATGGCTCTGAGTTTAATGACGCATTTGCTAGAACCCGATGGAACATCTCCCTGGAAGCGTGTCCTCTGCATGGAGATTTTTCGCGGCTTGTATGCTGAGCCAGGGCTTGTACGGCTGATTTATTCCTTGTATGACGGAGTAGATGGAAGAAAATGTATCCTAAGAGATCACATGGCTGCTCTGGTCCGTCTAGCATCTGAGAAGCCCGCCGTCATAGGTGTGAGCAATCGCTCAACAATGCCGGCGGGGGCAGGACACTCGAGATCCATGACGGAGGACCAGATCACCCTTGAAGCCAGTGGTCTTGCTGGTGTAATTGGGACGACTGTCTCATCTAATGATACTAATGTGCCTGGCATCAGCACTCAGTGGAGTGTGGTTCGCACGGCTTACATTGAACTGCTGGACAAAACTGATCCGCCGCCTCCTCCAGAGACCTACATTTATAGCCTTGTGCTAAATTGCATAAGTGCCTTTGCGGAAGGGCTTGCCAAGTTCATTCTTCCGTTGACGGTCCCTGACTTGAAACAGAAGAGGAAGAATCGGATCGCAAACTCCGAGCAGAATGGCAGCCCCGCGAGACCTGTGCAAGATCTTCAACGCACCGATTCCTCGAAAAGCATTACCAAAGCAAGCCCTAAAAGGTCGACGATACCCCTCAATCCTCTCGAACTGGATTCCCATCCTCAGTTTTCAGCGATCAAGACCTGCGCTGCGATCATTGACAATTGCTGGCCAGCTATCCTTGCCACATGCTCCACCTTCCTTTACGCGTCTCTAGATGACGATTTCTATCACAACCTTGTTCGTTCGTTTCAGAAGCTGGCTCACGTGGCGGGTCTTCTGAGACTGTCTACTCCACGGGATGCGTTTCTGACCACACTGGGAAAATCAGCCATGCCAGTTGACACAAGCGGCATCAAGCTCACAGGAGGCGCGACGACAGCCAAAGGTGCTTCTCAACATAGCTACCGTGGGGATGAGAAACGGAAAGGACCAGACTCGTTTGTCGGTTCATCAGTGCCTGCAGATACGGCCGGCACATCTTCGGATGGCCCTTCGCTGTCCCTGAGCACAAGGAATCTTCTTTGCTTGCGTGCTTTGCTTAACCTGGGTATTGCTCTAGGTTCGACTCTGGATCAGCCGGCCTGGTCTATAGTTTTAGGCACTCTGCAAGATACGGATTTATTAGTTGGGACGTCCTCGGTAAAGCCAAGTGCAACCGGTGAAGCTATATCCGGTGCTGAGGCGACCAAGGCCAATATCGGCGCCGAGGTTTCTGCGGTGCAGGGAGCTTCAAACAAGATGTTCGAAAGCACGGGTGATTATCCGAGCGATTCGTTCGAAGAGATCTTGTCTGCGCTCCTGAACCTTTCAGGCGATTCTGAAGAGACCAGTCCAAAAAAATCTTCAGACAAATCACCAAGCGGTGTGGGGTCGGCAAAACGCAGCGGCATACGTCGTGACACTCGTCGCGTGTCACTTGCTATAGGCAAATCAAGGATGCCGGGCGAAGAACTGAAATTTGTTTTGGAAAAAGCCAACGAATTAGCGAAGGCAAACCTGGAGCGTCTTTCTTCTTTAGTAGAGGATGAAAGCAGAGCCTGGAGCCTCTTGACTGACAAATTGATGTCAAGCGCGGCGGATGAGACTACTAGCCAGCCTCTTCGCTTACGGGCCAACGAAGTACTCAACAGCCTTGTTTTCGAGACTATGAAACAAAGGGAGGATGATGATGAAAGCACACAAAACGCACGCCAAATGAGGAATCTTCAGGCATTGAGCACGCAAATCAAGCTGCTCTACGACAGGAGCCACTGTGTTCCGGGATCGCCTTCTTCCTCCATCGCGGAGGTTCACCAACAAGTCTTGGAAGTATTGAAAGCGATCCTGGAGCAATATGCAGACACGTTCGCTGAGGGATGGACTGTGGTGTTTGAGATCATCTCTACTGTATTCGGCACTACTCTACCCGAAGGCATCGAGTCAGTCCCTTGTCGGAAGGCCAGCAAGACCACATTGCTCGCAGATTCGCCTCGACTTATTCGAGTCTCATACAAATCTTTGCAACTGATAGGATCCGACTTTATCTCCCTGCTCCCATCACCATGTCGGCTGGACCTTGTGGACTCATTCTCAAAGTTCGCGCTGCAGCAACAGGATTTCAACATCTCGTTGACGACAACGTCCTCGTTTTGGAATGTTTCTGACTTCCTTCAAGGTCAGATTGAGGAGTTCTCCATCGAGTCCCAGGTGGATGCCTCGGTGACCGAGGAGAAGCTCGCGACATTGGCCAAGAATGAAGAATCCTCTGTTTCTCGGAATGCTTTGTGGCTTCTCCTCTTGCTGCGAATCGTCGATCTCACTACAGATAGCCGGTCGGAGATCAGGAATTGCGCAGTCCACACACTCCTGAGGATCTTTGATGCTTACGGTCAGCAATTGTCTCCCAAGGCGTGGCGGTTGTGCCTCAATCGGGTCCTGTTCCGCATGGTGGAGGAAGTCGAGACTGAACTCATCGAAATCAACGACAAGGGAGTTGATCGAAGCTCCGAGGGCCTTAGTTCTTGGGTTGACACTACGGTTGTCATGATCAAGGGAGCGTCCGACTTGATCACCACTTTCTTTGATCCTATCATAAAGGATGAGGAATTCGACAAGTCTTGGAAACGACTATTTGAGTACTTCCGAAAATTCATTGCCCTGCACATCCTGGATATCAGCGAAGCCGTATTCACCAGCGTCTCCAAAATGCTTGTTCGAGTAGATGGGCCGCAAGGGTTGAGCAAACAAGCCGTGCAAGTTACATGGTCACTCTGGATGGATGGCCATCCTGCCGATAGGGAGGATTTGCTGGACCTGGGAAAGCCCAACCAGGATGCCGCTTTGGCATATCTTGAAGCTTTCCAGCAAGTGTACCGCCTTTACAGAGAGGATTTGTCGGAGGCGGAAATTGAGAAAATACTCGGGCATATGCGTTTCCTCGCGTGGAATTCTATTCTACCCCGATATTCGCCCGACATCGACCGGCCCTCCGACCTGCAGTCCCTGATCATCAAATGCACCAAGACGCTTTGCACTGATAAGACCGAGTCTCAAGCAAATATTCTCCACTGTCTCGCGGAATTTGTTGATTCCGCACTTTTGAAATGGACGCCTGGAAGCGATTCCCGCAAACCGACATTTGTCGCTTTCTCCAAGAGTGCTATCGAGCTCCTCAGGTGGTACATCGCCGATTTCGGAATCAAGCAGGACATATTCAGCAACGGCTCCCTAGTGACAGCTCTCGAGCACCTCGCCAACCCGATCTCTCAGAAATACGAGTGGCCGGGCAAAGACCGTGAGCCATCTCTCTGGCAAAAGTCCACCGCCGCATCTCTAGACATCCTCCAAGTCGCCATCCCATACGTGGAGCAACAATACGAAAAGTCGCAACAATCAGTAGTCGAGCGCTTCTGGGACTGCGTCGTCCACATCGCCGACGGCATCGTCTCCGCCAGGGGATACCGCACAGTCCCCATCCCCAGACCCAACCTCCTCAACGACGAATCAACCGACATAGCCGCATTCTCGCGTCTCAAAACCCTGATCATCCCATCCCTCGGAGCGAGCACCATCCCAGACTGCACCCGCCGAGACTTCGCCTGCGCCCTCCTCCGCCCCTCCTTCATCTACGCCCCGCAACGCTCCGACCTTCCTCCGAAACTACCAAACGACCCCCTCACCAACCTCTACGACATCCGCCCCGGCCGAACATTCGACCCGCCGCCCACCTCCCGCACCAGAATGGCCTACACCCTCATCGACTCCCTGTTCGAACTCTCCGCTGCGCCAGGGCAAGACCAGCAGCGCGTCCTGCTTGCCCGCGACATCTCCCCCTACCTCATCCTCCGCTGCGCCGTGGCGCTTAAATCCTACATCGCTGACCAGCCCCTCCGCGGCCTGATGCCCCAGCCGACGCCCGCGCGCAAGGCTCTCCTGCATCTTCTCCGGGGAATGGTTAACTTGCGCAGTAGGCCGTCGACTATCCCTCCGCTTCCGGTTGTTAAGGGCAAGAGGAGCACTAGCGTTCCTGTCGACGAAGATGACGATGATGAAGGCGCGAACTGCAACAAGCATCTAGAGTGGATATACCCGCTTGTTGTGCAGGCGGTGCAGGTAGCAGGGAAGGAGAAGGACGATGGGGAGGTTCTTCATGCGTTAGGGAAGGTGTTGCAGGAGATAGGGCGGTAGGTGGTGGTCAGTATCTAGATATATGGTTTGGATTGGAATGGGTTGTTCTAGTTGTCGTTGATTGATTGATTGGTTGGTTGATTGCTTGCTTTTTAAGATTGTGGAAGAGGTCCATGTGGAGACTGTATGTATATTGTACGGCGAACGCATTTTCGTTTTCTTTTCTTTCCGTTTCTTTCCAGTGTCTTTGGTAAATATAGAACACAGGCCACTTCGTGGAGTTTTGCTACGAGTCATTTATTTGTGGAGAGAGCTTTTATTCTCCTTCTTTGCTTTTCTTTTCTTTTTGCTTCGCCTGTTTGAAGCGATATGTAGGACGGATGTCTAGATTGGTAGATCGGATGAGAGAGAATGGACTTCACTTGATAGATTACCCGGTCCAGAAACAAAGGGATAATGATGACGATAGACGCTTGCTTATCAGACATACAGAGGACAAAGGACAGCGGTAGACGGGAGGGTATAAATGTGGCTCGTGGCTCGAAGACATGGGAATGACCGTCCGGCTGATCGGACCGGCTCGACGGCCGCCGCCGAACTGGATGCAGACAGGCAGACATACACACAGGTAGATGGGTATATAAGGTATTTAAATGAACCACATCACGTAGAAAGTCAGTTAGCTAGCTGGTCAGGCGAGGATTACGCCGCGGGAGCGGTCACATGTTGAGGCTGGGGCTGAGGCTGAGGCTGTTGTTGTTGTTGGCTGGGAGTGTGACGCGCCTCGCGTCCGGGTCCGGTAGTGGCCGAACCGGGCGGCAACTGCTGCTGGTATTGATTCTGAATCTGCTCTTGTTGGATCAGTTGCTGCTGGGCTATCTGCGGCGTAGAGGCGATCTCGGGGGCCTGGCGGTAGAGGGCAATTTCGGATTGTTTGAAGTAACGGCGGGCGTCTAGAGTTGGAGATTAGTTACGTCTATCGCAATAGCAGAACCGACGCGCGAAACATCGAGGAAACCGGGGAAGAAAGAGGAGTGGGGCGGGTTTAGCGTGGGGGGAAAGATAACCGGTCGGCTATTGATACAATTGATACGGCGAGTGGGATGAGTGGGATGCTTTCGGGTATCGAATTTCCCAGGCACCAATGCAGACAGAACAACCCCTCCGGTGTACAGATGCAAACGTACCTTCGTCAATGAGGACCAAGCTCAGATAGTAACGGGTGGAATATTTCTTGTTCACGTCGCGGAAGGTGGGCGTCAAGTCGAACCCGCCGAGGAACAGACGGATAGGGATCGTTTCACCTGTGAGCTGTCAGTACGAGGACGGGATTCCACTGGTGAAGTTGTTCGCATATCGCAAGTGATATAGCATCGTTCCAAACCACCGCGACGGCAAACACGATGCAACGTACCCCGAGAAGGCGAACCATCCATGATCTATCAGCCACCCACCCAGTTAGCCAAACCCCGACGAAAATCGAGTGGTGAAAGCTCACCTCGAACCGCACCAACGTCTCGCTCTCATTATACTGGTTGGGAGGCGAACCGGTCGTCTCGCGTCGGATGATGGACAACTCCATGTGCTTGATCTTCAGGCGCACGAGAAGGAAATAGATCCGTCCCACGATAACATCCTTCAGGTGGTATTTCGACTTGGAGTATTCAAACTCGATATGCAGGCAGTCCTCGATACCCACATCCATCTTGATAGGGCTGTTGGTCTCTGGGGGCATGCGGTAGGAGTAGACCCACAGGTCCTTCTCCCGGACTACGTCGGCCATGCGCCGGGACACCGTGACGCGGACGAAATACCGTAACTTGACGTTGATGCCATTGTAGGACTCGTACTGCTTCTCGATGTTCTTGAAGTTGAAGGGGAAGGTCTGGGGGTGTTGTAATTCTCCGGGGGCGGCGAGTTCCTGCACCAGGGAGAGGAATTCGTAATGGTTGCCACGGTCGTAGAACATTTCTGGCGAAGATAAAAGTTAGCGCTCATGCAACATCATCTACGGCATGATCACACCACCACTCCGCCACGGACAGAGAGACAAAAGAATGCCCCGGACGAGATGCGGGGTGAATGCGATTGGATGGGCATACCGATCGTTCCAATGAACTGCACCTTGATGCCGGTGTGCTCCAATCGTTTCCCATCCTTGGGTCGGACCGTCACGGCACCCTTGACCGACTCGCCATCCATGTACAGCGGGACCCGTTCGCGACGACCCTTGTCGAGCTTGACGTCGACCGACTGACGGTCATCGCCGTCGTCGAGAACGACGTCGATATCGACGGGGGTGGAGAAGAAGAGGGACGTCATGGCGGGGAGGGAAGGGAAGAAAGCGGAGAAGGGGTTGCAGAGACGGAGCTAATATCAATTGGAGGTCGTGGCGTCGTTCGGCAGAGAGAGAAACCGATCGAGTGTGATCGTGAGAGTGGGTGTTTCGATCTCTCTCCGTGTCTGTCTCCAGTCCCGCCGGAGTCTAGATGGCCAGCGTCATTCCGTCCCATTGCGGCAGGCGGTGTGTCCGGCCGTATGTCACGTTTCTCCCTCCACATAGTACGGAGGACATACACACACTCCAACAGGATATGGTCAGGAAGATCGGACTGGATCAATTGCAGATCTAACTGTCTATATAGAAACACTGACTCTGGGCATGTTTAAGCTTCAACACTGACTAGACACTAATGTGGCCGTCCTACAGAACAGTACACTCCTACAAATATAGGTAGTTGACGGACTCTTCCGCAATAAGACGGCTCAGACCGATACGGATGGATCCACTATGCAGATGACCATTGACGAAGACATCTCTATCTCTTACATCCCTGCTCTGATTGACAGATGACGGCGGTTTCTTCGACGAGTGGACAAGGATGAGGGGTAAACCAACACTGGAGCTGAATGACATGAGCGACTGACATGGGCTGAACTGGACTGGACTGGGCATGGACTTGAGACGTCTGTTAGTTGGACTCAATTTTCCCGTCCATAACAGACACGACTAGGGGCACGAGGGGCATGGGGCTCCACTTTGATTGGTAGAGAAGGTTCAAAACCCGACCCAGCCTGGAAACACGTTTCCGGGGCTGATGGGTAAAGTCCAATCCGACTGGGACAGTGTCCACTGTTACCGTTCGTCGGCAAATCTCAGCCTGTATTCCCCCCGGGCTGAGCCATCGATACCCGTGCGTCTGGCCGCAATGCCCGGAGGGGTGTTGCAGCCGGATTAGGAGCAGCGCTGACTGGGGATGTTTTCCGTGGCAGAGTTGGCAGTCGGGTAAGTGCAGACGGATACATGCAGGATTGATATTTTTTTATTGATTTATTTGGATGTTTGAATCGGTGCTTATGATTGATACATACTATTGTTTTTTGTTCCCGTGATTTGTTGGAATTAGACCTGTTCCATGTTGATCAAAAGTACGGTGACAGGTCAATGATAATCCATCCACAGATGAAATTCGGGCAATCCAAGAGACAAAGTGGGACAGCTGGTTCCTGAACCAGTGGGATCGTCTAGGCCGGTGAATTCAAGAAAAGGACACTCCTTTTTGTCTCCTTTTTTCTCGCCCTTGGGTTGAGGGAAAGAATCCATGAAACAGAAACTACTTCACAAAGGGGGATAGCGTGGGGGTGGATTCCCTAATACACGGTCAATACGGTCGGATTACGCCTCCATTAGGCTGGATGATCAATCGTTTCATTATCCTTTGTTATTGATTGATTCTTCTTCCCCGGCGCAAGGGAACGGGTGACATCATCTCTTCCAGACGGGGCTCTCCCGGCTCCCCTTGCACCATGCACCACAAAGAAACACAAAGACAAGGTGCTCGCTGGACCGGGGAATGCGATCCGCCTTGTGAAAGTCCAACCCTTTGGGCAGACATGGTCCCTTCCAACGTGGTACAGACATTGTTGGGAACGGGGGGAAAAATGAAGGAATGCCTTTCAGAGCAAACAGCATCCACTCGATCGGATCTCCCGCTAACAACCAGCCCGCCGGACTCTTTCTTGTCTCTTTACTTTTCCTGCTGATGGTTTGTCCCCACTCGCCCCCGGGTATCGAAATGATGTATCCCTTTCTCCTCCTGCCCCTTAATCCTGAACCGCAAGGGTTGATTGATTGATCAGGATGGCCAAAATGGAACAGCTGGAAGACAATCGACAGGATGAATCACTCAACACTAAACATTGACTGAAAAGGACCGCCTGATGTCCTAACGGTACCCTGCATGGTCATGGCCTTGGTCACGGTCATCATTATCAATATCATTCTTGTGATATGATCCAATATCAGATAGAAAGAAATATAAACCCTTTCTTCCCCCCCCCCCTCCCGGGCCTGTCCATGACCCACCGACCCAACTTCCATACTTCCATACTTCTTCTTCTCCCTTCCATCCTGCCAGCTATAACAACCCCACTTCATTTCCTGTATTAACCCGCCATCGCACCCCATCGTGCCCAACCACGGCTGAACTGTATACCACTGGACCACCGATTGGTCGAACCATACAATCTTTCTTTCCTTCCCCTTTCCCAAACAACGAATCGCTCCGTCCCCTCCGCAAGCGTCATAGACTTCTTTCCTCCCTTCCATCCTTCTGGCGCTTTTCCTTCCTAGGCATCTTCCCAAACTTGAATCTACTACGGTCGTCTCCCGAAGAACGCAACATCTATTGCTCGATTATCACCTCACCGTTCGTTCCACCATGTTGTCCGCCGGGGAACGCATCCAGCCGCCTCGCAGTAATGCCGCGGCAGTCACAGGCGCCTTGAATCAGTCGTCTGCCTCCATGCTCGGATTGGCCGCGCACAGGGCTCCCACGCAGCACATCTGGGTCGTCACCGGCCCAGCCGGCTGTGGGAAGAGCACCGTCGGAAAGGGAATCCATCAGGATCTAGGGATACCGTTCTTAGAGGGTGACGATGTGAGTATCTATCCTTCTATACACCTTTCAAAACATCTCGGCATGAAAAACAAAGCAAAAGCTAACCAAACAAGTTCCACACCAAATCCAACAAAGAAAAAATGAGCTCCGGCACGCCCCTCACAGACGCCGACAGATGGGACTGGCTCATCTCGCTCCGCCAAGCAGCCATCGACGCGCTGTCCCCCTCCGAATCCAACAACTTCCACCCGCCCGCCGGCGTCGTCGTCGCCTGCTCCGCCCTCAAGCGCAAATACCGCGACGTCATGCGCGTCGCCGCCTACGGCGCCCCCAACGTCCAGATCCACTTCGTGTACCTGCGTCTCGACGAGGATGCCCTCTTCCGCCGGGTGACCCAGCGCCAGGCCCACTACATGAAGAGCAGTATGGTGCAGTCGCAGCTGAATGATCTGGAGGAGCCCGAGGGCGAGTGGGATGCGATGACCGTTGATGCGGATGTTGCGCCGGAGGTGGTGAAGGAGGAGGTGAGGAGCTTGGTGAGGGGGAAGGTGGCGGAGTTTGAGTGACCTTCCTTTCCTCTTCTTCCTCTTCCGCTTCCTCTTTTGTTGTTTTTGTCTTTCTTCGCTTGATATCTTGGTCGTGCTTTTTTGGTCTTTGGTCTTTGGTCTTTTGTTTGGAATTTGGCTTTTTTCTACGGAATGGGACGATGGACGGATGGATTTGGTTCGGGCGTTTTCATGGAGTTTTCAGTCACAGCTAGACCCCTGCTGCTGCTGGATTCGTATTCCGATTGTTATGTCGATTGATTGGGCTTGCGCATGCGTTCAGGCGTTCTATTCTAGCTTTATCACGGACTTGCTGGTTCATTTCATACAATCTTTCACACACTATGACTTCCATGACATTAGCTTGATCTCTATCCTATAATTACGGTCTAAATGACGTCATGGCCATACTTCATACTGTAGTATAAATCTAATGCATTGATTTAATATACCCAATCCGGCTATCGCATATTAAGCAACATCCCCTCCGGCGCCTCCATCATCTCCTTGATCTTAGTCGCCATGCGCGCCATCGTCGCCCCGTCTACGACGCGGTGGTCCGCGCTCCAGCTGAAGTTGACCAGCTCGGCTGGAACCACCTGCCCTTCGTCATTGTAGACAGGCATGGTGCGCGACTTGCCGATGCCCAGGATGGCCATCTCGTTGGGGATGACGACCGGGCCGACGTAGGTGCCGCCGATGTTGCCAATGTTGGACACGGTGATGGTGCCGCCGCTGAGGTCGGCCGGCGTCAGCTTGCCCTGCTGGCCTAGGGCCGCGAGGCGCGTGATCTCCGCAGCGATGTCTGCGATGGAGCGGTTGGCGACGTCTTTCACGTTGGGGACGATTAGTCCTGTGGGCGTGTCCATTGCGACGCCGATGTTGTGTCGTGGGCGCATGATTAGCTGTGGTTTGTCGGCGTTGCTGGATGTGTCGAGCTTGGCGTTGAGGAGGGGGTAGTCGTTCAGGGCGAGGGAGACTGCTTTGACGACGAAGGAGAGGAAGGTGATTTTCTGCGGGTCCTTGGGGTTGTTGGCGAGTCTCTTGCGCAGCGCGGTGATGTTGCTGATGTTGAGCTCGTCGGCGTAGAGGAAGTGTGGGATGTTGAGCGAGCGTGTCATGGTCTTGAACATTTGGGCTTGGAACGGCGAGAGGTCGACGGCCGTTTCGGTTTGAGGTGCGGTTGTTGGGGCCGGGGATGGGACTGGGGCTGCGGCTGCGGAGTCGCGGTTGGCAACGAAACGCTGCACGTCTTCCTTGAGGACGCGCCCGTCTTTACCGGTTCCATTGACGTCTTGGATGTTGACGTTGAGGGTCTTGAGCATGCCCCGCACTGCGGGGGTCGCCAGCATTGCGACTCGGGATTTGGGAGGGCTGACCGGGGTGTTATTTACAGGAGGGGTGGGTGCAGAGGTCGCCGTGGGCTGTGTTGGTACGGGCTCTGAAGGAGGGGGAGTAGCTGTGGGCTGTGGTGCAGGTTCCGGTGGAGGATGCTCATCGGGGTACTGTTTGTCGTCGACTTCTATATCGCAGAGTGCCTTTCGGAGGTAGTTAGCATTGGTGTCTTAGAGATATTAGAAGTTGAGTCTACCTACCTGGCCGGTTGGAACAGTGTCGTCAGCTTGGAAATGAAGCTTCTTGACCACCCCTTCATACCTCGACGTGATCTATTCAAGCTGTTAGCGGCTGTAGACATTCGACAAGCGAAAGAGGTACTGACATCGTCTACGGCCTTGTCCGACTGATATTGACACAACGGCTTCCACTCCTCGATATGGGCGCCTTCCTCGACGTACCACTGGATGATCTGGACTTCCATGATGCCTGTTGCGACAAGAATGAGCGGTCTGCCATTGCCATAGGATCTCCTCTTGGAATGGTCACTCACCTTCCCCCACATCCTTCAGCATCTGTGACTTGATCCCCCACAGCGCTGGAGCAGCGTGAAACTGACGGCGGGGTACGTATCTCCCCAAAGAAGGGACTGGAGCGGCTCTCCACGGGGAGGATGATCGGAGAGCCCTGGGGAGGCTCCCACCGTAACGTCGTAAACAGCTCATGATCGGTGTCTACCTCAAAACCAAAGTAAAAGACAGTTAGGAGGAAGAAACAAACCGAATCGACCAGAGGCCATTGTTAAAAGGCGCTGCAGAAGGGGGGGGGGACGAGACTACTGATCTCCTCCTCCTGCCAGAAACCCCGACGATAACCGATGCCGCGGGCGTCATCGCACGTGACCCTTCTCCGCATTCCGCGCGGATCTTTTCTTCCTTTTCTTCCTTTTCTTTCCGCTCTTCTTCTCCACGACGCGAACCTCACGATGTATTCCTGATCAAGTAATCTAAGTTCAGCTATAGTCCCAGTGGGTCCGTTGAGTTCGGTGGAATATGCCGATCGTCATTCACGCGGACGATAGATCGGATATACTCTGAAGTATCTGGTGTTGAGGATGGTGACGCGGTAGTGAGTATAACGATAGTACCTATAGAGTCAACCGTATTAATTATCTGGCCTAGCAATCTCCTTTTCAGAGTTGACGGTCCACTATAAGTACAGACTACAGAGTACGGAAGAATATGATCTGTTTAAAGGTTTCGGACCAAATTGCCGGGAGATCTGAGGCACTCGATGCCCCCCATTATTGGTGCGCTGGTCCTGACTAGTACATCTCCAGACCCATACTCCGCGCATCCTGGCCCGCCCCGGCCAATAATGCCCCTTGCCTGCAGTCTGGTCTATTTTCCGATCCTTGGGAATTCAACGGATTGACTTGTTCCCCTTGAACTTTGGATTTTTCTCCTATTCAACACCATCACGATTCCGTATACAACACTCGTTTAGACAACTAAGGACTTTCCCACCGTCGTCATGGTGGCCGACCATCTGACCATTCGCAACCTCACCTCCACGCCAGTCACGCTGAAGCGCATTGAGCGCTTGCGACCCCTCGGCCTGACCAAAAGTGTCACCAGAGTCTTCACGAACAGGACCCGCGCCGACGCGTCGATCACCGCCAGTGAGCCCTTCGCGCATGAAGATGTCGAAATCCGCGTCGACCCCTTCCAGACGGTGAAAACCGACCTCCGCACCTATGTCGACTCGGACAAGGAGAAACTGCGCTGGATCTTCGAGGCCGAGGGCGAGCCCCATCAAGTGCACACCCCCGTTCCCACCGTCGAGTCTGCGACCATGAGGGCGCTCTGCGACGACCCCAAGCTCAATCTCACGGCCGTCTACGTGACCCCGGAAGCCCACCTGGCCATCTACTCCTCCGCCAGGATGCACTCCTGGATGGGGGAGCTCAAGGACAGCCTCCTGCTGTCCTCCCTCTCCATCCCGGGCACCCACAACTCAGCGACCTGCTACGTCGCCCCGCCCTCAGTCCGCTGCCAGGCCGTGAGCCCCAAGGAACAGCTCCAGAACGGGGTGCGCTTCTTCGACATCCGCGTGCAGCCACAGTACCCCGACGACGCCGCCCGCGACGAGCTGATCCTCGTGCACGGCGTCTTCCCCATCTCCTTCAAAGGCAACCGCTACCTGCGCGACCTGATGCGCGACATACACGACTTCCTCGACGCCAACCCCTCCGAAACCCTCATCGTCTCCATCAAGCGCGAAGGCCCCGGCACCCACACCGACCAGCAACTCAGCCGCATCCTCGCCGACCACTACGCCCGCCCCGACAACCCCAAGTGGTACACGCGGCCCAAGATCCCCACGCTCGGCGACGCCCGCGGCAAGGTCGTCCTCCTCCGCCGCTTCGACATCGACGACCGCCTCAAGGCCCTCCACGACGGCCAAGGCTGGGGCATCGACGCCGGCGGCTGGGCCGACAACTGCGACCACGCCACCTGCCCCAGCGGCCTCGTCTGCATCCAGGACTTCTACGAGGTCCTCGCCAAGCACACCATCCACCAGAAGGTCCAGTACGTGCTGAACCACTGCCGTCGCGCCGGCGAGCGCCGCCACCTCCCGTCTGGCGGCGGCTCCCACCCCTTCTTCGTGAACTTCCTGAGCGCCAGCAACTTCTGGAAACTCGGCACCTGGCCCGAGAAGATCGCTGCCAAGGTGAACCCGGCGACTGTGGAGTATCTCTGTCGGAGACACTGCGACAACGACGGCGATTGGTCCACGGGGATCATGGTGACGGATTGGGTGGGCAAGGACGGCGATTGGGACCTTGTCCGGTGTATTGTGGGGATGAATGCGCGGTTGAGGCTGCGGCATGAGGAGCATGGGGAGAAACGTGGTTGACCGAGTTGTTCTGCGGAAGTAGAGGTCATGCTTGCGTTGTTTTGTTAAATTCGGGTTCACTGAACCAGTTACTTTTAATTAAACGATACGGGATATATTTTAATACCAGAGAGAATGCTCTCGCATTCTATTCACTTCACTCCTGTGCAGATAAAGATTCTGACGTGCTAAAAAAGTACAAACCATGGGACAACATATGAAAGAAAAAGACAAGTACAGATAGTGTATTATACATCGAATTCTAAGCCCGCCAGACAGGCTTAAGAATCAGCCTTGTCACCGCCCTCAGCAGGACCCTTCTGCTCCTCCTCGAGCGCGTTCTTCCGGCTCTCGAGCGTAAAGTAAAGGCTCTTGCCGGCGCCGTCCAGCGCGTTCGTGAGGCCAGAGCCCATGCTCTGCAGGGCCGTGACGAGCTGCGAGCGCAGGCCGTCCATGCCGCCCTGGATACCGCCGACCCACTTGGTCTGCTCGAGGTCGAAGACCCGGCCGTCGACGCGGGCGGCCAGCAGGGCCAGCTTGTTGAGACCGTCCTGGACGGGCAGCTCGTGCCAGGTGGGGTTGGCCTTGCGGGTGGGCACGGGGAAGCCCGTGGCGCGCGGGGCCAGCACCGTCAGCGCGGCCTTGAGGTGCTCGGGGGAGACCTCGGGGATGGAGAGCACGGCGACGGGGCCGAAGAGGACGCTGGAGAGCTCGTGATGGCCCTTGAAGGGGAGGACGGCGTCGTGGGCGGCGCGCGAGAGGTCGTGCGTGAGCGTGGGGTCCTCGGGCGACGCGGCGAGCGGCACCTCGGCGGAGGTCTGCGTGGCGGGGTCGACGGCGGAGGGCTCCGTGGCCTTGGTGGTCGGGCGGAAGTGTTCGACGATGCGGAGGGCGACCTCGAAGATGCTCGTCTGGACGATCTGGATCTTGACGTGCGGCGCCAGCGCGGGGACGTTGCGGCCCTCGGCGGCGATCTGCTCGTCGACCTTCCGCAGGGCCCGGCTCAGCTCCCGACGGATGGCCACCCATTCCACGGATTTGAGGTTGTCGTGCTGCAGGAAGAGCATCAGCGGCGTCGTCCGGATCAGCGAGGTGTACTGCCGCAACAGCTGGGACCGGCGATTTTCCGGCCTGCGGTACGAGGGCGGCTGCGAGGGAGGGTATCTGGCGATCGGGGGGACGGAGTGGGTCATTTGCTCGATCGACGGGGCGGGGGTCGTGGCCGTCGCTACGGACCTGGCCCAGGACGCGGCGATGGGGCGCTCATATTGGCAGACGGTCTGGCGTCGGAGCGGCTGGGCGATGCGGCCGCTGGAGAGACGCACGCGGGGGGGCATTGTGCGTGAATTCGGGGGTGGATGGGATGGGAAAGGTCGATTGAGTCGTTATGAGAGGGAATTGACCAGGACCAGACCTCCAAGACGCGAGAATGGAGGTGTTGCCGACGGGAGGATGAAGTCGTGGATGATCGTGAAGGGAAACGATAAATTCCCAGACGGAAATCTTGACGACCCAAAAGGGAATAGTCGGTGGTGTGGGCGGTGAGGGATTCTGCCGGACCGTGGCCGACATCGCCGGCAAGCAGAGGGGCATTTTGGTTACAGATCGCGATTGAGTCAGATCGCCCTTGTTCGTGTCACTCTCCATTGGGCTTTTATATCACTCGACCCCTCCTCAACTCATACACTTCTGGACTCTGTCTGTCACACAGTCAAGATGTCTGCCTCCATCTTCGACCAGAAACCCAACCAGGTCTCGATTTCTCCCTTGTTGAAGAACCTCGCCTACCCCGCGCCCAATGCGCCAGTAACGGCATCTGAGATTGCCGCTGCGTTTGCCTTGATTTTTGAGGATCGTCTGTCGCCAATTCAGACGGCGGCTTTGCTGACTCTTCTTCACTCGACGGGGAAAGATCGGGAAGCAGCGGTCATTGCGCAATGCTCCCAACGCATGAGAGAGGCGGCCAGCCAGGTGGATAGAACCGCCTTGGAAAACGCCGTCAAGGCCCGTGGGAAGGGTGAGGGCAAATACAATGGTGGTGTGGTGAGTCTGTTTGGTCTGTTAGTGTACTGGGTTGAAAATGGCTGACCAGAAACTCTCGTTCAGTGCGACATTGTCGGAACCGGCGGCGATTCGCATTCCACCTTCAACATCTCCACGACCGCCTCGATTGTTTCCTCGCCGCTCCTCATGATGGCAAAGCATGGGAATCGCGCCCAAACCTCGTTTTCCGGGTCCGCCGACGTCCTGAACGCGATTGAGCCCACTTCCCCGAAGATCTCCGCCGTCTCCGCCAATAACCTTCCCCAGGTGTACGAACAGACCAACTACGCGTTCCTGTTCGCCCCCAACTTCCACCAGGCGATGATGTACGCCGACCCCGTGCGTCGCGGTCTCGGCCTCCGGACCATCTTCAACCTGATGGGCCCGCTAGCCAACCCCATCGACTGGGCCATTGAAGCCCGCGTCGTCGGAGTCGCCTATCAGAGCCTAGGCCCGACCTTCGCAGACGCCTTGCGTCAGAACGGCTGCAGGAAGGGAATGGTAGTCTGCGGCGAGGAGGATCTCGACGAGATCAGCTGCGCCGGAAAGACCAACTGCTGGAGACTGACGGAGTATCCCAACCCTGCGTTCGACGCGGCGCGGGCGGTCGACGACGACAGCGAAGAAGACGAGGAGAACCCGCGCACGCTGGTCAACGTGGAAACATTCCAGCTGCAACCGTCCGACTTTGGGCTGCCGACGCACCCGCTGACGGCCGTCTTCGGGCGCAAGATGCCCAAGGACAACGCGGCCAAGCTGATGAGTATTCTGCGCAACGAGCTGCCCCGCGACGACCCCATCCTGACCTTCGTGCTCCTGAACGTGGCGGCCCTCTTGGTCACGTCGGGCATCTGCGAGTCCGAGACGAGCAACATGGGGCCTGGCGACGACGGCCAGGTCATTACTGAGCGGGGGCCCGGCGGCGGACGCTGGAAGGAGGGTGTCCGTCGGGCACGCTGGGCGATCGAGAGCGGCTCGTCGCTCAAATGTCTGGAGGGGTTTATTGAGGTGACGAACAAGCTTGAATAATCGCTACGGTGCATAAACATGTCTTTTTATCTTTGTTCTTTATTTCGGGGTTTTTTTCAGCGCTCCCATCAGGGACGCACTACCATTGTTTTCACATGAACCGATCTATCTATTTACCTTACGTTGGTTAAGTCAGTCAATGACAGCTTGACAAGAGCACAGCAAGAATAATATATCTGGTATTTTAGAAGTATGTAGCACGATAATGAATATCTGAATGACGAGGCTCCACCTGCTACATAGAGAAAGAGTAGTCAAGGCAGTCCAAACTCTCCACCATCAGCCGTCTTTCCTCCCATGCCCTCGATATGATTATTTCTCATGTGATAAAAGCCACACCGTGAAACTCCAAGCGCCCTAACGAATGCACACACATCAATCGTAATTCAAGTCCTTCACCCTCACCACCGGCGTCCTCTATCAATCCATCCACCATCCATCATCCACCAAGCCAAGTCAAGCGACAAAAAAGAGTCGATAACCACTCATCGCGCCTCAAACTGAACCATCCTACATATCAATCAACGTTAGCATCTATCCACCCTCTCAACATGGGAAAGAAATCCCAGTAAGAAAAGAGAAAGAAAATAGAAAGAGAGAAATACCTCTTCGTCCGCTCCTTATACAGCACCCGATGTCCACACTCCTTACACCGGATCTGGTCGCCCCGCTTCAGCGACACGCGCGAGTTGCACTCGCCGCACAGGTAGGCGACCATAGGACCCTCCAACGAGACGGCGCCGTCTGTCGCGAAGGCGTTCTGGTTGCCGCCGCCCATGGTGGGGGCTTGGTAGGCTTCGCGGGACATTTTGATTGAGTTTCTTGGGGATTCTTGGTTGATTTGGTTGGGTGTCGGAGCGTTGAGAAGAGTCGGAGGTGTATTCGGAGGTGAGATCTGGATGCGATGATTCTATCTTTCTGGATAGCTGGAGATCTTTTTTTCGGCGGTTGAGGTGATGAGTCAGCGAGTGGATCGATGGGATGTCAGGCTAACTGTTCTAGGTTAGATGGTCGGGTGTGGCCAATTGGGTTGCTTTTGGCTTTGTCCTCGACTATAGTGACATCTCTATCAATCTCATCCCAGACTATGATGTGGTGATTACTGCTTAGGTTCTAGTTCTCGTAGGATGTTTTCAAGTATGCTAGTATAAGGAGGGGGTTAGGTCTTTTCGTTAACATTAAGAACCGGATAATAAGGGCAAGCATTATCCTAGCGAACCGAACTCGAGATCTACTAGTTAAGTTTATATACACCACACCTACAGACAAGTACAAGAAGACGTAAACCACCTATTGATATTACTAACCTTCTCTATATAACCTAGGTCTATATAGCACCTTTTCCACAGCTCACTTACCAAGGGGTAAAGTTTTCCATATATGCCTCTCAAGCTCTTGTGCCCTTGCAAACTATTCGGAGCCCTTCTGAGTAGAGTCATCAGTTCCTAGAACCTCATCGTCCGTAACCACCCACGATTCTCGTAGTTCCTGACCATCCCAGTCGGAGGGCACGGAGACTGTGCGATCGGTTCCCTCGACCCGCTCAATCGCTACTCGCCCCGTTAGTGAATGTCGCAGCATCGTAACCGGCAGCATGTCACTTACAATAGTATGGGTCTCCGCCTAGATACCCCAGCGGGGTATTGTCTCTTTTCGTGGGTCGAGGGGATCCATTGAAGCCGACCTTGCATCTATTTTGGTACTGCTTAGTCCAACGCTTCGGGCATCGTCGCGAAATGGGATCTTACTCATAAACGACGAGCACGTCAACAAGCCCCTTCCATGATTTCTTGGTCGTCTGCCCGTCCGTGCAGAGCCCGTTGGCGCGGCTTTCAAATCGGTAGCGCTGCTGGCCCATGGTATTGACAGCGCAGATCACCTGCGTGGAAGACGCGACGGTGTCCGTCGCGGGGGGCGTCTTGCCCTTCCCCGTGATCGTCCCGTCGGTGAAGGCCTGGTCGGGCCACTGGGCGTCGGGCTGTTCGTTGTTGCGTGGATAGGTCAGGAACAGGGTGAAGTTCCGCTTGTGGTAGTAGCTCAGGTTCGCGGGGTCGTCCACGTCCGCCTGGGACAAGCCGGGGACGAAGACCTTTGGAATTGGAACGTCCGCCGGGTAAGATGACAGGCGCTGTCGACTTGCGAGGCCGTTTTTCGATACCCAGGTGTTCTTGGCCGGGCCCCATCGCGCCCAGTACGCATTCTCCAGCGTTGGGCTACCGTATGTGTTGAAGTACTCGACATTGGTTTCGAGGTTGTTCAGTAGGTCTGCTCGTCTGTTGGACACTTCTTCTTTTGGAAATTTAGGGAACGAAGGGGGTGGTGGACTTACTGTGACACCGTCCTTGAGCATCATTCTGCCAAGTTGGCACACATGTTCTCACCGTTCCTGCCAACACGTCGGGATACAGACCGCGGAAGGTGGATCCGCCTTCCTCGGCGGACGCGAAGGGGAACTCGTCGCAGTTGCTGAATGCCGCTTTAGTTGCTGTCCCCTGGGATGCTAGCTCGTAGTTGGCATTATCTGCCTCGCAGAAGCCTGATGGGCAAGCCCTGTCTCTCCGCCGTTGTTGGTTCACAGAGGACTCCCACGTCAGGGTATAGCCGGAATTGGCGCGCTTGTTATTGTTCAGAAACTTTTCAACGTTGCTGCAAATACCGGGGATCTGGGCTGCCCCCGCGGGACCTTGGAATGTGATATCGGAGAAAAAGGTCACGCAATTGTAGTAGAGACGGGGCAGACGGTTCGGGCAGTCTGTTGGCGTTTCCCTTTTCTGGAGACCGGTGCTCCTGTCCGAGGCGGCGACAAGGTCGCGCCGTAGCGTATTCGCACTCGGTGTGAAAGCATCACAGGTGCTTCCAGTGGACGTCGTGCATTGGAATGACCCAAGCGTAAACCGTGGCTCTTTCGTTGATAGATCAGAGTCCTCGCGCTTGGCAAGGGATGCGTTACCGGAACTATGGAAGGGATCAATGTCCAAGCTGAGCACAGCCCTGTTGGCCCAGCCCTTCGCGGATCCGCCGAAGATGGCCCCAGACAGAGGCTCTTCAGAGAGCAACGGCCCATGGTCGAGAGATCGCTTCGTGGACGGTAACGATGAAAATGTTTTGGAAATTATGGGAATCCTGCGCTGAGGGAACGGGTACCAGATGCCGCTGGTCCATTTGCCATACTTATAGATCTCGGCTATGCAGCCAAAACCAAATCGGTAAAGGAAGCTAACCGAGTACTCATACGCCCAACTGTTGTCGCCATTGTTGGTCGCGGCCGATGTTTGGGCATGGAAATTGACCGTCGTATTGGCGAAGGCGGAAACATGGGCGTCGGCCAGTGTGCCCTTAAGCGGCCCTATCCCTCCCCCGATCTTGATGCCCAGGTTGATCTCCGGGGTGGCGTGGATATTAATGTCCACATCGGCGCGGACGCTACCGGATATCGAGGGCTCTAGACCATTGTTGTTGATCTGGGTTTCTTCCATGTCCTCAACGTCAAGGTTATTGGCGGCCTCGTCGTTATTGGGGAAGTACAGCTCGACGGGCTTGAACTTATACGTCATTCCAACCCGCAGGTCGCCAGAGACTGTGACCTGGCCAGTGATCTGGCCCCAGAGGTCCATGGTTGGTCCCACGGCTGCGATTCCTTTGATCGCCAGACCGGGGTAGGACAAGGTATCGATGATCTTCTTCCTTTCACTGGGGTAGTAGAGGTCTGCATTGCCTGATATCCCAATCCCTGCGTATACTCGCGGATGAACGCCCACATAGGCATACATATCCGTGACCGTTGGCGGCACGACGGTGCCGGAAAAGTAGTAGGAGTATTGAGCGTTCATCTCCATATTGAAGTCGGCAGTGATGTCCATCCCGGCGGTGAATGTTGTTGCGTCGTTGGTGCACATCAAGCGTCCACTGTAGAGAACTAGAGACCGCACGAGTCCCATGGGGAGCGTACCGCCATCTGTCTTGGTGACGGTGGTCAGTTTCTTGACCCAGTTCATGAAAGTTCCCTGCCACCGACGTCGAAGGCTGCTGTCCTGCGATCGGACATCCAACCTTCCGGTGTAGTTCTGTGGCGAGCGTTTGGGGTCTAAGACTTTGGCCCGGTCCACGCGGTCCCTCCATTCCGCATAGGTCAGGGCGTCGTCTGTTGAACGCTTCCGCTTGGAGGCAGGCGAGTTGGTCATCTCGTCCCAGTACGGCAGAAGATTCGTGTAGTCCACGCGAATATTCACTTGCTCATCCTCGCGCTTGATCAAGTGGAAGTTGTAGTCAAATGTCAACGAATACAGGCCTAGATCAGGTTAGTTAATGTGAAGGATCGTGGGATGATTTAGACAAAAATTCACCATTCTGGTTCTGACTGGCCTCTCTTTTCTGGAAGGCCCAATCTGGCAGATCTCTTTTCACGAGTCGCTTAACAGGTTCCATTGAGACGACGCGAGCCCAGGGACCCTCTCCAGAATGGTCGGGAAGTCTGATGATCGTGTCCTCTGCTCCTTTGTAGAAGATCTGACGACATTCCTTGGAATCGGCAGGATGATTACAATAAACCAACACGGTCTCTTCGGAATGGTCAAAGACCGCATCCAGTAATGTCTGATTTGTCGTGGAAATGCTCCTCTTCTTCACATTGACCGGCTCATCGGGGGTCACGATGGTGTACTGCGCATCAAAGCCATTGTTGATCGAGCCCGGGGGTCCATCCAGCATGACAAAACCGTAGGGATCCGAGCCCGGATCATCTTCCATATCGCTCGGCCTGGTGTCTTTGTTGTTGTTGCCAAAGTTATCGCTAAACTCCCAGGTAACATCATCGTCGGGTTCGTCGTAATAGTGGCTCCATAGATAGCTGGGCTCGACGGGCCATTGATCGTTGTACCGCGAGGGAGGATCGCAGCAAAGCCTGTAGTCCGGGCTCATCATCTCGGGGATGTGAAATCCATAGCACTGGGTTGATTCATACATGGTATTTGCGTACATCCAAGACGGTATCCGCGCCGTCGTGACTTGTAGTTTGTCTTTGGCACATTGTCCCGGATTGCAATCATCGATAGCCCACGAGCAATTCTCAAAGTCGTCTGGGTGCTCTTCGTCAGTGTTATAAACTACCTAACAATGCCGAAGACAATTCCAATAAGACGTACCGCTCTTAGGACAACAGAACTCTCGCCATATAGGCCATTCGGTACCAGGCCCTGGACCCAACCTCGAAGTGCCACACAGCCCTAGATGATTTGTCAATGCCCGGAATACCTATTGTTGTACGTCAGATTGAACCTACCGCCGTCATCTTTATCATAACGCAGCCCGACAGAAACTTCATCGTCTTCACACAAACTTCCTGCCGGATTGAGATCGCATCCGGTCCAATGACACTTGTTCAGGATCTCGGTGCCATCACAGCAGAGCTAAGAGAGTTTTGGTCAGCGTCGCCAGTACCTTCACAACAGATTCATGTTGGTTCTTACACTCCGTGCCCCGGAAAAGCAGTCACCATGACCCTTTGCATCAATGTATGTGTCGTGGTTGAGCTCAAATTGCGATGCACCGCAGCCTCGATCACAGCCAAAGCTTGAGCGTTCGGGAGCTCCCATCCACTCGCAGTTCTGTGGCATGGCTTTTGTTGGACAGCAGATGTAGCGCCACCAATCCTCCGTACACGCACCGTGCATGGGGAAGTCCGCGTTCTTCTGGTCCGGCGAATGGGCCATCTCAACTGCAGTGTAGCCGCTCTTACACACCTGATCCGGGCCCCGCTGGTTGCGAGTACCGTCCGTGCAAGAGGGTGTGGTATAGCAGAGCTCCCCGGTCCATTCTGAGAGATCAAATGACAATTGTTCAGCTTCATCTGGATCGAGTCCAGTGTCTCTGAGAGCACCCTCCATTGCTTTTTCTCCAAACAGACCAGTCATCGCCTGATGATCTTGGGTGTCTAGATCCATGGACCAGATCATGACGCCTTTCAAACACCGCGAAGTGAGATAGTTCTTTTTGGCAGTGAAGGATTCCGCGTCGTCAAAGGAGATCCACTAGACTTTGTCAGTGCGATACATCCCACGATCCTTGCAAAGTACGAACCTGATTAGACCCGTACACCATCCATTTCACGGAGGATACCTCGTCGTAGGAGGTCTTGGACCCCAACTGGCCTTGTTTGCTGAGGACCTCTACACCGAGTAGTTAGTAACGTGGTGGTGCGAGAAATGACCATCAAAATAGGGAATGCACACCAGAGTACGAGAGAATCCCAGCTTCGTTGGTGCAGACACCCGCAAAGCCAGCAGTATCAAAGGTACACGACGGTGGGGTAGTGCATGTCAGGTCTGAGATGGTGAATGAGCGGCCGTAGAAACCAACGCCCATGACGACCTTGTCGGAGGTTACCCCGTTTCTCCAGAGCAGGTCAAGACCCTCATCTATCTCAGTCAGGTTAGTGTGGCCCTTCAAGTAGGGTCCGGTCCAGATATTCTTCTGGTCCCAGATCCCATGGATGTCATAGGTCATGACGTTGAACCAGTCGACGTGTTCCTCGAGTTTCTTCAAATCGAAACCACGCAGATACCAGTAGCTAGCTGGGAGGGTGATGGTCAGTTGCCATCCCGGATCTTCACGGTCGAAAGCATCTCGGATATCAGAACAAAGCAAGACCAGGTTGCCGTAGTCCACCGTGGAGCCACCGCGGTCTTCGGCAACCGGATACTCCCAGTCTATTGCAGTCTGTTAGCTGCAATTTGCAATACGTGGGGTTGCAAAGACGGTCTACGAACCTATGTCGACACCATTTAGGCCGTAGCGCCTGATATACCGGATCAACGATGCAATGAACTTTTCTCGGTTTGGCGCTGTGGACGCCATCTCCGAAAACCGGTGCTGGGTCGGGGGGTCGTTGAACACCCAACCACCTAGTGCTTCGTTAGGACAGTGATTGAAGCCAATTTAGGACACGTTATGAGGTAGTTAGAAGCTAATACTAACCAAGAGCGATGTTCACCCGTAAACCGGGATATTTCTTCTTGAGCCGCGAGACTCGAGCCACGATGGGACCCTGACCCTGAGTGTCTGTGATCTCATGCTCTTCGCTGACGTATTCAAAGGCAAGATTGATATGGGTCAATGCTCCGGCAGGAATGTTTTCGGGCAAGTAATCATCACAGCCTCGGGTGGCTCCCCACAGGCCGTAGTATCCAATACGCACATCCAATGCCATTGCGTCGTCGTTCTCGGGGCATTCCGGGCGTCTATGGTAATGTTAGAGATTATCCATAGATTCAGGTAGAAGTGACCTACAAGACCGGAAGGCAGCCACCTTTGTTTTGACATTCACTGCTGCAGAAGTCTTCTGTTGTGCCGCAAAACCCGAATTTGCTGAGAAAACGGTCAGTATCAGTGTCATCAAGCGGTTCAATATGATAGTATCCCGTCAGACTCTGGGGATTCATACCTGCAGCAGACATTCAAAGGACAGTCAAAGCTGCCCTCTGGGGCATATTGGCCGCATTCAGCAGTGGCCTCGCACGATCCTTGACAACTAGAAGACACTTAGTTCATTCACTGGGTGCAGATAAAGAATCGAATGAGGGCGACTAACCCCTCGCCGCAGAAATCAGGACCAAAACCACAAGATCCTGTTGTTCAAATGCGAGTCAGTGGGAAGTAAACCTTTGGTGGAAGGACGACCTCACCATGCTGGCTGCAGCATCCGCTCTCGCACGGTTCCAAGAGACTGCATTCTGAACCCTGCTGGGCTGTTGCTAAATGCCACTGTACAACACAGAAAAGGAGAAAAGCAAAGAGTATTCTTGGCTTCATGACTTTTGGGGTCCAGTAGCATGCGAGAAAGTGGCCGGGTCTGAGAGAAAAGAGCGAAAGTAAAATGACTGACTTGGTGAGACATATTTCCGCTCTCCAGGTGCCCTGATCTATGCTTTATGCAGAAAGCGTCTCTCCAGACCATCAAGATACATCGGCACCAAGCTAAGATCCTTGATACCAGCCGACATGGATATGGATCTTTAGGCCCCCCCCCCCCCCCCCCCCCCCCCTCTCCCAACGTGATAGTGCTGGAGGCAAGTAAAAGCCGCACAAGCTGAAAGGCTGAGAGGCTGAGAGAGTTAGCGTATCATTCTGCAGATCAAAGCGATGTTACCTTACCTATACGAAGTATACCTGTTGGGATTAGTAGCAAAAAGTCCTACTCCATGTAGACGAGTGCATAGTCGACGCTACGATGTACCTACTACCGCCCCTCGCTCTCGCCCGGGCCTAGATTCTACAAACCCCTGCTCGGGAGATTTATCCTGTGGCTCTTTATACAGAAGAATCCGTTGGGCGCCTGGCAAGGGAGCCTCGCTCGCAGAACAAAAGGGTTGAAATTTGCGCAAGTCGGGTGTGATTGCAAAGTGTCGAAGACTGACATACATTGAATCCAGTGCTATTGATCCGAATTGATAAACCTTCTCAGCACAATGGCATTCCCTTCGATACAAATACTCGCTGTGATATGCGCCATCTTTCCGCCGTTTGTGAGCACTTTGAAGATATGGGATACCCCAGCTGCTCTAGGAACTCTCATTCCAGCCGGATGTCGGGCAGCTCTGACGACGAACATAACATGCCCGGGAAAGCTGATCACCGCCGCTGAGATTGTGAACCAAGTGCCCCAGAACGAAACATTTCTTGAGCAGTACTGCGAGCCCGCCTGCAGAGACTCGCTCCAGGTACCCTTTCCTGTCAGAGCAACGCTGGTCCAGACACTGGGACGCTGATACATATGCAGAGCTTCGCTACACTGGTTAACACTCGCTGCGGAGACACCGTGTACTCGTTTGGCAACTACACGAAGCAGTCTGGCAATGCCATCGCAGTCCCCTTGTTGTGGTCGCAAGATGTCGCGTGTCTAGAGGATTCGTATGTCCACGAAAGCGCGGTGGAACTGGGAATTCGGGCTGATGAATCATGCCGCACAGGACGACCCATTCACTATGCCTGCCATCAATCACCAACCATACTATCGAAGCCTGCGATGACTGCACGCTGAAGTATCTATCTGGTCTGTTGAACTCTACATATGGGCACCGGAGAGTCCGTGAGAATTCCTTCTCCTCGCTTGCTTCATCCTGCAGCGTGGACCCAACGGCGTATCCGCATGGAACCGTGACATTTCCCCCGGCGCCTACCAGGTAAGAACCTCGGGTGCTAGGCATGCGGTTTGTTTGCGATACTGACGGAAAGAAACCAGCACGGCCAATTCATCCGCGCCATGTCTGGGCACCGAGTACACCGTGGCCGAAGGCGATACCTGCGAGTCGATTGCCGAAGCAAACCATCTTGCATACTATCGACTTTTGAGCGACAACGGAATTGACCTAAACTGCGAGAGCCTCGCTGTGGGAAACACTTTGTGTGTGGGAGACAGCTGCACACTCCACACGGTGAGGAACCCACCCCTGTCAATACCTCGTTGCTCAAGTGATTTCCACGTCGCTGAAACCCTTCTCCAGGTTGCGGCCAACGAGACCTGCAAGGACATTCTCGCCGATCAAGACTTCACCATCACCGAGCTGCTAGCGTGGAACCCGATCATCCACACCAAGTGTGATAATCTCGCGAGCTTGGTCAACCGTACGATCTGTGTCTCCCCCCCGGGGTCCGACGACTGGGACATCCCCATCACGGTGAGCTACAACGATACCTGGACGTTGCCAACGGGCGACTGGGCTCCGCTGCCTTCCGCCACCGAGGCGTCCAATGTGACTTACTGTGACCCGCACGCTTTGGGCAGCATTGGTACCGTCACCGCAACGGCGAACGTTACCTATTCAAGCCTGGGAGCGTCGCGGATTACGGACTGTCCGGTGGTCGACCAGGATATCGAGAGGGGGTTCGATTTGGCCTTGTTGCCCGAGGATTGCAGCAGCAGCATGGAGCCTTACTGCACGCCTTTTCTTGACGAGCCGGCGCCGCCGTCGACCACTTTCGCTTCTAGCTGTCTGCCTAGCGTGATTATGGGGTGGTAGTAAGCTTGGAAGGGTAAAGGGTTTGAAGATTGGCATGCTAAACCCAGGAAGAGTTATATGCTTATTTGATTCGTTCCTCCGTATTTACCTAGCTAGTGGCAGTAGAGCGGGGGGCCTTGCTTCCTGCAGGTGGGAGACGGGTTCAAGAAGATTGTTTTAACCGCACAACGCGTTGTAACTACGTAGGTTGTTGGGATAGCTGTCTTAGTCCGGAAATTCTTCCCACATCTACAGTCCTGTAGAAATAACTTGTAAACCAGATATGTCCTCTACAGCTATCTGTTTCTAGAATTCATGAAAGTCATCAGCCCAAAATAAGCCAACATAACCTAGGCTAAGCTTCAAGTCAACAGTTTGTAAGCGAGATGCACGGATATATCCGTCCACTAATGCGAGGCTGAACATCATGGGTCCACTGATCCCCCACTGTTCGCGTGGAGTTACATCATGAGAGGTGCATATTGCATACACTGCATAGTCCCCTGCAGCGTCTCTAGAGTTCAATCAGAGCGCCGCGGGTGCCGTCATAGCCAGCCAATTCCACCAAACTCGTAGCGTTCAGGAGAGAGCCGGTCAGCCGGTCCAGTTCGGAGGTGAAGGGATCCAACCGATTCTCCCAGGCAATCTGCCCATGCTCGTCCAGCCAGAGAACCTTGATAAATCCAGACGCGATGGCCTCGCGGTCCAGCAGGTACAGACCGACCTGGATTCGCAACTGCGCGAGGCTGAGATCCCGCCACTTCTCGCTCTCGTGCGCACGCGCTACCGTGTCCTCGTCATTCTGCCCACTGATGTACTGCAGATTAGTCCCGTCGCCATTCATGTCGAAAACGCCGCGGAAGTCCGTAAGTCCCGGAACGCGAACCATCACTCGTCGCCATGAGTCGGGCCCCCCACTACCGTCGTCGAAGTCATAGCGAGAGGGGTCGTCCAAGATTTTATCCCCCGAGACCCCCCACCCGGGGATCTCGGACTCCTGCTTCATCTCTTCGTACTTCCCGGTGAGATCCGGGTCGTAGCATGTGCGCAGCCAGACGGTTTGCAAGCCTTCGCAGCTGACGAGGCTGATATTCCGCTCGTGTGATGTCTGGTGCGTGGCTAGCACGCGTGTGATCTCCTCGTTGAGCTCCGGTGGAGTGGACTCCGCACGGTGTTGATACGGCTTAAGGCAACCCGTCAGGCTGGCTGCCGTAGGGGGAACGAGAAAGAAAACATACATAGCGCTCCATTAGCGTCAGATCCTGCCATGCCCAGACGAGTCGCTCCCAATGTTCCCGGGTATCTCCGGTGGCATTGTGATGCCACCGCTCCTGTTGTTTCCCGGTCAGATCAGAATAGAGCCGGGGAGATAGGGAGATACTTACCGAGAGGAAGATGTCGAATGGGAGACGGCCATATTCAGCCTCGTTTTCTAGCTCTTCGGCAGACATTAGAATTGGAACGGGTAGCGGAATGGTGGAGGAATGAAAAGGGAAGAAGAGTAGAGTAGGAGGAAGGGATGGAATATCAGGGCATGAAACGCTAATTTAGTTTCTTCCGAGATGTCAACGCCCAACGCCACCAACGCGCCATGATCAAATGCCACAAATTGCTCCATTTACACCCACGGGCTTAGCTAGTACTTAGCGATGACCAAGATGGATTCACAATTTCCGCTCTACCTAAGACATCCCAAGCGACTGGAGAATCTCTCATAGCTCATAAGGGAGAGACCAATGCCACTCTCTTCATTCATCCCCAAACACCACACTATGGGTATACGACGTCTTCTACACTGTTCGCTCCTTGTGGGAGCTACACTGGCGGATCCCCGTCTCCATCGACGACAGGATGGCCCAGTCGACCCCGGCACAGCGGCCGATTGCACCTGGTACGACACGGCCCTCGACCCGGCCTACACCTGTGAACGGTTTGAGCTCTACTGGGGATTGTCCCATGGAGACTTTGTGTCCTACGTATCTCTCTCTCTCTCTCTCTCTCCTCTCACCACCCATCCCAACTAACACACAAGACAGAACCCCTCCGTTCTCGACGACTGCACCGGTATCAAGATAGGCAATTCCTACTGTATCGAAGTCAACAACGGCCAGCCCCGACCAACCACAACGACACCGACTCCAACCATCACGGCAGCCCCCAAGCCATCACCCACCCAGGACGGCCTAATCGACACCTGCACGACCTTCTACATGGCCGTCGCCGACGACACCTGCGACAAGATTGTCGCCCAGTACGGTACCTTCACGGTAGCCGACTTCATCGCGTGGAATCCGGCCGTCGGGCCGGATTGCAGCGCCGTCTGGGCCGAGTCCTACTACTGCGTCGGGGTTCCCGACACGCCTACGGGTAACCCGCCGACGGATGCGCTGCCGCCGCCCCCGATGTCGGTTGTCCCTGGAGTAGCGAGGAGAGCTATCACTACTACGACAGCCACAGCTGGCTGAACCAATGCGCCGACCCCGACGCATCCCGGCGCTGTCTGCGCCGCTTGCAATAGGTGGCGTAAGGTGGATAGCGGGAATACTAGGGACAGTACCGGAAGCAGTATGGAATCAGGGCGGCCAGCTACAATAAGTGGAACCCACGGGTGGGAACGAGCTTCTCGAGTCTTTGGCTAGGATACTATGTGTGTGTGGGCGCGTAAGTGGAGTGGCAGCATCGTTTTCATACGTGAGCTATTTGTTCCTGGGTCGTCTTATATTCGTTCTTGGTCGAGACTAGAACAAGTACTCTATTCTGGGATATAGACTCTTTCTTTTATCTATTGGGGAAAATGAATTGAAACTTTCCGTTGGTCCTCTTGATGTGAGAGTCATATCTTCATACCTACCTACCTCCCACGGCCATATCGGTCTCAAGAAACGTGAGCAAGACTACGAATTGGTAGTTGAACTCACAAATATGGTAGCACATACGGTATACCTACTTATCTACCTACCTAGTATCTACTAAGACCATGTTTGGAAGGCCTCGTGATTGAATCAATGTATAACCAGAATTCTATTAGTATCTATGGTATATGCAAATGCAATCCGTCCGTCCCAAACTCACTCATAAAATGCATCCATCCTCCAAACATTAAGGTATATACATCGTAAACCTCCAACACTACCTACCACCCCCCGCCAATCTTCCCAGCGAGCTCCACAACGCGCGTCGTATCATTAGGCGCCGCCGTCTTGTCCTTGCCCACGTCACTCTCCACCTCGCGATAGGTAGTGTAGATCAGCTTCGACAGAGGCACGTCGATCAGCTCTGACCAGCGCTGTAGGGCTTGGTGGATCTGTTCTTCCTTGTCCTTGATAGATAGGGGCTGTGCGGCGACCTCCGAGTCGGAGTCGGCTGAATAATACGCTTCGTCTACACGAGCTAGCCACGCGCGCTGTTCGTGTGGGGATGGCTTGGACGGAACACCCTCCGCTGTCGACTCTGCGCTGGAGATAGTAGTAGCAGCCTGGCGCGCGTCCTCGATGCGGATCTGGCCGCCTCCGTTCGTGCAGCCGCCGGGGCAGGCCATGACTTCGACGTAGGCGTATTCGGGCCCTGATCCTGCGGCTGCATTGCGTGACATTGGTTGGCGCCGGTTTGCGGATACGGCGGCGGCTTTTGCGCCGGGGAGGCGAGAGGCTCGAGCGGGCTTGAGCTTCCGCACGAGGTTCTGGATGTTTCGAAACCCGTAGTAGCGGGCTGCTTTGAGGAGGGGCTCGTTGGATGCGGATATGAGGGAGTATTCTACTACGTCTGCGTTTCGCCCGCGCTGGGCGACGATCTGGCTTCCTGGATGGCGGGCTTGGAAGGATAGGAGCACGTGGTAGAGATAGCCGCCGGAGGTGGACGCGTCTGTCGACTGCTCGGGGGATAGGCGTTTCGAGAACAGGAATGAGTTCAGGGCGGCGTCTGGGAACGTCGGGGTGTAGGATGAGGGAAGGGCTTTGAGCGGTAAAGAGGGAAGGGAGACTCCTCGTGCGGATGCCAGGGTCAACAGTTCGCGCGAAGTAATGACGCAATCTACATCGCGCACCGGGGACGAATCCTGCGCGGCGTCTGGGTTCCACGCGGCGTCGGTGAGTTCTTCTCGGCTGGCTTCTAGCTTCTTATCGAAACAAGGCATAACCGCCACGTGCCATATCTGAGAAGCAGGGACGCCGAGGGCCTTGCTCAAGACACTCTTCAAGAAAGTGCCCGCCAGTGCTTGAGGTGATTTGAGGCGCGACAGGTGCGGGAGGATGAACGGGTGGGTTTTCTCAGCATAACAGATCCACCCTGGACAGGCCGAGGATAAGATGGGCCGCTTAGGAAGGTTGCTGCCCGCGTTGTTCGATGCTAAAGTATCCGCGACCTCGTCCGCGGTGAGAGCCAGAACGGCTTCGCGCAAGACGTTGGTGTCGACTACCCAAGTAAAGCCGCTCCCGTGCTTGCCTCCAGCCCTCAACCCCTGCGGACCGCTGAGAAACTGCTGGATCATGTGCGTTGCCTCCTTCTCGGAGATCCCATAGGTAGCTGCCAAGCTGGCCCTTGCCTGGGGGCTGACGCTTGCAACAAAGATGCGACCTTCACTCGACGATGCGCCGTTGATATCCGCCGTGACTCCATTTTGTGTAGTTTGAACAGGGATCTCCGGGTGCGCGTCGAGATTATTCAGAACTTCAGTATGCGATTGCAGCGACACTAGAACCGCTTCGGCCGACGTCACACATCCCGAGCACGCAAGGCAGTCCGTCAGCGAGATCTCCGCTGGCGGAGCATTCTCAATCTCCGGCTGGACTTTGTCTTCTTTGGTGACTTCATATGGGTTCTGTTATTACAAATCAGTTTCTGTACAATAAGCTGTGGAGTGCGATATCGGCGAGAGAAGTGGTTATACCTCTGAGTTTGCAGGCTCCTTCTGCGGAAGTGTCTCGACCGGTTTGATGCACGCGACTCCGGGCGAGATGAAATCGTTCAAGTCGTCTGCCGATAGAATGGCGCTCATGGTGACCGATGCGGCGAACCCCGCGGAGCGATTATCGGGAAGAGATAGCGGCCCCGCAGACGAAGGGATTGAGATCTGCTTTCGTAGATGAGCTTTCGTATATGATAGACGACAGGAGAGTCGGATTGCCCCAAGTCTGCGATCTAGGAAAAAAAGTAAGTATAGTGAAATGAGAACAGATCAAGGACTGAAGATATTCAGATCTAGAAGTTTGTATGGAAGTTTGTCATCCGGCGTGGCGAGGGAACCAACAGGAATCAGCCGATTATTATTAAGAACGGAGTACTGATAAGCTCACCGCTTCGGTTCTGCCGCAGAAATTCCATCCAACTGACCCAGCTGTTAACAAGGAATACATCCATGGAATTGTTATTGTATGCTGTCGATAAGAACATTATATTGCCGGACAAAAAGAGAGTACTCACTAGCACTATAGGGGGGAAATAAGAAAAGAAATATAACGAGAAATAAAAAAGAGCAAAAAGTTGAAGATGCTCCCTGGGGGAATCGAACCCTCGACTTCAGCTATTCCGGTCATGGAGAATCCTCTGCGAGGTAGTTCACCATAAGAGCCGCGCCATAACCACTAGGCCAAGGGAGCTGTTTCTAAGTGGCAATAACCAGCACTTTGATCTTTTGAGCGCTTTCTCGCTTTTTCTCCAGCCAGGCCGCTCCACCCACTGATAAGCTCTCACCGCCCTCTCCTGATCCACCCGGATGGCTGTGCGATGTGAATACGAGGTGAGTCAGGGTCTAGGCAGGTCAGGAACAACGATCCTAGCCTCATGTAGATAATATAAATATGATGTTATCCGCTGTTCAGGGGATTCGTTGATTTAATATCCTCAAACAAGTGTATTCTCAAACCTACACAGCCTACAAAATGTCCTCAAACCCGCAAAAGTACACTCAGAGCACTCTCCCCAAATCCTGGTCCCAGCCATCCAGCTCCAAACCCCCATCAAACTCCAAACCCACGGGACCAAATCGACGCGAGATCCTGCGCGCAACAGCAGAAGAGACAAAATCTCTTCTACCCCAGCTACTTGCCCTACGCCCCCAAGCTCCCCCAAACGGATATTACTACGCGCACGCGCGGACCCGCGTCCTAGACGCCAGATACAAACCCAAGAATCTCAGCACCACCGTAGAGGTCGTCAATGCAGACACATACGATACAGCAATTGACCTGGCCGGTGCAAACGGCTTCCTCCACCACGACCACACCGCCAAGGTCTGCGTGCTGAACCTAGCGAGCGAGAAGCACGCCGGTGGGGGCTGGCTGCGAGGCGCAATGGCCCAGGAGGAGGCGCTCTGCTATCGCAGTAGTCTGAGTTTCACGCTCAAGCGGCGGTTTTATCCCATTCGGGACCGTGACGCTATATACTCGCCGACGGTGCTCATCATGCGGGGAAACTTTGATCAGGGCCATAAGTTGATGGACTTGCAACGACCGGAGTTATTCCCCGTCGTCAGCGTCGTCAGTGTGGCTGCTGTGCGGAGGCCGGAGATTCTGAACGCGAATCCGCCTAGGTTCAAGCACATTGCTGATCGGCACTTGACCAAGGATAAGATGCGGGCTATTCTCCGGGTGGCGGCGTACAATAGACAGCGGAGGCTGGTCCTCGGCGCACTTGGCTGTGGGGCCTTTGCGAACCCTAAACAGGAGGTTGCAGACTGTTGGGCGGAGGTCTTGCAGGAGCAGGAGTTTCAGGGCTGGTGGGAACGCATCGTCTTTGCGGTATTAGAGAACCCCGGCGGGCCCGCTATTAATACCGGGAACTTCAATACCTTTCGCAGCAAGCTGCAGGGTTTGAGAGTTTGATACCGAGATATCGGGTGGAATATGTGGTTGATAGAGACGATGATAATGTACATAGCCTCAATACGTCAGACAAGCCAGATACCAAGCGATGTTTACTTTCTGGTCCGCGTCGAGCGTCGCCGGCCGACGGGTGATACCTCTGGTTTGACCTCTTCTTCGCTCTTTAGGCTCTGTTTGCTCTGTCGTTTCGACCCTGCTCGTTTCGGCTTCGGCTCCTCTTCTTCCTCTTCCTCCTTGACAGGTGTATTGCTTTCTTCCTTTGTAGCTCTCTTTCGCTTAGACTCCCCCTGGGCGGCGCTGGAATCATCCCCATTGATGTCCTTCGACACCGGGCCCGTCTTCTTCTGTACACTCGGTACCACCGCACTTGTCCGTCCGCCGACAGTAAGAAAGACTATTTTCTCCCCGTTGGGTAGAGCAGAGGTGCTGTTCTTCTTCCCTTTACTCCACCGATGCTTGAACAGCCAATCCTCGGGGAACTTGTCCGAATCCGCAAGGAGGTCCACCGAGGTTGAGCAGACGTAGTGGATCGCCGAGTTGAGTTCCTTGATTTGATCGTCCCCCAACGTGTTGCTGTATTGTTCTGGATGTATTTTCGCGTGATACAGAATTTCATCTCTGGTACGCGGTCAGCATCAGGATAGCATCAATAGCTAGATGACAGCGCAGGAAACAAACCCCATCCAGTTCCCGATCCCACTAATATTAGCCTGATCCAGAAGAAGCGCCTTGATAGGTACTCTCTTACTACGCAGCTTCTGCGCCAGCCACTCCTGCGTCACCACATCCTTATCAACAACCGGATCGGGCCCATTCTCCTTCAACGGACTATACTTGCGGATCTCCTCCGCCGGGCAATCCACCAGTCTGATCCTGCTCAACCGGCGGAAATCCACAAAAGCCGCCTCGGTCACAGGGGTCCCATCCGTCTCCAGGAGAAACTTCCAATACTTAGGGGGCCACTCCTTGTCCGCGGGTTTATCAGTCCGGTAGTAGTAAGTGTCTGCGTCGCGGATCTTCAGCCAGCCAGCCATGCCGAAATGCATCAGCGCGTGCGGTGGGGAGTCCATCGCGATCCAGAAGTATTTCCCTTGTTGACCTGCGCTTGCGATCTTCTTGCCTTGCATTGCTTTTTGGAAGTCAGAGCCGCTGGTCCCTGCTTTGCCGTAGACGATGTCATCGTTTTGGGTGGATACTTTGGTGAGGGTCTTTCCGACTAGATGTTGGCGGATGAAGTGCACGATGCGCGAGACTTCTGCGAGCTCGGGCATGTTGAATTGATTGATTGATGCGGATGGGTATATACAGTGCGATGAAGTACGAATTGAATTGGCTTGTTGACAGGTAGCGAATTGATTCTGGGTAATAGGGTGGTCGTAGAAGGGACAGGGCTTTTGGGTGAACAAGTAGAGTTGACTGTTCTACTTGAAGAGTACTCCGTAGTAACCTGTTGATTACAAGGTAAACGCGTCGATCCTCGGGGCCGAGAGAGCTTAGTAATAATGCACCATTGATTCTTATGATCGCCCAGCGGAGGGTATACAAATCGCCTATTAGTACTCCGAATCATCGCTCAGTAGAATTCTATACTGTAGATGTGGAGTTGAGAGGACTGGATGATGTGGACGCTTTCGTATTCAATACAATTTCAGGCATGACCCATCTACAAAAGCTCAAGCTTCTCCAGTGCCAATCTATACAAGAAAGAGGTAGAGGGCGAGTAGCAATGAAGTACTAGTTATACCGTGATTAATGAGTGATTTGAGACTCGTGCTCGATTGCTACTCCTCAACCCTGCTTCTTCCTGGTTCCGCCTTTCTAATCCCACAATACATCATCTGCGCATCCTTTCCACAAGAAAAAAGAGTCATAACCATTGAAGCCGTGGAGTATTAGCTGATTCGCAAATGGTTTTTTGGCCGTAGCTTGGGATCACACTAACTAATAATAGCCAGCTCACTACCAGTCACACTGCAGCCATTGCCGCTCAGACTGTCCACCCTACATTGGGGCGTTATGAACGCTCGAACACGGCTGAATTGACATAATGCTGTGCAAGGAAAGTACCTAAGTGAGTCCCTCAAGGGCGCTTAGTCCTTGGCCTGGTAAGTTGTCTTGATGTTAAAAGGGAGTAGGCACCCGCTCAAGCTTCGTGAAACTCAACTTCTCTAGTATTCTTTGACACAGGCACCAGTGTTCTTGCTTCCTTCGTTGATCTACTATATATATATATACCAGCTATATCAGTCTGCAAGCCAGGTATGAATCCCACCAAATGATTGGGCGTCCTTCATTGACTAGCCTTATTAAAAGGACCTACAATACCATGGGAAAACTATTCAAGACCATTGTCGGTGTCGGCAAAGTCATCACGGGTCGCCCAGCTGACCTTAAGAAATTCTTCAATCCAACAGCCGACCGAGGCAAGACAGTGTGGCCAAAGTCACAGGCTGACCTACTCCGCTATGGGGTACGCTGGGATTACGACGGCGTTATTACACGGGAAGATGGCAAAGAATATCACAAATATCAACTCCAGCCAAATGCTGGCAAAATCCCTTCCACCATCAAAGAATGGCGAGATCACAACGGAGGCACACATGCAGTGATAGCGACCATGTATATTGAGAGGGGAACTGACCCGGATGATGAAACCTTTGAGCTCGCCGTGAGAAACTCGCTTGAAGAACTCTAGCAGCAGTACCAAGTGTGTTGAGATATCCTGTGTTCAATGATTTGAGAGCCTGCGCCCTTTCATGTGACAGCTGAACACATCCATGTCTTGTATAGTTTGGGTTGAGGGAAGTTGAGGATAATGAATAGTATTGTTGGGAAAGCCCTACCAGTCCACCAAGGACATCAATTGGCGAATTGGTCAGACCGGTAGGGCCTTCGAATTCTAGATGTTCTCCAGTTCAGTTAGATATTTTCTACTCCGTACTAAGATACGGTAGAACTACTCCGTAGGTACTCTCGGGCCGTGCTTGCTAGGTACCTCTAGGTAGGCAATGTTATCAGCATGGGGTGATCCAATCATGACTATCATTGGGGCTTCAAACCTCAGATCAGTGGGGCCATTAAGTCTTCAAGTGTGGGGGTACTCTTAACTTGGAAGACGACCACGCTTTGCCATGATATGGTTTGAGATAAGGTCGAGATGGTGTCAGGCGGATTTTGTCAATCTAGAGGGGCTTGGTAGAAATAATACAGTTCTCTCGACCATAGTATTATGAATATTTACCAAGGAGTAACCCGAGTAACCCATCGAGCAACCGTATAGAGCGTTGTAAACCGAGAACCGTGCCAAGCCACTATGTAACATGAGAGATCTGACTAACGCCAAACACCCCGAGAGTTTCACCGGTTCCGCTCTGTGGCAGGGGGCTATAAGCAACAACTCCAAGTATCAAGAAAAATAACAATATCTCCATGCTCTCGTGCTCACAACTTTTGTCAGGCGGCTTTGATACTACCCGAGGAAGGTTAGCATGCAGGAACCCATGACCACAGCCCTGCCTTGACAATGGTTACGCGATTTATCAACCGGTGCCTTCAGTCTTCTATCTTGCCCAACTTCTCTGTACACCTACAGCGTCGGACCATGAGTTAGTAAACTAGACTCTGCCACCTAGATTGTCTGCTGTTAATATTGAGTTCTATCCTTCAAGGTACAGAGACAAATCGGGGGTTGTTCTCTTATACCTCCGGTAGGTTTCTTTACAATGAGGACCTTCGATTGAAGGAGCGCTATGTCGAATTCGATCCCGTGGCCCTTTTACGAGAAGCAGAAAAGCATATTGACTCTAGCCATGGACACGCTACACTCATTACCAAACTCGCCGAAGGAGGTTTCAATCGTGTTTTTCTTCTAAAAATGGACGATGGTTTCGAGGCCATCGTCAAGATTCCATACCGGATCACTGGCCCCCAACACTACGCCACCGCAAGTGAAGCCGCCACCCTCCATTACCTCCTTTCTATAGGGATCCCTGTTCCAAAAGTCTATGGATACTCCTCTTCGAAGAGTAACCCCGTCGGCACGGAATATATCGTCATGGAGAAGGCTTCGGGAATCGGTTTGGAGTCTAGATGGCTTAGCATGAGCAAGCGCGAGCGGCATAAACTCGCTTCCAGTTTCGTTGAAATCGAGAAGAAACTTTTTGACATCCCTTTCGGATCTATAGGAAGTATATACTTCAAAAAGGATGTTCCGTCTGGCCTCCAGGCAGCGCTCTATTCAACCGACACGGAAAGAAGCCTTGAGTCAGAGACGCTCTGCATTGGTCCAACTGCAGATTATATGTTTTGGCATGGAAAGCGGGCTGGCCTCAGCCTAAATCGTGGTCCGTGTAGGTTTGCCATCCCATACTTCACTCATATATCAGCCTCTGACTATTGTAGGGAAAACCCCCAAGGAGTATCTTGCATCGATTGCGGTGAAAGAAATCGAATGGACACAACGGTACGGAAAACCTATGGAACTGGACTTTCCGCACAACGGTGTTTTTCCTGGGGAAAAGTCTCCAGAAGACTATCTCCGTCTTCTAGACAGATATCTCGCGTTAACTCCGTATCTGCTTCCAAACGAATCTTCAGATCCGCTCAACAGACCGACTCTTCGTCATCCAGGTATGTATTCTCTGATTGTCTGGGGAAAATATGCCTGACTGTGTCGAGACCTAAACCCCAATAATATTTTCATTTCGCCCGACACGGGCGCCATCTCTTGTATCATCGACTGGCAGCATGCAACGGTCGAGCCCCGTCTCCTGGTCGCCGGCTATCCCCGTGCCTTCGAGAACCCAGACCCCGAGCAATCCCTCGTCCTCAAAGAACCCTCGCTTCCCCCGGACTACGAAACACTCCCCGCTGAGGGGAAGGCCGAAGCTGATGAACTTCATCGCCGACGTCTCCTATTCTATTTCTACCGGATTCTGAATGGTCACTTCAACAAAGCACATCTCGAGGCCCTACGTGACCCCCTTCTCCATCCACGTCAACATCTGGTCGATAGAGCGGGCCGCCAATGGAGTGGAAACCTGATGACCTTGAAGGGAGCATTAGTTCGGATGATCGAGTATTGGCCCCATTTACCCGGCACACAGGGGTTATCGTGCCCGGTACAGTTTACGCCCGCTGAGTTGGATGGGTTCCATGACCAGGAGCAGCTGTGGTTTGACCTAAACAAAGTCGTAAACCATTGGCGGGAAGAGATCGGGGGTGTGAGCGAGGACGGGTGGATCTGCAATGAACGATATGATGAGACGGTGCAAAGAGCTGCTGAGCTCAAAGCGTCTCTGGTGGCTACCGCCGAGGGAGACGTTGAAGATATTCGCCTCTTGGAAAAAGGCTGGTTGTTCCGGGATCGCGAGGAGTTTGATTGATTCAGCAGTATTCAATATTAGAGCATATCAGCGATTACAATAGATCCCCAGTTGAAAACTTGCAAAGTAGTCCGTTTAAGATCGCCTCATTGGTCTATTCTATGAAGTTGATATGATGGATGACTAATGCTGATCATCGAACCATTGCATAAAGTCATAAAGTGGGTTCCGCGAACCATCTAACCTCCCTGGGCAATCAACTCTCCTCAGCGAAGTCCTCAGCTGGATTCAAACGCACTTGAGCAACTCGAACTCATCAAGATTGTGCCTGTTCATCAGTAACCGGCCCACAGTCGCACACATATCGCTCCGTCACTCCGTGTCTCCACACGTGCATAGCACGTTAGCACGATAGCACAATCTGACGTCAACCCGACTGACCTCTAAACCGACTATCTGATTTGCCGCCAATCTGGAGTGGTTCTGGGCGACGACAATCAAGCGGGGGCAGAATCCCAACGCAGGGGAGGAAGCGAAAATGACCAGGGCTACGGAGACACCGGCTCCCCGGCTGACGCCTCAGTTTTGTTTCAATGAGCGGTTACTTCGGGGTATGTTGCGACCTGGACATTGATCTATTGGGCCCCGGCTGTGCGCATATCAGAGCTAATCAATCCGCACCGAATAGACTTTTTGCGACTTTCACGCTCGACGATTGACGACTCGATCACGCAAAACCTCAACGCCTTGTACACGCCAGCGCGCGAAGGCTTCGACCCCTCCTCGACGGCTCGCCGGCAGACGGATTCCAGACTCGAACGGCCGATCGACCCGACGGCGTGCCAGGACTTTAAGGACAAGGTGCTCTTTCCGTCATGGCAGACTCGATCGGACGTGCTCACTTACTGCGCTGGCGTGGCGACGAGTCCCGACCCCGAAGATCCGGATTTGATCCTCCGGCAGACGGAGTCGGCCCGGGATCGAGAGAGGGTGGTCGATGAGCGACTCGACCCCTACTCCGCTCGGTTCTTTCCGCGAGAGGCACGCACGGAGTCTCTGGCCAACGTGGTTCGGAACCAGCGTATGGTGGAGGAGATCATCCGGTCGCGAACCTGGGGCCTCGTGTCGGAGAGATGTGATGCTCCGTCTGCCGGCTGGGAGGAGGCATTGAACCAGTGGCGTGAGAGACAGCAACGCTGATCTTTTGTCCACCCCGTTCGATGGGTTTGGCGTACGATCGGACCATCGGAGGTCCTCACTGTATATAAAAGCATATGCGACACGCGATCGTTGTACTGTAACCAGGCGTTGGGGTTTCAATCTCCATTCCAGTAGCGTTCAATCTTCACAATATTAACCTTTTGTAATTTTAAGTCCATCTAAGTGGTCATATCATAGGTATCGACAGGGAAGACGTCGAGACGTTCGGGTAATTGTTAGATCGGACGACCGGCCAGATAGGATTCAACAGAACTCCAACCACGTCAAAATCAGCATTCTAACTTCATTGGTCTTTCAAAATCACTAATACAGAGATTGCAAATATTAATTATCAATATGCACATTTCTCCTCATAGCTAGTGCTCGATATGGGCCCACTTGGGACTGACGGATTGATCGACGTGAATCGCTCGCTGGTTGTTCCGCTCGCCGCCTTAGGCACTCCCCCCCCCCGCGCACATCTCAAGGCCACGCACAGTCACCGACCTTGGCAAGTCTTTCCACTCCGCCAACGTCCCATTCTCTCTCCTCCTCCCTCCCCCCACCCACAACCTCACCATGCCGCAACCATTGAGCTCCAAGGATGCCTCTCTGTTTCGCCAGGTGGTCCGTCACTATGAAAATAAACAGCACAAGAAGGGTAAACATTGGAATCCTCCCCCACCCAAACTTCTCCCACTTGAGACGTCATTTGTTAACTCCGGGCCCGCTTGGGCAAAAATCATACTATAGGTATCAAAGCCGCAGAACAGATCCTGCGAAAGAACCCCAACCATGGCGACACCCTGGCGATGAAGGCATTGATCATCAGTCAACAAGGGCAGCAGGAGGAGGCCTTCGCACTGGCCAAGGAAGCCCTCAAGAACGACATGAAATCGCACATTTGCTGGCACGTCTACGGTTTACTGTACCGCGCGGAGAAGAACTACGAGGAGGCCATCAAAGCGTACCGGTTCGCCCTGCGGATCGAGCCCGACTCCCAGCCCATTCAACGAGACCTGGCCCTCCTCCAGATGCAGATGCGCGACTACCAGGGCTACATCCAGAGCCGGAGCGCCATGCTCCAGGCCCGTCCGGCCTTCCGACAGAATTGGACCGCCCTGGCGATCGCACACCACCTTGCGGGCGACTTGGAGGAGGCCGAGAAGGTGCTGACTACCTACGAAGAGACCCTCAAGACCGTGCCCCCCGTCTCCGACATGGAACACTCCGAGGCTGTCCTCTACAAGAACTCGATCATGGCGGAAGCGGGCAAGCTGGACAAGGCCCTGGAGCATCTTGAGTCGGTGGGCTACCGGATCCTGGATGTGCAGGCGCTTCTGGAGATGAAGGCGGATTACCTGTTGCGGTTGGGCCGGAAGGAAGAGGCCGCGGCAGCCTACACGGTGCTGCTGGAGCGGAACTCGGAGAACTCGATCTACTTCGACGGTTTGATCCGGGCGAAGGACATCGCCGAGAACGACCACAAGGCGCTGAAGGCGGTCTACGATGAGTGGGCGGAGAAATGCCCGCGGGGCGATGCCGCTCGCCGCATCCCGCTGGACTTCCTGGAAGGGGACGAATTCAAGCAGGCCGCCGATGCGTACCTGCAGCGCATGCTCAAGAAGGGAGTGCCCTCCCTCTTTGCGAACATCAAGGCCCTCTACGACAACACGAAGAAGCGCGACACGGTGCAGGAGCTGGTCGAAGGGTACGTCAAGGCGGCGCCGCAGTCCAATGGCGACGCGAACGGCGATGACACCGAGTTCCTCTCCTCCACCTACTACTTCCTTGCCCAACACTACAACTACCACCTGAGCCGGGACCTGTCCAAGGCCATGCAGAACGTCGACAAGGCGCTGGAGCTCGCCCCCAAGGCCGTCGAGTACCAGATGACCAAGGCCCGGATCTGGAAGCACCGCGGCAACCCGCAAAAGGCCGCCGAGGAGATGGAGAACGCGCGACTCCTGGACGAGAAGGACCGGTACATCAACTCCAAGGCCGCCAAGTACCAGCTGCGCAACCACGACAACGACAAGGGTCTCGACAACATGAGCAAGTTCACGCGAAACGAGACCGTCGGCGGCGCGCTAGGCGACCTTCACGAGATGCAGTGCGTCTGGTTCCTGACGGAAGACGGCGAGTCGTACCTGCGGCAGAAGAAGCTGGGGCTGGCGCTCAAGCGGCTCCACGCCGTCTACAACATCTTCGACGTGTGGCAGGAGGACCAGTTCGATTTCCACAGCTTCTCCCTGCGCAAGGGCATGATCCGGGCTTACGTCGATATGGTGCGGTGGGAGGATCGCCTGCGCGAGCATCCGTTCTACACCCGCGTCGCGCTGGCCGGCGTCAAGGCTTACCTGATGCTGCACGATGATCGCGACCTGGTGCACGGACCCATGCCCAGCGGCACCAACGGGGCCAACAAGGAGGAGGATGAAGCGGAGCGGAAGAAGGCCATGAAGAAGGCCAAGAAGGAACAGCAGCGGCTGGAGAAGATTGAGATCGAGAAGCGCGAGGCGCGCAAGGCGGCCCCGACCAAGGGCTTTGACGGCGAGGTCAAGAAGGAGGACCCCGATCCGTTCGGCACCAAGCTCGTGCAGACTCAGGATCCGCTCAAGGAGGCCACCAAGTTCCTGACGCCGTTGCTGGAATACAGCCCTGAGAACATTGAGGGGCAGTGCCTCGGCTTTGAGGTTTATCTCCGGAAAGGTATGTCCCTGTATCCCGGAAACAAAAACTTTATACAGTGAACTAACGGTTATCCAGGCAAATACGCCCTCGCGCTCAAATGCCTCTCCGCCGCCCACGCCCTCGACCCCAACCACCCAACCCTCCACGCGCAACTCCTCCGCTTCCGTCAGAAACTCTCCACCCTCACGGAGCCTCTCGCCCCGCAAGTCTCCGAAGTCATCAACACCGAGCTGGAGACGCTCCTCCCCAAATCGCAGAACCTCGACGAATGGAACGCCTCGTTCCAGTCGGCGCACGCCGCCAGCGTGGCTCACACCCAAGCCGCCCTCACCTGCCGCCAGCTCCTCAACGCCGACTCCAAGCCGCAGTGCGAGAAGGACCTCACCGCCACGCTGGACAGCTCCGATCTGACCATCGACACCGCACTGGCTGGTCTGGATCTTCTCAGCGAGTGGGGCAGCTCCGCGGCTGCGAAGACCGCTTATGCCGAGAAGGCGAGCTCCCGGTGGCCGGAATCGACGGTGTTTCAGCTGAGCTGAATGGGTTGCTTATTTGGCGTGTAGTTTCTTTTTCTTATCATTTTCCTTTTTTATCTTTTGACTCTATTTTTTTCATTTATCTCGATGAGAGGAGATCAGATGAGATGAGTATACCTTGGTATAGACGGGTGTTCCAATTCTGCGATCACACCGTAAGTAAGACTTAGACTGCAGAAGAAGAAAAAAAACAAAACAAAACAAAAGGCAATTATAAAAGAGGAATGAGAATGAATAATGTCCGAGTATTTCCATTTGATTAGTATCTGTATCTGTCTACCTTCTTTTAGGGGTATATGTATACTAGTTTTCTACACAGCTCTTTCTCTTTCTCTTTCTCTTTCTCTTTCTTTTTCTCTTTCTCTTTCTAATTTAAGGTTCATTCTTCACTGCTTTTTGCTCACTAAGTAGTCTAAGTTGGGGCCGAGCAGAGAAGGGGTAACTAGTTATACTATGATATAATGTAGTATAAAACTTTGAGATGGTCACAAAAAACCAATTATGGTTTATTAGTTCAATTTTATATTAAAAGGACACCAGTCAACCAGTGTATCAATCTTTCATTAATTAAAAACTCAATAATGACTCTCGTCATCGCCAGTATCTTTGCCAATCTTGACCTGACAACAACAATTTCTTTTCGCGCAGTGCCCTGTCTTCTTGCCTCTCTCCTTTTTTTTTTTTTTTTTTTTTTTTTTTAAGACGCTTTGACAATACAAAGAATTCGAAATTGACTGCCCATATTGGTCGATCTTTTCAGGTTGTAGTGAGGGTGGGTGCGTGCTCACCGAAGCAGCTGTCAAAAGGATACAAAACATTTATAATGCCATGGTAGGGGCCATCCTCTGATCTTTTGCCATGGTAATATAGCCAATAAAAAACTTGGTGTAATCATCCACTCTATGAAAGGTTCCTTGGAATCAGCTTGACATATTGAGGCTTCTTCTTCCAGGTCATGTTCGTCTTCTGATCTGCCCAGTCCTTGATCCCAGGTTGTGACTGAATATCGAAGTTCCAACAGAAGTTGGTGATAATCAACTTTATTTCTGCATACGCCAAGCTAGATTGATTTTTAGTATTTAACCCTCCAGCGCGGTGCTTTGTGGTAATGAAACCACGTTTGGGAGATTGTCAGAAGGTAGGTACTTACTTCTTTCCCAGACAGTTCCTTGGCCCATGTGAAAACGAACGACAGGCTTCCTTCTGGTCGCTCAAGAACCGCTCGTCCTTATCCTCCAACCACCTTTCTGGGAGAAAAGTGTCTGGCTGATAGAAATTCGCCGCGCTGCGGTTGCATGAATAATGGTGCATCCCAAGTGATGTGCCTCCCGGCACGAACCTTCCACAAACCATTGCTCCAGCTTGGGGAGCGAGGCGAGGAACGGTCCCGGTGACAGGAGGGTATATGCGGAGGGCTTCTTCCACTACGGCGTGAAGGTAAGGCAGATCTGCAGCTCGTTGGTAGGTAATCTCTTCCTTTGTGGGGAAGGAGGAGCGGATTTCGTGTGTGAGACGTGACAGTACATGCGGGGATGTTTGGAGGTGACATAGCAGCCCTGCAAGAAGTGCGGACGTTGTTTCGCTGCCTGCTAGGATAAGGAGTTGGCTCGTTGTGAGGATCTCGTTGAAGGTGAGCCCGTCTGGACCAATGTTTTCGCGTGAGCCCCGGAGCATGTGGTATACTTCCAGCTTGTTAACACACACTATCCATAACTGATCGGATTAGGAGGAAGGGAAAGTACCAAAGTCTTGCCTCTCGGTGTCCGAGGCTACTCGACGAGTAAGTCGATCGCGTGCCATCTCATACTGGTAGACGAAGTCATCATGGAGATGCTTGGGTGTGAGAAGGCCCGTTACAAAGTTCATCCACGGCTTTGTCACGAGACGTGCTGCGGTACGCATATATATTTGAGATTCGAGGAACCCAAAGATCGAGGACAGGTAACGTTCTGCTTTACCCTGCTTCAATAGTCCAAAGGGCTCACCAAAGGCAAGGTCTCCAATAACATCAAAAGTGATGAAGTTGAACCAGCTCGTCATGTCGACCACGTCATTGCCCTCGGCTACCTTCTGGTGGAGCCTCGACATGAAGAAATCAACATAACTGTGGAGGTATCCTTCCTGAACCTTGAGTGATTTCTCAGAAAACGCATGGGCGAGGAGACGACGAAGTCGGCGGTGTTCTTCACCATTCGCTCCCACCTATATAGAGTCTTAGAAAAACGGGATGCCAACGATGGACGAATTCACACTCAGCCATTCGGAGAATAGATATAATGTCATACAATGTGCCATGACCCATCCGGGGCGCGGGTCTGCCACTCCTGATCTTTTTCAAAGAGCACTTTGCCCTTGATAGTTCGATGACCTAGTCAAACTCAGCAGGTGAGATTGTGGTTTCTTCTCCAGTCCAGACATACCGCAAATATCATGCCATGCCTGTGCTGAATTATATGACAGGGAGTTGGGCTCGGTGCGTACAGCCTCTCCGTACCGATCATGGGCCTCTTTTGTTTTCGAATGGAGAACACCCATCAGCTCCCAGTAGACAGTCCATAGTGGAGTAGCACGGGCGAGCACTGGTCCAGGAAAGTCACGTAGAGGATGGAAATAGAGATTATATATAATCTTGCCAGCCTGTATCACCGCAAAAGCAACGAAAATGGCCTGGGACAGGAATCTCTTAGTAGATGCTACCAGATAAACGGTGGGGAGGGACATACCCCTATGACTGAAGCCACGGACTTATCCAGACTTTGGCCGGATAATTGTGCCGTGATATCATGAACAAGAGTCATTTTGGGTGAGTGGTAGAATATTGTTCAGTGAAGATATCACTGTGTCCTACTAGCAGCAAACAGCAAGACTATCAGGCTATGCTACCCAGTGTCGTGCCGTGATATTTATACACATTTTTCTACCTGAACACCCTATCAAGCTGGTAACTACCCCGCTCGCAAGGCTCAGGTAGTGAAACGTCTGAAGAAACTAGTGAAGAAGCTAATTCGTTAAGCTACATATCAGAGGGAGGCTATCAACATGGCCCTGTCAGTTAACTAGTATTGACAGCCACAGGGGTATTTCTCCCCTCCCCCCTCCACCCTCCCAATAAATTACATTGGATAGATGCAATGCATGAAAAAAGCCTCGTTTGCACGTGTACAAGCAAACATCGACCCGTAATCAAGTATTTTTCCACAGGGGGTAGCTTCTCTCCTATTCGCGAAAGAGGCCCCTATCCAGCTGCCTTGGAATCCCTGGTTGCTGTGGCTTGGCAACGGTTTTGATATACCAACAATTGACTGTTTAGTACTTTGAACCCGGCGTATTTGGACTGGAATGCAGATACCCCGCTTTATCATGAGAGCCTTGTTCATCTGCGATGTCGTGACAATGAACTAGTGAGCTACTGATAAAATCATCCCCTCGCACAGGCTGTCCACTTTACATGCTTTGTCAAATGCGGGAATATAGATAGTTCAACTTTGCAATGATATGTCTATCATGCACGGAGACAGGAAGACGAAGAGTCTATGAGGCTCTTTACAAAGCTCAGTGAGGCTGGAGATGGCGTACCATGTGGGCCCTGGTTTATGGAACCGATGTTTTCGACCGCAATATTATCTCGGCGGGCTGTCACTCGAAAGATCGACATTCTGACAGGATGATATCAAGAAAAGATTATTGGTGGAAGTCAACAACCCTGTCCAGGGCAAGCAGTTCACTTCCTAGTTAGATCTCATACCCTGTAGCTGAATATTCAGAATTCCTGTTTAGCACTAGTCGTACGTAATCAATGACCGCACAACGCAGACTTGGGATAATTACATCCTATACCCTATCGTATGGAATATCATTAGTCGTTTGATGAGAGCGAAGTCCATTGGGTTGATCTTTATTCTACCTTTTCCAAGCATATGGGCCTTCGCAGTATATTATACACAAGGACAAAATGATCAACATCAGGCTTATCTATGTATTAGGATAGGATCATTAGGTTATTAGTCTTGGGTCTCAGCCATAATTTTCTACTACGTAGTAGTAAATTCATTACCCACCCACCAATCCCCGAAGAACTCACTAATCACGCTCCATGCAGCTCTTGCAGGGAAAATTTTTTAGTGGCTGAAAACCAACTAGTAAAGAAAACTATGATAATAGTGGCCTTGGCCTGCTGCATCTAACTCCGCACCCACCCCCTCACCTCGAAGGGATCAACTTTCCCTGATCATTGCTGAGATTCGAAGTTGTCTACGAGTCACTGAACCGTAAATGTCATCCCGAAGAGTCATGCATTCTTATGTATCTCACGCCCAATTGACGGATGATTCAAGGGTCGCGGAAGAGCCCAGTGAACGTCATCGAATATCTCCTGGATGAGAGAAGGTGGGTGGTTTTACGCATAGCCATACAGAGAATCTTGGAGACAAGCTTCTACGCTGTTCTTGAGCTCTATCAAGAGCATGATTGAGATGTTAATGAGCCTATGGATGAGAATGACTGTCAAAAACTCCCATGCATAACCATGTTTTTATGCAGAGAAACACGGTGGATTCTCACACCTAAACAGGCAGGTACAGTCCATGACAAGGCACGGGTGCGGTGGTATCTTGAGAATGGCGCTGATCCTAATCACCTGGGTTCAGGCGGCCATACTGATGTGTTGAATGGGAGAAGTATAATGATCTGACATCTTCATATCAAACAATATCAGACATCCGGAATTAAGCTTTTATAGTCCCGGATATCAAAGCACCAGATACAACGATCTATATTCCTACCAGGGCTGCATTCTTGTTAGATATGTCTTGCTGAGATACGTAGAAAAGTCTAAACTAAGATCTTATGATTATTCGAGGTATAACAGATAAAGGTGTGGTATTGATATTGGCCTTCGGCTCATACCTTACAGACAGTATATAACTATACTAAGAAAGTGACTAAAATCGAAGAGAAAAACTCCACCTTGATATACTATGGGTGGTCAGAAAGAGAATATAGACAAGAGTTGTAGGCCTAAATTTCTTACCATATATCATCAACTTTCTGCTTGTGTCATTGTGTATGGTAGTACGATGATCTGGGCAATCTTGAGGGCTGTTCATCAAAATATTAGACTATCCATACAAACCCAAGGGCGGGTGAGTAGATCAAGGCTCACGCGATTGCTCACTGAGTATTGAATGAGTACTATGTAAGTGCTCACCGAGCAAGCCCATGAGTACCCTTACCAAAGCGGAGAGATCCAAAACAGGAAATTCGCAAAAAAATTATAGAAAAACAGGCGCGTATATGTACATAGTATGTACTGTAGACTGGGTTGGTTCGATAGTAGCTTTGCTGTTAGATTGGCTACTCCTATGGTCTGGCGCAGAAACCGAGAAGAATACTGGAGATGGCTCGATTTAATGAATTCAAATCAAATGTATTCCAAAGGCAGCCGCTATTCGTACAACTAAACTCAACTGATACTAGTTACAATATAGGAGATGTGTCACCCAAACCAACCCGTCTATATACTATACTAAAACAAACAAACGCCTCTCCCTCCACCAATCGAGGTATGAACCAGGAACGGGACAATGACGCAAGATATCAGTGCAGCAATCACTGACTATCCTCACTGTCCAGATCCCCCAAGATCACCTTCCGCTTGAGCGTTTCCGCGTCCTCTCCATAGCCGTATTTGATCCACAGATGCTGCCAGAACGACACGGGGGCCGGGCGTTCCTCGCCGAGAATGTACTCTTCGCCGGCGAGGAGGCGATGCGAGCGGGCTTCCTCGTCCGGAGACACGGTGTAGCGGTGCATGCGGGAGGCGATACGCGGGTCCAGCACGATGTCGTTCAGCCACTCGCGTTCGCGGTCCGGGTTGGCCTCGTCTGTGCGGTGCACCGACTTGTGCCACTCTTTCTCTTCTTCCTCCAGGGCGGTCTGCTGTTCGGTGTTGTTTGCGCCGCCGTCTACGTAGGGTCGGCTGTAGGATGCGAGGACTAGGCCGGCGACTTCGCGGCCGACGTGGTCGGCAAGGGAGCGCTGGTTGAGGTAGCGCCAGATGCGGATGGGCGTGTTCAGGAAGCCGAGGATGTGGGGGAAGGGGACGGGGACGGAGCCGGCGAGGGTTGGGGGCAGGGAGGCGGGGAGATGTTGCGAGGAGTAATCGGCGGGAGCGAGGTATGCCGGGGTCGGGCCGGTGGGTTTGGGTTTCTCTTCCTTCTTTTCCTCCTCCTTCTTCTCCGAGGGTTCCTCTGGCTTCTTGCTCTCTTCCGAGGGTTCTGTAGTGGGGGCGCTGTCGGCGGAACTTCCGTCCGCTGCGGTGGCTGTCTCACTCGCGACCGGGGTCTCCGGAACGGTGGGTTCCTCCACCACTGCGGACGGGGGTGGAGGAGGAGGATCGAGGGGGCCCAGCCAGCCCTCGTGCAGACCGCGAATGTATTCCTTCCAGGTGTGACGCCCGATCACCAGGTCGCCCTTGGGACCGGGTTCCTCCGTAACTCCAATCTTCTGCCGGGCATCGGCAACCACATCTTCGACGCCAGGCTCCAACACCACCGAGCTGGGCTCCCCGTTACTCCTCCGGTCCTTGCGGATGCGCTCCGCCAGTCCGGCGCGGACATCGCCTTCTCTCCGACCCTCAATGACATTGTAATCCAGCGCGGCGGCGACCAGGATCGGCTTAACGTATTGCTTGAAGTGGTCCCGGGCATTCCGGATACCATCGCCCGGGGGCGCGGACAGGAAGACGGTGATCTTCCTCCGGGTCTGATCGATAGGAAGGGATTCCTTGGAGAGGTGAGCGACCAGGTCGCACCACTTCTGCTGGGCGCGTTTCTTTTCCCGACGGTCGTAGAGCAGAGCGGCTGTGAAGGACCCGGTGACGGAGAAAAAGATCATCCAGTTGCGGGAGGGGAGCTTGAAGCGGAAGTTGGGCATTCCCATCATCCTCATGGCTGGGTTCTGGGGTTTGGCCTTCGGAGCCGAATTCTGGGGTTGGCCTGTCGGCGCGGGGGGTTCGAGGGGTCGGACATTGTGGGGAATGATGGAGTCAGTATCTAGAACAAAAGAACGGCCCTTCGTGTCGAGATAGACAGACAGACACACTCCAACCTCACAATCAACCTCACATCGTCATTTCGGAGGAAAAAAAGTCGGGAACGCCAAGCCTTCGGGGAGGGATGTTCCGGGCCGAGGTCGACACCTGACAGACACCTGATTGACACCTGGTGGACACCCGGTTGGTCAGGTGTCGACTAACCCTAATCGATTCACAATAACTTCATCTTTCATTTGATAGTCGGTCAATACAGACCGAAGGGGTTTTCTCGATTGATTAGGTAGGTCTAGGTGTCTGAAATGAATGATGACCGAACTGGACGATTTAGATTCCCGCCATAAGTCTAGAACCAGACCCCTCAGACGATATAGACCAAATGAGTACTCCGTAGAATAGAATCATCTCTCCTTTCTTCTCTGTCCCTGTCTTTCTTTGTCCTGTCGATTCTCCTGTAACATATTGTGTCAGTGATCAACGCAATAGAACTTGCATCAAATGATCAAATCAAGAAATAGAGTGGTTGTATTGAACTGGTGGGCTCTCCACTTATTTCCATCCCCCTCCTGGATTCTACTGGTTCTCTCGCCGTCTCTCCTGAGCCACCGCTTCTCCTCCTTACAACTCAGGCTCGCTCTCTCTTCCCCTCCCCCTGTCGTTTCATCCCACTCCGTCTCTTCTTTTTTCTCTATACTCCCTTCTTTTCCACCCCCTTCGACGTTTTGATTGTGAATTCGGAGACAATAAATCAATAGAAGAAAAGAAAAGCAACGCAAGGAATCAATCCCATCAGGATGGATCCGAACAACAATCGTCTCCACCTGAATTTTGGGGGAGGCTTCAATAATGCCGCCGCCGCCAACAACAACAATCGCGCATATCCCACCACCCCCTCCGCCTTTCCCCAGCCGATGTACCAGAATCAGGGTCCGCAGGAGTATGTGGATCCCCAGTATGGTCAGGGCTACTTCATGAATAATCCCTATCCGCCCCAGCAGCCCGCCGGGTACCCCCAGCCGCACTATGGCCAGCAGAACGTGCCCTCCCCGCAACCGGCCTACCAGTCTCGCATGGCCTACCCCCCCAGTGATGGCACCAATGGTCTCATTCAGCAGTTCTCCAACCAGGATCTGAACGCCAGTCGCACCGGTTTCTTTGGTCGCTCCGCCTCCCCCGCCCAGCGGCCCCGGACCGGCGGGGCTCCCCGCCCCCGGTCAGCCCCCTCAGGGCCATCTGGTCCCTCCCATGCCCCGGAGCCCTCGGGTTGCCGACAATGAAGAGCTCCAACGGTACCCGGAACGATTCTCGGAGAATGTACACAAGCGAGGCAAGGCCGCCAAGGAGTTGGTCAATGTATTCTTCAACGAGAACATCGAGCGGGCGCGCGATCGCAACATGCGGTAAGTCATGCAACGGTCGACCGTGGGGAGATACAGAGAGGAAGAATTAGAAAGAGAAAGAAATAGATAAAAGGAGAGAGAATGGTGCTGACAAGTTGATGCGCGAACAGGTCGGCAGAGCTCGATAAGATGATCCGGGACCCCGGTGTCCCCACGGACAAGAAGCGCCACGAGGGCGATAACGTCGCGCGGAAGGAGTCCAACTTCCTGCGATTCCTTCGGACAAAGGAGTCCCCCACCAACTTCCAGACCATCAAGATCATCGGCAAGGGTGCCTTCGGTGAGGTGAAGCTGGTGCAGCGCAAGACCGACGGCAAGATCTACGCCCTCAAGTCCCTGATCAAGACGGAGATGTTTAAGAAGGACCAGCTGGCCCACGTCCGCGCCGAGCGCGATATCCTGGCCGACTCCAAAGACAACCCGTGGCTCGTCAAGCTCCACGCCTCCTTCCAAGACACCGCCTACCTCTACCTGCTGATGGAATTCCTGCCCGGTGGTGATCTGATGACCATGCTGATCAAGTACGAGATCTTCTCCGAGGATATTACCCGCTTCTACATGGCCGAGGTCGTCATGGCCATCGAGGCCGTCCACAAACTCGGCTTCCTGCATCGCGACATCAAGCCCGATAACATCCTGCTCGACCGCGGCGGCCACGTCAAGCTCACCGATTTCGGCCTGTCCACCGGCGGCAAGAAGACTCACGACAACTCCTACTACCAGAACCTCTTGAAGAACTCCACCTCCAAGGACAAGAACCGCAACTCGGGCTATTTCAACGACGCCATCAACCTGACCGTTTCCAACCGAGGACAGATCAACACCTGGCGCAAGTCCCGTCGCGCCATGGCCTATTCGACCGTCGGTACTCCCGACTACATCGCCCCGGAGATCTTCAACGGGCAGGGCTACACCTACCTGTGCGATTGGTGGTCCGTCGGCGCCATCATGTTCGAGTGTCTGGTGGGCTGGCCGCCTTTCTGCGCTGAGGACACGACCGATACTTACCGGAAGATCGTCAACTGGCGCGAGTGCCTGTACTTCCCCGACGAACTCATCCTGTCTCGTGAATCCGAGTCTCTGATCCGAAGGTATGTCTCTACTTTTCCCGTTCTCCATTCCATAATAGCTAACGGATTAGTTTCCTGTGCGATCCCGACCACCGAATCGGCAACGATGGCGGCCAGTTTGGCGGCGCCACGCAGATCAAGAACCACCCGTTCTTCCGCGGCGTGGTCTGGGACCAGCTTCGCAACATTCGCGCGCCGTTCGAGCCGCGGTTGAGCTCCAACATCGACGTGTCGTACTTCCCGATCGACGAGATCCCGCAGGAGGACACGAGCGCCATCCATCGGGCCCAGGCACGCGCCATGCCCGACGAGCAGGAGGCGGAGATGAGCCTGCCCTTCATCGGGTACACCTACAAGGCCTTCAACGCCTTCCAGGCCAACTAAAGCCCATAAAAATCGAACAGAAAAAAGAAGCGAAGAAAAATCGAATGTCTTTCGAATTTGTTGCATTGTGCCGGGGGTCGATCAACCTGGAGAGTCTGAAAGCGGGGGCGGGCTTGCGCCGATGTCTTTCCAGCGGTCTCATCTAGATTCATCTCAGAGTTGCCTTTTGTTTTTTTTATTTTATTTTGAATTTCTTCCAGCATATAGCGCTTTTGTCCACTATTTGTCTACCCATTTGTCCACCTTTTGAATGGTCACGACCTGAGCATTTTGTTACTGCTGCTGCTATTGCCACTGTCTTGTCTGTTTGCATCTGTCGCCAGACGACTGCTTGTATCTACGTTGCGTCTAAGACTACTTGCGATGCGAGTCTTGTCTATATTGATGGTGGGTTGCAATTGCTTGGCTATCCTTACGTATTTTGTATGTAAATAAGTGAGGTATGAATATACGCTCTTGTACGTCTTCTACTTATTGTGATCCATCTATTGCAACGTTTTCCTCTATCTAAAGCATTGCAATACTACTAGCATATAGGTAAGAATTGGACATCGTATAGACTGATTGAAACACGCTCGATCTCAACAATAGTACAGGATATTAGACCATTTTATAGACAGACCCAAACGCCTCACTCTCCCTGTGGATAAAAACAAACAACAATGAAAATAAGAAATCAAGCACCAGCCCCCATAGGCGCCAACCCAGGCACACCACTAAACCTCTCCTCCCTCTCCGTCTTAAACATGATCTGCACCCAAAACTCCTTACTATCCTCATCAAACCAAGTCCAATACCGCCCCTCCCGCCGATCAATCTCCCTCGCCTGCAACTTAAACGCACAAGTCTGATACGGCTCGGCCGCAACAACAAGATACTGAAAGTTCTTATCCGGCGGATCATCCACCTTCTGCTCAAACGCCGACATGAACCGCACCCTCGGCACCACGTCCGCCGTAATCTCCTGATACTGCAACTGAAACAGCAAACCCAGCTGCCTCGTCAGCGGATCCCGGACCTTCGTAATCTTGTACCCCGGCCGCCCGATCTTGATCGTCTGCTTCTTGACCTGCACGCCCATCGCGCCGGGGAGATTCGCCGGGTCTTGGTTCTTGCCCTCGCGCTGCTCGCGCGCGGCGCGGCGCGCGAGGTTCGTTTGATGCTTTCGCCCCTGGGTGTGCGCGAGGTACGACCCGTCGTTTTGGTGCACTGTTAGGCATAGTCGGCATTCGAAACTGCCGACGTGGTTTTTGAAGAAGTAGGGGTCTTTGTCGAGGTCGATTGTTTCGAGGGCGAGCTTGCGCAGTCGTTCGCGTCTGTCGGCGTTTGTGGCCGATTGGGAGGCGACGCCGCCGCCGCCGAAGGAGGCTCCTGCGCGGTTCTGATTTGTTAGTATGATTTTACTCTCGCTTTCATCGTCGGAAAAAGAAAAGGTGAACACTTACTTGGCGATCCATTGTGATAGATGCACGATGGAGTGGATGAGAAGTGGTTATAATGAACCTTGGAGATAGAGCAGAGAGAAGGTGGTTATCATATCATTCATACGGGTGGCAGATCGAATTTCGCCGGTGTTATGTAAGCGTATCGTCCGTCTGCCATTGGCGGAGGTACTTTCATCAACCACTTGTGTTTGTAGTATTTATTTACAGCCTGATGCTGCAGTGTATAATATTTGAAATATTCGTTCTTTTCTTATAATCTACAGCAGATGATTGAGCATGGCTGAATTACACATCAACCAGCGCCTCTCCTACGGCGGGGATCTATGCACCGTCCGCTACATCGGCAAAGTCGACGGCACAGTGGGGGATTGGCTAGGAGTCGAATGGGATGACGCGACGAGGGGAAAGCATGCGGGCGAGCATCGCGGGGTGAGATACTTTACATGTATTGTCTCCTCAGTCCGCTTATTCGGACTCCCCCGTCGGTGAAGCAACCTACTGATTGAGTTATCAGGCCGAAGCAACCAGCCCACAGCAGGCTCATTTGTCCGTCCCTCGCGGCCGGCGGACAAACCTCGTGGGTTTCTCGAGGCTCTGAGGTATAAGTATGCTTTGGAGTTTGAGGAGCAAGAGCGTGCGCGCGAGAAGCGTATTAGTGATGGCGGTGTTGCAGCAGCAGCAGCAAAGAAGCCCGTCATGTTTAACGGTAAGATCGCCGAGGAGATCGGCTTCGACAAGATCCGGAAGCAGCTGGCAGAGCTGCAGGAGCTGAGTATTGTGCTTTTGGATGGTCTGCTGGTGGATGGTGTTCTTGGGGCTGGGGCTGGGGCTGGTGCGGAGCAGCGTGATGCTGCTTGTGGGGAGATTGAGCAGGTTTGTCCGAAGATTACGGAGCTGGATTTGAGTAGGAATTTGCTGGTGAGCTGGGGGGAGGTCGCTGATATTTGTGCGCGGTTGAAGCGGTTGGGTGTGTTGAAGTTGAGGTTTGTGCTCATCCTAGTGTGAAGGGGAGGGAATGGATGATGGGCTGACTGGTATAGTTCAAATCGCTTTGGTCCGGTTGAGGAGGGGCTTAGGTTTGAGGGGATTGCGGAGTTGAAGGTGGATGATACGCTTCTGTCTTGGGATGAGGTAAACTGTCTGTTGTCCTATTAATGTGTGGGGTCTAATGAAATGCAGATAATAAGACTGACGGGCCAATTCCCGTCCCTGACTTCGCTGTCGGCCTCTGCCAACCAGATCGCAGAGATCTCCATTCCTATTTCGAGCTCTCTGCGGTCACTAGTACTGGAAGGCAATGAGATCACCTCGTTGGCATCCCTTAGGAAGCTAACGTCTGTGACTACCCTCGAGCGTCTTTCCTTACGAGACAACAGCATCACTACCAGCCATGGCGCCAATGCCTCAGACAACCCCATCCGATTCTCACCCACCCTCAAATCCGTGGACCTCTCGAGAAACAGTATCAACTCGTGGGACTTCGTCAACGACCTCACAAACATCTTCCCCGGACTCGAAGTCCTCCGCATATCCCAAAACCCACTCTACGACCAACCCGTCGGCTCGCAGGCCGTCACAGGCATGCCAGAGAAGCCCATGACAGTAGACGAAGCCTACATGCTGACTCTCGCGCGACTGTCTACCCTGCAAGTGCTGAACTACGGCACAATAACTCCCAAAGACCGGTCCAACGCAGAGCTATACTACCTCTCTCTCATAGGCAAAGAGCTCTCTGCGACCCCGGAGGCCGCAGAACCTGACATCCTCGCGGTGCACCCTCGTTACCGTGAGCTTTGCGAGACGCATGGCCAGCCTTTGGTGAGACGTGCGGAAGTAGATGGACTGCGCGCATCAGTCAACCCGCGCTCCGTCGCTGCGCGACTAGTCCGGTTTGCTTTCCGTCTGGCTGTGTCTTCCGAGGAGGGCGAAAGATCCGGTGATCAAGTGACCAAACTCATCGAAATCCCCCGATCCTTTGATACCTATCAAACCAAGGCCATTGTCACGCGCCTGTTCGACCTGCCGCCGTATGAATTCAAACTGGTCTGGGAGACCGATGAGCTGGATCCGGTGAGCAAAGAGAAAGTGGATGATGAGGATGGATGGGACAGCGAGGATGATTCGCTTGATCTGAAGCGTGTTGCCGAAAAGGTTGCAGATGATACGCGATTTGTTAAACGAGAGGTTGAGTTGGTGGATTCTACGAAGGATATTGGGTTTTGGTTCCCGGCTGATTTGGTGGAGGCGAGGATTAGAGTGGAATGGGTGTCTCGCTCGTGATGTATATAGGTAGTGTCAATGAATTATGAGTGATGCTTTATGTGTATTTAGATAGTATATTAATTTTATTCATTCGTGAAAGTAGGTAGGTAGGTGTCTATCAGTACCACTCACAGCATTGTATACATGCGCCCATCGATCAAATTACCGTATCGGGATTAGCCCCGGCAGCACCTCCGACTCTGATATGACCTCAATTCGATCGCCAACAACTTCCCTACACCACAACCACATCCTCCTTTCTACCTTGTCGCCAGCGGAGAAAGAAGCTATCAAACACCATCTACCATGGCCGAACACTGGAAGTCAACGGTCAGTCACCCCACCACCCTCACATCACCTATACTTCCCCCCCATCTTTCCCTCCCATCCTTGAATTTCATCATCACTAACTTCCTCCAGCCCAGATACTGGTGCAAACAATGCAAGATCTACATCCGCGACACGGCCTTTGAAAAAACCCAACACGAAGCCACTGGCCGCCACCAAGGCAACCTCAAGCGCTTCCTCCGCGACATCCACCGCGACAACGAGCGCCAGCAGCGTGATACCCAGCGCGCCAAAAGCGAAGTCGAGCGGTTGCGCCAGGCCGTCTCTGGCAGTCCGGCCTCCGCCGGAGGACAGGACTCCGACTCCACTGCTGCTGCTGCTGCTGCTGCTGCGCCGCCACCACCGCCGCAGCAAAAGTCGGCGTCGGTTGAGGAGCGCAAGAAGCAGATGGCGCAGCTGGCGGAGATGGGGGTCGCGATTCCGGATGAGTACCGTGGGGATATGTCTCTTGCGGGGGATTGGCAGACGGTTTCGACGCGGGTGATTAGGGAGGAGGGGGAGGGGGAGGATGGTGGGGTTAGGGGCGTGCGGAAGAGGAAGATGCAGGAGGTGGATGAGGAGGAGGAGGAGGCGAAGAGGGAGGCCGAGAAGTTTGTGAGTAGGCCGTGGGGATCCCGTACGAGGGTATATCCTGGTGCCGTTGGGGGTGAGGATACGGATCTTGATGCGCTGTTGGAGTCGACGAGGGATATCAAGAAGGGTAGGACTTCTGGGGTGGACGATGGTCATGGGGATAACGGTGATGGGGACAGCGGTCGTGGGGAGAAAGACACTGCAACTGCGCCGGATGGTGCCGCTGCCCAGCCTGTGAAGCAGGTGAAGGAAGAGGCAGAGGAGGAGGAGCCGGAATCCAAGGTGGCTGCTGAGCCTGCCAAGCCGGCGGACGATGCAGCTGGGGGAGTGGTCTTCAAGAAGCGCAAGCCGAAGGTAATGAGGAGATGATGGTGCTGGGATAGCATCTCATTTACTACGCTGGAGGACCCTTCTGTGGCATCCCACGCAGAGTGTGGTCCGTCTAGTCGGGTCCAGCTTCAGCGGCTCCCAACTACTTCCCTACGCAGCCCCGGAATCATACCAACGCTACGTTAGGGTAGTGCTATCATGGCTATCCAATCTCCCATCCGGTGTCTAACACTCACGGAGGCGGGACATGGATATGGCTCCGACCATACCTACAGGGGTATGGCAGGCTCACACATGCGTGGATGAGCCTCGGATGGCTGGTTTATCCATCATACCAGTTCAGTGGCCTTACCAGCTCACATATGATTCACCCTTGGAACCATGTTGGTTCTATCTATCTTTGGTACACCTAGAGGCGACACCGGAATAGCGAGGCAGGAGGCTCTGTGATTGGTAGAAAGACAGTTTCTGCCTGTCTGATGTGAATTCACAGTGTCAATAGATCTGGAAATAGAGACATGACTTGTGACTTCATTGATTAGGCTCGATAGTGCCTTCTATTCCGTATTGTTGTCTAAGTTTGGCTGTGATGGTTCCCTAATGATAAGGTTATCCGCCCTGATTAATTTGTATGCACCATATAATCAAGTAATTGAGGTCCAAGAAATTCCAAAAAATGTAGAAAAATACAAACATCAATATCATACAATAATAAAGATTTTCTGTAATTTTGTAGAGTGGCGGTCGAACAATATACAGGTCTTCCCTCACGGGCGGAGGTGTTTTCCCTCCTGGGTCTCCCAGTCAGTCTTTTCTTTGGCTTCCCGAAAATCCGCCCAAGTTCTTCTTCCTCTCTCTCTGTCGCGCCCAACTCTCTCTGTCGCATGGGATTTCCCAATGTCCAAATCCCTTTCTACTTCCCCCCCTTTCGTCTGCCTTCACCGATGCGGCTCCTGTTAGTTCCCGAATTGTTCCATCTGGTGGAATAGTCTTTCGGCTCGCTTCTTTTCGCTTATCTGGCCGAGTCCTGCGTAAGTAAAACGAGTCCTGCCTTTCCTGCATCTCCCCCTTCTCCCCCCGTTTCCTTCCCCACAGGAGAGATCCTCGCCAGCCCTTCTGCATTACTTCCGTCTATCTGGAACATTTGTTTCCTCCTCTTTCGTCGGTATTGGGCGTGGTTCTGGTTTCCCCGTGGTTCCTCTCGATGGCGCAAAGAATGGTCCTGGTCGTTGCGGAACGAGGAGACTCCCGCCGGTCGCGGTCACCAGGGGCATGGAACCGACCTCTTGGAGTTTACTCCTCTCGATGGCGGAGATGAGAAAGGGACGTTGTCGAGTCTAGCCGGACGGTGTGATATGCCTACAATGGTCGACGTGGACCCCCGTGCGATGCGCTTCCTCCGAGACGCTTTGATCGATCGCGATCATTTTTCTCTCCGGACGTCCGCGCGACCAGAAGACCCATTTTTCACCTTTCCTCTTTCTATACTCTACCACCAGACATACTCGTGCTCGCTCTTACTCATGCGCTCCGTTCATTCTGGGCTTCTTTTCTCGGTGGATTTTACTAATACTCTTCAAGAGCGAAGTTAGGATCTAATAGGATCAACAATCTTGACCCGAACGCTGAGAGCACTGCGATCCGATCCGGAACACCTCGCTGTTGACGGCAGAGAGTCAGACTTAGAAGCCCCTGGGGCGTTCAACACCGAGGTCTATCCCCCTATACGAAGATAACGATCCGAACGTCTGCGCACCCGGTTACATCGGAGGTCAGATCCGTTTGAAATGGCGGACTCTGCAGAACCCGCCAACCCTCCTGGGGATCCACCCAAGGAGAGCATGGAGCCCAGCGACGTGCCTGAACTGCCTGAAATACCTGCACCAGAGACCGGCGGACCGGTTGAGGATGATACATTTCCGTCGTACGACCTGTCGCTGCCCCCGATCGATAAAACAATGCCGGAGGATGATCCGCCTCTCCCAAGCTTTGATACGTCACTACCACCGATAGACTCCTCAATCCCGTCGCTGCCACCGATCGACACCACCTTACCGCCGATTGACACGACGCTGCCGGCTCCGGAACCTACAGACTCAAACTTCACCTTTGACGATGCGGACCCAGACGACTCCGAAGGGTTCGGGTCGGTGACACCGGGGCCTCTGTCCGATGGTATGATAAATCACGGAAATGGACATACAGGGCACTTTGGACATTCCGACTTCTCGCAGCAATCGCCGTCCAACGGTACCCACCACCAATCCCCGGGGCAGCCGTACCAGCAACAACCGTCTTCTGGACTACAGAACAACCAACCCTATCAAGAATCGCCGCAGTATCAACACCAGCCCCCGCCACAACAGTACTCCCAGCATCAATCGTCGCAACCGCCGACGCCACAACAGCAACAACAGCCGCAATCGCAGTATGCTCCGCCACAGGGACAGACACCGCAGCAGCCCGGCACACCAATGCAACAACAGTCGCAGTCGCAACCATACCAACAGCAGAATTCCGACCCATATTACCACAATCAGAATGCGTCTACGCCCACCAACAACGGCCAGCCAATGCAACAGCAGGGACAATCACCGCACGTCCCGCAGGCGCCGATCGGGTCCCCTATGCCCCCGATGGCGTCGGTGGGTCAGTACATGACGGGATACCCGTCCCAGATGGGCATGAACTCCAACTCCCAGATGCGATATTCGCTGTCTGGTGATCCGAGCAAGATGTTGGCCAGTGGGCGACATAAGAAAGAAGTCAAGCGACGAACCAAGACGGGGTGTCTGACATGCCGCAAACGACGAATCAAGGTACGTGAAAACAATTAAAAAAGAACAAAAGAAAAAGAGAGAAAGAGAGCAAGCAAGAACATATGTTGGTGCGACATATAAATGATTCTATATTATTTGACTTGATATGGGAGATGCAGGTAAGACGGAGCGAGGAGGGGGAGACATGTGGGGTGAGCGGGCGAGTCACAGAACGGGCCTGAGTGTGCTTCGCTTGTTCGTCCAGCCCACCCGCGCCGCTGCAGAAGCGAGATCTCCCCTCTCCCCTCCGTCTAAACTCTCTGGCTACACCTCTCCACACTTCCCTGTCCTTTTTATCCTTATACTTCCTGTTCTTGCTTCCTTGTGGGACTGTTCTTGTTCTTTTGTTCCCGAAAATACCCTCGATTTATTGTTGCCGACCCACTTTATCTTCCCTAAGCTAATCCTCCGCGTCCAGTGTGACGAAGGCCACCCCGTCTGTCGCAACTGCGTCAAGAGCAAACGCGAATGCTTGGGCTACGATCCCGTGTTTAAACCGCAGCCTACCCCGTCGGCTATCCAGCCGGCGCCCAATCCTCATCCGTCCTTGGTGGTCAACCCGCAGGATCCTTCGCCGCCGCAATACCCGTCCGCTCCTCCGGGCTACGTCCCGGCCGTGTCGCAACCGTTTGCCCCGTCCGAATCGCCCAGTACTTCGGAACAGTATAACAGCAACAACTACGGGGCGTCTATTGACCCGTCGCTAGACGGGAACAACGCGCCGAACATGGCCAGTGTACAGAGTGCCGTCGAGGGGGGTCTCCAACCCACGATCAACCCGGCCACGACAACCAATCCCCCGGCGGACCCCACAAGCTTCCGAGGTATGTTTATGATCGAGTTCCTTGCGGTTCCGTCGAATGCGGCATGCTAAGTTGCTCTCTAGTCAAACAAGTGCAGATCAACGATCTTCTCGCTCTGCGCGGCATCCCTCCCCCTCCCCCACATCCGATCACCTCTCTCCCTCCCAACCGCTTAGAAGAGATCCAGGCCGTGTTCCTGGCCACCTATGCTCCCGCCATGGACAAGTTCTTCGAGACGAGTTGGTACCAAGAAAAGGCTCTGCAGCACCTCTTGGCCAACGGCCAGCTTATGGCCGAGTATTCGGCCTTGATCGACGCCTTCAACGACCGAAATCTCAGCGATCCCAATGTGGTCGCGCGGCTGGAGAGTTTCGAGGCATCGGTGGTCTGGAGCACCATGACCCTCTGCCGCCACGTCATGAACGTCTCGAACGGGAATCACGCGCAGGACTACGACCTGCTCGCGGCGACGAAACGGCTCGATGTCATCGAGGCCCTGATCACGGGCGAGCATCTGAACGCGAATCCGCTAGCGCAGTTCCCCGCGCGGGAGCCCGCCGCCAACCCGCCAACGCTCCCGGACCAACTGACGCAGCGGTGCCTGGATTTCTGGAGCTGCCTCGGGTACTTCTTGACGCTGCACGACAACGAAGCCAGCTCCGCCAAAGAGATCGACGACACGCTGGGCCGGTGTCGCACCCTCCTGGATACGTTCGAGAACCGCGACGTCATCTACTCGGTAGCCATCGCGCGCCACCTGGGCCAGCGGTGGGCCGACTTCCCGCGCAGCTTTCCGCAACCCATCACCACGAACGAGAAGGACGCGGGGGCCAAGCTCTACGTGGCGCAGAAATTCCTCGAGCAAGAAGCCGGCGGCAAGGGCACCACGCAGGTGATCAAACGCATCTGCGGCATGGTGGTTCGATCCTGGTTCGTCTCGCGGGAGTAGACAGCGAGACGCGGGTACTCCAGCAATCCCCCCTTCTCTCCTTCACACCTTCACACGTCCATTTTTTGCCTGCTGTAATACCAAAAAAGCGCATTGGCGAGACGCTCGATTTCTATTTCTTTCCTTCCCTTCTCCCTTTACATTTCTGGTCTCAACTAGATCTTTTGCATGATGTGATTTCCCGTCCCGTGGACCGGACCGCGATGGACGTTATCTCTTACTTTACCCTCTTATACCTTGATTTATCCGGTTTTCTCCTTTTCTTTTTTCGTTAGTACGGTTTGACTATTTACGAGGACGAGTCATGGCTTAGGAGTTTACCCCTTTTATTTGTCTTTTTTATTACTTATCCTTTCTTTGTGCTTTGCAGTGAGAGACAGGACGGCAGCATTTGGCGTTGGTCTGTCCATCCTTTCTTCCATACAATACATACAATATTCAATTCAATGACACCCAGCTTACAATGCAATAACCGAGATATCGTCTTTCTAGATGTCGATTTAATTCTGCACCATTAGATACACGCTTTAGAACACCGCCCACTCTATAATCTCGAACTGACTCTGACTCTATAGTGCACAGTTGAGTCGGAAATTGGAATCCTTCCTCGACTGGTTATATGTGTATGGTTGTACGGATACGGGGATGAATGTATTAGGAGTTAAAAAGACGGGGTTAGTTTCGTTTGTTTGGGATTGATTGGGATTGGGAGTGGCAATGAACCGGGAGATTTCTATATCGAAGGAGGAAAAAGGGGGGAAGGAGGAGGAGAAGACCTTACAGGTCTGTCTGCTCGGGGACAGGAGTCTTCAGTTTTCCTGTTTCGAGCGCTAGTCGCACGTTCTCCATTGCCCATTCTTCCATGGCTGTTTGGGTCTATATTGTATGTCTGCATTAGTATTTTATTTTTGAGGATTGTGTTGGGTTCATGGAGGTGAAGAGGGAGGTGGGGAAGGAAGGAAAGGAAGAGGGGAAACGAACCTCCACAGTCCAAGTACCCATATGCGGCACAAGCATCACATTCGGGTTGCTGACCAGACCCGGGTGGATCTTGGGCTCCTCCTCGTAGACGTCCAAACCAGCGGAATAGACCTTGCCGCTGTCGAGGGCGGCGACGAGAGCGGCTTCGTCGATGACAGCCCCGCGCGCGGTGTTGACGATGACGACGCCGTCTTTCATCTGCGCGAATTGGGGGGTGCTGATTATGTGGCGGGTGTTTTTCTGTCGGTTTTATTAGCTGTGCTCATGTACCTGGTATTTTCTCCCTGGATGGAGTAGAGTAAAGAGTAGGGGAGGGGGGGGGGGGGGGGGGGGGGTACATTTAACGGCAAATTCAAACTAATCACATCACTCGTTTTGAGCAACTCCTCAAACGAAACATACTGCGCACCGGCAGCCATCTCCTCGCTCAACTCCCGTCGATTATGGTAGACAACGCGCATGCCGAATACCTCAGCCTTGCGCTTCAGGTTGCGTCCGATGCCGCCCATGCCCAGAATACCGAGCACCTTGCCCTGCGGATCGTGGCCGAGGATAGGCGCAGGGACACCGCGCCATTTGCCGTCGCGCAGGGCCTGCATGCCCGTGTTGAAGTTGCGCAGGGCGCCGATTATCAGGAACATGTTGACGTCGGCGGTGGCGTCGTCGACGGCTGTGGGGACGTTGGAGACGCGGATGGGGGGATTGCGCGCGCTGCAGGCGTGTACGTCGACTTGGTCGTAGCCGGCTCCTGTTGGGTAAACCGGTTGGTGTTGTCAGCCGTCTAGTCTTGTCTGGTGTAGTCTGTCTGTATTTGGCTAAGGGAACGGGGTCGGGTGTGTTCGTGTTGGAGGCATACCGCAGTGCGCGAGATATTGTAGCGATGTGGGCAGCGCATTCACGATCTCTTCGTCGACGAGGCCGGTTACGCTGACGGAGTCGAAGGTGCGGTAGGCGGCTACCACGCCGTCAAGCTTTCCGGAGCGACATTCCTGGATGAAGTCGGCGCGGTTGGTAGCGGTGGGAGTGACGAGGTCGGCGAGTGCGGACAGGGAGTTCCATGTTTGGTGGGCGCTGTTGGATTTGTGAGTATGAGCCAATGTGGGGGGGGGATGGTGGGGGAGGGGTAGACGGACTGGATGATTTTGCCCAGGAGGAGGACCTTGGGTTTGGACATGGTGGATTATGCGATCTATTCTATGTGGGAGGTGAAAGGGTGTAGAAGAGGAGGAGAGGAGGAGAAGGGGAGAGTCGTGGCGAGAAGAAGCACGAAGCATTACTTGATGAAGCGGATTATATACGATAACCCCACGTGCCCCCACTCTTAATTCCATCAATCATCGTCAACTCTCCACTACAGACAGGACTACTAGGTATTTCACTACGGAGTACACTATAGGTACTTCCTAAAATGCCTATCTCTTGGACTAGACGGATCTAATGTCTTCATTCAGTATATCCTGATTCCCCACTGTCTTCGGAGTCTTCCGCCGCAATCCCATCCCCGCACTCGGGCGAGAGTTGACCGAACGTATACCGCATATAGGCTATATAGATCAACGCGTGAAGGACAGGGTTGCGATAATACGCTAAATCGAAATATGATACTGATCCCTTCATGAGATACAGGGGTAGATGAACTATCCCTCCACCAAGACTCGCGTCCAATCGAACTTCCTCCACCGGCGTCGAAATCCGTCCAGCCGGCGATCGCCGCCCCGGTGCCAACGTCCCTGTCGTTTGATCACCTCGGGCCCCAGATCTAACATGCCCCCGATGACTTCCCGCGCAAACTGATCCCCACGGGGCCACCGGTTCTCGTCCTCGACCACGTGGCCCAGGCCCCCGTCCAGCTCTAGCCAGACGTGGAAGTACGGCATCTCCTTGACCAGGGAGCGTCGGAAAGCGTTCCGACCTTGTCCCTGCTTAGCGGCCTTGAGGGTGTCGATCAACTTCCGGTGCTGTGACCACTCCGCGTCCGCGGACAGAATCGCCTCCTTGAAGAACGCCGGGGCGGTCTCCCCCAGGCTGTACGGAAGCGGCACGGCCTCCATCGCCGCGTGGCGCCGGCGCTGGGGCTGCGCTGCGTTCTCGTAGAAGATCACGTCGCGACCCTGATCGTGGTACATGCGCGTCAGGCTCTTCATGAAGTTGCGAATCTCTTCCCATTCGTCGTCGTCGCACTCCACCAGGTTCGTCCGGTGCTGGATGGGCACGATCGTCGCGCTCCCCTCGTTGAGCTCCGGCTCCGTGGGGAGGGTCAGGAACACCCGCGTTGCCAGCGACACGACCGGCGCGACCGGCGGCGTGTTGGTGTCCTCGTGGTGGCACAACGGACAGTTGTCCAGGATCCGGTTCATCTTCTGGAATTCGCCGATCGAGGCGTTTTTGAGGTTAATTTCCGACTGATGCACCCGCTTAGCTAATTTCGAAGCGTTGTCGTCCATGTACTCGAGGTCATTCTGGGGGAAGTTAAGTTAGCTTCGATAGAGCCCAGTGAGATCGTCAGGTCTGTAACGTACCTCGAATTTCGCGTCCTTCGCGATCCTTTCGGCCATCCGTCGCCCATCCCCTAGATCCCGCGTTCGACGCTCCTCCCGGACCATGTCCTCAATGCTCATGTCTTCGTTTTCCTCCACTAGTCCGCGCTCGCGACCACGCCTGTTTTCGACCGCCTTGACCTCGCCCCTCTGTCCGGCCAGCATTCGATTCTCCATCACCCCCAGCACCACGGTTACCGGTGCTTTGCGGTTGGACATGTTGGCTGCCGCCTCATTGTAGCGCTCTTCCAGCTCGGCCGCATCGGCCGATCCCTTCAGCTTGGCTTTCATCATTTGCGCCTTGAGCCGGTTGAGGGCTGTCAGGTCCAGCGGTTGGCTGGTATTCGGAGGCGCTTCGCTCTTCATCGGCTCCCCCTGCCCACGCGCCTCGAGGTTTTCCGCAGGGTCGTGGAGATGTTCGTGAGGGTCCCGATGTACACCGGCATCCAACTTCCGTTCCTGGAACAGCTCCCCCGTAGGCTTTTCTTTGCCCACATACCCCTCGCCGTACGTTTCGCGACGATCCAGTTCGGCTTCCTCCTCGCGGGCATCGTCGAATGTGCGGATATCCCCGAACCGCTCCATGGCAACCTCCTCCACGCTCTTCTGGTTCTCCTCGGCTTCCCTGTAGACGGCACGGAGCTTGGTCATCCGCCAGTTCGCCCCGGCATCCCCAAAAGTATAATCCACCTCGTGCGTGGCAGGCTCGGTTTCAATCTCCTCCAATGCCTTCCCGTCCTGGAGGTCGCGTAGATGTGTATTTAACTCCCGGTTGTGGATTTTCAGCTCGAAATCGGCCCCCAGCATGCGAGGCTGCGGCTCCTCCTGCAAATGTCCCGCGTTGGGACGGTGCACGTAGTCCACGTCCAACGCGGAGGGCGCTTCCATCCACGCGTCTCGCTTGGGCCTCGGGGCCTCCTCCTGGGCCACCACATCTTCCTTCACAGGAGACCGGGACGACTCCGTCTCCTCTTCTCCCGCTCCTCTGCTCTCATCGTGTCGGTGTCGGCGCTTGTGCTCTCGGTCGTCGCCGTGCTCGGTCGAATGACGCGATCGTTTGTGCCGGTGCCCCCCCTCCTCGCTGTGCCGCGACTCACCATGTCGGTCGGACCGTCGCTCGCGAGATCGCGACGAATGGCGACGGCTGTGGTGATGGCGGTGGTGTCTTGAGGATCGTTCTCGGCTGCGGTCGCGGTCGTGGTCGCGGTGTCGACGCCGGTCTTTGTCGCCCCGGTCGCGTCGCTTGTCGTGCTCCTCCGCCAGCGACTTTTCGAAATCCTCCAGCGTCATTCTTATTTTTGATTAATGTTAATCTGAGGGGATAGGGACGAGGGGAGAGGCTGGAGTGAGGGAGGGAAAAAATAGGTTCAGGAGGACGGAAGAGGACATGACGTCGGGGCGGTCCAGACTCCACTTGGGTCGATCTTCTTTTCTTTCCTCTTTCTTTCTTCCCCGCGGGTCACGAATTTCTTCAGCGTCGCCGTTTCGGTTCCTATCTCTCTCCGCTTTTTTGATCTTGGAATTTAGATCTTATTAAGCTACATTTACAATCTGCACATAGTTTCGAGTTGTCAGTGTTACTGCAACTCTCCTCCACCATGGCGCAAAGCCCAGTGGCCGTCGTCTGCGTGGGCATGGCAGGTACGTCGCTTCTCGTTGAATCTTCCGTCACTTCTCTATCTTCATAGTCGCCATGGCTTATATTAATGTCTAAAATTACAGGCTCCGGCAAGACAACCTTCATGCAGAGAATCAACGCCCATCTCCACTCGCAGAATAAAATTCCGTACGTGGTCAACCTCGACCCCGCCGTCCACTCCGTCCCCTTCGAGAGCAACATCGACATCCGCGATTCCATCAACTACAAAGAAGTCATGAGACAGTACAACCTTGGCCCCAACGGCGGCATCCTGACGTCGTTGAACCTATTCGCCACCAAGGTCGACCAGATCATCGCGCTACTAGAGAAACGCACCGCTCCGAACCCGGACACTCCGACCGCCAAACCGATCGAGCACGTCCTGGTCGACACGCCGGGCCAGATTGAGGTGTTTGTGTGGAGCGCGTCGGGGAGTATTTTCCTTGAAACGCTCGCGTCGTCGTTTCCCACTGTCATTGCCTACGTTATTGATACCCCGCGGACGAGCTCTACCAGTACGTTCATGAGTAACATGCTGTACGCTTGCAGTATTCTTTACAAGACCAAGCTTCCGATGATCCTTGTGTTCAACAAGACCGATGTGCAAGACGCCGAGTTCGCGAAGGAGTGGATGACCGACTTCGACGCCTTCCAGCAGGCGCTACGTCAGGAAGAGGACACCGGCGCCTTCGGGACGGAGGGTGGCACCGGGGGTTTCGGCGCCGGCAGCGGATACATGGGCTCGCTGTTGAACAGCATGAGTCTGATGCTGGAGGAGTTTTACAGCCACCTGAATGTCGTCGGGGTGAGTTCGATGACCGGTGACGGCATCGACGACTTCTTCACCGCCGTCGAGGACAAGCGTCAGGAGTTTGAGCGCGACTACAAGCCCGAGCTGGAGCGCAAGAAGAAAGAGCGGGAGGAGATGAAGGCCACGCAGCGGGAGCAGGAGTTGGGCAAGCTGATGAAGGACATGAACGTCACCGGGTCGGGGTCCAGCCAGCGCAAGGATACGGAGGCGGAGACTGTCAGTGAGGCGGAGGAGGAAGAGGAGGAGATTACACGCCGGGGCGCGGGGCTGGACGAGGATAGCGATGAGGATGAGGCTAATGTGCCCCGGGCGGGCGACAGCGAGGGTCTCTCGCAGCGGTACCGGGAGGCGTTTGCGGAGGCCCAGAATAAACCGTCTGATCAAGACATGAGCTTTACGAGATATCTGCGTGCGAACAACATGAACCAATGAGTTGATGAGAAATGGAATTTTTTACCTACCTATCTATGAGAGATTAATATATATATATATATCTACTGGTTGGGTGGGTGTCGACCGGCGTTGTCTGATACAAATTTTCCTTCGAATGACCACAATAGTAGAATAGTAGACTTTCATGAAATATATTCCTACATACGAATTCTACATAATATCCTGGCTACTTCAATGTTTAGAAAATATCAAAAGAGTATCTGATAGAATCCAAGTGATGACCCAATGCGGACGCTGCAAACAGGACAAACCGCCTACAGCCAGATGATGTCAGAAGGCGTCGATGATCACCTCGACCTTGCCTCGACCTCGCTTCATCTTCTCTGCATTTTACTTAATTGCCTTTACTACTGCACGACATCCAAACCAATCGCTTCTACAATCCAATTGACTAGACCGTCTTACTGCATATTGAGCCAACATGGATGTACGTTGCCCGGCGCAAGCAAGTAGTCGTCGCTAACCGATGGCGTCAGGTATACTACGCATACACCTACTCGACCGCAGGATGGCTCTCACTGCAGGGACTAGCGTTGACGACCATTCCGCAATTGATGTCCACGATGCTACTGGACGAGACACGCCCGGCCACCTGTACGTGACTTACCAGGCTATCCATCCATCCTGCACCGTCTCGTCTCCGTGTGTCTCCTCATCGCTAACGACCTCATCCACATCCAGCGGTTGAGGTATACTTCGCGCGCTGTCTCGGATTCAGCCTTCTGACCGTAGCCATGCTCACCATCATGCTAACGGGGTCCATCCCGCTGTCCTCAACGGTATCCGATCCCGTCTCCACCGAGGAATCCGATCCCAAGGCCCCATACGCCGTCCCCACGCTGATCATCACGTGTGCGTTCCACTCCGTGTCTGCCGCCTACGCCTACACGCGGTACGTGGACAGCAGCCAGGTTGTGTTTGCCATTGGGATGACGGTGTATGGACTGGTGGCGGCCGTGGGACTCTGGTGTGTGTTGTTTGCCAGCAGCAATGGGAGGATTAGTCGCAAGACGGGGGCTGATAAGCGGACTGCGGGGTTTCCGTTCAAAAATATGGAGGCGTCGAAGAGGCATGCGGGGAAGAAGAGTTCGTGAGTTTTATGGACGGATTGGCTTTTTCTTTTCATTATTGTGTTTATTGTTCATCTATTTTATGGCGCATGTCATGGGGTCGGTCATCGGCGATGGGGTGAAGAGGTTCGGTAGGACAGGACATGGATGATGGACGATGGACAGACCGGGAAGAAGGGACAATGTGATGAATGCTAATGTCCACAATGAGGACAAGAGAATAAATGAGGTAGCTTATCTGGTGGCTGACCATCTGATCCACATCGATGGCGTGGTCATCTTCATCGTCATCTTCATCAATATCTTCATCATTTATGAGCGGGGAAGTCGATAGTACCTCGACCGGGGTTCTACCTCCATTCCCCTCATTGAATACTACATCGACAAGTACCTGATACCTGAATCGTTGCATCCTAGCCGGATCAAGAAGCAGTTTTATCCCTGAAACCAATATCAATCCTGGCAGGAAGATTGATGAAATTAGATTAAACCGGCAGGGCAACCACCGACACGCCAAGAGACGGGCTGCAACCTCAGGCCGCCTCTGTCCTCCCACTACGGCTGCTCCGACTGGTTTCTCTCTTCTTCATCTTCACTTCACTTCATCAGTCTAACTACTTACATTGCCCTTCCCCAGATGCAACCATGGTCGTGATCATTCCTTTATATTAATCCCTAATTGTTTCCTGTTCCTCCCCGTCCACCGACATCACCCGACAGGGCTTAGGATGGGTTTAGGATCCACTTGGTTTGTCGGCTTCATATAAGCGACTAGTGAAGTTAGAAATGCCATGGCCACGCTATAAGGCCCTGTCGCCATTCTCCACCAATGATTCACCCGTTGGATCCAGATGGGTCTCCCGAGGTTGATTTGCACATCGACGATAGGGCAGTGGTCAATCCCTGGATGGACCAATCCAACTCGCCGTGATATACCCCCGGCTTTTGGGGATATGCCAAGCCACTCGGACTCCCGGCGGTGAAACACACACACTAAGGCTCGTGCCTGGCCATGCCTCTCTGCAAGTCTCGATATACCCTGCAGGTAGATCGTTATGTCTGCCATTGTGACCCCTCCCCGTGCCATTGGTCGATGGCTGGGCCGTCGTCGGGGAAATCGTTATCTATGCGGTTTCTTGCGTAACATATCCAACAAGACCACTGTTCTCTCCCCCCCCACTACACTAACGTAATGGTCTATTCATAGTTTTGGAACCATCGGGGTTTTGGATTAGAGACATCCAATGGATCCTGTGTTGGCATGCTCTACGCTGTCAGGAGACTTTCTTTCGTGCCCCCCCTGGCTAGCAGGATGGCACGCGCACTGAGAGACAAGCTCCGACCTGGTCGTACCGGGGCGGTTGAACCATTCTTAGGGAGGGCGAGATTGGTCGATTTGGGCTTATCATAAGCTTCTCAACTCTATCCGTGCCGGCTTCCTAACCACCACCCCCCTTCCCCCTCCCTCTCGCCTTGTGAGCATCTGCAAGCGAGGCGGCCTGGTCTTAATCTGGCCCCCCTTTTGGGAATGGGAAACGTAGAGGTGATTGCCTGCACTTGACCTGCTTGGCCTAGGTGTGTAACTGGGATCTGGACAGGCTCGTGCCCCCCGAGATCTTAGTCTGTTGGCGGGTTGCCTTTCTAGAAAGACATCTGGTCTGGTCAATCTCGGCTGATTGACAGGGGAGAGACCACGAAACAGTCACAGCGGCGCATATCGCGTGAGATTGCCAAGCATCTAGAAGAGGTCACATCGATCCCCCTAAAGTGAATGAGGAGAAGGCAGGACGTTTCCCCACCCTCTTCACAGGGCCCCTCACGCAACCTTTGCCGTGATTGCGTTCATGTGTTGTCGGCCACCCGGTCAAGCTCCGTCCACCACGGTGGGTATACCACACCACCTTCCCTGTTGCGGGTAGCGGCTGGGCGGACCAAGACCTTGATGGACAGGAACACGCTCGGGACGAAACGCCCTCGTGGTATTTTCATCTGGTCCCTGATTAACGCCCCCCGGTGACTCCTCTCTGAGCACCGCCGGAGGAGGTCCGGGGATCGTCGTCCTCATTTGTTTCCCTCTCCACCCAACGGTTTCGATCCGTAGGAGGGGAGAACCTGTGGAAGTCGTCTGGCGATGCAATGTCACCCTGAGAGTTCGACTCCGCTCTTCCAGACTCCCCAGATCCCTGTCCTCCGTCTAGTGGCCGGCGTGAGTGACAGAGCTTAAGGGATGTTTCAAAGACCGTGCTAGGGACCGTACTCGAACAAAATCTATATAAGGCCTCCTCGTGCCGGTCCTCAACTCTCTTTTTTTCCTTCCATCCTCATCCTCCATCCGGCTTCTTCAGTTCTCAACTACTTGCAAGTCAACGTTCTTTCTGGTCCCTCCAACTCGTGGTCATGTATACCATCAAGCGCTCTTTGCTCCTCTTGGGAGCGGTCATTCCGGCCATCCTCGGTGCCCCCGTTACCGAGCCTCACGTCCGCCGGTCGGGCGAGAAGATCGCGGGCAAGTACATCGTCACCTTCAAGGAGGGCGTCGACGCTGCCAAGATCGCCGCCCACACCACCTGGGCCACCAGCGTCCACTCGCGCAACGTCGCCCGCATCTCGGGCGCGTCCAGCGTCGGCATTGAGCGCAACTACGGCATCAACAAGTTCCAGGGCTACGCCGGTTCGTTCGATGATGCCACCATCGAGGAGATCCGCAACCACAAGGACGTACGTCATCCCGCGAGAGGAATGAACGGGGGGGGAGGCGCCTAGTGTGCTAACATCTTTCTTTTTTTCTAGGTTGCTGCGGTCGAAGAGGACAAGATCTGGTATCTTGATGCCATCAAGACCCAGAAGGATGCTCCTTGGGGTCTGGGCAGCATCTCCCACAAGGGCAAGCCGAGCACCGACTACGTCTACGACGATGCGGCTGGCACCGACACCTTCGGCTATGTCGTTGATACCGGTATCAACGTTGACCACGAGGAGTTCGAGGGCCGTGCCACCAAGGCCTACAACGCTGCTGGCGGCGAGCACGAGGACGGTGTGGGCCACGGTACCCACGTTGCCGGTACCATCGGTGGTAAGACCTACGGTATTGCCAAGAAGGCTAGCCTCCTCTCCGTGAGGGTCTTCGAGGGCGAGTCCTCCAGCACCTCCGTCATCCTGGACGGCTTCAACTGGGCCGCCAACGACATTGTCTCCAAGAAGCGCACCAGCAAGGCCTCCATCAACATGTCTCTGGGTGGTTCCTTCTCCCAAGCCTTCAACGACGCCGTCCAGGACGCCTTCGAGAAGGGTGTCCTGTCCATCGTCGCCGCCGGTAACGAGAACTCCGATGCCAGCGAGTCCAGCCCCGCCTCCGCCCCCGATGCCATCACCGTCGCCGCCATCAGCGAGAACAACGCCCGCGCCGAGTTCTCCAACTTCGGCAAGGTCGTCGACATCTTCGCCCCCGGTGAGGACATCCTGTCCGCCTGGATCGGCTCCAAGACCGCCACCAACACCATCTCGGGTACCTCGATGGCCACCCCCCACGTTGTTGGTCTGTCTCTCTACCTCATGTCCCTGGAGGAGCTCGATGGCCCGGCTGCCGTCACCAAGAAGATCAAGGAGCTCGCCACCCCCGACGTTGTCACCGACGTCTCCGGCAGCCCCAACGCTCTCGCCTACACCGGCGCCTCCGACTAAATCCGAGGTGCATTTTCTGTACCAACTGTAGCAACAGAGGGGATTGGAAAGGGGGAGAGTTGACGGAGCGAGGATGGATGAAATAAAGTGAGGGATGGGCAAGGACACAGGGGCCATGTATACAACTGACTGCACTGTTTCAAGAATCAAACCACTTCCCATCTGAATTTCCCTTCTCCAGTTTATCTCGATCAGTATCGAACCTTCCTCGTAGGACTCCTCCCAAACCGATGCTTCCTGCAATGCATTCTTGCGCTTTTTCTCTTCGCAAGGGGAAAAGCGAAGCATAAATCACTCAATCTAGGAGACGACAATCCAAATAACAATCCGCGGGCGGCATAGGAAAATGAAAGAAAATAAGGTAACAAACCGGAATGCACGTGCGACCGCATCTCAACAATGAGGCAACCTCTGCTGTTCGTCCTTCTGTCCGACACGCCGCGCCTCATCCCCGAGTCGAGGCGTTGTCTCGCTGCCGATCAACAAGGCAGGAAGGGACTGGCGATGATGCAGTTGGTCTCAAACGAACCGCGTAATCGGGAGTCGTCAGTTTGAGGCATTATTATGCTTCTTTTTGTCTCATACAATCACGCACCCCTCCCCCTGGCATCGGATGGCTACCGACAGCTGTGGGGTTCCAGAAGGGCTACCACTGAACGCCCTGGCGTGAGCTCTGTGGATCTACGCGAGGTCTACGACTTGGTGAGTCTGCCATTGCATGTGCAGGAGGGAGTATGGTGATGACATGTTTCCCAGAATTGATCTACGCTGATGGTTGTGAGATGAAGCCCTGTTCGGCGCTTTTCGACCACTATATCACGTCGCCAACCGCGATTGACTGCTCTGTCCCTGGAATATTGGCCGGTGGCTTGCGACTGGCATCATGCATCCGGAATGTACCTTGTTTGGTCAATCTCTCCTCCTCTCGAGGGGAATCTGAAGATCCCCCTTGCAGAACCAGCCATGAAGCTTGCGTCCGTCCGTCCACATCTGCCCTCCCCCGCCCCCCCTTGCTCTTCCATCAGATCTTAGGCTTGTATTCAAGACGCCTTGTCCCGCTCATGGCTGAAGCAAAATGCTAAAGAAGAGGTGCCGCTGTGGACTCTAAACTCCGATATACGCCCGCCCGTCATCTTCCTACCTACTAAGCCTAATATCTCACCAGCCAATCATGACTCCCAAGACGCTAGAGGTGACTAGCAGTTCGTCGCCCACCGAATTGGACAAGGACCTTCTTAGTCCCCATTTGGCACGGAGTGGGCTCCAGATGGCTGCAGATGGCTTTCATGTCCAGTGGGCGTCCGATAATCCGCGTCATCCGCGCAATTGGAGCCGCTGTCGGAAGATATATGATACCTCGTTGGTGATATTTTTGGAATTCTTCACGTGAGAGAGTGCGAGAGATCTCTGGGGTTGTTATCGCGAAAGAATGTCTTGCTTACTTGGAGAGGGATTGCAGGACCGCGATCAGCACGTCGGGTGTATGTACTCCTCTTTCTCCTCCCGAGATCCTTGAATATCTGGCACAGGCTAATGCAATTGAGCAGTCGACGAGTGCCCGCGATGCGCTTCGTGAATTTGCCATTCCGCGCGAATTGTCCGTCTTCATCTTCGTGTCCTTGTTCGTCTCGCTCTCATAATCGCCCTGATATTTGACGAGGTTCTGACGGCGGTAGATATCTCCTAGGCCAGGGCATCGGCGCCATCGCCTTCCCCCCTTACTCGGAGGCGTTCGGGCGCCGCAAGCTGTATGTCGTCAGCACCGCGCTCTATAGCATCTCGTGCGCCGTCGTCGCCGCCGTGCCTTCGCTGGCTGGCGTCGCCGTCGGCCGGTTCATCAGCGGCGTGCTCTCCGCGATCCCGACGACGGTCGTCATTGGCAGTATAGAGGACCTCTTCAATGCCCGCGACCGGGTATGGGTCATCTACTGTTGGGCGATGGTCGCCAACATGGGGATGTTGCTGGGACCCATCTTCAGCACGTATATTACGGCTGAACTTGGCTGGTTCGTCTCTTTCCCTACTTTTATGCTTTAGTTCATTTCTCAATCGACTACCAGGCGTTGGCTCTTCTACGTCGCCGCCATCGTAACCGCCGTCGTGAGCATCCTCCTCCTCACCATCCGCGAGTCCCGTCCATCACTCCTCCTAGCACGAGAAGTCGCCCACCTGCGCGAAATAACCAACATCCCAACCCTCCAAGCCTTCAACCCAGACCAAACGCCCGATCTCCTCACCTTCATCCGGCTCGCCCTCGCCCGCCCCGTCCGCCTCTTCTTCACCGAGCTCCTCGTCTTCATCGTCTCCACTATGAGCGCCGCCGCCATCGCCCTCGTCTACCTCTTCACCGAAGCCCTCCCCCCAATCTACCAAGCCTTCGCCTTCACCCCCCAACAAGCCTGCCTTCCCTTCCTCGCCATGTTTGCCGGCCTCTTCTTCGGCATCCTCACCCGCTTCCAAGACCTCCGCATCCTCGCCCACCACAGACACCACAACCTGCCCCTCCGCCCCGAAGACAAACTCACCGGCTTCTCCATCGGCGTCCCCATCCTAGCAGCCTCCCTCTGGCTCTTCGCCTGGACCATTCCCCCCATCGCATCCTCCACCGCGCCCCACATCCACTGGATAGTCTCCGCCCTCGCCCTCGTCTTCGTCGGCTACGGCCTCAACGAAATCGACTACGTCCTTGGGGGATACCTGACCGATAGCTACCTCAGCTACGCCGCCAGCGGCCTCGCCGCGCTGAGTATCGTGCGCGCTCTACTCTCCGCGGCATTACCGCTCATCGCAGGTCCCATGTTCGGCGCGTTGGGCAACAACGTCGCTGTGTCGGTCTTGGCGGCCGTCGCGACGGCGCTGTGCGTCGTCCCGCCCGTGTTTGCGCGGTATGGCGCTGCTATAAGGGGACGGAGCGCGTTTGCGAATTTTAGTTTGAAGGTTTATTTGGAGAATAGTGTTGATGAGGAGGGATATTAACTATCATCTCATTACTATTATGATTGCCATGCTATTGCTATTTTGGTCGTTAGGTTAGAGGTTGGAAGGTTATTCATGATTGCTTTTAAGATAGACTCATGTGGCGTATACATGCTTTCCATACTACACTTACACTCATTCACTCACACCTACCCACGTGGCTAGTGCCTCTTGCCATACAACTCACGAGCAAACTAATTCATACAGAACAAAAACTCCGCCGACCCCGTCGTGGTAACACACCCCCACGTATACCCCTTCTGGTCGGTAATCAAGCCCGCCCCAACATAATACCAAGCACACGGCGCCGCAGACGACAACCCCGTCTTCTGCGCCCGACAAAGCACACTATGCTTCTGGAACCCCAACTGATCGAAATCCATCGGCGTCAAGCCCTGCGTATACGCAGCCGGCGAAGCAATCCCATTCAGATACGTCCGGAACACACTAACCGGGCGGTCACAAACATGGATATGCACCTGCTCCTCGGAGCGAGAATGCACAGAGTTCATGGCGAGCGCGCCGTCAGCGCGGCTCGACACCGTGCCCGTGGCGAAGACTATCTGGCCTAGTTCCCAGCCTCTGTTGTCGCCGTGGAGGTCGAGGATGCCGGGTGTGTGGTGCGAGGTGGTGATGAGCTTGTGGTCGTGGAGGAGCGTCCAGGGGTCTGTGGAGGCGTCGTGGAAGCAGTTTTGGGAGCGCGTGCAGCGGCACATGCCGCCGAAGTAGAGATCGCAGGTGGTGCAGTCTTTGTTGGCGTCTGTGCAGCCGACGTGGCATTGTTGGAGGTGGGTGTTGGGGTTGGGGGCGCATTGGGCGCTGGCTGGGCCGAGGGGGCAGGTGTGGGGGCAGATGGTGAATGTGTTTGGGTCGTGGCAGGTGCAGCTTGTTGTGGACCATTGGGAGATTTCGGCTTCGGTGCAGTCTGCGGTGTGGGTGGGGGTGGGGAGGAGGATGAGGAGGAGGAGGGTGGAGAGGGGGATGCTGAGATTGAAATTGAGCTTCAGGACTATCATGTTGCTCTCTCATGCTGTACTTGAGGGTAGGAAATTATAGACCTTATATTGCATGGATGCACGTTCTATACATCGTCTGTGGATGACGCGGTGGCTGGCTCGACCGTTCGAGACACTCAATTATGTGAGATCCTTTCCCAGTCCCCAGGTTACTCGTCGAACTACGCCGTGGTTATTAGCTTTTCAATCCAGATCAGAATCAGATATCATAGCACTCTGGACTGTTGATAGAACCCTTCTTTCTAGTGAGATGTCAGTTCCAGTACTATCAGTACATTTAGAATGGACCTATTGAGTAGATATCCGGCGGGTTTATGGAGGCCATCAGCCATTTCCAATCAAATAAAAAAGATTGCAGTCATGAATACTCCGAGTAGAGTCTTGGGTGAAGAAAAACTGAAGGAAAAGAAAGTGAACTGGAGAAGTATGGATCACATGACATGTACATCCGATATCACCTGACAACGGGCCGCCGCTTGATCGGGATCTCCACCGACTCTCCACACCCAAAAGCAGCATCGCTCATCATCTGTATATAGATGCGGAGATGGATTACTCTTCGTCTTCCTTCGCCAGGAACCTACCACCTCAAGATCTAGCAGGTGAAGCTGTCCATTTGGTCTCAGTTTCAGACACCGTTCCACAACCCTACCACCATAACCATGTGTCATCATCATCCCTCAAACCCGATCCAGATCCCACCCTCGCCGTCGAAGAAGACGCGCATTCTCTCCAGCCTCTTCAATCGGCTGTGAGTGATCTCACAACTTATACCCAGAACCAAAGTAATGGCGCTATGGGGGTGCATCCAGCCGTAGACGTCTATCATTCCTTATTGGTGCGTGCCCCCCGGGTTCCCATCACGATCTATACATGCGCCTAATATTCAACTATAGTCCTCCAACGAGCTCTCTCATCTCCTTTCCCAACATCCCTCCTCCAACTCATCCCACTCGTCTATCTTCTCCTCCAAAGAGAATGGCTATCTCCGGGACCTGCCGTCCATCCTAGACCCACCAGACCTAGAACTCTGGCGGAACCGGCTCTTCAACGTAGACGACACGCTCGTGCTAAGCGAAGCGCAGTACGTACCTCCCATCATCCATCCATTCATTCACCATCCATAGTATCAATCAATCAATCCACTCCCTTCCCGACTCCTAAATCCACTAAAACAAACAGATTCCGCACCTACTTCCCCCACATCGACAACATCTACTCCCACCGCTCCACCCAACAATACAAACGCAAGCCCCTCATCTCCCACTACTGGGACTGTCGCCTGAAAGGCCGGCCCCCGGGCACACCCAAGTCCAACGATCCCAACAAGAAGAAGCGCAAGCGCACCGCCCGCGCCCGCGATCTCTGTGACGTCAAGATCAAGATCACGGAGTATCTTCCAGGAGCCACGACCGTTGGTGCTCCGGACGCTGATGCAGCTGCTGCGCTTTTGCGGAACTCCTCTTCCTCATCCGCATCCTTGGACGCGCAGCAGCAGCAGTTTGGGGTGCTCGCGCCCAATTCCCTTCCAGAGGGCCATCCCGGGGCTCAAGGACAGCGTTTCTTTACGATCCAAAGGGTCAATGGGAATGGGGCTAACGGGAAGAATGATGGTGTGGGTGGTGGACATCGTCATTCGTTAGATGAGAGTGATCGAGTTAAGAAGAGTAGTGTGCAGCGGTATATATTGAAGGAGATGACGGGTCGGAGGAAGACTCTTTCGGTATGTTTACTTTTCATCCATCATATTATCTCGGAGGTATTGGATGTATGGGGTATATATGGATACTATGAGTATACTATATTGCTTTGGAGTGGGTCCCGCACGTGGTTTACGTCACTGCCCTGGCCTCCATCGCCCCGCTTCCTTACCTACCACTCAACCTCCCAACATCAATCCGTTTATAGCACTATCATATCCTAACCAAGCAACTACTTATAAGATAAGTCCCCAACTAACAACCAGACCAAAACAATGTCCCAAAAGAACTACCACACAAAAGCCACCGGCCAAGCAGCCGAAACCGTCTCCAACCACACCACCGACCAAGACCTGAAGCTCTACGGCAGCTGTTTCTGCCCCTTCGTCCAGCGCGTCTGGATCGCGCTCGAGGCCAAGGGTATCCCCTATCAGTATATCGAAGTCGACCCGTATAAGAAACCCCCGTCGTTGCTGGAGGTTAATCCCCGGGGTTTGGTGCCCGCCCTGCGACATGGGGATTGGGGTTCGTATGAGAGTACGGTGTTGCTTGAATATGTATGGACCTTTCATTGTCATTTCCTTGTCGGGTTGCTTATCTTGTTGTTGATTCAATGGAGTTGATTGACTGGTTGGTTCTGATTTGCGCTACAGTTGGAAGATTTGAATGTTGGCCCCTCGCTGCTCCCTGCTGGGGATGCAAAGCGACGCGCCCATTGCCGTCTGTGGACGGATTTCGTAAGTTTATGATATATCAGCACCTTTTTATATATATATAAAGGGAAAAAAATGGCCCAATAACTGGTTGACTGACGGACGCAGGTCAATCGCAATATCGTGCCCACCTTCTACCGCGTCCTTCAGGAACAAAATGAGGAGAAGCAGATCGCCCATGCCCAAGAGCTGCGCGACGCCTTCACCACGCTAATCGACGCGGCTGACCCGCATGGGCCGCTCTTTTTGGGCCCGGAGCTCTCCTTCGTCGACGTCCAGGTGGCGCCGTGGATCATCCGGCTCAGACGCGTCCTGAAGCCGTACCGCGGCTGGCCGGACCCGGAGCAGGGCACTCGCTGGGCCGCCTGGGTCGACGCGCTTGAGTCCAATGAACATGTCAAGGCGACCACCAGCGGAGATGAGCTCTATCTGGATAGCTATGAACGATATGCACGTGAGTGGATGGGTGAAGTCCCGTGTCGGTTGGTATCACGCTAACGTGCGTACAGAGAACCGACCGAATACTTCCCAAGTTGCTAACGCGATCAACTCGGGGAGAGGCCTTCCGTAATCGACCGAGGGCTGAGAGGAGGAAAAATTTCATTCCCAGGCGTGCGGAGAGCGGAAACAGTCGGTTTTGCATGGTAGTTGTGTTGAGGATACCCCTGGAATTGAACGAAACCGAGTTGGCCCATGTAACCGTGTCCACGGACCTGTCGGAAGCGTAATCCGTAGTTTAACCGCCTCGTCCACCTCGGTGAGATCGGAACCCGCCACTTCCGCTCGCGTCGGGTCCACGAGGGGAGCGATACGGTTGTTGAGGGGCCGTTTCATTCGCGTTGCGGGTGGTCAGCGGCTTGTCCTTCTTCGGTCCGTGATTCGAGGGGGATTTGGCCGGGGATCCAGGGTCGTAAAGCTGTCTCGATTTGCCTGATGCCACCGACTGGTCCCTTTTCTCTCGATTGTTGGTGTTGTTATTACTGCCGCTGCTGACACTGTGATTGTCCCGGGCTCCGCCACGACTCCTTCCCTTCCCTCTGCCCTCAAATTGCTTCGGCGGAGTGGCGCTGCGGGGCGACGAAGCGCCGGAGTTGGTCGCGGAGGGGCTTCCAAACAGCCTCTCGCGCACCTCCTCGTACTTGCGCTGTTTTTCCTCGCGATTCTTCAACGCAATGGCGTGGCGCTCCTCGGGGGTCGGCTCGGGGGGTCTCTCATCCTCGGAGTCGTCGTCGACGCCCAACCCCATGCGTCCGAGGCCGTCGGCGGCGGCATCGACGGCTCTGGAGGAGGACTGGCGGGTGACTAGCGGGGGCGGATTGCGACTGAGGAGGGTGACGGCGGGTTTGATATCCTGCTTGAGGGGGACATCGGAGCGGGTTTCGAGGAAGTGGAAGGTCTGCGGGGATTCACTGCGGGGGCCGAGGGTTAAGATACTGAATAGATCTAGAGGATTGCAGGCGGTTGTAAACATACGCTTCAGCCCATAGTTGGCGATTGAACTCGGCTTGCTGCGCGCGACGTTGGGCCTTGGTGACTTTGGAGGACACCTTCTTTTCCGGGGTCGGGGCCGAATCGGGGGGTGGGGACGGTTCTGTGGCTAGTTTCTGCGGGAGAAGAATCCGTCAGTTTACGGTTTTTACCATTGATATATGATTATGTGTATATAGTGCAGATATATGCATGGAGGGAAGAGCATACATCGGCCTGTTGCTCCCAGTCTTCGTCCCAGGCAGCGTCGGGACGGGAAGAAGAGGAGTGGACACTCATGGCCTGAGGGTGGGGAGCGGGATAGTAGTAGTAGGTGGTAGAGTAGTAGGGGAAAAGAACTCAAGACAATATAACGATCAACGAGTGGAAGGAAAGCAAAAATGAGAACAATACTGAAACGAGGGATGGTAGAAAGAGGGAAACAAGAAAGGAGGAGCGATAGTCTGGCGTAAAACTACTGGGAATCGAAAAGGAAGAGAGAGAGAGAGAGATGAGATTCTTTTCCGGAGAAAATCGTGCCCGTCCTGACCGCCTTCAGGTGTCCAGGCAGCGATCGATCGACGTCGTTGAATTGAAGATGGCCAGTTGGACTTCACAATGGTTATTTCATACATGATCGAATCGTGTTTGAACTCTCGATAATTCCAATAACATTGTGGGGATAATATTGTAGATATCCATGGTGATCGTGGCCGATGAGTAATCGCCAACGTCCTCTCCCCCACGGCCAAACAACCATTTCCGCCGACATCATCATCGTTTGAGATCATCTGCATCTATCCGTCGCTCTCTCTGAATCTGATCTAGTTCAGAAGACTCTGATTCTCATCATGGGGACCGGTAAGTACTCCTCAACCTCCCTATCCCGATATCACACCGTCTCCTCCAACCCCTCATCTACCTCCCCGCTCTAGACTTGATACCTACGACTTGATACGTACACACTTTCAACTCCATAGCGATAACTAACCCATTTGCCAGACGCAGACGGCGACTCTCAGATGGCATCCTCGCGCGAAGCCTCCCCCGCAGGCGCCCGCACCCCGACCAACGTGCGCACCGCGGAGCTCTCCCCGCCCGGCTCGCAGACACAGCCCACCGCCGCACCTCCAGCTACACAGACACAGGGGACATCGCAGCAGCAACCGCAACAGCAGCAGCAAAAGATACGGCAGCCTGGAGCATCGTGGATGAACAAGCGCGCAGAGGAGGAATACCAGCGGGCGATGGAGCATGTGATCGATCAGGACTTTAGTCTGGGTTCGTACCATCCCTTGTTCTTTGATATTGCAGATGGGAGATGATGGTGATGATGATCAGATGGTTGAGTATGGGGTGTTAGTACATAGCTAACGTTCCGGTGTAGACGAATTTGGAGATCCGTTTGATGACCGTGATATGTATGAGAAATTGTTCTAGCATGCCATCTCTCTCACATCAGGCATTATGACCTCCTTTCCCCGGCTGGGTCGGCGCAATGGTGTTTCTACGTTCCTCTCCTGTGGCTTTGAGGGATCTGGGGATCGATGAGATCATGAGATAGAATGGATGATTTACGAATGATGTTTTTCTTAGAAATTTACTCATACGTCGACACTGTTGGCTTTGGATGATAACCCCGTCCTATAAATACTATCGTCATCGTACACGCTATGTGAGAATAGAGTACTGGTCTAGATCAAGTTGAGTGAGACAGTGGGCCGATATATATTGTCGCTCTCAAGTGTACCTCAACCTACGAATATAACCCATAATAACCCCACAAATTGGAGTTGATTATTGGACATGAGTCGATAGAACAACACATGAATCAATCAAATTCAATGGAATTAATCTGACATTATCAGCAGAGTCTACAGTTATATGAATGAACTGGAGAGATAAGATGAGAACGGCACGTTGGCACAGCAACGGCCGCCCAGCCCCAGCGCCGAGCAAAACAAGAAGAATCGTCCCCATCAAGCATCCATCATCATCATTCAAGCTATCAATCTTCCCCTCCTGCATCATCCTGGGACACGGTGGATTCGTCTGTTATCTATAATCGCTGTCCACCCCCGGTGTTTATTTTACGTCCACTGCAACTCTTACTCTTCATCCATACTACCCACCGACTGCCCCCCACTTGACAGCCATAACATCCGACATTCCTCGTGTCGGCCTGGTCTCACATCGTTCATGGCCACCAATCCATTCAGTGGACCATCTCCAGCATGGTGAGTTCGAAACCACATCCAATACTGTCGCTGCGACACAGGGACCCCTTTCGCGCAGCTTCAAGACAAACGAAGCATAGACCATTACCCCCTTTTCCTCAACATCACGACCCAAGAATCCCGCGCAAAGTATCACTAACACGTTGCACGTCGGACAGGCTCCTCCCACAACGCGCCAGCGATCTCACATGCGAAGAGAACCGCATTCGCTTCACCCCCGTCAAAACCGCCCGGTCGGCCCCGCGAGTCTGGGACCGCAAGCCGTCGACGTCCTTCCTGGCGCGCTCCAAGTCCCGCAAGGTCTGGAAGCGCTTCCGCACCTCGTTTAACAGCTTGAAGATGCTCGAGCAGATGGTCGCTGCCGAGGATGCGGTCGACGACGAACCCCAGCTGGAAATCAACGGCGCTCGCAACGCGGAATTTCTTCGCGGCGTCAAGCGTCGATTTTTACTTTTGGAAAATTCCGACCAGGACAGAAATTCTACAGAGCAGACATGCGGGCGGTCATTCCTGGAAACTAAATGGGAGTCGGAAGCAACGGGGCGAAAACGTATGGAGGTCCCTTATGGCTTGTTGATTAATCCCGCGGGGTAGCTAACCAGGAGTAGACAAATTACCCGCGAGCGGCAGCGATCTCGTGGTCAGGTCGGACGCCATGGCGGTGCATGGCTCCCCGACGGGCGCAATTAGCGATGATATCACTTCCCATGGGACAACTCAACCGACCGACACGTCAAAGGGGACCGGGCCCGTGCAGGCGGGGGTGGATGAGAGCGAATCCGTGAGTCCGCCGCCGGAGGCCCCCACCGACGCCCATTCGGTGGCAGCCTATCCATCCATGCTACATGGCGAGTCCAGTTGTCTACAGAGTGGGGTGGAGGATAAATCTACAGACTTAAAAGCCCACGGTCCTATCGACCAGCCTGGAACCGAACCCGTTGAACAAGACGGTGATGCAGCTCTGGCTGCGACTATGACGCATGATCCATCTGGCGACCACGAGGTGGCTGTTGATGTTCCCCCGTCCCCCGCGCCCGGGGCGCCCGTGCAGGACCTGCCGGCCGAACTTGAATCGACCCTGGTCCGATCTGCCCTGCGCAGCTCCCTGGACGGGGAAGATGCGCAGTTGTTGAATAATTTCCTGTTCAAGGCCAAGGCGAAGCGCGAGGCCAAAGCTGCCGCCATGGTCGCTCATGACGAGGGCGAAAAGCCTGCGGACGCGCCCGAGGGGGTGGACTCGCCGGCCCCGCAGTCCACCCCGCAGTCGCGCCGCGTGCTCAAGGATCTCGACGCCAATTCGCCCTCGCCGCAGAAATCGCCGCAGAGGTCCCCCGTGAAGCCACCCCAGAGGTCACCCCAGCAGTCGCCGAAGAAGTCGCCACAGAAGTCTCCTCCGCGACCGACATTGTCGCCCACCAAGCCGCGGGAGCAGGCCGCCGCGCCAGACCGCCAGCAGCCTGCCAGTCCGCGACGCAGCACGCGGACGCGGACGCCGAAACCGCCCGCGCGAGCGGCCACGCCGACCGTGCGCAACACACTCTCTCTGCGGCGACCCAAGGGGACCGAGTTCATCTTCAACCACCGGACGGAAGCGCAGGAGTTGGCGCTGGCGACGCGGCGCAACACACGACAGAACCGCGGGGATGCTCTGATGCCCAAGTACGCGTTGCAGCATCTGGAGGACAGCCCGGCGGCCGAGGCCCAACCCGATGCCGGTGCCAAGGACACTCAGCAGCCGGTCTCGACAGGGCGCAAGCAGGTCTCGTGGAACGACGCGCAGCTCGTGCAGTTCCAGGGTGACGGCGATGGCGATGGCGATGGCGATGGCGATGGCAAGACGGGAAGCCAGGAGGTCGGCCAGGGCCGAAGCGAGAAACGCAAAGCCACCAGTCGCGGCACGCGATCCAAGGAGGGGGATCAGGATCAGAATCAGAGTTTGGTGGTGGCAGCCCCGGCCGCACCGACTAATGCGCCCGCTACTGCAACAACACCCAAAGCGCGACGAATGCGGCGGTTAGGGGCGCCCAAATCCGCCGAGGCCAGTTTGGATCCCAGCGCGTCGCCACCGCTGTCGTCCTCGTCGTCGCTGGGGGGCACGCCCGATAGGAGGAAGTTGACGCCCAAGTCGGCTAAGCCGACATCACTCTTCAGCAGTCGACCATCGCTGCGTAGTTCGGTGCACAACTCGAGTTTGCTGCAGTCGCACGCGGGATCGACGCCTGTACCGCGACGGGTGCGATCGCGGACATAGTCATAACCATTGGAGGGTTAAATTCACGAGTCACGACTGTTTCTTCTTTTCTCTTTCTTCTTTTATTCCCGGGGTGGATTTGTTTTGCAAAGTCTTGTTTGACTGTACATAATTCACTTTTTTACCCTGAAGATAGATCGGCGGAGGCCAAGGCGTCTTCAGCACGGACATTGCACGGAGCTTTTTTCCCCCTTCCTTGCAAAATTTCTTGTTTTCCCCTAGCCATACCTACCTGTTTGGTCGATGGATGGTTTCCTGAAGGAGGTCCGATCAGAGTGATCTACAAGTTACCTTACTACTTCGCATGTGAAGGTATGATGGTCAGGGGTTCGCGTAGTTGACTTGAGGGTTGTAGTGAGTATGGAATAGAGGGTGTGTGTGTTCATCTTGGGATGGCTGTATACAGCGGAGGGAGAGAGAGGTCAGGGACTCCAAATGCCTATCCGAGGGTGAGTGGATGTCAATTGTATAGACTATTCCAGTGGTAGTAGAGTAGTAGTCTGGCAGTAGTAGATGGAGATGTCTATCTATCATCAACCATACCTGATCCATCATAGAGTACTGAATCCTCCGTACCAATACAGTATATACCAATCTACTGTAAGTAACATAATACACACGGTAAAAAAATACCACCAACGGGTCCCCAACTGCGGCATGACATCATCAGCCCGCCCCATAGCCATGTTTCAGCGGGGTTCATTATAACCTCATTACTACTCACCACTTACCACTTCCTCCTTAGTACATTAGGTGGTACCTAGTCTACTACCTAGTGGTTAGTACCTACTCTCGAGTTGAGCGAACGGTCAGCCAAAACTGCAAAAGCTACTTTCACTGCAGGCAGGGATTAATTGCCTCGGATTATATGTAACCGGCTGGGTGGATCCTTGGCTTGATTAGAATCTAGCTTGGAGGTTGATGGTAGGTTGTAAATTGTAGGTTACTATGAGGGAGGTCGGTAGGGTTTGAGATGGATGGACGGGATAGGAAGGTTTTCCTTGACTTTATTTACTTCCTACCTACTACTTTCTATATTGTGAGATGCGAATATATCAAGATGGTAAACAGATATCAGATCAAACCGTACACCTTCCTCAACACCCAGAACGATGTAACTACACCACGACCAAACCAACAAATCTACCACTCTAACATCAATGAAGGAATGATCCTCCCGACTACAGACTACATGCAGGAGAATGAGGCATTTCTTGCATATTTTAATCTGTTCTCCGGTGAAGAACAAACCTCCTAGGCTACGGAATACTGCTAATGCCATGATACGGCACGGAGCACCTCGTTACGAGAGAACTGTGGGTATGTGGATATGGAAATTGTTTAATCTACGTCATATGTTGAGTTGACTTGACTTACCTAGTAGGTAGTAGGCAGACCTACCTTGTTTGTCTAGCACACTACGGAGGACTAGCATCTTACTTTACTGAAAATTCTTTTCAATGAGAACACTAGATCAGAATAAGTGAATAAAATATAACAAAATATGAAATAAAATAAAATAAAACCAAATTACAACGACAATAATCTATATCCCTCATCCAAAACAAACCAGTAAATCGAATTAAAAAAAACACTAACGTAGGGCTTTCCCGAAAATGCCCACCGGTGTTTGAGATACTCGTCCGTGTTCTCCCGAGGCATTTGTGGCTTGGGCTTGGTCTCGTCCCAATCCTCTCCCCGGGGCATGGGGGACCCCCTTTTTCCCGCGCTAACCCGGTCCATCCCCGCCAATTGAGATGTTGGTTGTGGGATGATATTGGTTGATGCTATCATCCATTGACCAATGGAGGGGAGGTGGTTTGGGAGCTGGTGAGCCTGGCTCTGAGATTGGTATGGGGTGTGGATGGGTGTACTCCGGGGTTTTACTCTCTTCTTACTTACTTGGTTACTGCGTATTCTTTCCCTGCTGTACTTGCTTACTTGCTTGATGCTGTACTTACTCACTGCATTTTGCATACCTACTGAGGAGGTATGTACTTGTCATGTGCTGGAGAATAGTAGCCACCACTATGCAGCTATGATCCTCAAGAATGATATGGATTAGGATAGATGAGGCTGTGGTTGTCCTGATATTGAAAGATCCGTGTGTATGACTTTACATACAGTAATGGTATGATACCGCTGGTAATACATACATACACTAGCGAGTATCATAGTACCACACCGATTACCTAGTATGCATCTGGAGGACTGTCCTCCGAGCAATGTGCCGTGCATATGTGTAATAATCATTTCATAATTCTACAAATGTCGTCTTCACTACCATCTCTTGGCAATCACAATCTACAGACTACAGACTACAGAGAAAGCTTCAGATATCGGTATTGGCTCGTAGATATCGGTTGACTATCCAATTGTCATATAGGGAACCTAACCTGGCAGGATCCCTTTCCCGTCGTTACATATGTCCCATCCTCCCACGTGCCCCACCAGACGTCGTACGATGTCCTGCGTGAGAGTCAACGTTCAACGTTCAACGTTCAACGTCTAAGCAGACAGCTGCTTGGCCGTCTCCTCAGGCCAGACATCATAACCGAACGTATCCTTCATGTTCACGAAGCGGAAGTGCCGACCCTCCGCGACCTTGTTCACAGCCGCAAAGTCCGCATCCGACAGCTCGATGCTCTGGAAGTTCGATTCGATACGGGCGGGGTTCGAGCTCTTGGGCAGCACGACGTAGCCACGGCGCAGACCCCACGCGATGAGCACCTGGGCCAGCGTGTTGCCGCCCTTCTCGGCGATCTCCTTGAGCGTGGCGTTCTCGCTGACGCGCTCGCCCGTCGTCGGCACCTGGTTCTGCGAGCCCAGCGGCGAGTACGCCTCGGGCATGATGTTGTGGTCGAAGCAGTACCGCACCAGCTCCTCGTTGGGCAGGAACGGGTGGATCTCGATCTGGTTGATCTGCGGCGTCACCTTGGCGTACTTGAGCAGCTGCTCCAGCTGCTCCTTGGTCCAGTTGGAGACACCGATGGCGCGCGCCTTCTTCTCGGCGTAGAGCTTCTCCATGGCGCGCCAGGTGGGTTCGGGGTTCTCGGTGAGGTCCTTGAGGATGACGTACTATATTTCTCATCCATTGAGTGACTGAACGTCTTGGTTGTTTGTGGAGGGGTTTGTTGGGCATACCTTTCCGTCAGAGCCAATCTTGGGCGCCTCCTGGTTCTCCTTCTCGGCGGCAATGGGCCAGTGGATGAGGAACAGGTCGATGTAGTCGAGGCGAAACTTCTTGAGGGAGCTCTCCAGCGACCAGGCGACGTCCTCGGGACGGTGCAGGTGGTTCCACACCTTGGTGCAGATGAAGATGTCCTCGCGCTTGATGGAGGGGTTCTCCTTGAGGAAGTCGTGGAGGGCATCACCGACCTCGGACTCGTTGAGGTAGAACCAGGCACAGTCGAGGTGACGGTAGCCGGTCTTCAGGGCACACATGACGGCCTTGTAGGTCTCGCCGACGGCACCCTCGCTGGCGAAGGTGCCGAAGCCGATGCCGGGGATCTTGACCCCATTGTTGAGGGTGAAGGTGATACCGGAGGACATGATTGATATTGGAAGTTGGAGATCAATGGGTTTGTTGGATGGAGAAGGGTAGGGAGGAGAAGTGGGTAGGAGGGGATTGGAATTGGTGGGGAGAGGTGGTTCGAGGTGGTTAAGAGAGGTGGCATGGAGGGGTAAATCTGTCTGCTTCCATGTGCTGTACAAGTGGGGTGGGCAGGAGATCCTGCAACCGGTCAATTGAGGGGTGGGCTAACATTCTACATCTTTCTTCTCTCTCTTGACTTTCCATTCTTCTTCTCTCTCCCTCCTACTCTACCCTTTACTACTTCTCTATTTTGTATGATAATACCTACCTATATGGAGTATAATATAATGACGGCATGACCACGCCAAGCCACCAGGCTTTATGACATCATGTTTCAGTACGGAATAATACAATGAAAATAACCACTGGAAACTCGGCTTCAATCGGCTCCTCGATCTCAGGCATCCATGGCTCCGAAACCGGACGAACCAATCAGAGAGGGTGATTTGGTACATGGTAATGGAGAACCCGTATTCCATACCAGATACAATACATACTGACCGATACCATACAAGATACCCGTACATACCGTCCGTATCATACAGAACATGGACCAAACATCAACTTCATCCCACTCGCATCCCAATCTGGTCAAGAATCATAATAATGACGATAATTCCTAGGAAGGAGGGTGGATGTTGGTGGATCCCCCTGCTCTGCTTCAATGATGGCTGCTCCCATTTTGCCGCCACTGCCTTCATTTATTAGATCCATTGTCCCGTCTTCCTGATCTCTATTTCTTCTCCCTCATCTTCACCTTCATCTTCATCCTCATCCTCATCCTCAATCAAGGACATTGACTGTGTTGGAACCTCAGATCCAACCATTGTTCTACTTCCGTGTCCTTCCTGGAGTGATATCATCCACTTCCTCGCTCCACCTTACATCACTTATAACCCCTCTTCCCCTCCTTCAATAGGTGGACATCTTCAACACTCACCTTCCAACCTCTCTCAATCCATTCAATCAACCAATTGACCGTCAACATGCCTCGTTTTGATGATGCCGATTTTGGGGTCGACGCCGCTCCCCCGGCTGGCGCTCGTTCTCCCAGAGACCACCGCAGCGTGGCGGGTTCGCTGCCTATCCCCGGTGATGCCAACAACACCGTGGAGGTCCCCGCTACCCGGAGCTCCATCTCTGATGCCGCTCAGTTCATGCACAACCTGAGCCTGTCGCCCTCCACCCGGGACCGTCGTGGTTCCCGCAACTCCTTCGGCACCTCGCTGCCCATCCCCCGCTCGCCCGCGTCTCCCGACTCTCGTCGGTGGCCCGCGCCGGCGGTGAGTCCGTCTCCCGCGACATCCTGGCCTCGCAGATCCAGGACATGTCGCAGGAGAAGGTCGCCGCCGCCAAGAACATGGCCTTCGCCTTCGACATTGATGGTGTGCTGTGCCACGGCCTCGAGCCGATCGAGGAGGCCAAGGAGACCCTCCGCATGCTGAACGGTGACAACGAGCTGGGCATCAAGATCCCCCACATCCTCCTGACCAACGGCGGTGGTAAGACCGAGGCCGCCCGTTGCAAGCAGCTCTCCGAGATCCTCGAGCAGCCCATCTCCACCGACCAGTTCATCCAGTCCCACACCCCCATGCAGGCCCTGTCCGAGTACTACGAGACCGTCCTGGTCTGCGGTGGTGAGGGCCAGGCCATCCGCGAGGTGGCCGAGAACTACGGGTTCAAGAACGTCATCCACCCCAAGGACGTCCTCGCGTGGGACCCCACCGTCTCGCCGTGGGGCTTCTTCACCGAGGAGGACCGCCTCGAGGCCAAGCCGCGCGATTTCACCAAGGTCAAGTTCGACGCCATCCTGTTCTTCGCCGACTCGCGCGACTACGCCACCGACTTCCAGCTCTGCATTGACCTCCTGCTAGCCGATAATGGCAAGATGCTGACGCGGTCTGATAACCCCGACGACCACATCCCCATCTACTTCTCCCAGGGCGATCTGATCTTCCCCACCAACCACAAGGGCCCCACCCGTCTGACGCTCGGTGGCTTCCGCATTGCCCTCGAGGCCCAGTACAAGGCTCTGACCGGCCAGGACATGGAGCGTGTCATCTACGGCAAGCCCGAGCGCGCCACCTACACCTACGCCGACGAGGTCCTGCGCTCGTGGATGGAGCAGATCCACAACGAGAACACCCTGCCCCAGAACATCTACATGATCGGCGACAACCCCATGTCCGACATCATCGGCGGCAACATGTACGGCTGGAACACCTGTCTGGTGCGCACCGGTGTCTTCCAGGGCGGCGAGAACGACCCGCAGAACCCGGCCAACTTTGGTGTCTTCGACAATGTCCTCGATGCCGTCAAGGCCGCCGTCCGCAAGGAGCTGGGCCAGGAGTTCAAGTTCAAGTGGAACCCCAAGGTCAACCCCGTGGTTCACGGTGACGGCCAGTCCGCCATCGAATAGGCTCCCACCCCCCCACCAAAAATCAAAAAGACAAGGGAAAGAAAAAATAAATCAAATCAACCCTGGCGTTTGGTGATTCCCCATTTTATTATATCTTTTATCATACTGTCTACCGCAGGATGCTAGACAGATTCGCACTTGGTTCTGGTATATGTGTGTCACGCTTTATGTCTCTTCTTCTTTATTTCTTCCTCTTCATTTTTTTTTTTTTTTTTACATGTTTATTTCTTTTGTCGGTCGGGTTCTAGACTGGGTGATATCTTGGATATGGAAGGCAACGAACCTCCGATGAGATATCATATACCTATATTGTTTTTACAGGAATGGATGGATTTAGATTTCATATCAACTTTTTTTTTCTTTGATTCTTTTTGGATAGACTTTACATTTGAATTATATTTTCATCATTTATCTTTTATCTATCTATCTATCTATCTATCTTATCATGAACAGAGTTTTCTCTACGCACTGCTACTGCAGCTACCAGCTACTGCATCATCCAACAAACTTTATCATCCACTTACCCATCCGGATCCCATCATCCATCGTATTGTACATTAGTACTTTGGTAGAGTAAAACCAAATAATATAATAAAATATAACAACGATAAATCAATACGAAGCAACAAACCAACCAAAAATCAACCTAAACGAAAAGTCAAACCCAAACTCAAACTCAATCCCAAAAAAAGAAAAAAACCTACCCATCAAACCTAGTGGTAGAAGATTCCCCGGTAGGTTTAGTCTTTACTTCTTTCCAATGGTCATCTGTCACTGGATGGTGGAAGTCGTTGACGCCATATACTTCCACCTCGTCTATATCCGTGGTGATTATTCTATTATCATCTATTATCTGTTAGTAGATAATATGTGATGATGATAATGATGATGATTGTATTTGAGTGTATTTAAAAGTGTCTGTATTGTATTTACGCTGGGAGAATGGTTGGTTAGTACTGGTTTGTATAACTTATTTGGGGATAAGGTTATACCTTGGGTTACGTGAGTAGATTATCGTATATACTTACCTGGTAGTCATACACCTCTACAAATCTTGAACATCCCAATACTCAACCAATTCAGTCAGACAGTAATGACTTGTCTATCAAACATAATATACAGACAAGGGTATCCTCCCACATCCATTCCAACCATCCAACCATCCAAAGACGAATAATCATCAAAATTACAACTCATCCTTAGCATCATGCACAGGAGCATCACCCACCGGCCGCCCACTATCCCTCCCCAAATCCACCCCATGCTTCTTCCTCCACTTCTCCCAAAGCGCAAAGAACTCCTTCTCCATCCCGGACTCCATCTCATCAGGTAGGATAACAGTGTACTCGACGTACAGATTCCCGGGTGACTCGTCCTCGTCGACGCCCTCGTGCAGGTCCGCCGCAGACCAGAACGGCATGCCCTCGCCCTTGACGGTCTCGACAGCCAGCGGCTGCACGACGGCACCACGCGGCCGGCTCAGCTGCACGACGTGCCCGTCGAGGTGTGTGACGTTGCGCGTCCACCCGCCCATCCAGGCTTCGCGCAGCGATAGCGCCTCCTTCCAGAAGAGGTCGCGGCCGCGGCGGCGGAAGAATGTCCCGTCTGTGCGCTGGTCGTCCGGGCGGCTTGCGTCGGATAGTTCCGCGGGCTTCTCTTCGAGGATGAGGACCAGATCTCCTGCGATCCAGTCTGGGCTTTCGTCAGCCTCGTTTTCGAAGACGAGTCGCGTGCCGCGGTCCATGCCCGGCTCCACCGTCGCGGTTGTTTCCACCTCCCGGCGCACGACCTTCTGTCCGCTGCAGATAGGGCAAGGCTTCACGATGCGCTGGCCCTTGCCTCCGCACGCGTCGCACGCCATCTGCACCTGCTGGAACATGCCCGGCGCGAGCATATGCTTCTGGATGACCATGCCGTGGCCGCCGCAGCGCTCACACCGGTGGACTTCCCCGTCCGCCGAGCCGCTCCCCTCGCACGTGTCGCAGATCTGCTGCTTCTCCACCCCAAAGACTACCTCCCGCCCGCGGTAGAAGTCCCGCAGCGGCAGCCCCACGCGCAGCTCCATGTCCGGCCCGCGTCGGTGTCCCGCCGCATGGCCGAAGTGGCCGCCGCCGCCGAAGAAGCGCGAGAAGATGTCGAAGGGGTCGTGGGTGGCTCCGCCGGCTGAGCCGCCTTGGCGGTGTTGCTCGATGCCGTCGTGGCCGTACTGGTCGTAGATTTTGCGCGTCGTGGGGGTCGATAGGACGTCGTAGGCTTCGGCGATTTCGACGAATTTCTGTTCGGCGGCTTCGTTGCCTCTTCTTTCGTTAGTACCCATATGTATTTGTGAAGCGCGAACGAGAAGGGGGGAAAGAGACGTACGGGTTCTTATCCGGATGATACTTCTTGCTCAGCGTGCGATACGCCTTCTTGATGTCCTTCTCCGAAGCGGACCGGTCCAGCCCCAATGACTTGTAGAAATCCTCCGCAGCGAGCACCACCTGCGCCAGAAGGAGCGTCACAGCGACGACCAGAAAAGCGAGACGCATGGTGAGCATGGTGTGTGGGATCCGTGACTGCGCGGCGCCGACGGCTCATGCGCCCTTCCCTGTCTTCTCCGCTGTTGTTTGTTGTTGTTGTCCGTTTGACGTTGTGGTCAGTTTGATGTGGGATGTTTCGCTTTGTTGGATATGGATGAAAGTAATGAAATCAGGCAAATCTCAAGATCAGTGAAGAACTCAAGTGTCAATTGGATGATTGATTCGAGGAAGAAGAAGTAGAGGAAGTGAGAATGATCGATGCAAACCAACCAAACCGGTTGTTGTTAGGTGGCCGCAACGGAGATCATGTTTGTCCGGCCCGATGTCTTCACTTCACGTGGTGATAACCTCCTTATCTTATCACCGTGAAGGCGTGCACATGCCAATGCCAATGCTTCATATCCATTTCGTAACTATGTATTAATCATATCATGAGTGCAATTAAAAACCCTGTCAATTATAGAACACAGGGTTGCCATGCTGCTCGGTAGATCCGGTATCTACCCATGCATCCAACGAATCATTAGCCCTATCTGGGAACGTCAAAGATGTCATTTCGCCACGTCCGCCCCAGCCCCTGACTCTCGTCGCCCTCCTCAATGGCTTCCTGCGCCCGTGTGGCCTGTTCGCGCCACACCTGGGTCAGGCTCCCCGGCGCATAGACGTCCTTGAAGACGCCACTCCCCGGAGCATCCAGACCGACCCGCGCCTCGACATCGCCGTCCGCCGGCTTCAGTCGAGCCAACACCGCCCGCACGAAGCTCGCCAGGTCCTTGGGTTGGGCGATGCGCGCGGCGCGCAGGCGTTCGCGCGCAAAGACTAGCTCTCGGTTTAACGCCGTCGCCGCCTCCACGATCTGCTCGGCGATCTTCTTCTCCAGCACCCGGCGCACGAGATGCTTGAGGAAGGGCTTGGCCAGCCACAGGAGGAGCTTCCACTTGCTGCGATGCACCTTGTAGCTGAGCTTGTAGATGCGCACCCGCACGCTGCGCAGGGTGAAGATCTGCTCGAGACGGTCGCGGCCGACTTCCACGTCGAGGGAGATGTCGATGCCGCGGCGGTCCAGGGCGAAGCTGGCGATGCCTTCGTCGTTGAACCGGAAGAACGAGCCGGGGTGGGCACGGACCCAATACCCGAATTCCTCCGCACTGAGGTTCAACCCCCAGACACTAGCTGTGAAGGTGGTCTTCAGGCCTGCGGTCGTCTGTTTCGAATGCCGTTTGAGAATGTCAATGTCGTTGCGGGTGGTGACATGCAGGCGATACGGTAGGAAGGACGAGAAATTGACGGTATGCCCTGGCTCCAAGACCAGATTCTCCAGCAGGAGGTCGAGCTCCGGCGACGTGATCTCCAGCCGGGGGATCGGGATGTACTGGAGGCTGCGAAGAAGGAGGGGGAAGACAACCTCGAGGAGGTCCATGGGCAGTTCGCTCTTCCGGTCATAGTACCCGTCCCATGCGTCTTGGTATAGTTTGTGGGTCGCGTCGATCAGCCTAGATACCGCGAGGTCTTCGGGGATGCTCCGCAACGCCCGTTTGGCCTGTGCCAAGAAGGCATCCACATCCGAGCGCAATGTGGTCCCTGCGCCGATCTCCGTGGATTTCTCCTGGAGCTCGCCGATCCGCTCCTCGGCCGAATCGAAGAAGCTGGGATCGGTCAACATCTCCTGGATCGACGAGCCGACCTCTGACATGAGGGTTTCGAATTCGGGATCCTCGTTGGCATGTTGCAGCACCCGGTTACATCTCTCCTCCAACGTCTTCCACTCCTCGCTATCGCCGAACGATTGGAGCAGGTTCCAGAACTCGCGCATCGCCTGTTTGAGATCGACATTGACTTCCGCCTCTTCCTCCGCCGCGGTGACGATTTCGGAGGCGGCGCTGGTGTAGATCTTTACATACCGCTGGACGAGCCGGGCCAGCGTCGACACTGAATCCGAATAGTCCGTGCGCTGTCGCAGCTTCTCGACGGCCTGCTTCAGGCGGTGAAGCAGAGTCTCTTTCTCCTCTCCGGAAATGTGGTCTCGGGCACTGCGGACGGCCTGTTTCCCGGTGCGTGTGGCCGCTTTTCCGACCACGTCCGCGATGTGGGATGCCTCTTGCTGCAGGTCCTCGTTGGACGGAGCGGGGCCCTCGTCCGCGCCTGCACCCTCGACCGCCTGGGCCTCTTCGGCGGAGGGCTGGAGCTCCTCGCTGGCTTCCTGTGCCACATTGGACAGTGTCCCGGCAGTGTCGGAGAAGATCTGCCGCCCGACGGTGGTGACATCTTCGACGAAGATGCGAAAGTCGGAATTGGTCAGGAGTAGACGTCCGACCGTTTGAAGACTATCATACGCTAATCCACACATTAGCAATTCTCTTCCACACCCTAACAGACAAGCATCTAGGCCGGCGGAGGGGATATGGTACCGGCTTTGGTGTCCGCAGTCGCTCGCCTATTGGCGGCATATTGCGAGATCCGCGTGGGATCCAGCGCGATCTTGGAGCGGGCCAGATGCCAGAGAAGCTGCTGCAACTGATCGTCGCCATTCTTCTGGCGCACCAGATCGATAAACAGCTGGACCCAGAGACGACCGTCTCGGATCAACTGGCGACCGACGGAGCCGATCTCCTGGTTACGCGGGTTCAGGACGTCGGAAGCTAAAACGGTGCGCAGGAGGACGACCGTCTGATCGGTGGACGGCATGTACCCCTCCGCGAGGGCACGGAGCATCTGGTAGGTGTGTAACTTCTGATGCAACCGACGCTGGCGGGTGGTGTCCTCCTCATAGCGAGGGAGGAGGGGCTCCCTCTCTCCTTGCGACATGATGGCGGGACCTGACCTGCAAGGGAATCCGTAACGATTCCGATGGAGGGATTCGACGTTGTCTGAGGTTGTTCCCTCCCGTTCAGCTTCCTGTTGACGGTGATGTCAGGATTGAGTGGGCAGGCAGCAAGGAAGTAGATGATCGACGGAAAGCGGAGACGGGGGGAAGCTTCATCCCAGAGAGCTTCACTGTTGCGTCACCTGCCCGCCGCTTGACCGGATTAGGGAATCGAGACATTTGTCGTCCAATCAGGATGGGTGTGAAAGTGCCTCATACTGTTCACATCAAGGGATGTTTTATCGACATTTAGAGATATCTAGAGGTAGTATGTATGTCAATGTAGGTCAATTAGTCCATGCAGCATCTACTGCCGAAACAGCTCTATAAGTTGATTGTCGTGGATGCCTTAGGTACCGATCGGCCTTTAGGTTATTCCCGGGTGCCTCGGTTGCTTACATAATAAAGAGTTATCCATGGATAGTTTGATAGATATACGGAGTAGACAGGTAGATATACATAGGTAGGAGTACCCGTATATATCTTCAATTCACCCGGGTAACTACCGGATAAATCCAGTTCCCTCAACGTCCAACTCCATGGCCAAAGGTATTAATAACCCGACGCGGCTGGACCCAAGGGCACCATGTGGTTCGGCCGACACTAAGGGTTAGTCTCAGTCGAGAGGGGGCCCAGGGGGGCTCCATCCGAAGCCCCATCGGCAGGTTCCGGTTGGCAAGCGGAGCCTGGTCTAACCACCGGTGATTGTTTTGGGCGATGGAGGACGGAATGGGTGATATCTGGACGATCATTCGGAATGAATTGGACTGATATTTCTTCATGACTCTTGCATATGGAATGATTGATTAATGGAGGTAAGATGCATTACTGGTAGGGATGTAATATTGAGTATACAGAATTGAGTATACACTATACAGGGCTTAACTATATAGAGTTTAACGATACTGGGGTTTGACTTTGAAGTATATTGGGTTGATATATAGGGTTAAGTTTAGAAAAGATATTGATATAAAGTATACCGGTACTGCATCCGGCAGAGAGACTACCGCGGTTAATGCCGGAGGACACAACCATGGAACCGAGCATTAACCAGAGATAGAGATAGACGAGAAAAGAGATAGGTACTCATAGGTATAAGAGTCAGTATGAATAACGATCGGGCCGTGGTTGACTAACAGGCAGCCCGAATTCGGCCCGGTTGGCCATTTGGTCGTGCGGGGAATCTTTTTTTATGGACATAATTTAGAAATGAGTCAGCGTCCCATCTGGAATCTTTCCTTTTTTGGATGTATTATTTATTGGATCTGATTCCATTATTATTGTTCTCCACATCGGAACAAAATATCGGATACATATGGAATATTTATAATACTAGAATTCTGATTACTCTTACTATAGACAAGTCTAGTATAAGAATGGTTCGGAGTCCGGAGTTTCAGAGATGCTCAACTTGGCTGGAATGGGTCTCAGAGTTTTCAGGTCTGGGGAAAAGCTCAACCAGGAAGTCCCAACAGAATAATAACAATAATAATAAGATCATAAAAATAGACACATAAATTGAAATAAATCAGAATCATCAACAAATCAAAAAGACACAAATAAAAAAAAAAGGAGAAAAAGGAAGAAGGACTGGACTGTACACGGTAGTTACCGTCCTGCACCATCCCAATATCGATCCATCTCAATTAAAATGCCTCACCCCCTGCACCACAAGAAGGCATTCTACGCCGTAGTTCCAATACTGCGTCCCGATCTCTTACATCTCTCTGTTTGTTATTCGTCAATGTCTCTTCTTGCCTTCATCCAGATCACAATTCCCGTCTGGTCTGGTATGTCTGGTTCTCCGCATTTGTCGAACAGTCGGAGACTCTTCCCGTGGTCTCCACATGCGGTCCCAACTGCTTCTCCTCCTCCCCAAATTTCCTCAAAGCTTCGTATCCCTACCCCATTTTTAATTCCTCTGGCTGGTTCGGTGGAAGCCATGCGCCTCTTCCGACCCTTTTACCCTTTCTGACTGGTCCCTGCTCCCCCCGGTTCTTCCCGATTGTTGAACCCAATCCTGGTTCGAGAGCTGTCGACCGCCCCTACTTTCATTCTTGCGACGGCTTTCCTCCGTTGGAGATCCTCTCCTCACACATCCAGTGGTGGTAATTGTCGGAATGCGGTCGACTATCCCTCAGGGGGTCTCAATGCTAGCGTTTAGACTTAAAACAACGCGCCTGCCTGCGTCTTCCTCTGCCTGTCTACTCTTTTCATCTCATTCTCCTCCCTCTGTCTGCCTTGATACGCGCTCTTCGTCTACCCTTGCTGTGACTCACCGTGCCACCATGGCTCGATTCCCTTCCCAACAGAAATCTTTCCAGGCCTCGACGTATGTAAATCATGCGGCGCCGGTGTAAGTGCGACAGCTTCTCTTTCTTGCGATCTCACTGTCTTTGCAGGCGTTGGAAGGCAATGTGGTAGAGCTGTCACTGATCATGGTCGCAAACCTGTAGGGAAGCGAACTATGACACCGCCAATCCCCCGTACATTCGCAAATACCTCCGCACCTACGGATTGACGCCTCCCCGCGCAGAATCGTACGAAGTGCAGAAGACTCGTTGTAGGTGGAATCGGGACCGGGCGCATTGATCGGACCCGTGTCGCTAACCACGCGATCACAGGTCTGGCCCAATTGGCCCTGAAAACCTCCAACATCGAAAAATTCCTCTACCTGAGCACTCTGCGCAAGAACAATGTGCATCTCTTCTACCGTCTGATGACGGATCATCTCAAGGTATGTTCGGATCCGACCACGAAAACTACACCCGCGTGCGGGGAAAATCTTCCCCTTGATCCTCGTCATTCTGTTGGTGGAATGATCGACTAATGGGTCAACCCGGTAGGAATTAACGCCTCTCATCTATACCCCCGTCGTTGGAGAAGCTTGTCAGAGATGGTCCGAGATCTACCAGCAGCCGGAAGGTACGTTTCAAAAGAATAACCCCCATTTACCCCAATTCTCCCCCCCCTGTCTCCGGTACTTCTACCGCTCCGGTGACGAATCAATCTCGGCCGCTAACGGAATGGCTGGTCAGGCATGTACCTTAGCTGGGAAGATCGAGGCAATCTAGCCGCCGTCATCGCCAACTGGCCCCAGCCTAATGTGGAGATCACATGCATCACCGATGGTTCCCGAATTCTGGGTCTAGGTGATCTTGGCATCAATGGCATGGGCATTCCCATCGGGAAGTTGGCCCTCTACACTGCCTGTGCGGGCATCCGACCCGAGGCAACCTTGCCCTTGACCCTGGACCTGGGCACCGGCAACAAGACCCTCCGGGAAGACCCGTTATACATGGGTAGTCGCCATGACAAAATCACTCCCGATCAGGAGCGGGAGTTCATGGATGAGTTGATGACCGCTCTTACTGAGCGTTGGCCTGGGTGAGTGACTCATGCCGATCCTCCTTCCACCTTCCCCCCTCTTCCACTCTCCCTTTTATTTTCTTTTATTTTATGTTTTTCTTCCGATGTAACGGAAACTACCGGGGAATATGTCTGACTCCTTCCAGCATTGTCGTCCAATTCGAGGACTTCAAGAATCCGTTCCCCGCGCTGGAGCGCTACCGCGACATTTACACATGCTTCAACGATGACATCCAAGGCACTGGTGCCGTCATCCTGGGTGGAGTCATCAATGCCGTCAAGCGTTCCGGACTCCCCTGCAAGGAGCACCGGGCTGTCTTCCTGGGTGCAGGCAGCGCCGGTGTCGGCGTCGCCAAACAGATCGTCGCCTTCTTCATGCGCGAGGGTATGACCGAGGATGAGGCCCGCGCGTGCTTCTACCTCGTCGACACCAAGGGTCTCGTCACCATGGACCGGGGCGACAAGCTGGCCGACCACAAGGTCTACTTTGCCCGGGAGGACAACGAGGGCGCGCAGTACAAGGACCTGAATGAGGTCGTCGACCACGTGAAGCCCACCATCCTCATGGGCCTGTCCACCCTCGGGGGCGTCTTCACCCCGGAGATCCTCCGCAAGATGGCCGACTGGAACACCAGCCCCATCGTCTTCCCCCTCTCCAACCCCTCGTCCAAGTCGGAATGTGACTTCGAGTCGGCCGTCACCCACACCGACGGCCGGGTGCTCTTCGCCTCGGGCTCCCCCTTCGCGCCCTTCTCCTTCACCGACTCCCAGGGCGAGACGCGGACCCACTACCCCGGCCAGGGCAACAACATGTATGTCTTCCCGGGCATCGGTCTGGGCACGATCCTCTCCAAGGCCGTCAAGGTCACCGACAGCATGATCTACGCCTCGGGCGAGGCCCTCTCGCAGGCCCTGACGCCGGACGAGATCGAGCGCCGTCTCCTCTACCCCGACGTGACGCGCATCCGCGAGGTCAGCATGGTGGTGACCCGCAAGGTCATCCGGGCGGCGCAGGACGCCAAGGTGGACCGGGAGACCGTCCTCCGCACCATGGACGATGCCGCCCTGGACGCTTGGATCAAGGCGCGCATGTATGATCCTCACCACGAGGTGCTGGCCCTCGAGCGGGAGGTGGGCGCCTTGCTCTCCAATTTGGGGCCGTGGTCGAACGGAAATTCCCACGAGGACGGCGATAAGACTGCTAAGCTGTAAGCTCCGGTATTTCTTCTTTTTTTCTTCTTCTTCCTTTCTCCGCCTTGTCTTCTTTTCTTTCCCTCTTTCGCCCCATTCTCCCCCTGTCGCTTTGGAATCTTTCACCGAACTCGGGAATTTCCCTCTGATTATTCGCTCGCTTTCTAATACACGTCTGTTCAGACTGGGTTCCTTTTGATTTAGAGCGCGTTTCCGTTTTCCTGTTTTTCCTTCGAGTCCCGTCCCGTCCCATGTCGAGGAAGGGTGCTCGTTATTCCTTTATACCCCATTTTGTCCGATTCCGCATACTTGTTTCCTCATGATGGTTGCCGTTGTTCTATACCGTTTCGAAGTTGGGGGAGAAATAAGATTGGGAGAGAAAAGATTGGTTCAATATGAGCATGAGCATAAGTGAGGGGGAAAAAAACAACAGCATAATTTGGTGGAGGGCCCGCACTATTTGGCACTTTCGGTTCGTCAATATCTGGTCTATAGGTTTCTGTTTTGGTTTGAATACAGTCATTATTTTTGGGCAGATCCAAGATTTATCATCTGAACGTACGTACGTATATGGATCAAGATGCGGGGAAGAACAGAATTGGAGAAGCCCGTGCGGGGATCGGACAGATTATATAATCAAGCATGGATTACTGAACTCTCGACTTGATGCAGCTCTTCTCTTCCATCTACTGGGCGTATCCCATCTATGATCTATCTATCTCCTTCCATGCTATGCTATGCTAATGTCAGCCATGTCAGCCATATATCAGCATCCAGACCTAGTCCAGTCCCGCCCAGTCGGTCATGAACTGACCCGCGCCATGGAGACTCCGGAGAGATTCATATATCCGACTGCCCCACTGGTTACTATCTGATTGGGCGGATAGTGTGGTCGCGATGTTAGTTACTCCGACCCCCTGACGGCTGTCGCAACACCTGTCGCTTTGGGTTGTTAGTTTTGAGGCCGGTGATTGATGTTGTTACGTGGAATTGATTGTATCGAGTGCGTGTTTGGGGGGCTGTGGGTTGGGGATTGTGGCTTGGTGGGAGGTGGATGGACTGGGTTCAGAGGTGCTAGGCAGTGTGCGATGGTTATGTGGCTTCGACGAGATAACGGAGAGGATTGTACTCCAGCTACGATGGCGACATCTGGTTATCATCCAGATATGCTTACCAATGGCGATATATCACAAACAAACAACAAAGCAAGATGATCGACACGGTTCAACAAGATATGTACTATTGTACCAGCGCCGCTTTCCCCACTGTTGATCCGGTCATGTGGATTCGGCCTGCCTCGGTTCCGTTTTGGACAATTATAAATGTCTGGTTTCCCGTTTCAATAACGTCTGATAGGCTTTGTTGAATCATTTCAACAATTGAGAATCATCAGCCGTGAATATGTCTTCTTTGGGTGATGCCGTGAAACTGCCTTGTGGGTTGGTCTTCCCGAACCGGCTTGTTAAGGTAATAAGAGATTTTTCTCCCAATGCGAGTTTTCCATATGGAATGCAATTCTGATATCATCAGGCTGCAATGGCCGAGCTGATGGCCGGGGGTGACCACGTCCCGACGCCGAACATGCTCGAGGTTTACAATCAATGGGGACAAGGTGGATGGGGGGGAATTCTCACAGGTTGGACTCACGCATTCATTCCTCTCAACAAACCCAGACACTAAATCTAAATACAATAGGCAACGTCCAAGTCGACGTCAACCACCTCGGCACCCCATTCGACCCAGCCCTCCCAAACGACTACACCAGCAAAGAAAACAACCCCGACCTCGTCGCAGCATGGAGCAAATACGCCTCCGCCTGCCAACAACACGGCCCGCCCTCCATCGTGCAGATCGTCCACCCCGGCCGGCAATCGCTGCGCATCGCAGGCCAGCGCGGCATATTTGGTTCGACGATTGCGCCTAGTGCGATCCCCGTGCGTCTGGGCGATAGTTACCTTGAGCAGATTATTAGCAAGATTACGTTCCCGTATCCGCGCGAGATGACGCAGGGGGATATTGAGTCTGTGTCGAGGAAGTTTGTAGATACGGCGCGGTTGATGGCTGATAGTGGGTTTTCGGGGATTGAGTTGCATGGTGCGCATGGGTATTTGATTGGTAGGTTGATTCTTGCTGCTTTGGATGATGCCATTTACTTACGGATGTTTACGCAGATCAATTCTTGAACCCCAAGGTACCAAACCATTGGCTCTTTCACGCTCTCCTGGAGCAAATTACTGACACGGGCGATAGACAAACCACAGAACAGACGCCTACGGGGGCTCGGCTGAGAAACGCGCCAAATTCGTCTTAGACATCATCGCCGCTACGCGCAAAGTCGTTCCTCCGACCTTCTGCATCGGTATCAAGCTCAACTCCGCCGATCACAGCTCCGCGACCTTTGAAGACACCATGACGCAGATCGGACTTCTCGTTGATGCGGGTATCGACTTTCTCGAAGTGAGCGGTGGATCGTATGAAGATCCGAGTGTTAGTTTCCCACTTTCCATAGTCTACACATCAACAACAACAAGAATAACCCCAACAATCTAACAATGAAAACAGATGATGATGGGCCAAAAAGAACCCACCCAAGAAACCAAAAGCGCCCGCACAGCCGCCCGCGAAGCCTTCTTCCTCGAATTCGCGCACGAAGCCCGCAAACGCTTCCCATCCCTCATCCTCATGCTCACCGGCGGCTTCCGCACCCGCGCCGGCGCCCTCTCCGCCATCCGCGAGAACGCCTGCGATCTGATCGGTATCGGCCGGCCGTCAGCCGTCGACCCCAAGCTGCCGCTGCTGATGCTGGACGAGAGCGTGTCTGATGCGGAGGCGGGGCTGCCGTTGGTGAATGTGCCTGCGCCGTGGTATGTGGGGATGTTGCCGGCGAGGTCTGTGGGGGGTGGGTTGGAGAGTGTATGTCTTTCTTTTTTTTTTCCCCTTTCCTCTCCCTTCTTCTCGTTACTTGTCTTCGTTTTGTGTTTTGGGGGCTATGGGCTAACGATTATGATGGACAGGGCTACTACGCGAACCAGATCCAAAGGATAGGAAAGGGGTTGAGGACGTGCGCTCCGTCTTTGTAATACAGTGCTAGTGTACTGATGGGATGAGTCGATGGGTACTTACCGCTACTAGGCATGTATATAGTGTATATAGGGGGAAATGTAGGTATACTTGACATGGTGTATGATAGTGGACTAGTGATGCGTTTAAGCAGGTTCTGTATAGGATTTGTAGGGCTGTGAAGTCTTACTCGTAGAGTTGGTTGGGTGGTACTTGGGTTATCGTTATGTTGGACTTGGTTTTGTGAAGATTTTGGGTAGTATATGAGTGAATTATGAGTGAACTATGGAGTAGTAGGCGTATTGTATAAGTATACCCTTAGAGAGGACCTAGTGTATGAGGGTATAGTGCATGAGTATAGTGCGAGGGTATAGTCCATGAGCATAGTGCGAGAGTAGTGTGAGGGAGAATAGTATCAAGATAGAGACACACCCAGACAACCGTACTCCATAAGAGACCACCGCAATATCCAAGCAGACCCAACTCCGTGGCTACTCTCTTTGTAGTGAATTTCGTCGGGGGTCTAGTCTCGTCTCAAGCTAGGTTAGCTAGTTAGGTCATTCTCCGGCGGTAGACTGCATACTATACCTAGGACTAGGTATAATATGCAGCTTATCCTCCTCTCAGAAATTGACCCATATGAAGAAAAGAGACTCATACAAAAAGAAGAGACGAGAAAATAAATCAAAGCGCATCAAACAGCGCAGTATCACCCGCGCCCCAAAACTCCCCCGACAGACCCTCCAGCGTCTCGAAATCCGGCATCCAAAACGGGCCGTCTTCCTCCGCAAGATCAATCCACGGGGCGAGCTCGAACGCCATGCGCACGCCGTGGTCTTGGCTGTGTGGGTCTACGCTCATGGAAGAAGGGGCAGGTCTAGAGGGTTCGTTGGCGGAGGAAGAGGAGGACGTAGCCATCATTAGCTCTGTCATGCTGGGTTGCTTGGCGGGGTCGCTGGCGGGGCTGGTGGTGGCGTCTAGCTTCTCCATGGCTGCGTTGACGAGCAGCTCGAAAGCGTCGCGGTACTTTTTGACCCACGAGGCGCGCTCGCCCATGACGAAGAGGACGGTAGAGCAAGCGCGGATGTCGTTGGATATTTGCACGGACCAGACGTGGGCTGCGTGGGTCCAGAGGGCGTGGAGGAGGGTGATGCCTGAGATGAAGACCGTTTGGACGGTGAGGAACGAGTGGCCGTATTCGAGGGTCTGGTGGAGGCGTTTGTGGGTCTGGCAGACGTTGCCGGCTGCGCGGAGACAGACGTGGTAGTAGGGGTCTGAGAGAGGGAGGGAGGGGAGGAAGGGCTGGATGAGGAGTCGAAGGGCGCGGTTGTAGTGCAGGAGGGGGTAGTCGAGGTCTTGTGGGGCGGTGAAGCGACGGAGGGCGGCGTTCTTCCAGTCTTCGAGCTCGAGGTAGAGCTCGTCCATTTTGAGGCGGAGGGTGTTGAGGGGGCGGTCGGCGCGGTAGATCTTGTGTTGGATTTTGGAGTCGATGCGGCGAAGTTGGATCAGGTGGATGGCGAAGGTTAAGGTTGTGAGGCGGTCGGGCGTGATTAGCTGGACTGGGTCTTTGATGTCGTCGTCGACGTCGAGGGGGAGGGGGAGGTCGATGTGTCGATCTGCGATGCTAAATGGTCGGCCTAGAGACATGGAGACGACTCGTTCGAGGTAGTAGACTGTCCAGAAGAGGCGGCGTCGCATTTGAGCGGTGATTGGATCTAGGTGGATTTCGTTGGCTTTTCTGTGGAGTCCTAGGTCGATTGCGGTGCGCATGGCGAGTCCGATCATGTACCATACGCCTTGGCTAGACGCGGAGCGAAGGTGGTAGACTACTAAGAGCGTCATGGCTTCGATGTTCTCGATTGACCGTGTTTCACACATGGCGGGGACCTGCTGCAGGGCGGTGATGTAGAACCGCTAATTTGTCAGTGTTGAACAGACAGATGTAGAACAGGGGGTAGAGAAGAGTGGTATAAAATAGAAGGCATAGAACAGAAGGAAGAGAGCGCAACGTGGGCGAGAGTAGGGGAGAGAAAATCACCTCAGGAGAAACATAACTATACTCCCCACTCAACTGCATAGTCGTCGCCCCAATCGCATAAACAACATACAACTTGAAGATCCCAAACCGCTCCTCTCTCTCAAGGTTCTCCCGCCTAGCCCCAGCAAGCCTCCATCGATCCTCATGCAACCGCCACAGCTCCCGCCGATCAAGAAACGGATAGCGCACATGCAGACGAGTCAGATACGCGCGGAGGATCCGCACCCCCATCTCGTCATTAGGGGGCTCGGTGCTCTTCGCCAGCAGCTCCTCCATCCTCAGCGGCCGCGGCCGATCTCCCGACGCCGTACCTCGCGCGGTTGACGTCGACGGCTGGGGCGGTAGACCATGCCCGGCAGCCGGCCCCTTGCCGCCGCCTCGCGACGGCGCCAGGACTTGGTTCCAGACGGTGGCTTGGACCATTTCGCCGAGGTTGGCGGCTAGGGAGAGACCCGAGCTGGAGCCCACGTACGCGGGGGCTTCTGAGGAGTTGAGCGCGAGAAAGCCGACGAGCTCTCCGATGGGGTTGTGGTCGATGCTCGGGTCCTGGTCCGGTCTGGACTCCAGCTGGGACTCTAGGGAGGCTATGCGCTCTTCTAGTGCGCGGGTGTAGCTGGGAACATGCACGTTAGGATTGTAAGATACAATACAACGCCCACATATGGGTCATAATACTCATTCTGCTGTCCGTTCTCCTTTCGCACCGTGGCCTTGTCACACGTCACTCCAGCCTTGTGACAGTTTGAGCAGGCTGGATGGTCATTATCGCACTACAGCCATTATCAGTAGTTTTGACCGGCTAGATTGCACTGGGTCGGAGGCTCACCTTTTGCTTCCTTCTTTTACATCGCGTACAGGCCGTTCTTCCGCGCTTGCGGGGATTGTACTGGGCAGGTGAGGCAGGGGTGGGCGACTGGGAGAAGTCCATGGTTGCGGAGTCATTGATGAGGCATTCTTATGTGCTTGATCGATGGGTGATGGCAGATTGGCCCGCTATTATTGAGATATAGAGAGGACTGCCAATCCATTCATGGGCAGATGAATGGAGATGAATGGAGATGGATGGAGATGGTAAGAAGTGGAGAGTTGGAGACGAAGTGGAGGAGAACGATCGCGCTAATCTTATCGGCATCTGATCTATCTTATCAAATCTTTCTACGGTATATTGGCTTGTATATACACTGGTCTGCATGACAGGATCAACCTCAATCATGAAGTCTTCTGATCCCCCTGAATCGCACGCTTAGGTTCATTGACCCCGAGTTCTACATCCACTCGCGCCTTCACCCCCTCATCCCCCTCCCTCGCCCTCCTCTCCTCCTCAATCTCAAACGCATCCTTGGGCCTCTCCAGCCCTCGATCCCGAACCAACAAACACGCAACGAAACAGACCCCACAAGCGGCACCTGCAAGATAAACACACTCCGCGACGCCTTCGCAAAGGCATCCAGAATGCCTACCCAGTCCGCATCCGATATCTGCGCCCGCTCCGGCGTCGAATACGACGATCGCGCAAGATGCTTATACCCCTCGGGCAGATTCGCCCGCAGCGTCGCCTGCAACAGTGCAGCTGATACAGCGAGCCCGCACGCGCCGCCCAGACAGCGGAAGAAGTTCCGGTCCGAGATGACGACTGCGCGGTGAGCCTTGGTGCAGTGCGCTTGGAAGGCGACCATTGTTGGTTGCAGCGTGCCGCCTATGCCTACGCCGGCTATGCCGACTATGACGGCTATTACGGCTGGGTGGGTGTGGAGGTTGAAGAGGAGGGTGAGGCCTGCGGCTCTAGATTGATCATTGATATGAATTCGATGGGAGGGTTTTCTATTAATAGGCGAGGGAGGTACTTACAGTGTCCACAGGCCGAAGCCGAGCCAGATTACCTCGCCGTAGCGCTTTGTTCGCGAGATGTACTGGCCTGAGCTGATGGATGCGATTGACTGACAGCCTACCATTGGGGAGATCAGTGCGGCGGAGACGATGGGAGACCATCCTCGCGCGTTCTGGTAGTATAGCGGGAGGTAGTAGAGGTAGGACTGAAAGACTGCGCCGAGGAGGAAGCTCTGTAGGAACAGGGCGCATAAGACTTTGTTTTTGAAGAATACCACTGCGTTTCACGTTAAAACTTCACTCCTATCAGTGGAGGAGTTGTGCCAGGCAGGGCTTACCAGGAAGCATCGGCAGCACAGCCACCTTCCACTCAATAACTACAAACGCAACCAAAGACAGTCCCCCGATCACAAGCATAGAGATCACCATCGGCGAGTCCCAGTCAAAGTACGACCCGCCCCCGGAGATAGGAATCAACAGGAAGATGATACCGATTGACGAGGCGACGATGCCATACCCGTCAATGCGACGCACGCTCTCACGGAACCCATCCTTGCGGTGGTTATTCGGGATGAGAAAGTACCCCACAGCCACGCAGCAAGCCGACAGTGGCGAAATCAGCCAGAAGAACCCGCGCCAGGTAGATCTCATCGTGAATGCTGCGGCGACGAACGCCCCGATCACGTTTCCCAGGCCCAGCGCGGCGCCCAAAATCCCCTGGTACTTACCCCGCTGCTCGAGCGTCACGATATCGGACACGATGATCATCGTCAGCGAGGTGATGCCCCCACCTGCGACACCAGCCAGCCCACGGAAGAAGTAGAACATGGGCGCGTTAACGGACAGTCCGCATAGCAGATCCGCAAGACTGAGCAGCGCCAGCGCGCTCAGGTAGACGATCTTGCGGCCGAAGATGTCGGACAAGCGGCCGTAAAGCACGGTGAACATGGTGTTGGCGATGAGGGACGAAGTGCCGGCCCAGGAGATGGTGTTTTCAGCGTTGAGGTCAGCGGCTACGGTGGGGAGGGTGACGCTGATGCCATTTTGGTCGACGAAGGCGATGAGCAGCGAGATGGCGAGGCCGGCGAAGACCACGAGGAGTTGGCGCTTGGGGAGGATGTTGGTTTGGTCGTGGAGGGCTTTTTCGGCGGCTTGTTGGCGGTTCATTGTTTCTTGATGGTGGTGATGATATCTGGTTGCGCTCCTGTAGATTGATGTACTTGAAGTTTTCTCTTTTTATTTGTCTTTCTGTAGAGAAACCTGCACCACACAGGCCTGATATTTACGCGGTTCAAAAGATACAGAAGAAACATATATAAATAGGATAAAATAGAATAGAAGATAAGACAAAAGTAAAGAAAGAATTCCCCACCATCTAGCATACAATCCAAGTAATGGAGTTAAGCAGATAGGATGATATGATCAACAAAGTGCAGTGTCGGAAGCCCGACCAACCGACCGCAGCCCTAACGTTCGCAGTTAAGATTATCGGGGGAGTTCCGTTGTGGAAACAGGGGCCATCATATAACATCCATTGATAATTGGTGGTTCTGGCGGTCCAGGATGGAGAACTGGAGCCAGTTCCGTCGAATGATGGACGTCGAGGGGAGAAAAAGAATGGAGGTCGGAAAGGGTCGGTTGTGGATCGTCGGATGTCCGTTCATCCATTCTACTTGGGTTCCACTGAATATACGGCGCTTCTTGATTATAGATCAGTTGATTGATTGGTTTTGTTAGGCCTAGAATTGATACTGTAATTTTTAATTAATTTAGTATACCAAGTTCCTATCATGATCTGGTAGACGTTTGTCATAAGACCAACCGATCAGACCCCAGTAAACGACCGCCCATATTATCGACAGCGACAGCGTCAAGAGATACCAGCAAAATAATGTTGCATGTTGCCATTAAAGATAGAACCGATCCTGGAGATATTCCGGTAACCGAGGCATTCACAAGTGTCTCCCCCCTGTGGAGTTACACCGTCCTGCAAGGCACTGACAATGGATGAGAAAAATGCCTTCCTATTGTCTCGCGCGGCTGCAGCTGTTGTTCTTCTTTGTGTATGGTATGACTGCTGCCGCTGCCGCTGCCTGATCTCCTCGAGACCCATTGATGGTGAATGGAAGATGGAGTCATAGACTGGTCCGGTCTTTATGCGTACCATAGGAGGAGTGAACGCTCCACCTCGAATTGAACGGTGAGGCTCAAGTGTCGCCCACGTAAGACAATATTGATACCCAAAGGTCAGGACAATATCCAAGAATCATGTATGTATGTTGTATGTATGTACGGATGCGTATGATGCAAGTATGTATGTATGTACTGTAAGAACACCGAAAGCCCATTTTTTCCAGAACGGTCGGCTCATATTGAAATAATCTGCAGTCGTCGCTGGCCTGCTTTCCAACCATCAAATCAATGTAAGTGGTCCCATTGGAGGATGGCGATTGGTGAAACCTACTTCTTGTCATGATCATAATCACGATCATGGTCGGATCAGCCTGACTGACTGACTACTGGGAATGCAAATGCAAATGCAAATGCAATGACCCTGTCACCCTGGCGGGTGATGCGCAATCGGAAGAAACGAATTCTGGTTGGAAGAAAGATCTAGACCTGCTGATCGAGGGAGAGGAAAAGAAAACTGGGAGGAGGGAGAGCCCCCTGAGGACAGATGACAGATGACAGATGTTACAAGGCTCACGGGCTCTTGCCAGTAGCCAGCCATCATGTATGTGCAGGTGCTATTGGAACATCTAGGGTGCCGGCCGCCCACGACGACTGGACGCCGCGCGCATGCCCGCCATTGTCCCCTCCGTACCCATGGCTGTCGTCCACCCGCTCGCCATGGTGCCTGGGCACCGCTTGCGTCAACGGGCCGGTGCCTCGAGCTACCGCCGTAGGCTCCGAGACAGCGTGAGCGGATAGGTAGCTGCCGCCTGTGACATTGCCTTGGTTGGGGAAGAAACTCTGGTTCAGGGCCCCGCACGTCGTGCAGGTGAATTCAATTTTGAAGTTCGTCAGGACGAGATGGGGAGCGGCTGGGTGGCCGCTACTCGGCGTCGGTCCTTGGGGGTTGGATCGTGTCGCATGGGTTGGTGGTGGTGGTGGTGGATGGTTTGGGGTCGGCACGCCGTAGGACGTTTGTGGGTTGGCTCGTGTGTGAACGGGGTGACCAAAAGAGGTCGGGTCGTGGGCCGGCATCTCCGGCGTGTGGAGGATTTGGGGGTTTGGTTGGCCGTGATGAGGGTGCGGCATTGGAGGATGTGCCGGGACGCCTCCGCCGTGTAATTGGGAGGTTGGAATAGTCGATCCCCGTTGGAGATCGCCTTGCGGGAGGGAGTTTGGATCGACGAGGCCCGTCTGGAGATCTGGGACCCATCGTTGTCCGGATAGGCCGCTCCCGCTGTAAGTCGAACTCTCCCCGGGCCCCTCGGAGGGAGGCTGGTGGGGATCCAGAGGTTCATGTTCATCGTCGCCCTCGTCTTGATCCTGCAGCTGTCCCGGATGGTGCTGTTGCTGCAACCGAATGAGAGCTCGTTGGGCCTGTCTCATGGAGATATCATACCCGTGGCAGCGTTTGACGGCCTCGACGACCTCCTGCGCCTTGATGCTCTCCCGCACGTCGAACAGCTTCGGAATCTCGTTCATGAGGAATCGTACATGTGACACCTCGGAGCGGGTTGGGGTTCTGCTGGTGGACGCTGTACTCCGTCCACAGCTATGGCTATCCTGGAGGCTGCTGATATAGGTCGAGTTCTTGTTGGCCCGACAGACCACGCGAAAGTAACAATTGTTCGACGAGCGACACCCGATGACCACGCTCTTCTTATTGCTCCGTGTCACCCGTAGCTCCCAGTGCTGTCTCACCGAGATATTGCGCACCAATGCCTTGAAGTCTTCCAACGAGGCGAATCGTTGGCCCACATGGAGCCCCGAATACATCTCCGTCATGGCCAGGGGACAAGACACCGCACGAGGGAGTCGAGCAAGTACACCACGTCCATCAGTAGGGAGTATGTACGAAGAAGAAATCAAGCGAGGGGTCTGTGAGATTCTGTAAGCTCCAAGAATGGGTGGGGGAACTATGCGCAAAGGCGCCTAACGTTAAGCTTCGTGGCAAATCGAGGAAGTAGATAATAAAATAAGATAAAATAGATAGAGTCAATCCAAACAAGCTAGCCTACGAGACAATCCAATTATAAGACCAGACAGGGGGGGAAGAGTCAATGGTTAAGCATCCGGTTGAAAGTATGACGGAGAAGACAAGACAAGACAAGAATAGACAAAAACCGTCCTCGAAATGTTTCCCGCTTGGCGCGGATGATCCCCCGACCGCTTCGGTCTTTTTCTCAAGCTGTCCCCCTACCTCTCCTCGGCCCCCGAAACAACACACTTCCCTCATCGCCACTTGGTACTTTCTTTTCTTTTTCTATTCTCCCCGTCAACCAAGGAAGTGGATTGTGAGACCACTCATCATGACATCGTACGGGCTGTTGGATCAGCCAGACGAAGGTGAGGATTGGCCGGTCCATGCATCCCCCATCTCCCAACGCTAACCTCCTTCCAGACACCCTTCACAAATCGCGCCTGTTAAACGTCGAAGAAAAGCCCTTCAAGCGAATCGCCAAACGCCTGTTACACCCGGACTCGCTCGTCGTCTCGCACGCGACCCTCCTACCCACGCCTCCGCCCGACGGAACCGACGAAGATGCCTCCGCCGTTGAAGCCGAGAAACAGAAACGATTGGAAGGATGGCGCCACTTCCGCGAAGACATGACGCTGGACTGCGCGGCGTTTGAAGCCAGCATCGCGCGCATCCAGTTCCTGCTCGTTAGCAATGAGAAGGAGCGCGAGCGCTACGCGGCGGAGAAACTGCGCATCTTGTCGACGATGCAGTCTGTTCGTGAGAATACGTCGGAGCTGCGCGATCAGCTGCAGGAGGCGCAGCGGTTGCTGGCGCTGCGCAAGAGTTATGACGATTTGGCTGAGAAGATCACGAGTAACCGGCTGCTTAAGCCGCGGGAGGATCAGCAGGCGAATCTGCAGAAGCTGCGGACGGAGATCACCGAGCTGGAGAAGGAGAGCAAGGACTATGCGACTACTTGGTCTGAGCGTAGGGAGCAGTTCGGTCGCATTGTGGAGGAGGGTATGCAGTTGCGGCGTTTGATTCGGGACGAGAAGGAGGAGGTCGAGCGCAGGGAGGGCATGCAGGAGGGTGGAGACGGGGACGACGGCGACATCGCGTCTAAGGGCAAGTCGAGCGGCGCGACGACGCCCCGCCCGGATACCGACAGTGTGACTCCCTCGCTGTCGGGGCCGGACGAAGCCGGGAAGTCCCCTTTTTCCTTGCACCCGGATAGGATGAGCGTGCCGACGGGGGGCGCCTCGCCGTTGCGGCAGGTGACCACCGTAGGCGATGAGAAGAAGAAGACCCCCGAGGAAGACGCCACCATGGTGGACGAGGGCGAAGTGACGGCCGATGAGCACGAGTTGGAAGAAGGGGAGGAAGCGCAGGATGACCGCACAGCGGACAAGATGGATACCACTACGTGACGACCAACCTTATGCATTTATGGAGCCCGGAGTTTATACTTGGATTTGGAAGCGTTGGAAAATCAGGTTATTTTTGATAAATTACATTTCGATCAGCTTTGGTACATGACATTAGGGCTGATTCAAGCATCATGTTCCGCGATGGTATGTAGACATAGGTAGCAACGTTCCAACTAGACATTCTGCGTATAACACGCCATCTAAGCGATCTCTCGCTCGGCGGTCCTCGCCTTGGAAATCACCTCCTTGGCCGCATTGATGTGCTCAACATTGCTCTCCGATCCCTTCTTGCCCTCCTCAATCTACAGCAGTCAGCAAATACTCACTTATTCAAATGAAGATCAGTAAGGACCAGTGCTCACCAGCAAGCCATCAAGCGTAGCAATCGACTCCTCAATCTTCTGCTTCAAGCTAGGAAGGACATTCCGGGTCTGTTGGAGAGCCATGCGCTGCCGAAAAGTTAGCCATGCTCATCTCAGCTTCAAACGCCTCCCCCACACTCCTAGAACAATAACAATCGGGAGTACACACCTCCTGGTTCAATGTGTATTCTCTGTTCTCGTCGTCATTCCCGGTCTGGGCTTCCAGCTTCTTGATGCGCTCCGTCTGTTCTTTCAGCTCGCTGTGGTAGGAGGCTTCCTCTTTGACTAGGCGGCCGAGGGAGGCGGTGTGGATTTCGAGCTGGGAGCGGGGAGCCATGTTGATGATCTGTTTGCCTTATGTGTGTATATCTGTTTAGGTGGGCGAGAAGTGAAAGGTTAGCTACTCTAGTGTTTGACTGGGGTTTCTCGAGGGAATGATGTCATGTGCGCTTTATGGGACTAGTGCTTGGTATTATGAGACCTCGAGAGTCCATAGCATATGGCAGACAGGGAGCAAAGGTCGGGGCAGTCAGATAAGACATGAATAGCCCTTTTCAATGCGCAGTCGCTCAAAGAATCCTCGAGAGATGATCGAGGTATTGTAGACCGCGATGGACTCAACCATCACCATTGAGCTTTATATGACTTGTGCTCAGGGAAACATAGATAATGACACCAAACCTACCTTGTGATTGAAGAGTCAAGAAATGTCTGTTCACCAGGTTAGGAATGTCTGTGTTCTTTCAGTGTTGGTTCTTGATATCAACAAGTACGAGGAAGATTGCCCCTCCGCCATCATCGGTGATGCTTTATCGGCCTATTGGTTTGCACTGTTTGCTTTTGGCGGGGCTAATCAACTGTCATGTGATGTGATGTATTATTCTTATGCAAAGTATTAGTAATATTTGAGCATCGACCATTATTTGTGTAGAATGGCAGCAGTCTGATCTCCAGCTTACCACACAGTTTGATGGCATAGTTCGCCAAATTTACAGAAGTACTTATTCTAGGGGCGTACGAGTTAGATTTAATAGAGAAATGTATGTGTCCTACATTAAGTTGGGTTGATCGAATCGTCCGGCATCAGTACTCCGTCGAAGTATATATAATGCAGTTCCAAGCATAGTACAACATCACCACACCAGCCTTTGAAAGTGGACAACCATTTCACCGGACATAGTACGAATAACAGGAATCTAGTCATTTACGACACCTCTAACCAGTTTCTGCGCCCTCAAAGTGAGGCGACAACAGTATACCCTTCGAGGCTAGAAACCGCTTATCGGGCGCTGTTAGCCCCAGATGCCCTGCGCCGGACAGCCTCATGCCCAGGGCGAGTGATCGCCATATTACTGCACGACGAGCCAATCTGATGTCGCAAAATACGAACTTAAGATGATCATGCCTGCGGCATAGACTTCCGGGTAGTGGCTGTGTTTGAGGCTTTCGGGCCCGGTGAGGCTCTGGCTTTTTCGGCACTGGGTTGCGTTATTTTGGGGTTGTGATGGCTGGGTTGGGGGGAGAGTATAAAAGACTGTCTGTCCGTAAAGAATTTGTCTTTTGAAATTCATTCGTTTTATTTTGTGCTTGTCGCTTTTCTAAAGAATTTGGCTAGAGACGTCCTGTGTTTGACAGAAGATACTAAAGACCACCAAGATGAGGTAGGCACATCCTCTATTGCGATGATCACCATATTAACACGTTCAATAGGTATGCGATTGCTCGTCCAAGCGAATATCTCGTGCTCACCGGAGCCGGGATCAAAGACATTCGCCTCTGCAAAAAGGCGATTGTGATGCCATGGCAGCGTGTACGTTCTACCGAGATGAGAGATAGAGTCCCGACCATCAAGCTAATACTTAATTGCAGTGTGCGAGGATCTCCCTAGCCCCATTCGACTTTGGTCTCAACCTGCAGGCCATGACGGTGGAGAAGCTGCAGTTCTCCCTGCCTGCCGTGTTTACGATCGGACCCGAAGACAAACAAGAGGCCCTGCGCAAATATGCCCTGCTGTTGTCCGGCAGTACCAACGAGGCGGATATTGCCAAGGCCAAAAACTTGACCCACAGAATGCGAGGGGACCATGTGCAGGATATCATCAAAGGCATCATTGAAGGCGAGACCCGTGTGATCGTGTCGAGCATGTCTATGGAAGAGATCTTCAAGGAAAGGCAGGAATTCAGGGACAGGGGTGGGTGTTGCTGTTATTCATCTGTCCAAACTTTACGGGTCGCTGACTTGGTGGACAGTCATAAAAAATGTTCAGAAGGAGCTAGAGCAATTTGGCCTGTGCATGTGAGTCCACGAATTTGTAAGATGTGCTGGGAATGCCGCTGATGGATGACAGCTACAATGCCAACGTCAAAGAGCTCCAGGATACGCCGGGTAGCGAGTACTTTGCGTTCCTCAGTCGCAAGGCTCACGAGGGAGCTCTGAACCAAGCCAAGATCGATGTGGCCGAGGCGCGGATGCGAGGAGAAATCGGCGAGGCCGAGAAGAAAGGGCGGGCCAAGCAAGAAATCTCCAAGATCGACGCCGACACCGCCGTCCTCGAGACCCAACGGAAAGCCGAGAAGGCCAAGGCCGACTCGGAGCTCATGAACCGTCAGACCGAGCTGGATTCCAGCGTTGAGATGGGCAAGATCGCTGCCAAGCGCCAGACGGAAATGAAAGATGCGGAGCTCAAGAGGAAGGTTGAGACTTTGCGTGCGGAAACCGAGTTGGAGCGCCTGCGTGCCAACGACGTCACCAAGAGCAAGGTTGCACGCGAGTCTTCCCAGCAGAACGCCGATGCTGCTTACTATCAGCAGCAAAAATCTGCCGATGCCCTACTGTACACACAGAAAATGGAGGCGGACGCAGCTTGTACGTTTGGGACTCCTGATACCTAACCCCTCAAGAGTAGACAGCTGACCCTCTCCAGACTACCGTCAAAGCAAAGAGGCGGATGCGACCTTCCACCATCAGAAACGAGAAGCTGAAGGAATCCTGGAGATGGCCAAGGCCTATGGTGCGCTCGTTGATGTTCTCGGAGGTCCTCAGACCTTCTTGCAATATAAGATGTTGGAGACCGGCACATATGAGAAATTGGCGATGGCGAATGCCCAGGCTATCAATGGTCTCCAGCCTAAGATCACTTCATGGAATACTGGTATGCCATTCGGAGTTCATCCATTGAGAGACTGTTCTGACCACCTTTTAGGTAATGGAGAGGGTAGCGCAGACTCTCTGGGGCCGATCCGAAACCTCATGCAAGGTCTTCCTCCTTTGCTGAGTACGATCCATGAGCAAACCGGAATCAGTCCTCCGTCGTGGATGGCTCAGATGCCGGCGAAGAACCAGATCAATGGGCTGAACCATGCGGAATAGACACGAGCGTGTCAATTTCCTCCTAATGCAAGACTAAATTGCTTTGTTGTTTCTTTTATTGAGCCTTTCCTTTGTTCGCTATGATACCTATCTTTTAGTGGTTCCTTTCTTTTCATGTTAGCCAGAAAATGGATTAGCTTTATTAATGATGGAAAAAAAATTCGTAGCAGCCTGAAAAAAGAAAGGACCTAATCTTAGTCTGATCGCCAACACAATCTACTGTGATGAGAGAGTGGTGAGGAGTGAGAGAGATGCATAGAGAAGGAAAGTGAGGTGGACAAAGAGAGACCAATGAAATCATGTGATGAGCGTCATCCGCCTGGAATGACGAACTGTCGGACTTCAACCATTCAACTATGCCTGATTTGAATCATGATTGACTTACAGTGAATCAGTGCTGTTGATATTCACTCTTATATTAGATGTCACTTTTATATTTACTGTCACTATATCCCCCCTGTTCACCATGGTATAAATACTCCTGTTGTCTCTTTTTGGTTGCTGTTCCTTGCGAGTTTCAAGCGTGAACAATGCCGGCCCCATCACTATTGCAGCTGTGCACGAATACAGCAGTCAGGAACGTGAAATGTGCGCATTATATTCCTTTTAAAGATATCTCTGACAAAATAAGGAATCGTATGGCTAATTCACTCCCAGATCTAAATGATATTGGCGATGTTCCTTATTCGCTGGCGCGTCCGTTCCTCCTGAAAATCGAAAGCCCCGAGAAACTGGTGAGCCTCCCCCCTCGTGTACGGTGTCGCAGTACAAGCAACTGACCACGTATGCGCCCCCTTCTACAGAGATCCTTGGAATTACTGTCGCCACAAATCACCCAATACGATGACGAGCTATGGATGGACTTTATCAAGCGCGACATCCCCCAGTGGGACGACTACGATCTGCCGGAACATTCTGATTGCTGGTATGAGATCTATTGCAATCTCCGGGATAGTGTTCAGAAATCCGTCGACGAAGATGCCGAGAGGATGAAGATGGCCCTGGATGGTATCAACTCGGAACGCGCGAAGCACAGTGCCAAGTTCGTCACCGACCGACGGGTGCTACCCCTCCCCCGAGAACGACCAACAGTTAGACAGCGGTATGCGATGTACGATCGGAAAAAGGGTGGCGTCGCGCCAGTCTACTCTCCAAGATCTGGCTTCAGTTCGAGCGATCCGTTTGGGCCAAGAAACGACACGAAGAAGAAGAGTAGCATCTTCACGGCGACCAAGCGGAACACGGCGCTGGCGGTCCCAACGCAGCACCTGAATAATCGAGCCACACAGGTTCGACAGGCCCCACGGTCGCTAGTTGACGAGCACCGGCGACCGATCGAAAGCCCTCCGCCCACTCGGCGGAAAGAGTCGCCTGCCATGATCGCGCCCGGCCGGTCGAGATACCACATCAGTCCCAGCACCAGCAGAGGACCCACCCCTGCGATGACGCCAAATCTGCAAGAGAGAGAAGCAAGGTTACGGAAAATCGCCGCGGGTAAAAAGCCAATACCTTCTCCTGCTTCACGCCCGCAACCTTCGCTCGCTCAAAGCTCAGCTTTTACGAAGAAAGATGTCAAGTCAGATTCTCGATCGCGACCGTCTGCGCCCAGCAGATCTACACATACCACTACATCAACCCCCCGGGCGGATCATTCGTCGACACAGGCACAGTCTCCCCCTCGACAGGCCCAATCCCCCCCTCAACAGGCACAATCCCCCCCTCGACCCGTCATGGCCCGGAAGCGACCCGCTCCAAGTGTATTCATACAGCCGAAGAAGAAGAGGGTGACCTGAGAGTACATACATAACCCAACAGCATTTGACATATGGTGTTGGCGTGACTGGTTCTGGTGTTTTGGCGACTGTCATTTACTATTTTGGTTTGAATTCTTCTTTTTGTGATTTTTTCCTTTTGGTCTAGAGCTAAGGCGCATTGGCATTGGACTTTGGAGTCGGGTCATCATTATTTCTTTTTGACAGGGTGCTTGTTTCCCGTGGGTGGTTATACTTGGATAAGGTATGGAGTAGACAGACAGTACAAGGATAGCACATACATATCTGCACCTTCTCTCTAGATGGTGAATACACCAGTCAAGTCTATCTTTATTCCCAAGCAAGGCAAATACGATGTACGGCAACCTGATCCTCAGTATGTAATGTATGAAACATAGTCTGATATTACCGCACCGACGACGGACGACTCCCCCAGAGAGTTCAGGAGACCAGCCTGAGAGCTCAAGACAAGGCAAACATCATCGCTTATTCAAACTGGACAGTTGTTTCTCATTCACGAAACAGACGCTTGCTTCCTAACTCCACGATCCCCACCTAGCCACCCATGATTTATCCCCCCCACTTCCCTGCCCTTCCACCCCGTAGTTATTCGTATACGTCCTCAGTAGCTCGTGCTCATCCACAGTCAACAATGAACGAACCGAAAGACTTAAATGCCACCCCGAAGAGCAAGAACCAAATGTAACGTTGCGCCGCCTTCCAGGTTGTATTCTGAGGCGGTCTTATCGTCGGCCCTATTGTAGAAAGAGAGTGAGAGTCAGCCTCAGCACAGAGAAGTGTATGAGAGGAATATGGGAGGTATGTACATCTGCTTTCCGCCGAAAATCAGACGCTGCTGGACGGGTGGGATGCCCTCTTTTTCTTCGACGCGCTCTTTTATCCGGGAGACCTGTGTGTAGGGTTCTGTGTTAGTTGTGTTTTTCTTTCCTTGTTGTTGAAAGGAGGAGGAGATGGTGGCAGTTCAGCCTTGTGGTGGGTGTGATGAGGCTCGTGGGAGATGGAGGGAGAGGGCTGGCTGCGACGCGACCAGATCTCTGTCTATCGTGGGAGGTAGAGAGGTAGGTAGACAGGTAGGTAGGTAGTACCTTATAGTCGGGCTCGATATCCAGCTCGATTTCCTTGCCGGTCAGGGTACGGACTCTGCGTGCGATCGGGTCAGCGTTCTATTTGAATCCGGATATGGCTGATTCGGGATGGTATATGGTATGGGGGGGTTGACGGGATCGGCTTGTCGCGCCGGAGTCGGAGGTCAGGGATCGAACTCACTTGATCAACATTGTGGGAGTGGAAGTGAGTGGTTGTCACGACAGAGGTAGAAGGAAGAGTGGGAAATGCGATGGAAGGGAGTGAGATGACGGTGGTTGACTGACAGATGATGATGACGGCAAGCTTGCTCCATTCATTTGCTTGTCGTTGCCTTGGTGGGGTTGGTCGGTTTTGGTGGGGCGGGGTTGGTTTGCTGCGGTTGGTATATAGCTTTGGCCTGGTTTCTTGCTGTACTTTTATTATTGACTTCTTTGGCTTGAGTAGATAAGTAGGACGATTTTATAGAATTCTGTCTTCAAGTGGCTTCCATCTAAACTGTTTGTTGACTACTTTGGTGTTGGTCGGATATCCCTTCAGCGCATAATTGCCTTCATGATAACACGGCATTAACTACAAGCAATCTACAGCAACAAAATGGCCACAACCAGCTCCAACAATGCAGAACTGGAAAAGATAAACCTATTTGACCAGCTTCTCGTCGAGAGCCAGCATGACCCGGTATCTACCCTTCCACAGTGTAGAAGTATTGAACGAAGTCTAACCATCACCAGAACCAGCTACAAGAGCGATACGAAAACCACCGGTCCCATCGAAATGCCCAGTACCGGACGAAGCTCCTGAGCCCTGCCTTTCCAGGCTGGCAAGCCGACGAGATCCTCAGCAAGCTGCATTCACAGACGACCAACCCAAACCACAGCCATGACGCGCCTTTCATTGACCCCCGGAATAACTTGAACATCTACGCCCGACCACCGCAGCATATCCGAGACTTGGTGGCCGAAGTACAGCGAGAGATCAAGCAGGTGGCTCCAAGTGAGTGAGACAACTCAGTCTACACGACCAGATCGAAGCGGATTGCTAACGGCGGATAGCAATTTGGGTTACACCTCAGAATTACCTGCACATGACGGTGCTGGAGATGGCCAGCGGCCGAACGCCATCGGAGATTGACTCTCTCCACGCCCACCTAGAACGGAGCGGCGTTTTGCCCGAGTTGCTTGACTACCCCTTGCACCATCGGACACGGCTGGTCAAGCCGACCGTCAGCTACGACGACACGGCAATGGCGCTGAGCTTTCTTCCCACTGCTGGGGTGGAGGGGGATTCTAGCCCGATAGATGACAGATATACCTACCACCACCTGCGACGAGACATGTACGGTCGCGTGACGGCTACCGGTCTGCAGATGACGCCCCGGTATATCCATCCTACCGCACACATCACCATCGCCCGGTTCGTCACCCACGAAGGGTTCCACACTGGGGATGTTGTTGATCGTAAGCAAGTGGCATCTTTGGTGGACAAAATCGAGCAGATTAATAGGGGCCTTCGAGAGAAATATTGGCCGGTCAATGACGGGTTTATGTCATCCACCAAAGCAGTCCCCACTGAATGGGTGGTGTGTCATGAGAAAGGGTTGGAACTGTGTAAAGGAGCCTGTTGGTATGGAGGGGGAGAGACAGCACTCCAGGGAACAGCACTTGATAGATGAGAACATCGGAAACCCCATTAGAACCAACATTAATATCAAAGATCTAGAGTTAGACTCAAGTTGTTGAGTGTAGGATGACTGATGTAATGCCTGAGGTGTTGATCCTAAAAGGGTTAGGCGGCACCCGAATAGGGCCTAAGCGAAGAGAAATCCCACACAACCAACCCACAGCCAGCCCGACCTATTCGAACCCTCTCCGACAAGAGACAACCATCGACCAGCACCGTTGCGATCCGGCCAAGTCAGTCAAAATGGTAAGGATGATATCCCTTGATTCTTCAGTTAAGACTGTTTTGTCTCTATTTTCTGCGTCATCGGAGAGATACCTCGAGAGTGCGGCATTTTATCATGGGAGACGATGTTCGGTATATGATCACGACCTGGGGGCGAGAGGCTGTTTAACGACCATACTTTTCGAATGAGAGCGACGCGGAAACATTCTTTTATTATTAGTCGGGCGACAGAGAAGGGGAATGAAGCATGCGATGCGATGAATTGGGTGCTTTTTATTTTCCAGCGACATTCTCGAATATGCCCATGCCAAGTCCGCACCAGGCCAGACACACTGTGCGACCGGTATTAGGGAACAGGGAAAAATTGCAAACCACCGAACGTCGACACCGCTGCCCCCATCTATACTTGGCGATCCGAACCCATGAACCAGACTGCTCTCTCGACGATGAAGATTTCTCCGATGCACAGAATATGGAAGACGGATGGCACGAGACGTCTAGGCGAAATTACTCCCACAGAAGGCTGATCTTGTCTCCCTCGCAACCAGGTCAACGTTCCGAAAACCCGCCGGACGTACTGCAAGTCCAAGGACTGCCACAAGCACCAGCAGCACAAGGTCACCCAGTACAAGGCTGGCAAGGTGAATACCACCCATCTCGGACACCCCGACACGAGCGAACACCCATGCTGATTTGGATGTTTTACTATAAAGGCCTCCCTGTACGCCCAGGGTAAGCGTCGTTACGACCGAAAGCAGAGCGGTTATGGTGGTCAGACCAAGCCCGTCTTCCACAAGAAGGCCAAGACCACCAAGAAGATCGTCCTGCGTCTCGAGTGCACTGCCTGCAAGGCCAAGAAGCAGCTTTCTCTGAAGCGCTGCAAGCACTTCGAGCTTGGGTATGTTTCCATACCCCGAATTCTTGAATCAACCGATACTGATTGTTCTGCAGTGGTGACAAGAAGACCAAGGGTGCTGCTCTGGTTTTCTAGGCGCGTGATTTTCTTGTTTGGCTCTGGGTTCCCTGCATTGCACTCCCTGCTACTCCGGCGGCGGGCATATGACTTTGGCAATGGAGAAAATGAAATAGTATTTCATATCAAGAAAGAAAAGAATAAATGACTTCCAGTTGATGATTTTATCCATTATCCATCTAGTAGAACGATTTGCGCTCTGGGTATAGAGATTGTCGATCGGATTTAGATCAACTCATGATACGGGCTGATCGTTCTGTACTCCGTACTTGATCTATCATTATCCCATACCCCAACCCACCTGGTACTCGTGTAGACTGGCGATCGCGGATAATACTCGGCTTCCCTGCCCATACCTGCAGTCCTGCGCCACCATTCCACGCTTATATACTTTCTTCCATTCATCTATCTGCATGACTATGACGGTCTATCAACAAGTCCAAAGAATACTCTCCCACCTATGTATAATTCATAGATCCTCTCAAAAGACGTAAGGTGGAGACAACAGCCAAGCTCACTGCGGGGAAACAACACCCTAGATTCCTCCCTCCAGCAAGGGACCCTAACCTTCCCCTGTTGGGCTCGTCAATCCTCATCCCGTCCCCGTGGGGGTCGGCCCTCCTCCGAGAGTGTTGTCCAATAGTTGATGCAATATCCGTGTCTATCGCCATCCACCCTCGGCATGGTCTGATGGGTCTGGTTGGTGTATAAATACTGACAGGTCGGTTATCGTTCGGAGGGTCTGCTTTTGGTGATTTGTGATTTGTATCTTTACTTCTATCTTCTGGTTGGAGAAGCAGGACAATATGGCTGGCTGGTACGCTCTTGGGGTCGCTTTTTTTGCGGCCATCGGGACATTTCTTTTTGTAAGGACTGATTCCCTCGTATTGTCTGGTTCACTTCTTACTTATGATGATATGACACAGGGCTTCGATACGGGAATCGCGACTACTAGTACGTGTGCATGAGAACAGTTAGTTGGGACGCATGACTGAACTTTCCTCCAGCCATCGCCCATCAAAGCTGGATCGATTATATGGATAACCCATCCAAGGGTTTGACGGGTGCTGTATGTGACCGCACCTGCGTTGGCCTGCGACGTATCATCTAATCGATGTAGGTCGTCGCGGTGTATATTGCCGGCGAAGCGGTCGGCGCGCTCACGCAGACGTTAATCGCGGATCGACTGGGCCGTCTGCGCTTCATGGAGCTCATGTGCGTGGTTGTCACGATCGGGACTGTCATTCAGACTGCCTCTGTTAATATCGGCATGTTCCTCGCGGGCCGTGTGTTGGCTGGTTTTGCTGTTGGGTGAGTCTGCCTCATCCCACTGGGATACAGTTAATGCCTTGAAGCGACATTTTTCAATCAAAGGATGATGTCTAACAGAAACAGAGGCATGGTCGCCACAGTCCCCATCTACCTCAGCGAGATCTCAGACCCCCGCTACCGCGGCCTCATCGGAGGCATCTCCGGGTGCGGAATCTCCTTCGGAACAATGGCCTCCAACTGGGTCGGCTACGCCTGCAGCTTCGCCCCGTACGGGCCGGTCCAGTGGCGTCTTCCTCTGGGCATCCAGATACCCTGGGGCATCATCATGTTCTTGGGGTTGATCACCTTCATGCCTAATTCCCCGCGCCATCTGATTCGGCGGGGTTTGATTGAGCAGGCGCGCAGCGAGTTCAGCCGGATTCGGCGGGATCTGCACTCGGATGATGTGCAGAGGGAGTTTGCGGGGATGTTGGCGCAGATTGAGTATGAGAAGGAGAGGGAGATTACCTCTTATCGGGAGATTTTCCGTGTGTTTAGACATCGGGTGCTGGTGTGAGTGGTTTGATTTGGTTAGTTTCGAGGGCGCTGTGCTGATGAGATATAGGTCTATTGCTGTGCAGACTATGACTAGTTTGACTGGTGTCAATGTTATCCAGGTGAGTACTATTCTTCCCTTTTCAGAGGAATCTTAGAGAGACTCTAGGGAACTATAGAGACTAAGTCAGGACGTGCGCAGTATTACCAAAGTAAGCCTTCTCTTCTCCATCCTGATATTCAGTGTCTGACAAACTCCAGCAATCCTCTATAAATCCCTCGGCATCGGACCCCACGGGGTCCTCGCCCTGGCGGCTGTGTATGGGACGATAGCCTTCCTCGTGAACAGCCTCACTACCAAATACCTGACAGACCAATGGGGGCGTCGCAAGTACGTCCTCCATCTCTCTTCACCCTCCATCTTGTTTTTTTTTTTCACTGACAGCCCTGGAAATCCAGAATGATCCTGTCCGGATTAGCCGGGATCGTCGTGGTTGAGATCTACGCCGCTGTGATGCAGCGCGAGTTCCAACATACTGATAACCGCGTGGGCAAAGGGTTTGCCATTTTGGGGATTTACCTGTTTGTTGTTGCGTACTGTGAGTGGATGCCTTGGCCATTGATTAGAAAAAGGTATATTGATGGATCGTTATAGATGGTATGCTCAACAGCACGACCTGGCTCTATGGAGCTGAGGTCCTCCCCATTGCGCTCCGAAGCAAAGTGATGGGGTTGGCAGCGGCGTCTCACTTTATAGTCAATGTTGCCAGTGCGTCCCCTCTCCCTCACCTATATATTTAGATATATAGGAGAAACAGAAAGGAAAAAGCTGACCACTATATGAACAGTCACGGAAGCCGGCCCCAGTGCGTTTGCCAATATCCACGAAAACTACTACTACGTTTTTGTCGTTTGCTCGGCTTTCTTTCTGGTTGTGGCTTATTTCTATTTTCCGTATGTTATCCCCTATCTACCTGTCTATGTCTTTATGTCTACTGTGTTTGGGGAAGGAAACTAACATCCAATAGGGAAACAAAACAAAAAACCCTAGAGGAAATCGCCGCCTCATTCGGGGACAAAGTGGTGGAATCCGACGAGACAGCGAGCCGAATGCGAGATGACATGGGGAGCCCAAAGCCTGGGGAGGAACGAGTGGAGGTGATAGGTTGATTTATCCAATTATTTGATTTTGTTTGGAATTCGGGTTTGTGAGTTAGGGCAGACTACGTAAGATGAGGTTTAGTCTAGGATAGTGGCGGGAATAGTCGAGCCATGATGACAGAATGACGACGATGCCTTTTTTGTCTTACAATGAGTAATGGTGGCCGTTATACAGCATCATTTGTTTTCTCATCAGGTATTCAATATTGTATCTTATGTAGATGTAGATATTGTATTGATTGATATTGGGCTTATAGATAGTACCTTAGGGAGCCACCCGTTCTATACCATGGTAGCATCGATCCCACGCATCGATATCCATAAACCGTGGAACCCCCCAAGATCTCCCCACATGATCAGTATAGATACAGATCAAAGACTGAATCGACTGATGACGGGCAAACCGGGCGCAGCCTCACCAACCAGGTTGCGCCTTGGAGGGTTATGATGAATGAATGAATCAATCTGTCTTTTTTTATATAAGTCTTTCTTCTCATCTTCTGCCTTTTTGATTTTCTACCTTTCATATTCTATCTGTCTTCTATCTATCTTCTATTTGTCCTCTATACTCTTCTGTTTGTCTATTGCTTCGATATTTTGATTGATATCTATCTATCAAAGAAGATCTCCTTGTTTGTAAGGCTAGAACACTCACGTGGTAAGTCATATCCTGAGGCTCTCTCTCTTCTTTTCTTTCTTCTTCTTCTTCTTCTTCTTCTTCTTCTCATCCTCAACTTCGTCTCATTTTCATCTCATCTTCATCTCATCTCCATCTTCACCTTCGTATCTCCATCTTCATATCTTCCATCATTACATCACCCCAGCCACTCATCATCATCCCTCTAGTGTCATCTTACTGTTGCCTTCCCCCCCCCACTACTAGTAGTGGCAAATAACACGCCTCCAATCGCCCGTGTTGCATCATCGCTGCCCTCTCTTTGCTTTCTCTCTCACTCTCGTCCATCTCTGCCTGTCTATAATTTACCCCTATCTATTCATCTCTCCATCCTTACTCCTACTGTATCGTGTTTGTATCCAACCACATCGGAGCGGTGGTACACTTCATCCAACCCATTTCATCCATTCCTTGGCCTGGTTCCAGCTGTACCACGAACCCCGCTCTCCACCTACTTCCCTGTTGCCCCTCTCTAGTGTCTTGTCCTGTCTTCCACTACCCTTTCCCCTCCTTCGCTTGTTCATCTTGTCCCACTCTCTCACTCTCGTCATCTTCCCCTCGCCTCCTGTAACACCATCCCTACGACTCATCCACCACCCTGCTCTAAAACATGTCATACATCTACAGAGAACCCGACCGGGATCGAGACTGGGACGAACCTCGTTCCGCCGTCTCTGTCAAGCGCTACGTCATCCCCTCGGACGACGACCGAGATCGAGACCGCGACTTCTTCCGTCGTCGAGACAACTCCGATCGTGATCTGGTCATCCGTCGCTCCGACGATCCCATCATGGCTTCGCGCTACGAGCGTGACTACGACTCACGCCCCTACTCCGAGAGGGACTACTACGAACGTGAACGTGAGTACTCTGAGTACCTTGACCCCGATCGTCGCACCTCGGGGTTTCGGGAGGGTCACCCGGTAATCGTCAATCAAGGTCCCGTCTACGTCCACCCGCGCGAGTCCGACTACGAGATGGTCCAACGGTCCGAGATAGATCGCGATCCGGCCTACTCGTATCACCGCCGGGCCCGCGACTACGACGACGACCGTCGGTTCCGTCGCGAGCTGAGCCCCAGCGACTCCGTCTCCCAGGCCACCCGTCGCCGGGACGACCATGGTTACAGCAGCGACGACAGCATGGTCTACGTTCGCAAGGATGGCTTCGACCATGAAGACCACCCCAATCATCACCGTCACATGGCGGAGGGCGCCCTGGTCGGCGTCGGTGCGGCCGAGTTGCTCCGCCAGCGCCGGAAGAAGGACGGCAAGGAGGAGGAGTCTGACGGTTTGGGTCGCATCGGACGCGATGTCGGCGCCGGGGCCCTGGGCGCCGTCGCCGTCAGTGCCGCCTCCCGCGCGCGGGACTACTACCGCAGTCAGAGCCGCCATCGCTCCCACTCCTTCGACGAGGACCGCCGCTCCCGTTCGCACCGTCGCCATCGCCACCGTCATTCGCACAGCCAGTCGCGCCACGGCCGCTCCCACTCGCGTTCCCGCGCGAGGACCTTCGCGGAACTGGGCCTCGGCGCCGCCGCCATCGCCGGGGCGGTCGCCTTGGCCCGCAAGAAGTCGACTGACGACCGACGCAGTCGCTCCCGGCACCGTCGGTCCTCCGCGTCCCGCGCCGACCACGCCCCCGGGGACGAGACCCGCAGCCGCTCCCAGGCGCGCAAGCACATGGCCGGCGCCGGCCTGGCCGGGGCCGCCGTGGCGGGCCTGGTGGACCGAGCCCGCAGCCGCTCGCGTCCCCGCCACCGCTCGCGCTCCCGCTCCCAGAGCCGGCTGCGGCAAGTGCTCCCGATCGCCGCTGCCGGGTTGGGCACTGCCGCTGCCACGGGTCTGTACGAGAAGAACAAGGAGAAAAAGGACCGGAAAGAGTCACGGCATCGGGAGCGACGGCACTCGCGTTCCCGCTCTCGCAGCCGGGCGCCGTCCGAGCCGTACTATTCTGAGGCCCCGCGGGACTCAACCGGTCTGATCGAGTACGGCGAGGACCCGGTTCACGGCAGCATCCCCGCGGCCGACTACTACGGCCGTCCCACGGGCCCACACGGTTCCTACCCCGACTCCTCGCGCCACCGCCATCGTAGTCGCAGCCGGGGGCGGGGTCGGCAGCACAGTGGGAGCTCGTCTGACTCTGACTCAGGTAGACGTCGCAAGCATCGCAGCCGCTCCCGCAGCGTCGCGGAGGCGGCGCTGGCCGCCGCCGGGGTCGGATACGGCGCCCACAAATACTCACAGCGCAAGGACCGCAAGAAGGCCGAGAGGTCTCGGTCTCGACCACGTTAGTAGTCTTCTTCTTTCTCCTCTCTCAACCGACCCGGCAACTGACAACTGGTTCCGTATAGGGTACGATGATGACGGACGCTATGACACGCACGATGACCCGTACTACTCGGAGCCCTATTCACCCTATTCGCCCCCTTATTCGTCTTCTCCCCCGGTGCGATCGCCCATTGACAGCCACGCCTATCCCAATGGCAGCCCTTTCCCGCCGCCTCCTGGCTCCGCACCCCGTCCGGCCGGCAGCGCCGCCCCATATCACCCGGGCGAGTACTATCCGCCTCCACCGGGCGCAATCCCTCCGCCAGGGGCGGTCCCTCCACAGCCTGCGTACGCGGGGCCTCCTCCCGGCGGGCGGGAACCATATGCGCCTCGGCCGCGGCGGGCCGATGACAATGTGAGTACCACAGGGCCGATCCCCCCCGCTGCACCCCAACACACAAACGACGGTGGGTCCTGGGACGACGTCGCTCCATGACTAGGTACTGACAGGGAACATTCAGGTCTAAAACCCCCGCCGAGATGGATTCCCCGTACCCGAACCGACCGGAAGCGTAGACGGCGCGGCACCAGTCAACCGCCTCCGCAGTCAAAGTCAGTTGCGTTCGTGGAACCGGGGTACGAAACGGACGATAGCGACGTCACCGTGGACTGGAGAAACGACCATCCCCGGCGACGCAAATCTGACCGGCGTCGCCGCCACTCCTCGTCCGAGCATCATGCCTCCCGGCCAGATCGCCCCCCCGATCATGACCAGGACCCGTCGTCCGACTCCGACTCGACCATCGACCTCCCTGACCGATTCGACGCGCACGGTCGACTTCTTCCCCAGCCGGGAGACGATCCACTGGCGGATCAATTCCAAGATCTGTTACGGGGAATCAACCGTGCATTTGCTTGATTTGTTATCTGTTTCCTGATTGTTTCTTAATTGTTTCATGACCTCATTTCTTGATGTTATTGACGACCTAGATGGCTACTGCTTTGTTTTTTTTAATGTGGTTTAATGCTTTGATGATGCACGAACGAAACGATATAAAATCGATAATGATGTTTTACGAGAGAGGATAGTGTGTTTTGTTTTGGATGTTATGATTTGATGTTAATGATTGATTTTATAATGATATATGTCTGTTTGATATTTATTTCACTTGAATAGAATGATACTTATGCTTTGGATTATCTGTTAGACAGGAACTAGCAACAGGACTGTACGTACGTAGCTTATATTCAGTACTGCTAGCGAGTTAGTACTCTGGGTTTATGCTGAGGTATAGCTAGGTATAATATGGAAGAAAGAAAGAAAGAAATACTACACCGTATTAAGTGAGGTAGACACCTAGTATCGAAGCTACGGGAACTATGAATGAAATAATTATCATATGAGACGACGAATATGTAAACCGAGATACACCACATCTCTCTGTACGGTATTGTATCTATTTGAAAGCAAAGTAAAAGGAAGACGCCATACCAATGCCATACACACAAATACACACACACATATACATAAAGAAAGAAAAATATGTTCATTCATTTCATCTGCCATACCATGCTATGCCATGCTATTTAATCTTTTTGAAGGCCGTTTTCGTGGATAATACTTGTTCAGATCGTTGTCACGTATCAATTGAGATAAGGAAAGGTAGGGTGGGTGGGGTGGATGGACTTGAGTGAGGGTTGAGTTTGAGTAAGGGGAAGGAGGAGGAAGAGACAAAGGGAATGGATGATGACGATGAGCGAGGGAGCGGTTGAGTTGGAAGGTGGGTGTGGAATAAGTGAGGAAGTGATAAGAAGTGAATCGGCGCAGATGGGGTATACAGTACGGTACAACAAAACAAAACAAATAAACAACATCATCATTATCAATGACAGGATTCAGCAGGCAAGGCGGATCAAGCCAGGAAAACCCGGGCGGTTCGGCCAAGGACGTCTCGCACGGAGTCCAGCGCGGAGGGTGCCGGTGGGTTCGACCGTCTGGACACATGAGTCGACATGAGTACTACCGTGTTATTCGAGTGGGGATCGTGGTCAGGATCCTCGTCCCCCTCCCCGTCCCCGCCCTTCCCGTCGGGGATGACCCGTACGCTGGAGCTGATCGACGCCGAGTGGTACCGCGAGCTCAAGGGCAACGGGTACTTGATCACCCCGCGAACAATCAGGTCGAACGGATGCTGGAGGACGCGTTCCCACCGTTCTGTGCCACCTTCCTCGGTCTTGTTGCCCGGCCGCGGGAGACGGATCTGCCCCTTGGATGTAGAGGCGAGGTGATTCCACGGCGACGCCTCGAAGGCCAAGGGGGAGTCAAATCGGAAAACCCGGCCCAGGAGCATCGTCTGGGGATCGCCCGCGGGATCCGAGTCGATCGGATCCGTGCCCTTGTCCACACCGCCGTTCGCCCGCACCATCAGCGTGGGGTCCGTCGGTTCGCCCGCCGTGCCGTTGGGACTGGCGTCACCCCGGACGGTGCGAGCCCGCTCGACGCGCCGCCGGCTCTGCTCGGGGCGGGGAAGGGAATCCCCATTCGAGCCGATATCCCGCCAGAGCGCGTCGGACCCGACGAATCGGCTCTTGGCGAACAGATTGACGTCCATGTCGTCCACGGTCACGGGGAACAGGTTGAGGTTGACGGCCTGCACGCTGAGGTCGAGCATGAGTTCCTGCTCCGAGGACAGCACGTTCTGGATCGCGAGCACCTGCACATCCACCAGGGGCTTGGTGACGGCGATCAGGAAGGTGACCGCCCCGCTCGCCACCAACACAAGCAGCAGACCGACCATGACGCAGAGCCCTGATTGGGAGCAGTACCCGCGGTGCCGTTGCTGCATGTACTCCATCTGGCGCAGGCTGGCGCTGTTGGGGCGCCGGGTGCCGTGGCGACCGCGCGCGGAGCGTCCCACCAACGGCGTGCGTTCGTCGTCGGCCCCCTCCGCGTCGAAATCGTACCCGTACCGGTCCCCGGCGCGCTTGGCCGCGTGCAGCGAGCGGTAGCCGGGATTCGGGCGGGTTCCCACGGGGCGGGACGCCCGAATCCCGTTGCTGGGAAAAAGGCGCGGCGACTTGGCGCGGTTGGTACATGGCGGGGACGCGGCGCCGTCCCCGTCGAAGAGGGACGGATACAGGGAGTTCCGGCCGTACCGACCGAAATGATGGTGACGTGCCGTGTGGCTGCCGCTGCCGTCCATCCGGGAGCTGCGAGCGCTCTCCTCCCCAGGATCGCCGTCGGTGGTGCTGTACACGTTGTTGGTGAACTTCATGCTCCGTTTGCCCGTGACGCTGTGGCCGGCATCTCGCAGCGGGCGCCCCACCCGGCCGGCCAGCTGATCTGCCTGACTGGCCATGGAGGTGGCACTGGGGGTGCGGGAGTGGTAGCGGTGCTGGCGGACCGGGTAGGGGTCGGGGGGGTTGGACTCGTAGACGAAGGTCTCGTCGGAATCGGAGACGTCCGCCTCGTCGACGGCGGTGGCGACCTTGGCCTCGAAGAAGTCGGCCTTAGAGGACGGGGCGCCGCCGGAGAGTGCAGCGGGCTTGCGGGCCCGGCGTTTCTCTCGCTTGGGGCGAATGGTCTCCGTGCTGGGTTTCATCCGCAGGGTGCCGGCGGCATCGCCCCGGCCGGCACTGGTCCGATCACCCGTGGCGACGCCCAAGGAGACCTGGGGGATGGAGCTGACGGTCTCGGTCTCGACGATCATGTTGCGCACGGAGCCGTCGGTGGGTTTGGGCCGGGGCCCACTGGGGGCGCTGAGGGACGTGGACGACCGTTTCGGGAGGAGGGTGTCGGCCCGGTTCGAGGCGGACGAGATGCGGCGCCGTTTCTCGGCCGATTGTTCGGGGTCTCTGCCGCCGCTGTCGCTGCCACTCTCAACCGGGTGCTTGGCGGCGGACGGTGGGGTGGCATCCTCCTCGATACTGTGCAGGTCCGGCTCGCGGGGGAGCGGCTGGTTCAAGACCGTCTCCGTCGAGGGCGTCGACTGATCGCTAGCCATCTCCTGGACGGTTTCCAGGGCGGAGCCGGGCGCCGCGGGACTTCGGTTGACCGGGCGAGGCCCGCTCCGATCGGACCGACCGGCTGGCTCCTCGGGGGCCGTTCGTTTGCTCGACGTGTTGGCCATATTCGGCTCACTCTCCACTTTCCGCGGAGAGCCCCACAACGGCATGTTGGATTTATCCGGGCTGGGAAGGTCGGGAGACGGTTCGTCATGGGTAGGCGGGGAGAGGACAGGAGGCTTGTTGGGGGTCTGGGAAGATGCTCGCGGCGCAGCGGGTGTGGCGGGCACTGGACCTGACGAAGCGGTGGGAGCGGTGGCGGAACGATGGAGACTGCTGCGCTCCTGACTGCCTTGGCGGGAGAGAGACGGGATGCGGGATGTTGTAGTGGAAGGATGCGGACGTGAGGAGGCGCGGACGGGGGAGGATTCGCGAGAGGAAAAGGCGGAATTGGTGGCCGAGGGAGGACCGGAGATGGCGTGCAGGCTTTTGGGCATCGGCGAGGCATGAGCTGGTTGAGGGTGAGATTTCACGGATGAACGTGTCCGTTCGACCATGCCGCCCTCCTGGGCCGATCGCCGCGAGGCAGACGAGGCCACCTCGTCATCGTGAGCGATGCGGGAACCAGCGAGACCGTGGGGGTCAGGCAACCTCTCGGACTCCGCCATGATCAGACCGTCGAGTCAGGATGGGCAGACCGGACGGTGAGAAGCCAGCAAATCCGAGAGGGGACCGGACGGGAGAGAGAAAAATCAAACCAAATCAAAGAGGATCACAAGGTGAATCCCGAGAGTGAAAGACAGGGGAGAAAACCCAAATCAAAATAAGAATAGCAAAAAAAACAAAGAGAAAGGATTCGTCGTGCCAGGGGCGGTTAGGAACCAGCTCAGCGGGCGACGAATCTTTCCGTCACACGAACGAGGTTGTTGTTACACGGGAAGCCAGAGCGGAGGACGAATGGCCAACAGCCACATGCTGACGAGGGGAAGATCAAGCGGGAGAGCGAGAGAGAGGGAGGGAGAGAACAGGATCTGCCAGGAGCACTGCACGCTGCAGCGGATGAAGTGGTTGCGGGATTGACGGAGAGCAAGGATCCGAAGACTACCGACTAGGAAGAAGACGGTGTGGTGTAGGCGCCGTCGAGAGAACGTCTAGAACGAGTCCGAGACAGCCGGTCGACCAACGGGGAAACGGGCGCCGATCGGTGGTGGAGAGAAGCGCACAGAGAAAAGAATAAAGAAGAGGGGAAAAAGGACCTAGGAAAGGGCAAGAATGGGTCCGTTGTCAGCCCGTGTGTCAGACGCAAGGCATCGCACGAACGAACCAAGTGGAGATGTTGAATCGAGAGTCAGGATACAATATCAAATCCAGAGCAAGACCCCACGAGTAGACCAATGAAGGCAGCCCACGTCAAAGGGCGCCGATGAACGAACTAGGTCTAGGGTGGTGGGCAGTGGATGAGAATCGGGCCAGAATCACCAGCTCCGGCCTGGAGATTGCTTGTTCGTGCAGACGGTTGAGAATTGGTCAGGATGGACCGATTACCGACATTGAGAATGAAATTGAGGATGAAGTTGAATGTGGAGAAGACAATAGATGGAGGATGGAGAAGAGAAAGTGAAGTTGACGTTGAGAAGAAGAAGAAGAAAGTCCGAGGTTGGATATCCCGTGACCGGTAATTACCAATACGGTCATCATGACCTCATCATATATGTTCTTTCTCTTCTTCCTATCCATATTGAACTCTACTCCATACAATCTATCCTATAGAACTGATATCTACATCCTGATGAGTGCCACACAAGAATCCAGCCACAAATCCAGACAGGTTCATCCTTCTACAGAAACAGGGACAGAGCCTGCCAAACCACCAGCGCCATGACATCACCCACACAACTCCCGAACCGGGCAATATCCATGAAAATAACAATAGAAAGAAATAGGAAATAAAGATAGAATGAAAATAAAATCAAGATAAAATAAGATAAGATAAATTCGTTCATGGTCATCGGTCATCGGAATCGACCATCATCGTCGATCATCGTCATCGTAATTCCTCACACAATCTTATAGACGCGTTTGGCAATGGAGAAGGAGGCGAGGGCAAACAGGATCAACCCACCGGTGACTGCAAAGACCTTAGGTTAGCATGGTGGGATTATACCGACGATCGCTGGGATAAGCTTACTCGAGTAGAACCATGACAGACTATCCACGTCTTGACCTGGCACCTTGACGTTCATCCCCCACATGCCGCAGATGATGTTCAGCGGCAGCACGATTGTACCCAGCACCGTCAACTTGCCCAGCACGTCCGCTGTCTGCTCCTGACGCTCGTTCATCAGGATGTTGATCTGCGCCAGGTAGTTGGAATGCGCACGCGACAGTAGTCTAGACGGTCAGCATCCATCACCCAAGAAAAATGAAAACAAATACAAAGAGTACATACGTCTCGTAATAGGTCAGACTGCTGGTCATCGTCATGAGGTGATCCTGAATATCACCCAAGTACAAGCCAATCTCCGACTTGGGCGCCACCTCCCACTGCTCGTTGCACCGCTTGGCGAACCCCTTCACCACGTCGGCCTTGTTGCTGAGCAGCCGGTACATCCCCATCACCTTCTTCCGGCAGATCCCCACCCGTCGCAGCATCTCACCCGGCGTCAGCGATGGCGGAACCCGGTCCGCCTGCGTCGCCTTCTCCTGCTCCCGGTTGCTGCTCAGGTCCGACGGGTGCATCTGCATGATCTTCCCATCAATCTCATCCACCTCGTCCTCAATCGCCTGGATCAGCGGCCCGAACACGTCCGTGATGTCGTCGATCAGCGCGTACGAGATCCAGTCCGAGCTGAGGATCAGGTAGTCCATCAGCTGCCGGATCCGCCGCCGCACGTTCGCCGGGTGTGGCGTCTGCGAGAAGTGGAAGGACAGCACCCCCTCCCGGAAAACCACCACGTACATGTTCACCGGCTGCAGGTACTGCTCGCTGTTCGGGTTCTGCTCGAACGTCCGGTAGTTGACGAAGTAGTAGTGCCGGAACAGCTCCACCTTCTCCCGTGCCTCCTGCATCATGATGTCCTCCGCCGTCAGCGCGTGGATCCCAAACGCCTTGGCGATCACCCGCATCTCCGCGTCCGTCGGCGACAGCACGTCCAGCCAGAACGTTGGCCGCGGCCCGTACCGCTTCGGCTTGGCCGTCCCCGGCCGCCGCGACGGCGACGCGTTTGCCGATGTGCGCGCGTCCGAGAACGCTTCGCTGATAACCGACGGTCGCCCATTCAGTTTGCCGTCGGGGCCGAGAGGTTCGGCGGGGTGATGGAAGTGATGGTGGTGGTAGTGGTGATGGTGGTTGTTCGGGGCATCGCCCAGGCCCGACATGCTGGCCCGCGGGTGCTCGGGGACCGGCGCCGGCTCGTCCGGCCCCGATTCCAGGTCGTCGTCGTCGTCGGACGACACATCCAGTTCGGGCGGCTCGGGGATGAACAGCTCCTGGAAGCTCCCGCCCGGCTGCACGAGCTCGGAGATGGTCTGCGCGTGGATGGTGCTCTGCAACTCTTCGTTGAAGTAGGTGAACCGGTAAGGCGCGTCCTCCTCCTCCATCCGCCATAGACGGTACTGCGGCCGCAGACGGCCTTCGACCAGCATCGGCTCGCTGATCTTCTTGGTCCGAAAATCGCCGATGCGCTCCTCCTTCTCCTCGCGACTCCACTCCTCCAGGACGGACAGGTCCGGCCACTCCCGGCGACGGCGGCGGTGCCGACGCGGCCCCTCGCGGGCGGGCCGCATCCCTTCCTCCTCCGCCAGCTCGGACGCGGCCTCTGCGGGGAAGCAGACGTCCTCCTCGGCCGGAAAGGTGCGGCGACGATGCAGGCCGTCGGAGCTGTGGCGATGCGGGGAGACAGGTGGGGACGGGGCCGACTTCCGTCTGGGTCGCCGACCCTCGTCATCCACGTCAATCACCATGTCCTGGGGCCGGGTGAGACCTAGGGAGTCCATGCGGTTCTCGATGGACTTGGCCATGGCAAAGTCATACTCGGCGCCCGTCACGACGGCATCATCGTAGCCCATCTCGGGCCCCAGCTTAGGCGACGTGGGCATCGACGGCGGGTTATTCACATCGTAGTCCCGCTCAGGCTCTGGGAACGTCGGACTCGAGATGTTCCGCGGCGAGCGGCGGGAGGAGGTTGTGCGGGTCGACGAGGGTCGGCGGGGGACCGAGAGCTGGCTCGGTTTCTGCTCCGTCCCGTATCGGGGGCGATTGGACTTGCTGCTGGAAGTGGGGCGTATCAATGGGGTGCGATCGTTGACCGTCCCGGCGTCATCGCTCTCGTCGCCCGCGTGAATGACGGTCCTGCTTCCCGAGGGTATATTGCGAGACATCGTCTCGGGACGCATGACTGTCGACGAGGAGCCCGGGCGGAACGACTGAGCCAGCCGACTTTCTCGACGCGGACGCAGGGGCAGCTGGTCTCTACAATGGGAATGGGCGAGGTTAGCTGTCCGGAGCTTCATCTCAAGTCTGGATGGAAATGTTAGTTCCGGGAATGACGTACCGATGATCTAACAATGCCTCGCTTTCCAAACTGGTACTGCTTAAATCCGCGCTGAGCTTGTAGAACGGGCGCGCCGCCTGTGGCTTGGGCTGATCGGCAGCCATGATGTCCAGAGGCTCTGGTTCAGGAACCGACCCAGCTGCAGCACCAGTATGAGAACCCTCGGCGGCCAAGAATGACTGTCGGCGATTGCGGCGCTTTCGATTGCGGTTCTTCTTGCGTTTGGACGTCTTGCTTGGGGTCTGCGGGTCCTCCGGTCTGGCCCCCGCGGTCGCGGCAAAGTCCAGCGTCGTGGATCGGCGACCAGGGCTCGGACGAGAGTCGGTCGGTGGGATTGTGTGTGACGACTGCCCAGCTGAGCTAGGAGTTGGGCGACGCGAATCGGACGACGGACGAGGCATGGTGGTGGCAGGAACAGGCAGACTAGCTCGATCGGTTCGTGACGTTTTCACTGGCCGGGGCGCCGGACAAGTGGTCGTTACGTGTGTTGGACCTGCACCAGATTGGGCTGAGCGCGGCCAATCACTCGCCGTGGGTGGAGGAGGAAAGTCCAAAGAGGAATAAGTACAACAACGAAGCCTCAAAAAAGAGAGGTTATTATGCAGCTAGTCCGAACAAAAGACCGAACATTGTTATGGACAGTTCACAAGGACCCCAGGGCGAGAGGCAGGAAGGAGATGAGCGAATGGGGTGAGTGGCAAGGTACGGTGGGACATGAGGTGCTGCATCCAGCAAGGATAGTCAATGATAAGCACTGGGAGGTGGAGACACGTGTGTGGGATAGATCAGTAATTTCAATGTTGACGCGAAGGACCGGTTGACGGGGAATGGGGTCCACTGATGACTGGAAGGGATGAGCAGAAGAGAAGACAAAAGTGAGAGAATGGAGAATGAGGAGAAATGGAGGAGGAGAATGGAGAAAGGAAGAGAGAGAAAGATGGATTACGAGTCTACGCTGGGGTGCGGCCTGAGGCATCCAATGAGGTCACCGACCATCGATTATACAGTTACATACATATCTCATTTTCCAACAGGATTATAACACAGGATACTGTCAATCCATTCCATTATGCCAAAACAGAGAAAACAGAAAACAGGTAAACATCATGGTCGTCATATCATAATTCTAATAGGCATGGAAACGTAGATGTGGTCATCATCATGAGCATCATCAATCAAATAACAGAAGAAAGGGGGAATAAAAAAAGTAAACAGGAAAAATAGGAAAATGAACTTTTACGGATCGGTCCCCTCGTCAATCATGAACTCATCAAGAATAGAAGCAACATAAAGTGAGTGTGACGCCTCAAATCATATTGCTTCCAGTCATGTCCATCATCGACGACGGGGCGATGCTGTGGACAGACCGCGTGTCAACCGACATGCGATCCCCACTGAGCACCTTGACCACCCGCTTGTCTTTCTCCGGGCGGGCAACGAGGACCTGCGCCGGGCACACGACCACCTCGTCTTCGCCCTCGCCTAGGTCGTTGCCCTTCTTCACCACTAGCGGGAACAGGACGACGCGGACCACGGCCTGCTGGGACTCCAGTTCCTCGTTGGAGGTGGTTTCGCCGCTGCGCTCGTTCATCAGCGCCGCGTTGAAGGAGACCTGTCGCGTGAGATCCCCGTTGGTGTCGTACTCAGGCTGCAGCGGTGGCAGCATGATGTATTCCGCCAGCTGCGTGCGCATCTCGATGGACAGCGCGGCGGCGACGCGCAGCACCTTGCGCAGCGATTCCAGCAGCTGCGCCTCCACGTGAGTGGGCGGGGGCAGGATACGCGACAGCGTCTCAAAGATCTCTAGGGCCACCGCTTCAGTGTCACTCTCCCGCTGGCGGGAGAACGCCGGTCGCTTGGCCAGCAGAGTGAGGGTGGTGGCTCGCCAGCGGTGCACGGCGGTGCGGGGCCCGATCTCGGCCAGCTGCTTCTCCAGCGACTTGAGTTTTTGCCGTTGCTCGCGGTCCATGCCGAAGAGGTAGCGCGTGAAGATGAACTCCCAGACCATCGTCATCACGACCGACATGAACACGTCGCGGCGACGGACACGATCGGTGAGGTAGGAATCCGTGTCATAGCCATCGAGGACGGCGTTGTCGAACCGGTCGGCGATCTTCTCATCCTGAAGGTCGCCCAATTTGCGGCACCGCCGGTGGTCCGAGTGCTTGGAGAAGCGGAGCACCCATTGTTGGATGTGACCGCAGAGCTTCTGGCACGCCGCGTCGAAGTAGTCCTCGTCTCGGAAGACGAGCACACCATCGTTCATTGACGCCGCGATCTGCTGTTGCAGCTCCTGAACCTTATCGCGGGCGCTTTCAAGCTCCTGGCGCAGGCGGCGCAGCTCCTGATTTTTCTGAGACAGGGCGGTCTCGACCTCCTGCCGCACTCGATCTTGCACGGTGGTTGTCAGTTGTTCGTGCTGCGAGCGCAGGTCGCCGAGCTCGCGAGTGGACGATTGTTGCAGGGTCTGGAGCTCCTGGGTATGGGACTGGGTAAGGTCGGTATTGGCGGCGAGGAGCCCGTCATTTTCTTCAGTCAGACGGGCCACTTCTTTCTGGAGCCAGTCCACTGAATTCTGGAGCTGCTCGACCTCCGCGGACCGGTCGCGCAGGTCGGCGTCGCTACGGTTCAGGGCGTTATCGCTTCTGCGACGGGCGACGCTAGTCCGACGCAATTTATCTTCAGCAGCCTCCCGGGCGGCGAGAAGAAGACGGTTTTCGGAAATCAGCTGATCCATTCGAGATTCTAATTCTTGCAGGTGTTGCATGCTGCGACGATGGCGGACGCTGGGTGGGCGGTTAGGCGACCGCGGGGAGCTGGGAGTCTGACCCCATCCCTCCTAGACATTGTCAGTACAAAGAATTCATCCACACAAAGGAAAATAAGATAAAGAACAAAAATAGTAAAGAAAAGAAAAACATACGTAGACGTCGGCCATGTTGCGCAGAGGACGCTTGCCCTTGTCGGTGATGGGGTCGTAGGTGGAGGAAGAAGGAATGCGTTCGAGGTTCAGGTCGGAGGCCGATTTCAATTCGGGGGGCTGGGGTGGGTCCCGTGATTGGGCCCTGGCCTCTTCTTTTTCTTTTCCTTTGCCTTTTTCGTCTCCCTCTCCTTGCGCCTGACTGGTCGCTCGTAGATCTCCACTTGTACTACGCATTGTTCGGCGCAACGATCGGGTGCTGCTGCTCGGTCGAAGGATCGGTGTGTCTTGCAGTTCCGGGGTTCTCGTCCCCACTCGCCAGGGACTAGGACTACCCACTCTGGAGGATTGTCTTGTCTCGCCCTTCGCAGACAAGGGTGATTGTCGGTTCTTGTCTGGTGTAGGCCATTGCTGCCGTGCCATCGCATTGTCCGTAAACTTTCTGACGGGCGTCTCGGGTCGAGGAAGCACATGTTCGGATCGCATCTCCAGGCGGGGCGTGCCGCCTTCTTGATCCGTGGGTCTGGGGCCGTCGGGTTTCTCCACCCGGCCCTCCGGGGTAGTCTCCCTTTCTCTGATCGACTGTAGTGGGGTGTGCGGCGGCGAGATCGCTTCTCCTGGCGGTCCTCCAAAGATCGACGGCCTAGGTGGTGGAGTCCGGGGCTGCTGCAAGCTCGGATCCCCTTTCAGGGACCGTGTTTGCGAGGGGCGGTCCTGCTTCGTAGTCTCCGCCGTAGAATGGACTGGAGTAGATGGTCGTTCGTGTGTAGGTACCGGTGCCTGCAGAGGGGCCTCGTGAGGCGCCTTTGCACCTGAAAAATCGATGGATCGCGATGCCCCGACCGATCGATCGCGCTCCAGAGCACTGCCGGGTCGACTCAGCTGGCTGCTCTCGCCGTGGCGAGCGGTGGCAGTAGTGGTGGGCGCCTCCGAAATCTGAATCGCTTTCGTTTCAGACTCATCCTCAGCCCCATCTTTTACCGACTCCGACCGCTGGGGTGGACTAGGTCGGCGGAACATGCCTCGCTCCAACTCGGGAAAGATGCTGGCGACCTTGCTGGGCTGGCGTCGGAGAGTGTGCTCGGGGGTATTCTCGGCCTCTATAATCAAATATTTGTAAGCCTTCTGGAGCCGCAGTCTCATCAAACTCCGCAATGGCCGGTTCAAACGGCGCCAAGGGAGTCTCAGGAGAGGTGGGTGGGGTCTGGTCCGTACTATCAGAATTGTCTTTGCTCTTGTCCCACCCGATGTCAATTGCAGGCCAGCCCTGTTCGCTCTGCGCAGGTTCCTCTGTCTTTAAGGATAGAGGTTCTTTCGGCTCCTCGGCCTGTCGTTCTTTGCGCTTCTTCTTCTTCTCTTTTGTAGATAGTTTTCTTGAGACGGGCGGTTCATCCACGCTTGGCTCAGGGGCGGTCTCAGCGACAGGAGGGTATTCTTCGGTTGATGCTGCTGGATGCGCCCCTGGTTTTGATTCTGGCACTGGCGCTTGCTCCTGCTTCTGCTCTTGCTCAGACTCTTGCTCAGGCTCGGGCTCCCTAACGGCCTCTTTGGCCCTCTCCTTAGCCTTTCTCCTTTCCTTCTTAGACAGCTTTCTTGACAAAGGCGCAGCAGTCTCGAGTTGCTCGGTGGGGGTTGCTGCCGCCTCAGTGGCGTCCCTCTCTTCGTTCTCTGCTCTGGCCGCTGGCTCTTCCTCTGGGCCGATTCCCAGTTCAAGTTGGCGCGGTTCTTCATCCAGTGGGACTTCTCTTTCCGCCACATCTTGTGGCGTCTTTCGAGGCTCCACGGACGTATTCACTTCTGGACTCTCAACATCTGGTGGTGCTTTGAAAGGGTCAACGATGTCTGCAATTTCACGTTGCTGGACTTGCTCGGGCGAATGCGAATCCACTGGAAGGTCCTCAGCCGAAACCTCCGGGGCAGTGGTAGCAGGGTTGATTTCTTTTTCATTGCTTCCGGAAGCAGGAGGTTTTTCTAGCTGCTCTTTGCCCTGCTTCTTGGCCTTCTTCTTTTTCTTCTTGGATTCCTTGCGGCTGAGAGTCTCAGGTGCAGGCTCTTCTTTGGCCGATTCGGTTTCCTCCGTGTTTAACGCAGCAGGCGTGTCGCTCAGAATGGCTTCCAGGTCGCTTGTCGGGATTTCTTTTCCCTCGGCAGTGGGCTCAGCTGGTTCCTGACTGGGCTGCAAGGAAGTATCTTCGACCGCTTCACCATCTTTATCAGTCGCTGCTAGAGGCTCTTGTGATTCAGGGATTTGAAGGTCCTCTTTGGTAGGCTTAGACGACACGGTTGTCTCTTGTGTTTCTTCGGCAGTGGCCGCAGGCTCAGCTTCCAGAGCAACTTCCACTTCCTTCAAGTCACTCTCAGCAGGCAGCACGCTCTCCAAATCTTTCTCATTGCCCTCGGCAGGAATTAGAGATCCCGCTTCAGGAACCTGCGGTGACTCAATCTCCTTGGGCAGGATTGACTCCTCCGGTGAGACATTCACATCTTGACTAGCCTCGGGGACCATTTCTTTCTGCCCAGCCGCGGAATCAAGACCTGTCGCTTCGTCCGTCGGAGATGTCTCCTCGATAGGATTTACCGCCTCCAGCAAAGTTTTTTGAGCCTGACGCTGTTTCTTCTTTTCCTTCTTGCTCATTTTTCTGGAAGGAGTCGCTACTTCCGGCGCTTCTTGTTCGTCCGCTGCCGGATCGCTGGAGGTGGATGGTTGTTCTTGGGGCGGCGCGGTCTCGACGCCATGTTCAGTAGCCGGTCCCTCGGTCGATTCTTCGAGCTGTTCTACCTCTCGCTCTGCAGGCACAGCGATTGCCGATTCATCGACTTTGTCGGCATCAGTTGGTAAAGCCTCTGATGAAGGTTCGTCGTCCTTTTCTTGTTCTTTTTCTTTTTCTTCCCCTGCAGCTTCTACCACGGCTTCGCTTCCAGTTTCCGCAGTCTTTACATCACCTTCCTGCACGTCTAAATCCCTGCTAGCCTCTCCCTTAAGCTCAGGCTCACCAGCCCCCGTCAGCTGGTCTTTCCCCTTGTCATCATCTTCCGGTTCTTGGCCCTTAGGTTCTTCACCGGAAGAAATCTTGTCGATCCGTTCAGGCGCTAGCTCGGACGGAAATTGCGGAGAAGTGACTTCCTGCTGTTGCTCTACCTGCGAGGATACCATCTTATCAGTCCAAGTCACATCTTCATCGTTGGTGGCGTGCATATCGGTGCCGTGGGACTGATTGTCTTTACCGTCATCTTCAGCAGGCGCGGGTGCTGTCTCCGAGGGTTCTGCATCGGCGGATCGCGGCGCTTCTTCGCTCAGTCCTTGAGAGGGGGTTTCGGCGGTGGGTGACTCGTCGGTGGTGTCAGGGCCCTTAGACTTGCGCCGTTTCTTTTTGGCCTTTCTCTTTTCTTTTGCTGACATGCCCGCGTACTCCTCTTCTGGTGTTTCAGGCGGCTCAACGATTTCCTCCGCTTTCTTTTCCTCGGCTGCTGCATCGAGGGTGGCAGGTGAGGAGTCAATCGCCCTAGTAGCTTGGTTTTCAGGCTCCTGGGCATTTTCTTCAGGGACTAGCTCTTTTGACTGTTCTTCGGCTTCGGCAGGGGCCTCCGTCTGGAGAAGATCTTCTTCGGGAGCTTTGACTTCAGGCACTGCAGCTCCAGAGTCGCCTTCGGCAGCAGTAGGGATATTGCTAGGTTCCTCCTTGTTTTCAGAAGCCACGTCGGCTTCGGGGGCAGCTGCTGGCGCATCTTCAGGTGTCTCCACGGCATTCCGCTTATTCTTCTTCTTCTTCTTTTTCTTGTCCTTTTTTGACTCTGAAGTTGCGGGCTCTGGTGTTTCGTTTGTTGCAGTGGGAGATGGTGCCTCATTTGGTTCTTGAGTGGCAGGCTCTTCGGCGGGGGCATCGGTCAATGTCTGATCGCCAATTTCGGGGGTGTCGCCTGGAGTAGTGCCCTGAGCTGCTTCGGAAGACTCAGCCTCTTGGGAAGTTATGCCATTTCCCTGAGAAGGGGCCTCGGTTGCCGGCTCATCTTCGGTTGATATTTGACTGACTGGCTCGGTGTCTTCAGCGCCCAAGGGTTCCGAAGATTTGGGTTCTTCAGAAGCAACCTCTGCGGGTGTCGCAGCGGCTTCCGCAGTTTCACTAGGCTCGGATTGCTCAGGCGCAGCAGAGACAGTCTCCTCCGTCGGCTCTTCAGTCGCTGGCGCTGACACATGCGGTTCCTCGCTTGGCTGGATGTCCGATTCGTCTTTAGGGGCTTCAGACGGCGAAGTATCCTCCGGTTCTGCAAGTACCCCACGGGCTTCAGCCGGCTCGGACGTTTGCTCCGGGGTATCTTCGGCCGCGAAGCTGACAGACTTCCGCTTCTTTTTGTCCTTTTTGGCCTTCTTCTTGGAAACCACTGGCTGCGGCTCCTCCTGGAATTCCGGAGTCTGGTCTTGGTCGGCCTGTGGCTCTTGAGGCACCTCTTCAGGAACAGCGTTTTCTGTGTTCTCCGTATTCTCTGCAACAGCGAGGGACGTTTCCTCTTGTGGCTGATTGGGCTGTTCAGGAGTTTGGGTAGTTTCAGGCGAGACTTCCGACGGTGACTTGGTTGTGGTTTCGCTCTCTGCCACTGGAGTCTCTACCACTGGAGTAGACGGCTCTTCCTCTAAAGCAAGTGACTGACGCTTCTTCTTCTTATTCTTTTTCTTCGACTTAGACGAAGGGGCGGGCTGAAACTCCTCGACTTGATCTTGGGAGCCAGTCTCAGCAGTCTTCTCGTCACCATTGCTGATGTCTTCAGCCTCTGCAGTGGGCTCTGCTACAACTGGAGTTTGGTCTTGTCGCTCTTCCGCAGGCTGCTCTGTAGCACCCTCAGTATCGGCC